ACGTATTGAGGATGTCAGTGTTGAAATCTTCAACCCCGAAGGAGTAAACACAGGAAGCGGCTTGGTAGGCACATGGACCAACAGCTTGAAGACAACAGGCAAAGGTGGCGGCCAGGAGATTTGGCGTGTTGGACCACTGGTGGAAAATGCTGCCCAGACATTTGGTCTTACAACTTTTGCTGCCAGCTTGAACGAGGTTACAGAGATCGAGAAGGGCAAACTGCCTCCTACGGATTGTCGCCTGCGACCTGATCAGCGCGCATACGAACAAGGCGCAATCGATGATGCTGAGGATCTGAAACAAAAGCTGGAGGAAGCTCAGCGCGGTCGACGCCGAGAACTCGAAGAGCGAGGTGAGACATACAAGCCTCGATGGTTCGTCAAGGTCGAGAACGCTCCAGAGGGAGAGGAAGTATGGAAGCTCAAGACAGGAAAGGATAGTTACTGGGAGGAGCGCGCAAAGGGAAGCTGGCAAGGGGTTGAGGACCTCTTTAAGGTTACTGATGATTGATGAAAGCCAAATAGACACAAACATTGGATTCAGTTTTTGATACCCATAGTTAAATGAATTGTATGTGTAGAGTTCTTATGGAGTTGTGTAGTCAAGAATGTTGGTTAAGATGATAGGTCGCTGATGTGACCTGGCGTGTTTAAGATAAAATAGAGTGTATGCAATAGAAGGCTGACTAGAGCATCCCCTGTGTTCTAGCTTATGAGGCAATGCTGGCCAAGCTTAAGACGGACGTGTTGAGACTTAAGAGTTGATTTTAGGTATGTAGGACAAGTCGAAACTCAAATGATGATCATACAGTCTTCCTCTTACAGACCCAGGTTGGCAAACCTCGGGGGGTAATAAAACCTCTGACATTAAGATGAGGTGTCAAAATTAACTGGTTGAAACACCTACTAATATACACTAAACTTGCCTAATATTTTCGTCACTTAGGGTCGAGGTCTCACGTTTCCTTGGCTCCCCTACGCAAAGTGTCACTTGAAACCTCCTATTGCAGCTTAACAAAGCCAAGCATTTTCTTGGCTCTGAGATAGAGTGGTGACCCGTCATTTGGTGCATGTACCGGCAGGGGATGTGACGCACCCCAGGCGAGGTTACCAGATGAAAAGAGGGCCTCTGGTATTGTGAAGAACCACAGTGTTTCACACGAGGGTCATTCTTGGCTGAGCGCCCAGATCTTGAGTTTAATTATGCAGCAGGCGAGATGTGATATTGGCGTTGCGGTGAGAATGCTGAGGCGAGTGGTTGTGAGGGATGAGGGATTGGAGATGAGCTTGGGACGAGGCAGTGCAGGGTGATCGACGTGACGATTGAAATTTGGCCATGGTCTCGGTTGATTTGACGGGTCTAGGAAATAAAACCAAGCAAAATCCATGTCAAGTGCTACTCATCGTCATATGGATCCAGTCTTAACGGTCAGAGCTCAGACTGACTGATACCAGCCAGGATAAGGAAAGGTCAAGACTCAAGATATACGGTATCTGCCTGTGCCTTGATATAATATACAGAAACAATGTTTAAATAATAGTGAGTGCTTGACAACCAGTAGTATTTCAGTAAGCTAGTCATACGAGAAGTCGAATTTCTATTCTTGTTCTTCAATGGAATACGGTATGGCCCATAGACGTGAGAGCCCGGGCTCCACTGGAGTTTAGCGGGACGGGAGTGGCAGAATGACCCCTGCCGATCATTGAATCTGCAGGCGAGACTGGAAGGAAGAATTCTTATTTGTGTTATTAGTGACAGATACCCAGGTAGGTAGTTTCTTTTAAGCTTACCTTGGTTATGAGATGAAAGTTTTGATTCTGGATCTTAATAATCAAACCTGCGACAGAAGCATAAAAATAAAAAGAACTCTACGATTCACTCGAGGTACTCAGACATTTAATGCCAATCCCAGACCAGCCTTCACCAAGCATCATGATGAATAAGGCGAGAGAGGGACTGTGCCACCAGCTGGAGCCGTTTAAAAAGGAGCCTCAGGGGGTTACGAGACGAGTTTCAGCGGCGCGCCAATCGCTGATCAGGAGGCGCTTGCTCTAGCTGAAAGGGAGTGTCATGCATGAGCGAGGGGGGCGTGTGCCGATAGCTTAAAATGCATTACGACGACTTTGGTGGGTCAATTGAATTTTAGCATTGAGCGAAATCCAGGCCAAGAAACGAAAAAGAGAGGACAGCAAGTGATGCCAATGCACTACAGGCCTTGGACTTGTCATAGAAATGGAGAGGTTGAGTTGCTGGACTCTTGGTTTGTGGCTGCGCACTCTTGGGAGTTTCTTGTCATCCATAGGCGTTGAGATGTTTGTTGACACACGTGAGATGTATACGAGTGATGCAGCACCATGGGCAACACTAGCAAAAATACGGATAACGAGAACAGAGTTTGAAACTAGAGGGCAAGATGGTTAAATGTTTGTTTGTGTCGATCCTCTTATAGTGACAAGTACACATACTCATGACCAACTGATAACCGCCTAGTTTATGGATGTTACAACAGTTTGTTCTTCAGCCAGTGACAAGGGACGACACATCAGCAGACTTCACACCACCGGCTGAGTCTAATCCTTCAGTCATAGGCTGGGTTAGTACAGCCCATTGATTCGTGTGCCTGACTTCCGCCGTCCAAGTGTGAGCACAACAAAGACACAATGCGATAGTGTAAATGCTGGTAGATGGCAATTCAACCACACTCGTTTGATCCGACAAGATAGCTTCACAGCACTGAATTACATACAAGAGCATTGTACTGCTTCACAATAACGAGCTGCTGGACTTGATCGTCAACCCATCGTCATGCTCTCTTGGCCCTCGAGATTAGGTGTGCCAGCATGAATTTGTGGAAACTGAAATTACTGGACCAGACGTGCCCCACGCTTAATCCCCAATCCATGGCTTCCCCTTGGATTCGACGGAAGCCCGCCCAAGCCTTCTAAGGAAGAAATGCCCACAGCGGCCGGCGTTAGACGCTTGGACTGACCACTTCAGTTTCCATTCTTAACTTGGTACGAGGGCGGGAGCCAAATGGAAGCGGAAGAGTCTGCGTCGTTCGTCCAATGCCTCAATTGGTACCGTAAAACACTCACTCACTTATCCAGACACCCCGTCTCTCCCTAGATTGGTAGGTACCAAGATAATGCCGAGTGCTCCAAGCTACCAGCCCAGTTCAGGGATCAATTACTTGCCATCCAATCCAATATCCCTTGATACCACCACTATCCACGTTCTATCCTATCCTGTTGTGCCATTCTGTGATTGTCGATTGAGTTGGTCCCGACTTGTAACTTTGTAACTTTGTACCTGTTTTACCACACCCCAGGGCCTCCATCCCGTCTTCCCACCTCCAGTGCCTACTATTTTAAAAGCCCATTCCAACCTCCGTATCACGCTCTCTTTTCCTCTCCTCTTCTTCCTCCCTCCATTGATTTATTAATACCTTCAACTTACCTTTCAACCGGTTAACGCCTTTCTGTCGTTTTCTCTCCGGTCGTGATCTTCTATCTTCTTTCGTTCCCACCTCCCAACTCTCTCGTTGTTGGTTTTCTTCTACTTGGACTGTAATTCTGCTTCCTCACCCGATCCGCTCATTTCGATCAATTCCCACCCTCGATATCGTCTCTTAACGACAATTCTTTGAACTGTGTTAATCTCTCGCCATACCGTTCGACCAACCAACTTAAAATGAAGACCGTTGCTTTCCTCTCCGCCTTGGCGGCTGTCGCTTCGGCTACCCCTACCCTCAAGGAGCCTCCCAGCAAGCGCGCTTCCCTCCCCGCAGTCTCGGTTTCTGGCAATGGTTAGTAGTCAATTGCCTCAAGAGTTGGATGTGCAGGCAGTGTTGACAATCAATTAGCTTTCTGGACTGGCAAGGACCGATTCTACCTCCGAGGTATCGACTACCAGCCCGGTGGTGCCTCTGCTAACGAGGATCCTCTCGCCGATCCCGATGTTTGCAAGCGTGATATCAAGTACTTCAAGGAGCTCGGCGTCAACGTTATTCGCGTCTACGCTGTCGACAACAAGGCCGATCATGACGAGTGCATGAGTGCGCTCGACGCCGCTGGCATCTACCTCGTTCTCGATGTTAACAACCCCAAGTACTCCATCAACCGTGCCAAGCCCGGTCCTTCTTACAATGCCGCCTACATCCAGAGCGTTTTCGCCACTGTCGAGATGTTCGCCAAGTACGACAACACACTCGCTTTCTTCTCCGGAAATGAGGTCATGAATGACGAGAAGGATACCGACAAGTCCGCTCCCTACGTCAAGGCCATCACTCGTGATATGCGAAACTACATCAAGGCCCGCAAGCTCCGCCAGGTTCCTGTCGGCTACTCTGCTGCCGATGTTGCCTCCAACCGCATGCAAACCGCTCACTACATGAACTGTGGTTCTGAGGAGGTTCGATCTGACTTCTTCGCTTTCAACGATTACTCCTGGTGCAACAGTGACTTCAAGACCTCTGGCTGGGACGTCAAGGTCAAGAACTTTACCAACTACGGTATCCCCATTTTGTAAGTCAATTCATCACTCATGTTGGCCTCTGCTAACCTTGCACTAGCCTGTCCGAGTATGGTTGCATTGAGAACCGCCCCCGTAAGTTCGAGGAGATTGAGCCCATGATGGACAGCCAGATGTCCTCCGTCTACTCCGGTGGCCTTATGTATGAGTACTCCCTCGAGGACAACGACTACGGTATCGTCACAATCAAGAACGGCAAGGTCACGACCGAAAAGGAGTTTGACCTCTTCAAGTCTGCTCTCTCCAAGTACCCCATGCCCACTGGCACTGGCGGTGCTGCCAAGGCTTCCCACGGCGTTGCTTGCCCTACCTCCGAGTCCGTCTGGCAGGTCGACCCCAGCTACCTCCCTGAGATGCCCTCCGAGGCCGAGAAGTACATGAAGGACGGTGCCGGCAAGGGCCCCGGCATCAACGGCAAGGGATCCCACTTCGACACTGATAGCGGAACCGCCACTGCCAGCGTTGCTATGGGCTCTTCCACATCCACAGGTTCGGCCTCTGCCTCTGGTGATGATGGTGATGACAGCGGCGCTGCTAGCCTTGGCTTCGGTGCCCTGTACGTCTCCGCTGCCGCCACTCTCTTCACCCTCGTCGGAACCCTTTTGCTGTAGATGGCAGGCGTGCCGTCTCTTTATTTGTTTTCCTTGTTAGTGTGGGGATTGCCTTCTGGTCAGAGTTATGATTTAGGCCCCCCTCTTGGTTTTCATGATAGGCACAAGATGTAGGGGGGAGAGCGCTTGATTAGTTAGGCGCGCTGCGCTGGACACGCCGGGTTCGTATTTTTTCAACAGGAGCATTGGCGTCTAGCCCAGGCAGGGCAGACGACCCGGAAATGATTATAATGCTATCTGGGCGGTTATCGCCTTTGTCGTTTCAGCTAAAAGGATTTGGTGCGGAAGCACATTCAATAGACTTTCATTAAACTCGATACGAATATCCTCTGCCTCGATGGTGTACACGGTATACTCGTATCCTACAAGGTTATTTGTAGGCACTTTTGCAACGGTTAATCATATCGCACGTGAGTTGGAGTTAGCCGTAGAGCCTGGCTAGAATTGGTGGGAACCTCGGCATCTCCATCAGTAGCCCACCTCTTACATGGGCTTTGTCGCAGCCAAGATCAAGCTACCCCATGGGACAGTTTAGCCCCGAGATTCTTTCATCCCTTATAAGTACTCTTCTTACAATACCATTCATATTCTTCTCTTTTCAACGTAATCGCAATTGAGTTAAAAGCCCACACAATGTCTTCCACCACACCTCTCCCCGCTTACACATCTTACAAAAACATAATTGTCAGCTCACCAAACCCTTTCGTCGCTCATGTCGAGATAAACCGACCCCAGAAGCTCAACGCCTTTACTCAAGAACTATGGCTTGAGTTTGGACGTGTCTTCAAGCAGCTCAGCGGTGATGAAGACGTCCGTGCTGTTGTAGTCAGCGGCGCTGGCGATCGAGCCTTTACCGCAGGCTTGGACGTGCAGTCTGCGTCTAGTGATGGAATCCTCTTTGGTTCTCAGGCGGATATCGCCAAAAAGGCAAAGGTAGTGAGAAACCACATTGAGGAGTTTCAGGACTCGATTGGTGCTATGGAGAAGTGCGAGAAACGTAAGTGTCACTCGTCCAACGATTTGTTAAGATGAATTACTTATATGTGGGATTAAATTTACAGCTGTCATTTGCGTGCTTCATGGTGTTTCTATTGGCCTTGCTATTGATATCGCCTGCTGCGCTGACATCCGCATCTGCGCCTCCAACACACGCTTCGCTGTCAAGGAAGTTGACATTGGCATGGCCGCTGATATCGGAACCCTGGCACGTCTGCCCAAGCTCGTTGGCTCAACATCATGGGTTAAGGACGTTTGTCTCACGGCCCGAGACTTCTCAGCACAGGAAGCATTGTCAGTAGGATTTGTGAGCCAGGTTCACGAGGGCAAACAGGCGGCTGTGCAGGCTGCTGTGGCTCTGGCAACCACACTTGCTGACAAGAGCCCTGTTGCTGTACAGGGAACGAAGGAGCTGCTCAACCACGGCAGGGATCATACTGTTGCTGAGAGCTTGAGGTATACGCAAGTATGGAATGCAGCGGCTGTGCAAGGCAAGGACTTTTCGTTGGCGTTGATGAGTGGATTGAAGAAGACGAAGCCGAGGTTTGAGAAGTTGTAGTTTAGGAGTTTGAGAGGATCATAGACGCACGTCGTTCGGGTATGAAATTGTGTATATAGTTCAGTGGTTGCACATGCTTGAAGCTTACTCAGAGCCGGATTCTTCTTCAGGAGGAAGGTTTTCTTTGAGTCGCTGGGAATGTGTCAATCAAACAAAGCCCATTTCCAGTCGCAAGTAGCTTGGGTGAAGATGATGCTAGCAATCGAACGTACTTCTTCGAGCTTATGCTTGAGCGTTGAGACCATGGTCTCTTTCACAACCACGCGTTCATCATCGAGATCCTCAATGATGTAGTCATGGTTAGCACTGTCGATGCTGACGATGATGGACTTGATCGAAGGATCGCACTCGATAAGAACGCCTAGCATAGGTAAGCTCGGATACGCAGTGACCAGAAAATAGTGTGAAACGAACCTCTGATTGCACGAGGCATCTTGGGCCAGTTCGCGGAAGCGCAACAATATGTCCAGAAAATGCTCCAAGGATTATAATGAGGTTTAAGTTCAGGTTATGGTTGACGCTTCCCCCCAGAAAAACGGTGGAGTTTAATGGGAGCCTTGTATGACGCACGGACCACCTGCCATTATCTAGAGCCTGCATGGAATCATCAGAGGCCATTCCAAATAATGTTTATTCATGCTTCGGCTGCGCAACGGCAAAGCCACTATACTGTGCCTGGTTTTGCAGAGCTGTTCAATTAGGAAGCCGAACCAAATAATGTGGCAAATTGGACCCGAGCACCAAATGTTACCTCATCGCCTTCGTACTAAGCTGGGCGTGTTGTGTACATGACTGTTGCAGCGTATTACTTAGTCGTTGTAAGTGGCATTGCTCGTCCTCAATACGCCACTAGTCCAAGGCAGAGTTGAGAAGCTGTAGTCTAAGGGCTCGATTTTCATACCAAGTTCTCTCGTTTACCTGTCGGCATTCTTCAATCTGTTAGATCCGACTGGGCTGTGTCCATCATAGATATCATGGACAAAACAGGTGACGGGCGGCCAATTTATCCCGGCTCCACCGGCGGACGGCGACATTCAACGGTCCTTACATCCAGATCTAAGCTACTAAGCCACTATGATGAAGTCACCTTGACAGTGGGGGATGATCGGCTACGCGGCTCTGTAATGGAGGCATACGAATGCAAAAGGTTAAGGTAGAAGCCGAGGGCGCACAAGTACAAAGAGCTGCCCTCCTCCCCCAGGTTTGGAGTCGGGAGTTGGAGTTACTAGATGACGCCACTCTATCAAAGTCTCTGACCTCACACCTTGACAATCTATCATTTTGATGATCCTTGATTCTTGACGTCTCACAAACTAAATAACAAGAATAAAGAAGTCCTTTACATACAAATCCATTTGAGAATCGATCACATTCAGATCTTGTCTGAGACATCCGATGATCTAATCCAGTCAGCACATATCAATATCATTTGATTGAGTACCTTACTTATACACTCTAACGACATACCTGCTATTGTGATGGCAACAAACGACAATAACGACAACAATACCGGCTTCTCATTTGGTGCACAACCCTTTGCCTGGGTTCTCATTCCTCTCTTCGTCATCTTAGTTCTCGGTCTAACCGCCACCATCGTCCAAGTGAGACGACGTCGCCGCCGTCGTAGGAACCAATGGCCCGGCCAGAATACTGGAGCTCCAGTATATACCGGCCTTCGCGGTGGAAGAAGAACGGGAAATCGCCGATCGCCATGGAATGGTACCAGGTCTGAAGAAGGACTCAATGAATTGGGACAGGCACCGCCGCCATACGATGGTAAAAAGGAGACGCAGGATCCTCTGGAACTGCGGGATCTCGAAGCTGGGAACAGGCCGCCCGAGTATCCCGCTGAGCCTGCGCCGGCTGTAGTGACGGATGGGCGAAGAAGTTGATTGTTGAATTTTGGCTATTGGATGATGGTTTTTTTTTATGTATTCGTTCCTGGACCGTTTCATACCTACCTTTTTGCCTGGTGTTAGAGAGGAATGAGCCGGGAGGGTGCTGTATTTGAGGAGATGAATGATTCAGAGTAAGGTTACGTGTCGATTGATATTGACATAGCAATGAACAATTCTTTGTTTTCGTCTCATGAGACAAAGTCGAGTTGAGTTTGCCGCTATCCGTTCCGATCAAGCATGACCAATTAGCGAGACCACTTTATGCATCAATTGTAGTACAGAGGAAAGATGTCCGGGAGACTCAAGTGAAAGTGAAAAAGCTGAGCTGAGCAATGAACTGACACTCCCTCCCTCTCTCTACACAGACAAGCTCTATCGTCTTAGCCTCTACAATAATCCAGACCTTGAGCTTACCTGAATACTGATATACGAATTGACAACCAAATGAATTCAAAGAAACCGAGTAGAAGGACTAAGAATCCATGGTTGCAGATTATATGACAAAGCCATCCTCTTGCAAGCCACCGGAAGCAGAGTGCTATACGAGTTGTCTGCGTGAGACACGAGTGGCCTCAGAAGACCCGGCTGGCTGCATGCACCGAGGGCGGTGTCACAAGTGATGCCGTGATCAGCTTCCACAAGAGTTAATAGCACCGATAGGACAAAGAACTCTCTCCTTGTGGTCTTGCCGTGCTGGAAGCAGCATGTCGTGATGAGCAACTAACCTCAACACATGAGATCGCAGCAATAGCTACAGTAAGTAGTCGGGGACTACAATAATCTAAGACTGCAAGTGCTCTGGGCCAATACTAATTGGGCTGTGAACCATGAAAGGGCTACTGTTTTTTCTGGGCTTTTTGTTGACGGGTTGCTTTGGCTCGCTGCTAAGTTTACGAGTAGTGCTTCTTGAAAGCCTTTGAATACTCTATGAACTTTGGCGGAAAAGCCCGAAACAGCCTCGTAGCTGAGAACATTTGTTGCAAGTCAAACGATATGGAAAAACTGAAAGTTGTCCTGGATCCAAACTTCAGGGGTATCCCATGCCTTTTTGATGTGTCTCGCATGGGTGAAAGGGTCTTTGCTCGGGGGATCCACGGAGAGTTTGCGCGATCTTATGATTCACGTGATGCTTGGTAAAGCCTAGTTCGCCTCATCTTGACACATATATGTTTGCGGTGAAATATGACAGACAGATCAGGATATGCCAATGCCATAATGGGAGATAAAGAGGTGGTTGGAGGGGATATAAGGGGCCCCAATTAAGCAAATGGAGCCATGGTTTCTTAGTGTGATGATAGAGGAGGCTGGAGATGCTAATGGGCTGAACATGAGCGGCAAAGGGAATATTCTGAGTCGGGTTATGTCCCGAGAAGTTGGAAAGCCAGATGCGAGTAAGGTTGAGCCGTGGCAAAGATGATTTTCAGGAACATGCCAAATCTATTAGGTGGTGGTGTTGAGGTCCAAATTTGGTCTGGACGTTAGATTCGACCAAGAAGCTTCTAAAACACTATGTTTGGAACCGGTGATTTATCTGAAACCTATGGAGAATAGTATGTCTCTGTCGTTATTTAGAGAATAAGGCACTGTAATTAGTCTATTCCTTAGGAATGGGAGTGTTTTATAATAATTTGAAGACAAGTCCAATCCTTATAGTGAGTGGTTCAGCCCTACAATCCACTCATAAGAGCGAAATGAGTGCCATGGATCCGAGTGGAGGTCTGACTGGGACTCTGGTGATCTTTTTGATAAGATTGCTCAGCTAATATCGCGTATCTTGAACTCTTCACGAAGCGACTTGGGCAACTTGTGAACGTATGAGAAGCGCTGACGGCCAACAAATGCAGCCTCATCGCAGGCTTCGCCCTCATGGTCCAACTTATTTTAGTCAAATAAATGAGGCTCACTCGAATGATTCTTTTCCGTCTCTGGGGACACAGCCGCCCAGCCGCACCTTTCCCATCCTGGCCCGAAGCTGGGGCCGTGGCGCTGAACGAGGGACGGCTGAAGTCTGAAGATTAATAGGCGGACAGGGGTTTGAGTGATTGACGAGGGTGATCAAGTGAAAAGAGAGGCTGGGGAGGAGGATTGTTTGGGAGTGCGACGACTGCCGGGACCTGATTCGAAGGGAAAACAGAAGAAGAATCGTTTTACGACAGGGGTTTTGTCGTAGCAGAGGTGGAAGCCCAACGTTTGTCTGTCATGGTTTGATACTGGAGCATGTATTAGAGAGGCAAGAAGGCTGGTTCTGCGTGGCAACTGGCAACGCAACAACTTGGAGACCGCTAGTTGGAATATCCTGTTTTGATAGAGACGGAGGATGCTTATTCGATACTAAAGAGGAGTGGATGGGATGAGGATGGTCATCACATCACACACAGCAAATCACGTATCACACACATGGAGCGTTACGATGAACTCGTCGGGCCTCGCTACTGTACAGGTCTGCTCTGCATGTTTCCTGCACGTTTTGGTGCATATCTCGTTCCTCTCGTGTCCTTGGAAGATCGTCCATTGGCAGAGGAACCACGGGCATAGTGTGTTGAGCTAGGTGGCATCCCGGCGGGCCGGCGCTATTGGACAGCCCGCCTCGGCAGAGGTGCCAGAGACAACTCATCACCCCAAGGCACTAGCCTGAAAATGAAAATCCCAAGGGCCCAGCCGCTGAGCTAGGTGGATAGAGTGTGACGACCAGATCCCGAGGACAAGGCAATCCGATATATGTTGTCAAACGAAGTAAATTTGGTGTTGTTTAGAGCAATACACAGAAGAGATTGCATTGGATCTTTGGTTGGAGAGATCCATACTCAATCGACAATCCAATACCTAAAACCTCATAAGCTTCTTGGTTCCACTTATGCTGACTCTATTATGTATATACCTACCTAACTTTTCGCATCAAGATCTTCTTCAATACACAACGAAGTCATTCATCATCGATAATTTTAAACCTCGCTCATTGAAGCTTTAAACTTTAGCGCGTGCAGTGAGTTTACCAACTACTCCATATCCCATCAATATCGCAACGAAAGAGACAAAAAGAGAAAAAAGCCTGCCCGTTCTGCATTAACTCAATCCGTTTTCCCCAACCTCCAGATCTTTCACCCAACCTCCTCGATTCCCCTTGACACAACTGCACCTAAATTGAATGCCCTGCTCATTTTTTTCCTAATCAGTCTAGATCACACCTTGTACCCCTTCTTGATTTTCTGTTTCGGCTCTCTTCCGCTCCGTCTGACACTGACATCTGGCGGTTTTCAGTTCTCTGTTCCTTGTTAATTGCTAGGTCTGGTTGCTGCGGGCAACTTTGCTGGCCCATTCTTTTTTCTTAGCCCCCCCGAGGCCCCAGGCGTCTCCCCCGCCGAGCTGCCTGACCTTACCTTACGGGATCCACATCCCATGAGCCTTCACACCATCCTTTACAATCGACCACGCCGCACGTCGCATCCTTAACCCTTCCCCCAAATCTTTCTCCTTCTCGAATTCCCCACGGAACCTTGAGGCTTCTAAGGCCAGGTCAAATTCGAGTCGAGTCGAGTCGTGTCGGTTGTCGACTCTAGTAAGTAGGTATCACTATCGACTGTCCCGTCTCTGGGTAGTTGGTAGACGTTCAAAGTTATTTCCTTTCTTTTAATCGGGTCGTTTGTTTGTAAGTCTCTCATCCTTCCTTTTCCCTTGACCGTTGCTTTGCCCTTCTCCGCTTCATGAGTCGAGCGAGTCGCTTTCAACGCTGGTGGCGATTCGTTACTCCATATAATTGGCCTACACCGTTATTTCTCCCCCGTTGGGCACTCGGGTTTACTGACATGTCCTGCTAGACAATCTTTGTTGCGCCTTGATTCCGCATGTCTTGATATCAAACCATTAATCAACCAACCCCTCCTCTCCCACCGGTGTTTCTCTGCATCCGCTCCGGATCGCAGTCCTGGGAAGAAAGGGCCCCGAAACACCTCCACTTAAGAGCCTCACCAGATTTACGATGGGTGTATCTTCCAGAAAATCTCTTCCACTTCCCGCCCCTACCGAAACCGAGACTAATACCACCCCCACCGATCTTACAACAACGGTGGATGGGGTGAATCCCGGTGACGAGAAGTCCTCCTACTCCATTCCTGAAGACGGAACACCCGTCACCATTGCTACCCGTGGACACAAGGCTAGCAAATCTCAGACCTCATTGCTCATCGAGTACTTCGAAGGCGGCAAGTCAACTGTCGGTTCAACAGGCGAGCGACGCCCTAGTGTCCGTGTCCGCCTTACACCATCCAAGAGAGGCCGTTCCGATCACCATCTTCAAGTTACAGAAACAAAAGGCGCTCGCAACACCTCTGTGACTCGACGGATACCATTGGGAGATTCTGAATACTTCGACGGGGACGACGGCAACAGCATGAGCTCTTACGCTTCTGCTACCGAAGAGTCCAACGTCTCGAGAAATCCAATTGACATTGAGATTGATCGTAGTCATACTGGACGACGACGACGACCTGCCAGCCCATTGATCCCTTCGGAGACCTACAACGTCAACGCTTCAGACATATCCGCCATCCCATCCGACAGCTTTCTCGACGGCGACGCCAAGGGCGACAGTCCATCAGCAACCCGAGAGATGGTTGCAGCAGCTGGCGCCGGTGCACTTGCAGGTGCTGCAGTAGATGAGTTGAAGAACCGGAAGAGTCGAAACAGAGACAGGTCAAAGGTGTCAGAAACAAAGTCGTCGAGGGAAAAGTCGACAGCGGAGAGAAAGCGTCGGCCAAAGAGCAGGACCAGCAGCGTTTCTGAGAGGACGGAGGAGCCTATTAAAGCCCATCGCCGTCGCTCTAGCAGAGGTCAACAGGAATCCAATGTGTCGGGACTTGACTCGAATGTCTCAGCCTCTCATTTGGCTCCCAGCCATCGCACTCACGCAACACATTCCTCACGCTCAGATGTCTCTAAATCATCGATCAACAACCCCAAGCTCCTCGAAACAGTCGAAGACGCCATTCGCCGCTTGATTCTGCCCGAACTCAATGCTCTTAAGCGAGAGACCAGCAAGAGGGAGAGCCGACGCGATTCCTTTACTTCGTCTGCCACATCAGTATCTAAGGATGAGTTAACCCCCGACCGCCGGCGGTCGTCAGGTCAACGGAATGAGCCAAAGGATAGACGCAATAGAGAGGCTCGTCATGTCCTGGAAGCTAACTCTGATGTGAGCCATGATTCTATTGAGGATGACTATCAATACGAGAATGAGAATGTTACCCCCAAGCGAAGTGGTGGTGACATGCTCAAGGCTGCTGCAGCCGGTGCAGCAGTAGCTGGCATTGGCTCATCACTTCTCTCAGACAGCACACAAGGCGACCGAAAGCCGAGAGAAAGACGGCGTCGGAGAGCCGAGTCTGCTCATAGCCGTGGCCTGAGCCGTGACCATCATGCGGATCAGTTCGACAACGATCCCGTGGTTCCTCAGCCACCCATGCCTCTCATGAGTGAAATCAACCCCTCGGAAATGACCAGGACTTCTATCCGATCTGCAGATACCGACAGACCTCATTCGGCTAGCGAGGAGATCACACCTGTTAAGAACATTCCGGGTGGATATGTCTCTGGAACCTCGACACCTACACCTTCAGCAACTCCCTCAAATCTCGAGACAACATTATCCACTCAGCACGCCAACGTATCTCATGGTGATTTGACTGCTTTACCGCGCGGTCAGAAGGACTACGTGGAAGAGTATGAACCAGACGAGTATGGTCAGAAGCATCCTCTCGAACGACAGGGTCAATATGAAGAGGATGACATTTCTGACAACGATTATCCTGAGGGTGGATATGATAACTCCTATTTCGCTACCCAGGATGTCCCTCCTCCATTAAAGTATGTTCCCTACCAGGCTGGTGCTCGAGGTCTCAGCCCTATTCCCAGTGTTTCTGGCTACACTGAGGGTGGCAGCGAGTATCACCCTCGCAACTCAAGGAGTATGCACTCTACAAGTGATGCTTACTACGAGCGATCTGGGGATCGCCGCAATAGCCAGTCTACACCTTCTCTGAACTCCCTCCAAGAACGAGAAATGGACCAGATGTCACCTCAAAGTTCCGGTGTAGGTTACCGAAACACCACCTACACAGATGACAGCGAGCTGGACAAGGTCGCGTCTGGACAAGCTGTCCGTGGCGTTGGTGCCAACCCCAACCTGGTTCACCCTCCGATGGGACCCGAATCAGCAGTTGCTTCACTCGTTGAAGGCTCGATGCTCGATCAGTCCATGTTGAGCGGCTCCTACAGCGACTACCCTGGTCCTCGCGACTCGACTCTCTCTTACGATGACCAGTCAAGGACTTATAGCAGCCGCGGTGCGAGCCCCGACAAGAACTACATGGACGGTAGCGAGTTGGAACCTGAGAGGCATGCCACACCCAGTGCCAGATCTCATAACAAATCACAAGAGTTCACTGAGTATGACCTGGATGAGCATGGCCGAAAGGTGCCCCGGACAAGGTCACCCACGGCGTCAGAAGTCGCTATTGCGACTGGCGCCGTGGCTGCTCTCAAGGCGGCGCAGGGTAAGAAGCAGGCAGCCACCGAGGAGCCAGAGGAATACCAAGGCGCTGGCGTCTTCCGTAACAAGTCCTTCAAGGAGCGTACTTTGGAAGGCCATGAGCCTCGTAACACTCCTGCTCACAGCATCGACCGCCTTTCTTATGATGACTCACCCAAGATGACTGCAAGTGGTCTCCCCGACTTTAACAACCCTATGCCTGAATTTGGCTACATTGACGACGACGTTCACACCAACCCCTCAGTTGTCCAAGAGCGTCTTGATGGCGAGCACCACGATGATACTTCTGAAGGCCGAGCAACACCCACTCCCCGAAATGTTGCCGAGCAACGCGCTGAGAGTGCTGCCAGCAGCCAAGGACCCGGTGCCGCTCAGGTTGCCGGTGCTGCTGCATTGGGCGCAGCCGCTGGAATGGCTGCTGCCAATGCTCACAGCCGTGAACCCAGCCAGGACCAAGATGAGTGGCAGCGGACCTCTGACGACCGCAAGCGAGACACTCTTGTCACCAACCCATACGAGGACACCAGTCCTGTCGCCAACCCTGCCCTGAATGACAACCTTTTGGGAGCCCGGGGTTTTGGAGCCCCTTACCACACCGGAAGTCCTGGTTTTGGCCCCAAGTATGACGAAGGCTATATGTCCAATGGCAATAACCGAACTCCCGATCTCCAGCCCAAGGGTAAGGCTCTTCAGCTGTCTCTGCCCGGATCTCCAAATGATGCTGGCCAGGACCCCTTCTACGCCCCCAAAGACGCTCGTCACCTTAGTGGCATGTCTCAAGGCATGGCGTCACCATTCTACGATGCAGCCACTGGTCAAGGAATTGACCGCATCGAGAACAAGGACATTGTTGCTCTGATGCAGCACCTCATGGTTCGAGATGCTCAGCGCAGTGCCCGCGATACGGAAATTGTTGCACTGCTGATGAACTCTGCCCTTGAGATGCGAACTTCTCTGAATGAGCTTAGAAACCTCGTCCAGGACACTAGCGACGATGTCATTTTCGCAGGTGTTGAGAACACCGAGAAGCTTCAGAAGGCAATCAATGGCCCTCGCCCCTACCCTGGGGCCCGATCGGTTCAGAGTATCTCCCAGATTGACACTTTCAACGAGGCCGCTGCCAAGAAGAACCTATTCAAGCGAGCTTTCCAAGGCCTCAGCAACAAGGGTACCAGTGACTTCAAGCGTATTGAAGAAATCCTGATGCAGATTCTCGGCGAGGTTGACGAGCTCAAGGGACAGAGCACCGTCCCCCCTGTTTCCACCAGTGGTGGCCGTGGCCCCTCATTCGACAACCTGCAGCCTGAGGGTCACTTCGAGCAAGATCGAGGCTATGAGCCTGAAGGCAACTCTACAATCACCCCCAGCCAGTCTGGTCACTTCTCACTCTCCCACTCCCGATCCCGGCTTGCCAATGAACGCAAGTTTTCTGATAACCGCATCAGCACTGTTGCTGAGCACGAGGATGAATACGAACACGCCCACCCCAGCCCGACTGGCGAGCGCAGCAACCCCAATATGCTGACACCAGAACGATCAGGCTTCCAGCGCGGAAGTTCTGTCCCTCTTGATACACCCCCTCAGCCGTCTGGTGTTACTCAACCAATGAGCAATGAGAACACTCCTCGCACAACGGAGAAGCAAAAAAAGCACAAGTCCGGCCTTTCGGGCTGGTTCCCCAAAATTTCCAGGTGGTCCGGAACGACAGCCTCCAGCGCTGGCAAAGGCAAGAAGGAAGCCAAGTATGATGACTACCCTCCCTCGCGCTCAGGCTCTAGCCTAGGCGAGTACAACGATGGGGATTACAGTCATGCCCCGTACGCAGAGGACCAGCTACATACCGGATTCTCTCAGCAAGAGCTCGCGTCGGCGCCCAATGCCGGTGATACCATGCCAGCGCCTCTCCGCCGCGAAATCAACCATACTCCAGGCAATGCACCCAAGTATCAGGTTCACCGAAACTCACTGAACCTTCAACACCCCCAGCCCAGACAGGGCCAGACAGAGCGCTTCCGCAATGCTCTGGAGTTCTCTGCTCAAGAATACAACGTCCCCATGACACCTAGGTCGGCAGATTGGGGTGGTTCGGTTTCGAGCTTGAACCAGATGGCTCAAAACACCAACCGATACAGCCAGGCATCATCGACAGGTGCTCCTCAGGACCCTGCCTACTGGACCACATCTCCAACTGGCCCCCCTCGACCTCCCAAGGAGCCCATCGAGCCCACTGGTAGCCCCTCAGCCCTGTCCCCCCCCAGAGGTAGCCGCATCTCCAAGCTGGCCAAGGGTAGCCCCGCCCCTCACCCCAGTGATGAAAGCGGATATGCTACTATGAGTGGTACTCATGTCAGCCACCTCACAAGCAGTCCCAAGCCTGAGAACCGGAACCTCAATGCTGCTTTGGGTGTTCCTACTCGTCGACCTAGTGGGCCACGAGCCATGACTCCCAAGAGCCCTGAGGATGAAGCTCGTCGACGCAAGCGAGGTAAGTTACATCCGATCCGTATCTGATATCCATGTCTCTAACCTTTAAAGCAGATACCTTCGGCAGTGTTGCATCTCATAACACGGATGACACGGAGACCTTTTAGAAAGGGGATAACCGTGGCAGCCGTACACTACCGGAATGCTGATCGATATCTTATCAAAGAATGATACAGTGCTTTGCTTTTCTTGACACCAGACTTCACTCTCCTTCTGGAGGTTCGGGCTGGTGGTCAGTTGTATGAACTTTTTATGGACATGAAACGGCCTTCAAGTGGATGACTTTGCTATTAGCGAAGAAAGAAAAAAAAAGGCAGCTTTAGACTGAAGGGGTGGCAAGCTGAAACAGCGGCAAGATGAAGGGCTTAATAAACAAACAACCGAACAACCAAGGAAACGAAAAAAATTGGGGATGGAAAGGTGTTGACAAATACCAAAAAAACAAAGGGGAGAAAAGGATGCAGGAAAGGGACATATTTGCATACAGGGGCTTTTGCTTGAATTCTTGACGACGACATGACATGGCTTTCTTACTGCAGAGCGATACGTCAATGGTTTGATTTGCGAGCAATGATTTACACTCGGATTGGATATTATGAGCGGAAAGAGGATGGATGCTATGACCGGATAGCAAAAACACAAGCTCAAGCACAAGTGGATGACCATGATGTGCGTGAACATATTTCAAGTTAGATAGTTGGGGTTCTTAGTTGTTTAGCTTTGCGAGTGTGAGATAGATACCATACCACCGATATTGGTTGTAATTGGGAACGCAAGGAATTCAATTGCGATGAATCCAGAGGGATACCACCACGGTGTATTAGTTGCCTTCGCAAGTGAAATAATGGCTTCTTCAGTCAACATTGGAGAATGATAGCTATAGACTAGGCCTTCACTACAAGTCAGATAGTGCTTGGGGTCGGGGTTTTAGCGTATGGATACGGCCCCAGAGTATCCGGGGGAAGGCCTCAAAGTCCGGAGACTGCCAACTAAGTTGGGTAGGTCCCTTGAACTAAACCCTCCACTTCTAAGGTAGCGATGTTCATCGCTCCGACTTCGGTAAAGAAGTATCAGTGCGGAAGCTCCCCCAGGCGTACCAGGCCCAGCGAATAACGATCTTCAAAAAGTTGTATGCGTCAGCATTCAACTTCTGAATCGGGGACTTTTTGAGATCTCTTCAATCTGAAAGTTTTCATATCTACGAGACTTTATTATCTCATCTTTCTCTAATATTTCCTTTGGTCTGAACAGAAGCTTCGTGATTACATCACTGAGCTTGAGCATCAGCTCTCCCAAAAGTTGCTGCTCACTCCTTTGAGAAGATTCATGACGAATAGACTCGCGGGAGTCAAATTACACACACAATGGCTGCAGACGTGCAAGGGAAGAACATGTTGAGTGAGACAGAACCCATCAAGACACAGGAAAAGAAGACAAGTAACGTCAGTGGTGGAAGCGGTGCACATGATTACAAAGGCTTCGTAGCGGGTGTCTTCAGCGGCATCGCCAAGCTCTCAGGTATGTGCCCCTTATCATGACGGCTTGAGATGCAAATATTGACAGACTTTTTTATAGTTGGTCATCCGTTTGACACTATCAAAGTCCGTCTACAAACGACAGACCCAAGTCGCTTCAGTGGCCCTTTGCAATGCGTCACACAGACTATTCGCAATGAGGGCTTTCGCGGGCTCTACAAAGGCGCAACACCGCCTTTGGTCGGATGGATGTTCATGGACTCGGTCATGTTGGGCTCGCTCACCGTATATCGTCGTCTTCTCTCAGAACATGTCTTCAACGTTGAACCACTAGGAACCGACGTTACGGCATCTTCACCAGGCACAGCTCCAAAGGGTCATACAGCGCTACCTAGCTTCGGCCATGGCATCGCGGGAATATTGGCTGGCTCAACGGTGAGCTTCATCGCTGCACCAGTCGAGCACGTCAAAGCACGATTGCAGATCCAGTACGCGGCGCAAAAAGCCGACAGATTATACGCCGGGCCGATCGACTGTCTGCGTAAGATCTACCGATACCATGGCATCAAGGGCGTATATCATGGCCTCTCAGCGACGCTTCTCTTCAGGGGATTCTTCTTCTGCTGGTGGGGCAGCTACGATATCTTATCTCGACAACTACGCGAGAAGACAAACCTCAGCGCACCGGCAGTGAATTTCTGGGCGGGCGGCCTGAGTGCGCAGGTGTTTTGGTTGACTAGTTATCCGAGTGATGTAGTCAAACAGCGTATCATGACAGATCCGCTGGGAGGCGGGCTAAACGATGGAGTGAGGAGATTTCCTCGTTGGAAGGACGCAGCAGTTGCTGTGTATAGGGAGGGAGGTTGGAAGGGATACTGGCGAGGGTTTGTCCCATGTTTTCTGAGGGCGTTTCCGGCGAATGCCATGGCGTTGGTTGCTTTTGAGGGTGTCATGAGATCGTTGCCATGAGGAGGCGCGAACATGAGAATGATACGATAGCATGAAACATACATACCCGACAGCATCATTCAAGTTAATTCACAAATTCGGCATTTACATCACTCAGGTATTGGGAAGAGAGAATATGAACACCACAAAGAGTGCCACATAAAATGGCTGGGTCTATTGGCCGAGTCCTTGAAACTTTTTTTGTTATCCCCTGTCCCAATTCACCAATCCATTCCTGCGCCGATGCAATGCAAATTGATTCGTTTACTCGTCGTCCTCGTCAGCCTCGTCGTTGACGACGTTGAAGAACTTGAGCTCGTAGACACCTCGGGAGGTAGAGACGACGCGGAGCCAGTCACGGAGCTGCTGCTTCTTGAGGAACTTCTTGGTCCTGCTCACAGTTAGCATCTTGTTGATGTGTATCCCCGTGCTTCATCAGGCGAGGCGAAGACGTGGAAGACACGTACAGGTACTTGAGGTAGCGACCAGAGAGCTCGTTGTGGGCGGTGATCTCGATCTTGCCCTCACCGGACTGCTTGACAACAACGTTGTCACCAAGGTTGTTGGTGCGGCCCTCGACCTTGATACGGTCCTGAAGGAACTTCTCGAAAGCGGAGACGTCGAAGATCTTGTCGCTGGCAGGCTGAGAAGCATCGATGATGTACTGGTAGGATCAGTTAGCGATTGTGTTCCTCGTGGATTTCGCCGGGTGAAATCGTCGTCGCAGTCGTCGTCATCGAGTCGATCTCGTTCTGGGTATCGCGTACCTTCTTGGTCTGCTTCTGGGCCTTGCCCGACTTCTTCTGTTGAAAAATGACCTTAGCCTACTGCATTCTTACACGGCTCCTCTCCTCGATGCGATACGGGAGAGGGCCTAACAGCATAGCGATGTCATGTACGTACTGCCTGAGGAGCCATTGCGAATGGAATGGATTTTTGTGTCTGAAAAGGGACTGTGGTGTTTTTGTCGCAAAGAAGTCTAATCCTGCGCTTGAAGGGGAGAAAGAACCAAGGTAAAACTTGAGGCCTCGGCTCCAAAAGGTAATTCTGTGTGCAGAAAAATTAGGGCTCTGCACGGATTATTTTTGGTGCGGGTGGGACTCACCAGAAAGGTCATGTGACCGTCATCGATTATGCCATGAAGTTTCACGATATCAACTACCAAAGGTAGAGTTGGTGGCTTCATTGATTAGGTAGAATTGAGGCAATGAACAAAACTTTGCACTCGGTTTGATTTGAATCAAACTGTCAGGCTCAAAGTTTGTATCTTAACTTGCCGACCGCATAATACCAAAGTCCTCATCATCATGTGCAGTCTATGACCCAACTATCTACACTTATAGTTCTACCATGACGTTTATACTTCTTAACCGGAGAACTTGAGAGATAGAAGAAGCACCCACAGAAATGTTTCATACGTCTTCTCTGCGTGATAGGTTTCAATCAATCAAAAGCTGAGACAGGGTCGATATTGTGTACTAGACTACCTACTAGGTTCCTAGGTCATGACTCGGTAGGTATACAAGCCTGTGATTGGCTGTGTAACCCTATAGTTAGACTATCCGAGGACTATCCAACTCTTGTCAACCACCATCACTGACTCCCTGTTCAGTCGGTCTTTTGGTTCTTGTCGTGAAGAATAGGATCGAGCAGCTTCGTGAACTTTTCAATAAGCATAGAGCGATAGCTCATGTAGATATGGCTCAATCGCTTGCGCTGCTCCTTTTCGTTCCCTTCCTGATGCTGCGCTGCCATCTCAGTATCCTCCGGGAACTGATCGTTCTTGAGGATCGGGTCGAGGTCCTTGCGAATAGGCTCGACTAGCATGCCACGCCATTGCATGTAGAGCTGTTGAAGACGCTGCAGCTGCCCGGCCTCGTCACCATCAGCAAGCAAGGGAGGGTCGCCTTCTTCATCATACAGATCCTTCTCCTCTTCCTTTTCCACCTTGTTCTCTTTGCCCTCCTTCTTCTCCGCGTCCTCGTCTTCGTCCTTGGCTTGTTGCTTTCCTTCAACTTCCTTAACTTCCTCTTCTGATCCAAAGTCCTCCTTGCAGCCCTTCTTGTCGTCGCACTTGTAGACCTTGTGCTGCTGAGTGATCACGTAAACGGGCTTTTCTCCTTTCTCAATAGGAGAGTGGTGACCTTTGCTCTTATCTCCGAGTTTCTCCTCGATCTGTTGTCCAATCTTTCTATAGAGAACGTCTTCGTACTTCTCATGGTCGGATTTCTCAGCGGCCTCTTCTTTGGTAACATCGGTCTTCTTCTCTTCCTTATCGTGATTCTTTTCGTCTTTGTGTTTGGCGGTTTTGTCCTCCTTCTCCTGCTTCTGCTTGTTATGCTCTCCGGCATCTTTGGGTTCTGAGCGCTTCCTGGGGTTGTGGCTTGAAGCATGCTTCCCAAAATCCTCTTTGCGAAGAATTTCCTCATGGCTCAGGCCCTGTACCTCTCTCGCCGCCTTTTCCCACCGGGCCTTCTCAAGCTCCTTCTCGGCGTCACGCAACCATTTTTCTTGTATGCGTGCGTAACGATGAGCTCGATCGCTCACCGACTTGACACGTTGTAAAACAAGCTTCTTCTCCTCAAGGTCCTTCTGTGCCTGGTAGCGTCCTGTTTGTTTTTGCCCTCCCCTCAACTTGTTCGTTGCCCTTCGGACATCTGTGATGTTTTGCTGCAACACTTTTTCCCAACTATGTGCCGCTTTCCACAACCTCTCACTTTGTCTCTTGAGGTACCGCACTTCCCTTTCTTTGTCTATTAGAAGCAAATCTTTATGTTTCCCGTCTTTGTGGCGACGGAGTAGCTTGGACTTTTTAGTAGTGCTAAGCTCACGATCGAGAGAGTCCAAATCATGGTCAGACCTGTGTGCTCCACCATCAGAAGTATCGGCCTGGTGGTGATGAGAGCCTTTAGTGGTGAAGGCAGGGTCGGCTGCAGCGGTTGAAGCTGGCCTGGTTGTCGTAATGGTTGTGGTTGTTGTCGTTGCGCGTGGGTTTACAGCCGAAGAAGCCGCTGAAACAGAGGCGCTGCCACTCTCGACTTCACCAGGAGAGGGTGTAGCAGAAGTGGTGAGAGTAGAAGTCGCAGTGACTACAGCTGGTGGTGTTGATATTGATCCTGAGGTGACCACTCCGGCTGAGGCTGTCGAGGTAGCAGGAGCCTCGTTGTCACAGGAGCATGCACCAGGCACAACAAAGGTACCGGTGGTAGAGGCTACTGCTCCAGGAGGGACGGTTCCTTTACCAGGATAGATGGTATGCAATTCAGCGAGTACGCTGTCCAGTCTGGTAGAAGCAGATGCCCATGACCTTCGGAAGCTGATGTGGCTCTTCAGGCGGGGAACTGCTGCTGATGGCCCAGCGAAGCCCACAAGAAGAATGAGATCAAGACGCATCTCAAAGGCAAAGATTGATCTGACAAGTAAAGTTGCTGACTTGGTGGGCGTATCAGGTGGAAGGGCCAGACCCAGCGACAAGACCAGGCGCATCTTATATAGACCGAAAGGGAATGCTCTTTTCGACAAACTCTGACAGAGAGTTTTTGGATCAAAGCCTCTTTTGCAGAGCGTCCGAAGCACTCCGCCAATGATACTATTCCTCAGTGTTAATATCGGCATCGCGATCCCCTCACTCAACTGGTGAGGGGTATAGTCGAACCACTTAAACATCTGCCAAACAAACCCAATCCCAACAATTCCCCGAGTGCGTCGCCAATACAGCCACAGAATGCCTATACCAAGTCCACCCGGCCATATTGCAGCCAAGGTTCCCTCAATTCCGTAAAGTCATTTGAAAAGAGGCGACAGAAACAGCACTCCGATGACGAGCACATATCTCTTTCTTAAATAAAACGAATCATAAATTGTCGTCAATCTATATGGCAATTATGGCGTGAGAAAACGTGCCTGTCGTGCTTCCAGAGAAATCATATCATCATGTCAACAAACCCAAAAACCTCCCTTATCGTCACATACATACGTAAAGAATATCATCAAACTACAAAAACCGAAGTGAAGACAATCTGTCCCTTCTCTCGTTCTTGGCTGTTCAAGACTTGCTAAACAGCTTCTTGAACGCACCTTTGATACCCGATGGCTTCTTATCTTCCTCCCTCATTTGCGCTCTACGTCGTTCTTCGTGGCGTGCTTTGCGTCGAGAGTCCTCCGTGTCCATCCTGACGTGTTTGACAGGTCGAGGCTCCTGTTCTCTGTCTCTGTCCCTATCTCTCGTCTTACTCTTCTCCCTGTTTCTCTCCCGTTCCCTGTCCCTGTCTCGAGTTGGTTCAGGGGCAGGCTCCTCACGAGGGCGGCGCGAGGATCGAGGACGTGGTTCATCGGTAGAAGGGCGAGTGCGTCTATGACGTGTTGAGGACCTTTTAGGTGAGTCCTCCAGTGGGGCCTCCCTCGTTCGTTCCCTGACAGGTTCGGCGATCACGGGCTCCTCACGTGGCGGTGTGGTACTGCCCAGGACACCCTCCGAGTTCTTGACGGCAAAGAACTTCTTTTCAGGCACAGGAGCAGGCGGGACGGATTCCTCTCGAGGACGTTCCCTGGGTTCTTCATATCGAGGTCTCTCGGAATGGCTATGCCGACGCGAGCGGCGATGTCGTCGATCCGGCTCGGGTTCAGGCTGCGGCTGAGGCTGAGGCTCTGGTTCTGGTTCTTGTTCACGAACAGGCTCTTTGCCCTTGCTCTCCTTTTCCTCTCGATATCCCGAGGGTTCACGCCTTCCGCTAGCTTCCTCTCGTGCTCGCCGTTCTGCCCTTTCTGCTCTGCGTTTGTCGTGGGCAGCCTGTTCCTCAGGGGTTCGACGTTTGCGGCCAGAGCTTCCAGAACTATTGTCGGCAGAAAAGCCACTGTCTCGTCGCGGTGTTCTGGGTGGCGTGCCTGGAGGGCCCGATTCGACCGTGTCGGATCGATGGCGTCGATAAGGATGAGTACCAGATGATCGTCGTCTGCGCTCTCGGCCCTCATCCTCCTGGGGGGGAGGGGCACGTGAAGTTGGTTCTTCAGCCCTCCTATATTCACGTGGCCGGGAGTCCTCGTCTCGGCGATACCCTCTAGTTCTTGGCTCTTCGGGACCGCGAGAGCTCCTCAGTTTAGCGTCAGCTTCACCGCGTGAGTCGCGAGCTTGCGTTTCATCTTCTTCGCGATGGCGACGATATCGAGACTCGCCCTCGCGGTGAGACAGTCGGCGGTGACGGCCCTCGTCTTCCTCCCGAGGCCGATGAGCTCGCCTCTCGTCGTCGCCGCGATACCTGCGCTCCCTGTCCTCCTCACCACGGCTTCCGCCGGAGCGGTTCGAGTGATGAGAATGTCGGCGCCTACGATGTCTATCTCTGTCTCTATCGCTTCGCGACGAGTCAGATTCTCTGCTCCTATCGTCTGTAAACAAGTCAGCATTAGACTTGTGAAGTTCTTCGATCTCATCATCAAAGCTCCTCAAGGAAGGAGAAACGGCTGGAAAATTGTAATCATTGGGCTCGGCATCCATCTGATGCTCCAGATTAGGAAGCCCCCCGTTTCTTTGGTAAATGAAAGGTGAAGGGCTACCGGGAGGACTGAGGGCCTCTGCAGTAGCATATATGACTACGGCGGCGGCCAGCGTGTCCTCAGCACGTCGAATTGATGTCTTTCGTGTACGCCGTAAGGTGCGGGCTCGCTGTAGATCAATCATATCTGCATCTGGAATCACGATGCCAGGGCTCGGCGATCTCTGGACTTCAGCCTCAACAGTCGAGCCAGCTGAGGGGGCAGCTCGATACGCAGCATCTCGGAGCCCCTCTTCAATTGTGACTGCTGGATGCCTGAGATCGTGCCTCACATGGCCCGTGGACGACTCGCCTTCGGCCTGGAAAGAACGAGGTCTGGGGGCCTTTTCACTCCGCACTGCCGTCGTTGAAGGATCGCCTTGCAACTCCAAGGATCGATGCGCTAGCGGTGGACGAACTGGCACCTTGGCCGGTTCGCTTTCAGCACGAGGAGGCTGAGGCCGCTGAATAGGCTTGGTGTCTACTGGTCGGCTCGCGGCAGGGATGAAGATGGGATCCTTAGTGTAAACTTCTGTCACAGGACGAACCCTAAGTGATCTTCGTGGCCGCTGCTGTTGTGTCAGGAATGTCCGAGGCGGCTCGGCGCGGGACAGACGCGTCGATCGCGAGGCAGAGCTAGACCTCTTTGGACTCTCCGGTATACTAGCAACTGCTTTGCCTTTGTCGCGCGAAGGAATATCAACAACCTTGACAGCCATGTGTTCAGGTCGGACGAGTTCTAGAGGTTTCACCTCGGCGGCTTGCACGGGCTTTGGCTCCGAACCTTGAGTGTCATCCGTGTCAGGAGTCTTGACTTCGTGCAACATGTGATCAGACAAGTCTCGATGGGGGCCCTCCACTGATGGCAAACGTTGGTCTCGAAGGCCAACGAATGTGGTATAGTTATCGATTTGCTCTTCATCTGGACTTCTCTCGTTCAAGGCCCTAAATTCATCTTCGACTCCCCTCATTGTCCCTGATGAAGTTGCATAAGTAAGAGCCGGTGGCCCCTGAGACTCGGCACGGTGCACTGGTCGATCGCCCTCAGGTTCATTATCAGGCCACTCAGGGATTTCAGGAGTGGTTCTTCGAGTCCCGATATTTTCGGTCTCATGAGGTGGCATTACTTCAATATCAGTACCATCCACTCTAGCATTTTTGGCTTGACTTGTTTCTGCCTCAAGCGCTGGCTGTTCCACTACTTCAGGCGGATGTGGTGCAGAAATTCTGTCGATGCCAATGGGGGAGATTTCCCTCGAGGCAGGGAGGTCATCGTTACTCTCATCATCGGTGGCAGCTGTCGCAGTCGCCTTGCGATCCACTTCGTCATCTGTGGAACTGGCGATAGATCTGCTTTCGATTTGGAGTCCATCGTCAGAAGCGGCTGGCAGCTCGACACCCAACACCTTTTCCAAGGATTCGTGCTTATCCTGAAGTCCACGACCTTGAACTGTACGAGGAGTTTCCAACATCTTCTCGGAGTCAAGATAGCCGTGGTTTGGCTGGACGACAGATACAGCAGCAACAGATATTCCGCGGTGTTCTGGTTCATCACCAGTAGCAAAATGTGAATCGTCTTTGCCAGGAACTGTCTGTGGTAAGGACGATGGTTCAGTTTTAGCTTCGTTCTCTGTCCCTTCAACCTCGGATTCGCTATCGGCATCAGAGTGTTCAAGCGGTTTACGCGGGACTGCGGTGCTATCGAGCTGCTCCTCATCCACAGACCCAGGTGAGGAGGACCTAGAAAGATTGACGGATGATTTGGCTTCAGACGATGCCCCAGTCTGGGCAGTAATAGCTAGCTCTGGAATGGCAGTCTCAGGTTCCGGGTGCGGAAGACCATGGTGTGGAGAGTTGGGCTGGGGCTGATCAGAAGAAACGACTCCTTTTTGAATATCTGTAGCCATCGACAGTGATGAAGCAGAATCAGAAAGGTCCAGCTCCTCAGATTGATCTATTGCGCGATCTGGATTGTCTTTGGGTTGCTCATCAACGACTGCAAGGTTTGGATCTGTAGGTTCAAGCGGCTCGGACGGTTCCTCATCATTAGAAGGCGAGCCACGTCGAGCACCAGTGGTTTGCAACACAGAGCTTGGTTCCAGTTTTGGCGAGTTGGCCTTATGGACGATATGAGTTTGGTCTACATCAGACTCGTCACCATCCTCATTCTCGTCCTCGTCCTCGTCCTCGTCCTCGTCATCATCACCAAGAGCAAGCGCATGGGCTCCCACACGTAGGTCCTCTCTGGGACCATCTTGGGCTCTCGAACTCAGCGAATCGTTTTCATCAGAATCAGAAACATCCTCCTTGATGAGAGTTGATGAAACTAAGACTGGTGGAATTGGCTGTCTTTTGATAACAGGTTCGTTCGATTCCTGAACAGAGTCACCCGGTAAACTGATACCAGTTGCTGGCTGAGGTTCAAATTTAGGGCTGGTTTCAGAATTATCATCCTCTGAGTCATCCTCGGAACCGGAGTCATCAAGATCACTGATCTCTTCGGCAGCATCTTCCAATTTGATTGGTTCCAAGTGCAAAGCAGTAGCCGGCTCGTCTACCCCAGGAGAAACCGGCTCTGCCTGAACTTGTCGATTCTGGTGACCCTCAAGCGAGATTGCCTGGTCGATTGAGTTGGATCTGGAAGCAACACTCTGTTGGTCGAGGCTACTGATGTCATCATCTGAATCTTCGTCTGAAGCTATGGCTTTCTGAGAAATATCAACAGGTTCAGCGTCCGTGGAAGCAGATGGCCGATCTCCAGGTCCAGACTTGATTCCAAGAGCTTCATCTGGTGAACTGTCGCGTGAGATAGAATCAGAATCTTCAAGCTCTCCAAGGGTTGTCTCTTCCGTCAGACCACGTTTGCTGGGCTGGGTGGCGTCGTCCGGGATTTTAGCATTTTCTTGAGCTTCGGTGGCCTTGGCTACCTCTGATGGCTCTGATTCTCGGACGTGACTTGGAGTTGCAAGTTCTTGCATGTGTTCCTCCAATGTCGAAACATCATTGTCCACCGATTCAGCCTCTGAAATGTCTGATTCTTCTTTCTCTTGCCCTTCTGGCTCTGCACGCCTCATAGCTGGGTCTTGGGTCAACTCTCGCGACGTTTGCAACACGTTGTCAAAGTCGGTTTCCAGAATTTTGGGCTCATGAGAAGATGGTTCTGGCGTAGGGATTGGTTGTAGCAGCCCTGGAGATGGTTTATCGGCTTCTGCTTTGACGCGGCTGGCAGGGTCCTGAATCTCGAGAGGCTGCCGATGGAGCTCACTGGCGGCGGTGCGTGAGGGCACAGAGGTTTCTGAATCCTCATCAGAGATTACCGAAGCTGCCGGGGATGAAGATGTGCTGCGTGCAACTATGAATGGCAGGTCTGGCTCCATTATCCTAGATTTCTCATTTTCATCATGAGCGTCCTGGGCTGGCTTTGACTGTGATTCTTCGGCATGCGTCTCGCTCTCAGTCCCAGGCTGCTGAGGCTGGGGCTCAGCAATCGAAATTGGGTCTTGGAGGCTAATATTTACAGGTCTTTCAGTAGCAAATCCCCGGACGGCGCTCCGTGATTGGTCTGCAAGGCCCTGTTCGTGTGGAGCATCTGGTGTGGAGATTTTAGTGCTGTCATGGGCTTCGGTGGCTGGGGGACTCGCGGCCAGACCGGTATCATCGGTAGCGTCCAGGTCAATAGGCGTAGACAGAGGTGTCAGACCTGGTTGAGGCACATGTGCTGAGATCAAATTCTCTTGGACATCATCTAGAATCTCGGCCTTCGATTCTAGGGGTGCGGAATTATCTTCCGCTGCTGCATTGCTCCTTTTTTCGCCCGAGCTAGGCTCTTGTGACCCTGGCATCGTGGTTTCTGCAAGAGTTTGGTTATTCTGGTCGCCCGATGCTACAACCACTGGTAGCTGGCTCGGGTGGTGAGTGATTGTTTCGAGTGCTGTATTTTCCTCGCTGTGTGGAATCCCTTGATGGTGTTGGGTATCGTCTGAATCAAACTCCAAAACGCCGTTGCCCACCTCTTCATTCAACTCTGTGAAAACTCCCAAGTGTTGTGCAAAATCAATAGGGGTATCGTGTAATGAACCATGTTCCTCACCTTTTTTAGCCTGTCTCTTGTTACTTGGAATTGGCCCAAGGGTGTCTTTGCTTTCTTCATCTTCCTTAGCCTTGGCCTCTTCCTCGGCTGTGTCCTTGACTGGTTGGTCATCCTTCTTTTCTCCTTCGGCAGGAGGCTCATCAATAGGCTCATCTGGCGATTTGGCCGTGACGCCTTCGGGTTCTGGGGCCACTTCTTCAGCAGGCCTAGCTTCCTCCTCTGGTGCAAGAGGCTCTTGTGTTTCCGGTTTCGTCTCGTCCTGGGAGACCTTGGAGTCGTCAGCTGGCTTGACATCACTAGAAACTGCATCCCCGGTTGCTGCAGGTATTTGTTCTTGGGCTGATATCTCCTCCGGTGCAGCTGTATCCTCTGGCGTGGGAAGCTCTTCTACAGTTCCACCGGCGGTAATCTGATTGGTTTCTTCCTGCGCATCTGCGGGTGTCGCCTGTTTGGGATCATCTTCAGCCACGGCTGCGGCTGCGGGATCTTCCTCTGCTGTTTTGCCATCTTGGTCAGGCTTTTCTTCAGAGGCTGAGGGGTCCTCAAGTTGCTTGTCCTCGACAAGTGTAGCCTCTTCCTCTGGTTTGCTGTCAGCGGTTTCAGAGCCTTTCTCTGGCTCGTCTTGAGCTGCCAGTGCCCCCTCCGCCGGTTGATCTTCAGGTGCTGCTTTCTCCTCGGACGGCTTGATCTCTGCCTCCGCCCCCGCTTCCGCCTCTGCCTTACTCTCCTGGGAAGAAGATTCTGTAACGGGCTCGGCTTCTTGAGATTCACCAACGGCAGTAGGCTTCTCCGCTGGTGTCTCTTTAGTGGGCTCTTCTTCCTTGGGTTCGTCGCCAGTAGATACTTCTGGGGCCAACTTGGTATCAGAGGGGCCAGCTTTTTCTTCTGACTTGTCGTCTGAAGTTTCATTGTCGATCGCTTCGGCAGCTTCCACTGGTTTGTCGTCAGTAGTAAGGGTATCTACAGCTGACACCTCTCCAGCAGGGTTGGTTTCCTCCTTGGTTCCGTCTTCAGCCTCCGGGGCGCTAGTTCCTGGTTCCTCTTCAGAGGTTTGAGTAACTGCATCCGTCGCCGGTTCCGCAGGTTCATCATCAGGTGCCTCATTTGGTAGATCGGTTGCAGTATCTGAGGACTTGTCCTTGTCCTTGTGATCAACAACAGCTTCAGATGCCTCCTCTGGATGTTCTCCCTTAGTTATTGCGTCGTTCTCCACTCCGACCGGCTCAAGCGCCTGAGGCCCTGTTTCTGTTTCCGCTTCCTTCTCGTCGGAAGCTTCAGAGGCCCCCTCTGTTTCGTGGCCGTTTGTAAGTGTTCCTGCAGCCTGTGTTTCTTCAGGGGTCCTATCTTCTACTTCTTCTGGTCGGTTTGGCACAGTCTCATCTGTTGTTCCTGCCTCACCAGCTGCAGGTGTGACCTCCTTAGGATCGTTGTCGGAGACACTGGCACCATCAGCTGCCTGTTGTGCAGGCTGTGGCGCATCCTGTTCTTTGTCGTTCAAGGCAGATTCATCTTGGTCTGGGTTGCTGACGGAAAGTGCTGATTCATTCTCCACCTTCTCATTTGAACTTGGTGTCTCTTCAACCGGGTCGATCCTCTCTTCAGTAACGGGTTTTTCAGATGCTGATGGCTCTTCCTTAGAGGTCGAGGTGCTTTTGACTGATGTCGTGTCGTCTTCTGTTGGGATTGCTGGTTCTCGAGTCTGATGGTCATTTTCGTCGGGTGTGCTTTCGCTGGTGCCCTCTGCTTCTTTAGTAGCTTCAGTGCCACCTGTTGATATATCTTTTGTGACCTCTTCGACATCTTCCTTTGGAGTAACCTCTACCTCGGGGCTCCGGGTTTTGCCGTCCTCAATATTGACTTCAGCCTTCGCCTCATCAAAATTGGATACGCTAGGAGTGCTAGAATCCTTATGATTCTCCTCGGGGTCTCCCTGGGCGTCGATGGTTTCGTTTGGCGTCTCTAACTCGGGATCTTTATCTGCGGCAGGCTCAGGAGTATCAGCAGCAGCAGGCTCAAGAGCAGCTTCGTTAGACGTATCTCCCTCGTGGGGGTTTAGCTCTTCTGACTTTTCTCCTGGAGTTTCTGCGTTGACCTCAGGCACTTCAATCGTTTCATCCGCTGTCTTTGGCGCCTTCTCGGCGACTACATCGGACGATTCCTTTTCAGTATCATCTGTTGATTTCTCTGCTGGCAGTGGTTCAGTCGCATCACCAGTGGGAGTGTCCGGTTCACCGACTTCCTGTGTAGAGATGTCTGGAACAGGAGATTCATCCTTTGGCTCCGTGGCTAGGGGTCCAATAACTTCTCCTTCAGTCACTACTGGCTTATCCATCTCGACCGCTGCTGGTTCTTGCACAATAGTTTCAGCCATCAAGTCACTTTTCGTGTCCATACCATCCTCAGGTGGCTGTGTTGTCACTTCGGGAGGATTGTCACTGTTGTCTGCTTCCTTAGACGCAGCTTCAGGCTCGCTCTTTTCCGCCAAGCTGTCGCCCTTCGCCTCCGTAGCTGCATCTTCAGGCTCAGCGCCCTTTACTGTAGCATTCGTATCAGGACTGACGGTTGATTCGGGTTCTGCAGCCTCTTTTGGATTTTCTGTAGTAGCATCAGGTTGTTCGTTCTCTTTTTCCTGTGGCTTCGATGACTCTTCCTGGGTCTCCCCAATCTCGCTAGTCTTGGACTCAGCTGGGTCCAATTGCCTATCCGGGACGTCATCACTCGAGCTACCACTTTCCAGTGTCACTCCAGCTTGTTCCGTCTTGAGATCAGCAGCAGCTGGCTCACCGCTCTCAAGTTTGTCAGAGTTATCGTCTTGGGAAGCTTCGGCTGGGGTGGTTTCGGCAATAGGCACACTTTCGAGCTTCGATTCATCAACAATTGAATTGTGTTCGGTCGATTCACCATTCTTGGTCTCTGTCTCTGAAGCGTCGAGTTCTTTATTGCTGGGGTCGTCTGTAGGCGCGTCCTTAGTCGGCTCAGCATCAGGTTCGGCCTTTTGCGTTTCCTGCTTTGTAGGGGCATCTTCAGCTTCAGGCGAGATCATGTAGCCGTGTTCTACATCACTGCCAGCTTTCGCGGTCGTATCAATAGCCTCCTCACTCTTTTCTGTAGGTTCCATTGTGGTTTCCGGGATAGCGCCACTTGTGGTTGTAACGACAGTTGCCTCAGTCTCATTGGCCGCTTCCTCTCCAGAATCCGCCGGTTTCGCAATATCGGATTCACAGCTGCCTTCTGCCTCGATCGTGTCATGGTTTGCCTCTGGATCATCGGCAGGGCTAAGCTCAACGGGTAGCGATTCTTGTGGAGAGGCTTTGGGTTCAGTCTCATTCTCGGGAGGAATTTCGTGAGGCTCGATGGGAGATTCAACTTTAGCCTTGCTGACAGCTTCGGGCTCAGAAACAAAGTCAACCTCAGGCTCTATAGCCGATTCAGGCTTTACATCCTCCTCAGTCGCAGGCTCAGTCGAAGACCCGACTTCTGGTTCAAAAGAATCAGCTTTGGCGGCAGCAGACTCAACAGCAGGCTCGGGCTCGGGCTCGGGCTGGGGTGTTGCGACGCCACTTTTCCCGCCTTTCTTCTTCTTTTTCTTCTTATTCTTCTTTGCGGTCGTGGCAGTTGTGTCTTCAACAGCTGCTGCCTCTTCTGTCGGCTTTGTTGCCTCAGAGGCCTCTTCTTTGGATATTTCCTCCTTGGGCGATTCATCCTGAGTGATTTCTGCTTGTAGCCCAAGTACTTCAGCTGACTTGGCATCAATCACCTGGTCCTCTTCACTGGACTTATCTTCTGGCACTGAAGTTTCCTTGCCATCCGGTGAGGCAAGTTCCGTCTCAGGAGGCGAAGGAGCTTTGCCGTCGCCTAGCTCCTCGGCCTCTTCAGGGGGTGACTCATTGCCGCCAGAAGATACTTCGGTATCAACAGGAACAGCTGGAACTTCCGTTTCGACAGGCCTATCATCGACACCACTAGCTGTTGTTATATCTGTGGCTTCCTTTTCGCCAGGTGCTGTTTCCTCTGACTTGACAGGCTCCTTGTTATCTCCAGCGTCCTCTGGCGATAGTGTTCCCTCGGGAATAGACTCGTCCTTCTCGCCCGCAACAGCCTTGCTCGCCATTTCGGCTACTGAATCTTCAGCTGGTGTTTCTTTCGCCGCAGCATTGACTCCTGCTTCCACAGGACTTGTGTCTCCTGGTACCAAATCGTCTTCTGATTCGGCGGTCGGCTTGGTTGCAGCAACAGCAGAAGTGTCGGATTCCAAAGCTGCTACAGGAGTGGCAACTTCATTCCCCTCTGTGGCTTTATCGTCACTAGAATCGCTCATTGCTCTGGAAATCTCAGCTGCTTCTGCAGTCTTACTACCCTCATCAACTTTGGCAGCTTCAGGAGCAGCCTCTTCCGTGGACAGTGTAGGAGTAGGGTCTGGAACTGGTCCCTCCTCTTCAGCTGAAACTTCGCCAGCGTGATTTAGCTCAGAATCTGAGGGCGGATGCGGAGGTGAAGATGATGTCTCGTTTGCAGGCTGGGGCTCAACCTCGGATTGTAAGGCTTTGTCCTCTACTGGAATTTCGCCTGCAGACTTTGCTTCAGGCTTTGGGTCTCCTTCAGTTGTCGGTTCTTTAGCAGGTCCCAGATCTTCGGAAGAGGAAAGCGTGTCTTCTGCAGGGCTGTGTTCTGCTTCGGATTCCGCGACTGTTCCTCCTGCTGGGCTCTCGTCAGTGTGCTTTGAGTTCTCCTCAGGATTCGCTTCTTCTGCTTGGATCTCTTCCGTGAGCTTTGGTTCTTCAGTTGAACCTTCAACTACAGGGTTTGCTCCTTCTATTGAGGAAGCCTCTTCTACAGACTTGACTTCTTCTGTTGAGGTTTCCTCTGTCGGTTGTGGATCTTCCACCGGAGCTTCATCTGTAGGCTTCGCTTCCTCCGTTGGGGAAGCCTCTTCTGCAGACTTCGCTTCTGCTGTCAAGGTTTCTTCTATTGGCGTTGACTCACTGACTGGAGTCTCTTCTGTAGGGTTTGGATCCTCCACTGGAGCTTCATCTTCAGGCTTCACTTCTTCTGCTGGTGTAACCTCTCCTGCAGTCTTCGCATCCTCAGAAGGCTGAGGCTCCTCTCCGGACTTCGCTCCTTGAACCAGTGCCGCCCCTTCTGCGGAGGGAGGCGTCTCGTCCGCAAGTTTGGAATCAACACCAAGTTCAGGGTCGTTGCTCTTCTCGGCCGGATCAGCTGTCACGCTTCTCTCCCCTTCTTCGTCCTCTATGGCTTTTGATGGGTCGGGCGTAACGTCTTTGGAATTATTCGCATCTTTCGATGAAGAATGTGAGTGTTTGGACTTGTGATGATGAGATTTCTCGGCTTTCGCAGCTGCCTTCTTCTTCTCCTCTTTCTCCTTCTTTTCCTTCTCTTTCTTTTCCTTCTCCTTCTTCTTCTTCTTCTGACTTTTATTCAGAGGCTTTGTTTCGGCAGCAGCTGTAAGCTTGTCATCACCATCGCCATCCTTGTCTGGCGCCCCAGATGTTTCTGGCTCAAATGAGGTTTGGTCCTTAGCTGGAGGCTCTTCACCTGTAGAAGCCTCCTCTGCTTCAGGTACCCCATCTTTGGAAGGCGTTTCCTTAGTCGCCGGAAAATCTTCTTTGGGGGGATCCGTTGCAGACGAGTCTTCTGTAGCCTTCTCTGTTGGTGTGGGCTCTTCGAGAGTTTCCTCTGGAGCGGGTGCATCTTCTTTGACCAATACTTCGTCTGCCGTTGGAGTATCATCCTTTGGTGTCTCGATCGCAGGGTCTTCTAACTCGGGGGTTTCGACTGCGGACTTCTCGCCCGAAGTGCCTTCTTCGCTTGCCGGTTCATCCTTTGGCGTATCATCTGCGGGGTCTTCTGGCTGGGGCGCCTCTCCCTCTTCCTTAGGTGCGCCTTCTTGGGCTGGGGCTTCCTCTTTGACAGGTGTCTCATCAGCCTTAGCAGCCGATGTCTCAGTCGAAGGGGGGTCCTCCCTTTGGGATGCCTCCTCAGGGGATGTTTGTTCCTTGGGTGTCTCCTTGCCGTCAGTGTCCTTAGGAGCCTCCTCCTTCTCCTCGTCGTTCTTCGACGCCAGCTCCTCTGATGTTGTCTCTGTCTCGACAACCTCTTCTCCCACAGCTGGTGAGTCTTCGTTATTGGTCGTGTCCTGTGTTCCGGTCAATTCAGGTCCTTCAGTCTCCTCCTTTGCTTCCTCCTCTACCTTCCCCGCCTCCTTGCTCTCCTCGGCAGTTGGAGGTGGGGGAACTGGCACAGGAGGAGGAACTGGAAGAGACTTTGACTCCTTTTCCTTCTTCCTGCTCTTCTTGTTCTTCTTGCTGTGCGTTGTGGCTGCTGGGGATTCATCATCTGCTGGAGCTGCTGGAGGGTCTGGTGCTGGAGGCAGCACAAAGGCAGCTTCTGCAGCTGCAGCCGCAGCCGCCTTCTCTTTTTGCTTTTTTAACTTCTTCTTGTCTTTCTTTGAAGGTGGCTGTGATGGTGTAGGTGCTGTGGGCACTCTCATTAGTGATTGTTGTGTGTATCCGCCTGTAAGTGACTCAGTACAGAAGGGTCAAGGAAAGAAAACGATTGGCAATAAACCCAACTCACCTTCATATTCATCCTTTCCGGGATCATCCTCCGCATCTGAAAAGTCGGGTCTGGAGTATTGGACATTTGAGAAATCGGAGAACTGTACATGCCCCCAATCAATTTGTGTCCTACTACCAGGGTAATAGTCGTAGCCGTAGCCGTAACTCATACTTTCTCTACCTTGTCCGCACCTGACATTACGAAAAGATCTCAATGATAAAAATCCGGGGAGCAACTCTATTATCTTGCTTCTTGCAGCACGCCAGTCAGGCGATCGGGTAGCTGCAGTAGGGCCACCAAGTATTAGATTTCTCGAGGCCCTGAAGATGTTAAGCCTCCTACCTACCTAGGAAGTATGGGTCGGGGTATCATGCGGCGCACTGCAGGGCGCGACAGCTCAGCAAAAAAAAAAATGGCAAATACGTCTATTGGACGGCACCAGAAAACAGAAGGGTTGTGAGCTCAGTAACTTTGATTTGCGAAATGCAAGCCTCGGATCATAACGGGCGAACGGGTGGGAGGCCCGGAGAGGTCATTCACGAGAGGTATTCTTGAGGCGAACGATGGATGGGTCCATTTCCCTCAAGACAGGACTGCTGGAGAAAAAAGCATGCAGACCTGACAAAACCCAGTCTGATTGCCCAGTCCCCTGCTTGCGATGGGCCACAGGCGCCCAAACCCCAAGGATTACAGCGAGTGCTGCATCGTGCCCATGCGCAATTGGCCCATGCAGAGCCAACGCTGGCTGGCGCCACGTCGCTGGGGCGGTTGGGTTCCATGGACGTAAGTATGTATCGGTACAGTAAGGCGAGCCTAACGGGGCGGGCCATCAGAGGACTCGACGAGGTTGAACAATGATGCATTGATTTGACTTATCTGGCCAAGTGTCGATGAGGCCTATCGCGGCCCAATAATAAGGTACTGTACCCAGGCTCGGATAGCAGAATCAGTACGGACCTGCATGGACGGGCCGCTGCCAGCATGACAATCAAGCAACCTTGAGCCAAGCGGCACGAGTGACAGACAATCATGATGTGATGCGATGCGTACCAAGCGGGCAAGATTGCAATTGGGCAATAACTAGCAGACCAGCTTTGTGCAACACTGGCCAACTTGCCTGGTAGCATGGCGGATATCAGAGCCTGCAGAGGCCGTTGTCGTCCACCGCCAGCTGCAAAGACGTCTGGACCAGCTTCAATATCGAAGGTTGTCCGGACCCGCCATCCCCACGCCAAAGGCCGCTCCTAGCAGGCGGATCCCGGTACGGGCCTCACCAGGACGTCCCGGATGGAGGACGACATCTCAAAACCTTGGATGACTCGGCAGGTCGATCGATGGTGGATGGCTGCAACTGAGCGGTTTAGTTGCTTCAGATGTGCAACGTGGCTCGCTTCTGAAGCTTCTTCTGGCAGACCCATTATGCATCTCGATATCGGAAGCCCTCGGGCCTCAGATGTAGGCCATTCCCCCTTGGTGGGGGCAATTCATGTCAATCATTGTCAATACCCAGCATTTTCATAAACGACCTGGTTACAACGCATATCTCTCGATGAGATGGCGCCCAACTCATCTCACACCTGCTTCTGACTGGCTCTTCGGATTCGGGCTGCTCGAGCCTGATAGCATCATGTCATCCACCCCCTCCGCCATTATACCGTTGTGACCGTTGAGCAACGTTGCCGTCGACGTTGTGGGCATCGCGTGGGCTGAACTTGAGGTGTAGAGACAGTAGGTAAGTTAGCATTATCAATTTGTCCACGCCCATGTCCTGTGTCTCAAATAGAGAGGTCCACTTCATAACACGGAGCTCTTATTCTTGCGTCCCGTATTGATCAATCAACACATGCACCTCTGACTTCGTTTACAGCCTCCACAACTTCCACAAGTAGCCAGCTAGCCAGTCTTGATTTGTAACACGAACAAGATCTGTTCCTGGCAGTAGCGTCATGGGCGGTATGAAGTAGGGAGAGCGGTGAGTAAGGCTGTTGTAAATGGAGAGGCTGGATCATGAAAAATCTTGACCAAGGCTAGGCCGCCAAGGATTAATAATAAGTGACAGTTGGAGAGAAATATGGACGGCGAACATGTGAACGAGGCTGGGTCCCTTTCACGGCAGAACTTCACCATCTTACTTTTCGGTTGGTATCAACATATAATTCATGAGAAACAAGGCCTGTGCTAGCTCTACTCGATCTCCATGGTACCTATTACTGCTTCTTTCAAGCCTAACTGAGTATCCAGGTAGCGAGATGTGACACTGCCTGAACAGGCCAAGCTCGCCTTGTGAGACAACTTTTTTTTTTTTTTGGGTATCAACGACTGTGGAAGAAACGCCATGCGGACAATGATTTGATGACAGCCTTTTTTTTTTGTTATTGGTATCTCCATCCTGCAAAAGACAGACACAGGGTAGCTAGCTTTTCTCGCCTATTTGCATCCTCAATATCCCACAGTCCATCTTAACTCTGTCGCATTTCGAAAAGGTCACAAACCGCTGGCCGGTGACAGCGATAGGTCGCCTCATCGCACCTCCCGCTGAATCAAATCATTGTATTGTGGCGATTATAGCCTCAAAACCTCATGCGATCGTAGACTATCCCATTCTGGTTCATGCCGCTATAGGCCATACCGTTAAAGCGTGGTCCGTTGTTCCCGAAACCATTATGGAATCCAGGATGAACTCCGTACGCGGGCAAGTTCTAGGCACCCTCGGTAGCCTTAGGCTCAGTCGCACTAGGGGCATACGAAGCTTGAGCTCTGTTCTTCTTGATGACTTCCTTCACTCGTTCCTCCGCCTCATCCCAGTCCTCAGTATCGAGCTTGACCAAGTCAATACCATACTGCTCGGCAATCTTGCTCAAGGCATCGAAACTTTTCTTATCGTAAACGAAGCTGATGCTGACTCCGACACGGCCGAATCGACCGGTTCGGCCAATACGGTGCAGATAGGTCTCGGCATCCGGTTCAGTGTCACCTCTTCCCTTCATGGGGATGTCATAGTTGATAACCATGGACACACTGGAAACATCGATACCACGAGCCAAAACGTTGGTGGTAATGAGAACCTTGTTCTCGCCCTGGCGGAATTTGGACAAAAGATCATCTCGCTCGAATCCATCAAAGGCGGCATGGAGTGCAGAGACCTTGTGACCATCTGCTACCATTCGCCTCTGAATCTCGTTGGCGCTTTCTCGTGTCTGTGGGGAGTTAGAGCAGAGATCCGACGATAACTAGTACTACTTACCTTGACGAAGATGACTGACTGGCCGATGGTCATCAATCCATAAAGCTTGCAAAGAATATCGTACTTGGTGTTATCATCTGGGCAGTCGATGAACATTTGAGAGATGCCCTTGACCGTGAGCTCGCTACGCTGCAACTTAAGACTATGGGCGTTGGGCGCGAACTTGCTGGCATACTTCATGACATTCTCGGGGAAGGTGGCCGAAAAAAGAAGGACCTGAATGTCCTTGGGGAGCATGCTATCAAGTTTTAGCGTTTCGTCGGTATACTCCAACTCCGTGGGGACTTACTTCTTGACCCGAAGGCACTGGTCCCCGAGTCCTTGCTGATCCAGCATGTTGTCGGCCTCATCAAGGACAAGGACGCGGAGCTGAGAGACATCTAACTGTCTGCGTCGAATGATGTCCATCACTGTACCTGGAGTACCGACAATGACACTAGCTCTGACGGGTTCTCCACGAGGGAGTGCGCCGGGGATCGCAGCAGCAACCTTCTTATTCTCGATGAAGCGGCCGATGGCGTTGATAACTCCCTCAATTTGTCGCGCAAGCTCTCGGCTAGGTGCAAGAGCAAGAGCTTGGGGCTGGTCAGGTTTGCTGAAGTCAACTCGCGACAATATCGCGGTCACAAAGGCAGCGGTTTTGCCAGTACCAGACTGGGACTGCGCCAACATGTTTCGCGGCGGATCGCTGAGCATCAGCGGAAGTGATCTGCCTTGTACCTTGGAGGGCTTCAGAAAGTTAAGGCTGAGGAGACCCTTCAGAATATCCTCGCGGCTGAGATAGAAATGTCAGTGATGTTTCTCCCAGAATGAGATGATCACCGCCTACAGGCCAAGATCCTGCCAGGTGGTGGCAGAGTGGAAGGGAGTAGCTTCATTGTTCTGTAGCTCGCTCAGGGAGACCTCGACATCCCATTCAGGCTCATGGAGACCAGAGCCACCGAGGTCCTCGATGTTACCGTCGGCTTGACCAAGTTCGCCAGTAGAGGCGGGAGCACTGTCGGCTGGAGGATCCGCAGCAGCCTCATCAGGCTTTGTAATTCGGCTCGCAAGATCAGCCATGGCGAGTGCCGTGTTATGTTGTAAGAATACGTTTCGGCGATCGCAGGGTGGAAGGAGAGAAGTCGGTACGGTGGGGGGGGAGGCGGTGGTAAAGTTCTCGAGGCCCTGGAGCAGGCGCTAGAAAACAAACTGCCCGGCAAGATCACGATGTTCCTTTATCCTGCACGAGCCGACGCCGAAAAGGCTTCGAAAAGAGATGTGGAAAATGAGAAAAGGTTGGGGTATGGGTTAGCCTAAGTCGAGAGAAATACTCAGGCAGGTAGGCAGGTGGGTAGGCATAAACAAAAGCTCATGCCAGTTACCGCGCGGTGATGAGAGGTGAATGGACTGGGAAGCTTCCTTCTCCAACAAAGTTTTGGCGGGGTTCAAGTTATTGGAGGGGTACATGCAGAGCAGGTGCTTGAGTAAGGTAGATACCTAAGTACCTACCGATTGGTGGAGTTCATTCAAGCTTCCATCAATGCCCGGGGCGGACTATCTTAGTAACTAGGTACCTATAACGTGGGTGACTACCGCTAATTACCCGGCGCATTTGCTCTGTCGCAAGCTCTCACATCAACCATGGAACCTAATCCAGACTTATACAGTTGTGTATAAATCGAGATAACTTCGGCATAAAGCTCGAAGCCCAACTTACGCAACCATCCCTTGAACCAGGAAATACCAAGACTCGGCTCTTCAAGCTTTCATAGCTCCATACATCATACAATAGCTCTGAATAGCAACAATGGCAGCTCCGCCGCCGCCACCTCAAGGAGGGCTATCTCTCTATGAGAATCTGCTGGATCCCAACGATACGTCTTCAACCTCAGCGACAATATCTTCAGCCCCTGTTCTGTACAGCCAAGCAGAAGACACATCTGCAGAAATTGCCGTCAAGAAGCCCATTGATCCCGCTCTTCGCTTTCAACCTATACGTCGTCCACAGGTGAAGCAAGCCAAGCCAAAGCCGGCATTCCCCAAGCCAGCTGTTTCTAAGCAGGCTTTGAATTCTGCTACTCCCGCTCCTGTGCAACCGAAGACTACGCTTGCAGACTGGGCCGCAACCGAGGAAGATGAGTGGATGTATGGTATGGGTGAAAAGCGTCAGCGTGGAGGTCGCAAGAAGAAGAAAAAGAGACAACAAGAGGAATTTGAGACGAATTGGGACGATATTTATGACCCTACACGGCCAACTAATGTTGAAGAGTACTTGCATAGTGATGAGAAAGTCCAAGAGGTCAGAGATTGGAAAGCCTTGCTTTATAGGCACCGGCGTAAACGCGACGAAAGCGACCTCTCAGACGAGGACGAGGACGAACAAACCCGTCATGTTTCCTCAAGTGAGTTCGCTGCCAACAACCTCTTCGTTAAATTCTTACCTTTATCAGATCAGTTCGCTCCACCTTCGTCATATGCTTTCGTACCACCACCGCCTCAATCACCCCCAGCACCACCTCCAGGCGATGTTAGTGGGGACGATGCATTTACTCGCCGCTTAGCTATATCTCAAAGGGACGCTCCTCCTCCTGCTGCACAGGCATCACCCTCTCAGCCTTCTAATCCAGCCACCATATCACGCGCTCCCGTAAGATATTCAAAGCCACATGACAACGAAGACGCAACAGGGGATAATGTCGAAGACGATGCGTATTCCCCGCCTCCAGCTCTTGGGTCTAGTCTTCCGGAACAACCTGATGACGATTCTCGGGCTCGATCAAGCCGTCCAGGCCAGTCTGGTTTTGCCCATCGATTGATGAGCAAATACGGATGGACAAAGGGCAGTGGCCTCGGTGCCGATGAGTCAGGAATTGTCAATCCTTTGCGTGTTCAAGTCGAGAAGCGGCGGAAGAAAGCCGACGCAGATGGTGGAGGATGGGCCGAGCCAGGTGGTAAGGGTAAGATTATTGGTGGGAAGCGCAAAGAGGAAAATGCAGGCAAGTTCGGTACTATGAGTGATGTCATAGTACTGCGCAATATGCTTGAAAATATGCCTAATCTCGAGGAGGAGATTGCAGGAGGTTTGGGACAAGAGATCGGAGAAGAGTGTGGAGAAAAGGTTTGTGAAAGTTATGTCCTTTTTCAGGCATGATATAATTAACAAAGATACAGTACGGGCGCGTGGAGAGACTATACATTGACCAGGAAAGTCGCAGAGTGTTTATCAAGTTCACAAATCAAGTTTCAGCCCTTCGGGTGAATATCCTGTTCCCTCTTTCACAGCCGCAAACAGCTGACAACCCATACAGGCAGTCAATGAACTAGATGGTCGTGTATTCAATGGCAATGCAATAGTTCCCGAATTCTTCGATACAGAAAAGTTTGAGCAGGGGAAATACCACTAAAAAGAGTGCTTCTTATGACAGGTCAAGGCTAGGCAGTGGGACAGAAGCAAAGATTAAGAGGCAGAAACAAGCATGATGATACTCAAATATTGTCAACATGGAGACATATCCATTGCAGATTTGGAGGAAACAAATTTGCCCAACCAGAGTCGGCATTTAGCATGAAACGAGTGATATTCCAGTAAATATACTCGTATAGCCTCCCCCTCTCAGGCGTTGGTGTTGTCTTGAGTGTCATGCTCCTCAGGAGGGACAAAGCTAGAAGATAGATAGATGACTAAAGCACGTTTCACTCAATGCTTTAACCAAGGAACCTGGTAAGACCCAAATGTAAAGAATAGTTGGCGATCAGGTGGATGGAGATATACTTATATTCATAATAGACCAACAACTAGGCAATCCTTTATATCAGTTGCAGACCGAAAAGGTTTCCTGATGACTCTCGATGTTCAGAAGAAATAAGAAGCGCTTATCACAAACTAAACATCTTTATATGATGAGTTAAGAGAGATGTCAATTTTCAGAGCTCGGCGAACATGATCTCAAGAATAAAGTCCAAATACAATCGATTATTAAGCTCTAACAGGTTATCCTTTACACACAGTTACCCCCACCCATGAAAAGCATTTTGTGCCCCATGTTGACCAAGCACAATATGTCGTAGAGAAAAGTCAGGAAACATGATGACGACGATAATGACGCCTTTAAAAGAAAAGCCAGCAATCTTCATCTCCATGCTTAAAAGAGCTGGGCAACGGCAGCAATACCTGCAAGAGCAAGAACAGCCATGTTGACGCTGACAATGCCAGCAGCATCCTTCTGATCGTCACTGTTGCTGCTCTCGGAAGAGCCGTCGCTCTCCTCACCACCGTCCTTGCCCTCATTGGCCGCCTTGTTGTTGGATGTGCACTTCTCCTCACCATCGATCTTCTTGTCCTTCTTGAGGTTGTCGAAGTAATCACAGAACTCCTTAATATCGGTGGTCGAGGAAACAACGACACTGCCACTAACTTGGTCGAGCTTGGGAAGTTCCACCCTAGAAATCGCTCGTTAGATATGGAAATGCTATATGCTAGAGGGGTTTTACTCACTTCTCGAAGCTACCTCGGAGGGCAATACCACCGGTGACCTTCTCGAGCTTGGGGAAATCATCAATAGCCTCAAGCTTGGTGTTGTTCTGGATGGTGAAACCGCCGCCAATCTCCTCGAGGGCGGGGAAGGAAACGTTGGTGAGCTTGTTCATGTCGATAAGGGACAGGGTCTCCGTGATCGTGGTCAGGTTGGGGGCGGAGAAAGACTTGAGCTCGGGGTTGGCGCTCAACTTCAAGCTCTTGGTCACCTCCTGGAGAGCAGGGACCTTGAAGGACTTGGCGCTAGAAATCTGGATCTCGGCAGCAGTCTCGAGCTTGTTCATGGTAATTTCCATAACGTCGTTGCCATTGTCGAAGATCAGGAGCTGGGTAGTAACATTAACAAGGTCGGAGTTGAAGACGTTCATCTTTCGGTTGTTGTCAATCTGGAAGCTCTCGACACTGGCGACGCTGAGACCGCTAAGATCACTGATGAAGGTGTCGGTAATTCGAATGCTCTTGATCTTAGTAACGCCTTCGGTACCGAAGTTCAGCTCGCCGAGTCGGGGAAGCTTGATGAAGCTAAGCTCGCCAAGGCTCTCGAGAGAAGAGAAGTCGAGGTTGTTGAGAGCCTCGAGGTTGTTGAGCTCGAACTTTCCAGTGATGGAATTAATAGAGGTACTGGAGATAGAGATAAGGTCACCGGCGTTCTTGGCCTGGAAGTTGCCCTTGATCTGCTTGGGGCCGTTGATGACAACGGCACCAGCAACAGACTTGTCAATGATGATATCGGCGTCGACAACATCGCAGCTGATGACTTGTGTAGGTTCGGTGATCTTGACGTCCTTGGTACAAGTGGCAGCTAGACAAGGTCGTTGTCAGCAGGATATCCGAGACGGTGTATCTGATTTCACCTACCAGAAACGGCAGAGACACTGAGGGCCGCAATGGCCGAGAGGACCTTAACGGAATGCATTATGGCCTGGATAAACAAACAATTAGATAACGTTGATTATACACGAGTGCGTGAAGAAAACTGTGGGCTGGTCTGTCGCGGTGGTCCCTATGAATGTCGGTCCAAAGTAGAACCGCCTCGAAAGAAGTGATGCTGATGTAGAGTGGTGTCGAGCAAGCAACTGCAGTACAATGTCGTGGAGATGTCGATGCTCGATAGCAACGCCCCCTTTGGCAGGAAAGGGAATGTTCAATGGCAACCAACCTGGAAGGAATGCGTGAAGGGGGGATGAGGAGATGCGTCAATTCCAATCGTAGGCAAGAATAGACCAAATCGCAAAGTGAATGGAGGAGGAAGAGTGTACACAAAAAGATTATTTGAGGCAGGGGAAGGAAGAAAGAAAACAAGACGGCAAGAAAGACGGGACGGAACGGTCGAAACCAATCAAGGAGCACAAGCCAAGTAAATGCGCGTCTCGGCAAGCACCTCACAATGGATCGAGCCAGTCGACCGAGCGATGAACGTTCGTACGTACCTAATTTGTAAGGGGAAAGGATCCTGTGATTTTGTTGGATGGTGTTGATTCTTCAAATCCTTGAGAGTTTCTCGGCGAACGACTGAGATATATCACGGAACAGTTAAGAATATTCCTAGAACTAGATAAAGTCTGGCAGAGTAGAGCCTGACGAAAACGAGTGGCGTGAAGAGAAAAACTGGACGAGAATATTACCGACAAGGAGAGGAAAGAAGAAGTTCGAAGGAGCGAGAGAAAAAGAGAGGAGGAGATGGGAGGGAGGAGATGAAAGATGGTCGACCGAGATGAGTGCACGGTGGGAATTCGGCGCCGCCTGCATGGGGCATGGGGGGAGCTACCAGGGTGGGTTCGAGTTGGATGGCAAAACCTAAGTTCATGGACAAAAGCAGGGCACCGACAGGTCAGTCACCAGTTTCGGGGCCCATTATCCCAGGGGCACTCAGACACTGAAGACCAAAAAGGAACCAGTACCGGCCCAAGACGATGCCAGGGCGAGCTGGACTCCAGACTCCAGTGTGGACTGGACGGGTGCGACGGGTCCATTGACCAGGTGTGAGAAATAGGGATGGAAGGCATAGGCACTAATCTCCTGCTAATGGTTCAGAGACATGGGCCCACTGACTTGGTTCTGCCTCATCTATCAGACTATCAGTGCACCGCTCAACACGACGTGAATTATTGACACCGACCACCACTGAACTATCAAGACGCTAGCTAATCCATTGAGTTGAGAGTTTTTTTTTTTTATCTGTCCTAGTTTGAGGCAATGTAGGTTCTTTTTCTGCCTGTATTCCGAGCCAAGACCTTATGCGCTCGCATCCTATACCAACCTCCGGCTTCCAAAAAGCCCAATGGCCGCGTAAGCAGAGCTAGATGCAACAATGATGACAACACTCTCTGCCTTCCATTTTGCTTGGCCAGCAACCAAAACAATCAACATCCCCCGAAGAGGAAATTAGTGGGTGCATATCTTCTTCTGCCTCTCTAGGTGGGTATCATACAATATGGATGTGCTCACCACTCTTTGACTTTAACTGCGTTGCATATGCATTAGCGGGCTCTATCAGGCACCGCGGCTCCTGTGGCCACTCCAAGCGCATTACTGAATCTGTCCAGCTTTTGAATTCACCTATGATTCTACGTAACCTTCCGTCATAGTAGACATGCATTCTTAAGGAGGCACATGCATGTGCACATGGTTCTTCTATTAGACTCACTCCGATATATATATATATACATAAAGTAGATTGTCCTTGTTATTCCCTGACAATCTCATCACCCAAATTAGCTACAATCTCCAACTTTGTGCCTCTAATTCCATCGCATCGCATGCAGGCGAGATTTGCACCCCAATTTCAGCTACGGGCGCTGTTCAAAGTATCCACTTTACGCATCAACTAGCAGGGGCCCTAAACTCCATGTCTTTAACATGCATCCCGTGTTGATAATGAAATACCTTCCAATCGAGCGATCCCATAGTGTTATTACCTGGCATGACTCCCCCTGCAAAGTACTTGCTAACAGACGGAGACATTGCACCGCCTTCCTTGTCAAACTCATCTTGTTCCATTTGTCTTTTTTTGCACATGTCCGCTGACTCATTTATGACTTCACGATCCAGTCTGGGCCTGGATTCTCAATCTTCAATTCCTTTCTTCCACTGAGACGTCATCATTTCTATGAGACAAATCAATCATGATGCCAGTTGGAGGTAAAGGGTTACACAGCCGACCTGTCAAGGGCGATAAATCTACCTGGCATACGGGTAGTGCAGAGTCCAGTCACAAAAATTGCAATTATTCAACTAAGCGAACACGAGCCTATCTCTGATGAGGTGATTTAAACGGACTCATTGATCGATATTGGACCCGAGTGATTGAAGAATCAATCATCGGAATCACCAAGCATAAACACCACTCAAAGTCTCAAATCTTGTTACTGACAATACGATACGACTTTTCTCGGCATCGAAACTTCCGGGGGCGCCAGGGATAACAAGGAAGCCCAATGCTTCTCCCTTTACTCCGTATTTCTATCATCATTCCACTTCACGCACTCGCTTCCCTTTCCTTTTTTATATACCTCCTTAGTATTCGGAGTCTCGGACAACTGATATGCAACGGGACTGTCACTATCACCGGGGTCCATGTGCTTCTTTTTCCTTTTTAACATGAGTCTCAAGTGATGGGTTAGTCTTGTGTTCGATCCCAGCTTGCCCAGCTCCTTCTTTATCTCAGTGGATTGTCACTCATATGAATGTGCTGGGGCACATGCCGCGGATAGATCCAAGGTTGCGATCTTAAAATGGCCTTTCTTTCTCGCACCGCCCTTTAACCGAAATTCGCCCCTGATTTGTTTTCATGCCATGTCACGGTGGCCGGGTTTGTTATCTTTCAGTTTGACGGACTCGAGATGTCCATTGAGGATGATCATGATTATTATCATCATCCAGGTGATCAAAATGACGCACCAGAGCATGTTGGGCATGTCCATCTTCCGTGTATCTCAGACAATGGCTTTTCAGGGTTCTTTGGCCTCATTGAAAAGCACAGCCTCGAAGGTCTTTCCGAACCAGACAGCCATCAGACTGTGAGAAAGAAAAAAACTGTTATCAGCTAAGGGCCCACGGCTATGAATGGCACTACACACGTCTGGACACTAATTTAGATCAGATATGCCTGGATTTCTTCCCGTTGGCTACTTGGTTGAAACTTCCGCTGTCCAAGAGGCCAGGACGGACGCCTCCATTCCATTGAGGCGTGTAAATCGAAGTTATCCGCCGCCTCTTGACGCGTTACACTCCACACTCAGACAGCCAAGCCTGCAGCTTGTGTGGGATCGGCTCCGTCACTAACCAAGCATCTTCCCACTTCCCGCTTCAATATCTGCCAAGACACTTTGAAGAGTCTCGACGATTTGCGAAGTGGTTGCACAAGACTTTCATTTATGGGCCTCACTCGAGGTTAAATTCCCTTTGACTATCACATTGGCCCATTTAGCTCTCGCGGTCTGCGAGCTAACGTCGAGTTTGTTGTTCGTCAGACACGTATCCATGCGTCTTGTCTGATACATTATACCCATCCTCACTACGAGTGTTTTTCTTTGCTTTTTGCAACCTTCACGATGTACCAAGATGCCAGGATGCATCGAGGCCCGCTTCAGTCTCGGCAGCGGCGCCTTTGGTCGATTCGTGGCGCAACCGTCTTCGCGCCGTTACAAGGGTGAATCCACAAAGCAGGGCCTCCCCTGGAGCCGATCGCCGATGGCGAATCATGTTCTTTGTGCAAGCTAAGCCAATTATGTTTGCTGTCGTGATCCTTTTAACACCAATAAGAGAGATGCTCTCTAGACGAGAAGGCCTCACCAAACCATTGCAATATGAGAAACCCATTATGTGTTATTAGACGCGTACGTCGGACTTTATTCACCGGGTCCAGACAGACCATGAGGACAGCTATGTAGTAAATCTGTGCATTGAATCTGTAGTGTGACATCACCACTCGCAGTAGTAACCGCGGAAGGGTATCCGATCAACACAATGTGGGATCTTTATCTGAGAGGCACAATGACAACAAACACACACCGACCCAGCAACCGAAGTTTATTCCATTGTGCTAACATCGGTCTCCTCGACTCGCCACATGTACCACATGAAGAGACTTCGATATGGTGAGAACCTAGTCGACAGCTCAGTCATATCCTGCTCCGACATGTACTTCCATTTACCACCGCCTTTGGCCTTGAGCTTGGCAATATCACGCCCCACGAATGCAGCCATACCTCTCTGAACACCTAGATCACCGAGTGAAAAGACGTCCATTCGTTTGAGCCCGAAGCATGCAAACATCTCAACGGACCACTTCCCAAGGCCTCTCACGGCAATCAATTTTTCCATGACCTCCGCATCCGAAGCATCATGGAGCATCTGAGCACTAAGTTCTCCACTGACGAACTTTTCTGCAAGACCTTTGATGTACTCAGCTTTGCGTTGCGATAGGCCTGCTGTACGGAGCTCGTCGATCGACTTGGCAGCCACTTGAGAGGGATGAGGGAATCGGATTTCTGGTTGCTCCTCGAACAATGTGAGAAACTTGGCCTTTATAGACTTGGCTGCAGCTCCTGATACCTGCTGGCTAATGATGCCACTGGAGAGGTTCTCAAATGGGTCTATCTTCTCTGCCAGTCCCTCTGGTGAGAATACTCTGCAGTGGTGGCTCTCCACTAAGGGTTTCATGCGAGGATCAACTTTGACCAGATAGTCGCATGCCTCTTTGAGGAGATTCTCTGTTGTCGTCTTCGCCTGCGGTGCCTTACTGGGCGATAAATTATCAATGTCCCGTGAGGTAACAAGACGGGACGTCTCTGGTGAGAGGAGCGTTGCGTTTGTCAGTCTGGGGTTTGCAAGTCGTGTAACGGCCGCAGTACGAGGCTTCTTGGTGATGCTAGTCGGCTCAGCAAAGAGCCCAGCAGCAGCAGGCGTTGGTGTCTTTGGTGGCGGAACAGCTGGTGTTGCAGGCTCGCCTTGTGCTCGCTTCCTAGGGGGTGGTGTTGAAGGTGCCTCGGGCTCGTCCTGAACGGCGGCTGCTTTACGCTTCCGACCTGTAGCCTTCGATGTTGGTTTCTCCGATGACTCTGTCCTGGAAGCAGGCCGAGCGCTGATGCGTGAGGATCGCCTTGTAGTGACCATGATGTGCGTCGGACTGAGTCCTGTCTTTATTCCGAGTATTTGTGAATATGATATGAATTGCTGTAAGGCCAGGGAGGGATGACGTCGTAAGAGCAAAGTGGGCATAACACAATCCGGTTCACGGTAAATACGCCGCTACTTACAAGTAGCCTTTGGCGTAGCAGAGCCTTTGTTCTTGAATTTGGCAAGTATTCCTGTTGGCGAAAGTGTCAGTCTTTTGCTTATTCACGTTTATGAGCCTTCGGGATATGCGCCCTGTTTATGCCATTGGTCGATCTCTTAGCGTATTTAGAACCAATAACGTCACAGGTTGAATACCTTACCTTCCATTACCTGTCAATTAAGACAACGGACTGACGATTATGGAATTGTAACCTATATATCTATCTCCCCTCTTTTGTGGATGTCTTGATGTGTAGTGCCAACCTTCCTTTCTGATCAGACTTCTATCATTTCTTAGCACGAGTTTGTATCTGCCCAGTGAGTCCATCGATGCTACGGTTATATATTCGTCACTCTAAAGACCAAATAGAGGCGTAACATTGTTCATAAAAAGCATGTGCGAGGTGATAATAAGTCTCCCTCGCTTGTAGCACGGTCTCACGTACTACCTACACAGAATATGATTCCCCCCAAAGGTCAACAGAAGAAGAAGAAGAAGAAGAATATATCTTCAAAAAGACCCATAGCCACGACTTCAATTGCTTCGTCGGAGCACTCTCCAGGGTAGGTATATTTCCGTCGCTGACGTTAGCTTCTTCCACCCGCCCACACGGCACCCGTTTCGATAGGGGCTATCTGCCGCTGAAACCACTGAAGAATGGAGCTTACAGCAGGTCAGTGGAGTGTCTGGAAGCTCTGGAACGCTCCAGGGACCCTGTCCCGGCCACAACCCGGACTGTCGTGTCGAGCCAACGAAAGTCAAAGTGCTGATCCGAGCTATCGCAACGTGGATTAATGTCATGTCAATAGTGCTTTTTGTTTTATTTTTCTTACCTGGATTCTTACAACCGGTGCCTGTCGACTTCACCAATTCATAATAGAGAACCATCACACACTCGTTTTCGGTCTTACCATCTATTCTTGCTCAATGCGAATATTATCTATTTTTGAGCCACTTTGGAAACGCTAGGCCCCTTACGCGACAGCAATAACCTCAAAGTGGCCAGCAAAACCCCTGTACAAAGGCGTATCAGGGTATAGTCTGCCCAAGCACGAAATTACGCGGGAGCCGCCGTCGACAACACCGTAGAACTCTGCGGTACAGAACAGGATCAAAGAGTTGATAGACGGAGCCGTTGCGACAGGGGGAATCGAAAGAACAGTGAACCTTGGAAGACCTCACGTGGTTGCTGACGAAAAAACGTGAGCACAGCTGTAACGACAGCGCCAGTTATCGCCTCTGCGATAGATTATCCTATCCCAAGAATAGAGCGAGAGGACGACTTGCTGAAGCATTCACCATGCTTCTCCCTGGTGGTGGACTTAACTGGAAGGCCGCAAAGGCCCAGATGCCTCCAAGCAGAGTATTGCGAAGCAATTTGACACGATCACGATTGCTTCTCCTAATAGGCGTTACTGGCATTGTGATGCTGCTGTACCGTACTTTTCGAGCACCACCCCCGGGACCACAAAAGTCTGTACCGCCAACTCGATTCGAGTAGAGAAACTCGACTAACATGGAAACAGTGTTCGTTGCTGGGGCCCAAACAAGTCGCCCATGGAAATGACACCGAACGAGCATGCTCTATGGAATGCACACATGCAGACACCTGTCCTCTTCAACCATCATAAACCACTAAAAGTCGAATCTCCTTCGATCCAGCACATTGACTTGAACCCGATCACCTCGAGCCCACAGGCCCTCATCCGAAACGAACGAGTATTGATCTTAACACCTCTGAAGGACGCTGCTCCGTTCCTCAAGAACTACTTCAAACTCATCGCAGAGCTCACTTATCCGCACCGTCTGATCGATCTCGCCTTCTTAATATCTGACTCGAAAGACGATACACTTGCTGTCCTTGCTTCCGAGCTTGACCACCTACAAAAGCGGAAGGATGAGGTGCCATTTAACAGTATTACCGTTGTCGAAAAGAACTTCCATTTCCACCTCAGCCAGGATGCAGAACAGAGACATGGATTTGAGGTACAAGCGCCACGTCGCAAAGCTATGGCTAAGGCAAGAAACTACCTCTTGGCTACAGCTCTGAAGCCAGAGCACTCATGGGTGTACTGGCGTGACGTTGATATTGAACAAGCGCCAAGACGGATCATCGAAGATTTTGTTGCGCACGATAGAGATATTCTCGTGCCCAGTAAGTCCCTTGAAGCAGATTCTGAGACATCATGGCACTGACACATCCGAGACATTTGGTTCCACAGGTTCGAGAAGGGTGTTGATATCGAAGGTCGATGTAAGTTCCTCAAGTCTCGCTATGACCTGAGAGTTACTAATTTGCAATCGCAGTCGACTACAACTCATGGATCGAGTCCGATAAGGGCCGAAAGCTCGCCAATAGCCTGCCGAAGGACACAGTCATTGTCGAAGGCTACAAGGAATTCGACACTGGACGCGAATACATGTGCAAGATGGGAGATTGGCGCGAAAACAAAGACGTTGAGGTTCAACTGGATGGTATTGGTGGTGTCAACATTCTCGTTAAGGCAGACGTTCATCGCTCAGGTTCGTGGTCACAGAATATTAAGTTCCATAACGTTGCAGTTAACATCATCTTTAGGCATCAACTTTCCAGCGTATGCTTTTGAAAACCAGGCTGAGACCGAAGGCTTTGCCAAGATGGCCAAGCGTGCCGGTTATCAGGTCATTGGTCTCCCGAACTACATCGTATGGCATTACGATACACAAGAGAAGGGCGGTAACTTATGATGAGATCCGCAATTTTGAAGAGAAAGTGGACTTGATCTTTGACCTAACTTATCTACCTGACGACTCTCGACCACCTCACTCCATACACGCAGACTCATGACGTTACGCCGTTAACGTTTCCAACATTTTTCCAGACCAGTCGGTCGATGTTCACCTTCAAGCTAAGCTTGGAAATGAGCAACAAAACATTATCCTTCAGCGAGTAATTATTTCGTTCGATTCGACTCGATCTGTCGTGTATTTAATACGGTCAATGTGGGCGCTAGGGGTATCTACTGGAGGAAGGGGCTAAAAGCGAAGCAGATGCTTTTTGTAATATTTGGGAACTGGTTTCTTATTATCAGTCAGGAACGCGCTGTGCCATGAAGACTCAGCAGTAATGTGTGTTAGGAAGAGGGAGCTTTATATGGAGGGAGCTGACGGAGTATGGAGCCAGATGTAATATAGGTAGTATGAGTCGCTCTCTGGAGTTGAGGATACACTGATGATGATCATCAGTATAATTAGCCAATGGATTTCCCATCGACTATGCTTGAACATGAGCCGACGAACTTAACTAGTATTCCTGCAATTCCAGCTTGTCAAGCAGTGGAGAGGTGGAAAAAGTGAATACTACTTTATGAAAGAACAACTCAAGCATGAACATACTGAAAGAACCAAGCTATTACACCCATCATATCTCACTTGCGAATGGCCTCATATTTGGTCGGAGTGACATGGGTAGTTCAGATTGGCCATTTGAATATTGCGTCACATGAGACGGGTGCACCTGAGCGATCTTGCAAGTATAGCAGACAGCCCCACAATATGCAATTAAGAGGAAATGGCGGGCAAGGTCGAGGTGCCGTCATCACACAGGCAACGATAAGAGTCCCGCAGGCTACCTTCAACTTTACACTACCTAGGACGACGACGCTGACGACGACGAACATCACAACTTACAGGGCATATCGCGCTTCTTATTCATACAATACTAGAAGCTTCCGATATCCTGTGTAGCCCCGGTGGTCATTATTCTCCTGGAGCCTGACCCCACTACCCGACACTGAGTCGAGGCTCATTACGCCATTTTCTGCTCCGACACTGCACGACGAGATCGCTCATCAAGAGGAACAGGACTCGCGCTCCCTTTTCCTCATCAAACTCATATTTCTCCCCAATCTTCACCGATCAGAAACTGTAAACATGTGGGGTTGGTTCGGTGGCGCCGCGGCCCAAAAACGCAAGGACACGCCCAAGAATGCGATCCTCGGGCTGCGAGCGCAGCTTGACATGTTGCAGAAGCGCGAGAGGCATCTCCAGACCCAGATCGACGAGCAGGATGCTACCGCACGCAAGAACGTGAGCACCAACAAGAACGGTACATGGTCATCTCAATGAGATTCGTAATGCGGGGCAGAGATGCTGATCTATATGATAGCGGCCAAAGCGGCCTTGAGGCGCAAGAAGACACACGAGCACGCGCTCGAGCAAACCGTCGCACAGATCGGTACACTAGAGCAGCAAATCAACTCGATCGAGTCCGCCAATATCAACAAGGAGACTCTGGCAGCCATGAGCAACGCCAACGCGGCCATGAAGCAGATCTATGGAGGTCTTACGGTGGACAAGGTTGATGCGACAATGTACGTTCATGCCACGCTTATTTATGCCAGTTTGTATGAGATGTGTCCTTGGCTAACCTGAAGTTATAGGGACGAACTGCGTGAGCATAATGCAATGAGCGACGAGATTGTCAACGCAATCACCTCGAACTCATTAGGCGAGCCGATCGACGAGGATGAGTTGGAGAACGAATTGGATGAGCTACAACAGGAGCAGCTCGACGAACAGATGCTGAAGACAGGCACCGTCCCTGTGTCAGATGCTGTGCATAAGCTACCCACGCCGGCTAGGGAAGAGCGTATGTGCCCTTGCTCACAGTTCTTTTTTGTGTACATACTAACATCATACAGCCGTGTCAAGCAAGAAGCAGGCAGTTGAAGAAGATGACGAGGAAGCCGAACTTCGGAAGTTGCAGGCTGAAATGGCCATGTGAGGTTGTTAATAGAGGAATTTGATGTTTGCATAGCATTTAGTTGGTAGGGACTGAGGGCGAAGCTACATTATATGTGGCGTTTTCATCTACCACAGACAAGAGACGGCTTTGTGGTATTCGGAGCTTCCTGTGCCCTGGCGGATTTGTGGTTCTATTGTGGGTGTTATTGTCGGCGTCGGCGTCCAAGGTTGTTGTTGATCTTTATCGTTTACGAAACTCTTTCTATCTTTCGCCTGGCAATCCGGCTTGAGCATCGTGACCGCACAGAGGTGTTTCTGATGACGGTACGCCTGGCAAGGATGCACTTGATAAGAGACCTGTGTGATGGTTGACGAGCCTTGAGATAGGAGAGAATCTAGATCTTCAATGCGAATATATCCCGTAAAGCTGACCAAATCTGTTATTGAGATAATGAATTGCCGGTGATGAGAACACCCAGCTTGAACGATGAGTCGGGTGTTGTTACTGGAAGAGGAAGCAAATGGACATGAATGCGGACATGACATCAATAGATCTATGACATGGTATCATAATAGGTGATAGTGCTTATATCGTTTGGCTATGAGGATATGAAGAAGGCCAAGACATTGTGGGTCACATCGCTATTTGATTGATTCATAGACGCCCGTTCGAACCGGACTGAAACAAGGATAAGGTCTCTTGGTCAGTCCCAATATTGTCTTTGGGATCTCGCAACGAACCGAGAGGTCTAAGTACAGTCAAGACGAAGTAACGCTGAGTTCTTTCAGCTGGGCTGAAGGTGACCGTTTCAGAGGAACTCTGAGAGGATAAGTCCACGATGACCAGCCAACTGACTTCGAAACCAGCCAAGGCGTAAAAAGTGCAGTCATCACATCTACAATATCAAGCTTAATAAAGGTCGCCGATCTGCAGTAGGAGTAGGGTGGCCTATACTAGGCCCCAACTGAGGCTATACGAACACCGTAATTGGACGGAGACGCCTTCACGTGATCAGTCATCGTGCTTCCAGTTGGCTGGTTGGCTGTCAGTTGCTGACGCCCAAAAGGGCCCTCCCGCGTCTAACGGCGCTACAAGAAGCCTCAGCCAGTCATAGCTCGAACTCTAACCGCCAAACAAAACGTACACCGTCCGTCGAGTTTCGGATCGTCTGATGTACGGGCTGTAAGTATTTCGCCTCTGCATTGCACGCGCGCAAAAATAGCACGCACTTGCAGCAGGATATCTCGGATCCAGCCTCTTCCACTATGACGCAGAGAGCAGTGGAGGGCCCGCTCTGGCGGCTCCATAGCCCTCGAGAGGCCTTGGAGCTGAAGAGGAGGCTTGCAGATGCAGGACTTACAACGCCCAGCAAGCGCTGGCCTTCATGTCATGATCAGCTTGCGTGATGTAGCGGGAGACGGCGGCTGCTGAGAATGTGTATGCTGCATATGCACAGTCAAGTCCAGCTCAGTCTTGTCTTCATATGCCCCCTTGTTTCCTAACTCATCCATCCGTTGTGACTGTGTTTCGCATTTTCTCTTCTCTTTTTCCTCTGTCGTATCGTCTGTGACCGCTTGTACAAACTCTCACTAACTAATTTCTCCTTTATTTTCTTTTCCCTTTGTTCTTTTGTCACGACTGCTCATGAATCCACTTCGTTGAGATGCTGGCCATCTCCTTTAATAGGATACCCTTCTCTTTAGGTGAGTTCATCAGCCCAACATGCCCTGCCTCAAGCTCGACCTGATTTTCGTTATTAGATGTTTCGTTGTAGAATGGCCAGTTGGCCATTTTCCTTCGTGCCGGCATGGTTGATCTTTTGTGTAACTGTCGTACTGGCGACCAATATCTCCAACGAATTCTCGAGCTTCATCCCCAGCTGTGCCGGAGAATGCTTCACCTCTTTCCTTAACGTCAATTATGCTCAGGGTGTTTGCACCGGAAAACCTCTGCTGGATTGTCTGTGTTCTCGAAGGGGCGCCTCGGGATTCACTCTTGGTGAGGGTGCAATGCAATGCATCTCTGCTGAACGATCCATTGGATACTGCTCCATAGTCGAAGCCAGTGGTATGTACTACGAACCACAGAATACACGAAGAGTGTGTTGCTTACACAGAAGCAGATAGAGTCATCGAGAATGCATATGATATATGCAACGGGAGACCTGGTGCGGTCCATCCTACTTATCTCACTATCACAGCAACATTAGTTTTGGCTCCTTCGGGAGGAGTTGTGACTTTTCCCTCAGTGACCACCAAGACTACTTCACGGCCGGGTACATCAAGCACTATTCGTACATTGCCAACAACATTGGTTATTGATACATCCTCGCCCCCTGTTATTCCAAGACCATCGACGAGACCAATTAGCTCCACAACACGATCGACGGCCAGAGAACAATCTACGACTGATTCGTCAGATGATTCAGATATAATCTCGATCACGGAGCCTCCGTTCACTAAGCCCACTACTTTTGAGACTTCTACATATACCCCAACTTCGAGTTCAGAGTCCGAGACCACCACGGACGTACAGGGTGGTGCCGGTGGGGCAAGCAAAGACGAGGACAGTGATGATTCAGACAAACTCTCCACTGAACAGGTCGCTGGTATCTCAGTCGGCGTCCTTGCCGCAGTGGGAGTTGCGGTTGGAGCTATTGTATTGGCAAGATACTATCGACGAAGAAAGTATCCTCAGATCAAGACTGGCTTTCTCCCTATGAGGGACACCTGGGGTTATAAGCCAGATCGATCTGACAACGGTGGACATAATTCGTGGATGGTTCACCAACTGCGACCTGATTTGGATCCTACAAATCACCCACCACCGCCGCCTACTTCCAACCGTAGGAGTGTCAAGCCTGAAACCATTGGTGTAGCATTATCACCTCCTCCCTCGAGCCGCAACACGGCGGTGCATACATCTCCACTGAGGCGATTATCAAAGCTGCTCCCTGCGAAACCGACCCTACCAGATCTATCTGTCAGAGACACCAACGACAAGCCCTTGCCTCTTCTCCACGCGGAGCAAGCTGACGGTAGACGCCAAGATGCTGGACATTCATCTCGAGATGAGAGTTCTTCAATACCACCACCAGCACTTGCTGCTGCTGCCTGGACAGGAAGATCTAAGCCGACACCACCCGCACCGCTGAAGCTACAAATACCACAAGCCGAGAAACCGGCCGGACCAGCTGTACGGATGAGCAACCGTGAGAGTAACGTGACGGAGTTTGAAGAAGACCGTACCTCAATATCCCCAAACGCCAACACTCAAGTCTGGAGACCACCAACAACGCCTCTTTCGGCAACAACCTACTATGTCGCCGACCAATACGGCAATTGGGTTCTGGGAAACCCAAAGCGTGCCTCAGTGATTGCTCGAGGCTCGCAGGATTCCAAGGTTTCTCAAGAGGGAGCACCAAGACCACCTAACAATGATAACGCCCCCCTCGGCAGTGCAGAACGAAGCGGCACCAGATCGCTTGCTCCTCCAGCTGAGATTATTCCTGGTGGTGCACCGTCCAGACCTGGTGGACCTCGTCCGCAGTATCCCTCTCCCTTCTTCTCTTCCCAGTCTCATCCAAGACGCAGCGCTTCCAATCGTCGTTCCATGACAAGACCCCTGACTCGACCACGCGAAGACTCTAGCAGTAGTAGCGCCACCATCATCACTACCTCAACCGAGTCCTCCTCAAGCATTCCGTCTGTGGCACCAGAACAGCAAGTCAGCCTCTCTCCTGTTGTCGAATCTCCCCAGTCAGTCCGAGCTCGTCAGCAGCAGCCTCAGATCCCCCCACGAGACCCTCGACGTGCCAGCCAGGTGGGCAACCCTGGTGTCAGCGTCAATCCGCGAGCTGCCCCTCCTACGCGACAGGTAGTTTACAGCCCTCCTGGGCAGCCAAGCCCGACCTTGGGTCTGATGCAGCCTCCTAGTGCATACTACGCGGCACTACAGTCAAAAGCGCAGTTGAATGCGCAACCACAACAGAAACCTCAACCAGCTGTTCAGAGCATGCAACCCGCCGATAACACAGGTACACAGGCAGCTTCATCGACAATGCGCATTGTGGAGCCTTCTCCGGAGCCAGATGAGGCCACAGAACCCGCGAATGTCAAAGAAGATCAGATCCGGGCGTCCCCCTTCTACTTTGACCCACCATATCCGCAACCTCTTCATTCTCGCCAAACCCCTCAGCATCGCCGTTCTGCATCAGGGCCTCAGCCTCAGCAGTATCAGCCATATCAGAGGCCTCCCTCGTTTCAACCTTCCCCTCGTCAACAACAGGCAGCCTGGCAACCCGTCCAGAGACTGCATTCACACAATCACCAGCAACAACGCCACAACCAGCAGCAGCAGCAGCAGCAGCAAAACCCTTGGCAGCCTACACAGCGTATACCCCCAACATATCCGCCATTCCAGCAACAGCAGCCTCTGCAGTCCTATCAGCGCACATTTCCGCATCAGCAGGCCTACCAACAACCACAGATGTACCCTTCTTTCCAGCCTCGGCCAGGCCAGCAACATCACCCTCGTAGTACAGGAGGTTACCAGTCATTTCAACCCTATCCTGCCGCACAGCAGACTCAAATACACTCTTCTCAGTATCAGAGTTACCGCCCCCCCCAATCAATGAACCCCTCCCTTGTTCACTCTGATAGCCACGATTCACTCCTGGCTAAGCGTGTCGGTTTGGATCGCGCCGCTGGTATGACTATCGGTACAGACAAAACTGGCGCTTCAAAGTGGAATCGTGATATTCAAAACAAGACACCACCAAACCTTCCTTTGTCGCCGCATTGGCAGCCGACATTAACCCCTACACGGCGAGGAGATGACCTGGTCTTGAACGTACAATAAAATGGAGATATAGAGATTTCGGCGACACATGCACCATCGTTCTTTTGTTTCGTGGATTAGATCACATATCAATTTTGTATAATAGCCAAGCACTTGGAAGCTATAATGAGCATTAGCAACAGTCATAGATGGAAGAAAAATGCATTAGGACCGCACACGAATTTAGGGTGGAAATTATCGCATGCACCTATACTACACCACCTAGACATTCATTCTAATTCTATAGGTCACTCCCTCGCAATAATGCTTTTCGTGCCCTTTAAGTGTGGTCTTTTTGTGAAGTGCTAGGCCTAGCTTGGGCCTCGTCCTTGTTCTCCTCCTTGATTGTTTGACCTATAACACATTCCCTCTCGACATACTGTCGAGGTTGCTGGGATGACTCTCTCGGCGTACCCACTGGATCAAGCATGTCCAGTTCCAAGTCATGAAATGTCTGTTCGCTGCTTTGGTTGCTGCGACGGAGACGGCTTCCATGCTTTCTTAAGCTCCCTCGTCTGAAGAATCCAGATGCATTCTGTCGCATGTTATCAATATGGTTCTCGAGTGCAACATCTAGAGCATCTAGACCTTGATCCAACGTATCACGATTAAGATGAACACCCGCATCTATGAGCTTATTTCTACGTCGAATGTCTTGCCACCTTGTCAGGTTACCCATTTCCAATACGTTCATTCGGCGGCTTTTGCCCATCGGGTTTCCTATCATTGTGGGCCGCCAGGCATAATCCTCTTCCATCAATGCACGCAAGTCATTGGGCATGGAAGCCCGACGTTTCGAAGACCGTCGACGGGCTTGGGTAATTCTCTCCATCTCTTCCGATTTTGAACGAGGTATGATGAGCACATTCTTGAACCGAATGAGAACAAGCAACAAGAGGACAGTTAACAAGAAGAGTATCGCAGCTACGACGCTCGTGGCAACTTGTTGGCCAAGCTTCCGCGTTACATGACCGCCCAGCGCAGTTGAACCAGCCGCAAGTATGTATGAGAAGGATTGTATCATAGCGAATCCTGCTGTCACTCTCGGAAAAGAGGAGTAATTGGTTCGACGCTGGTCTTGACCTGAGGGATCACGGTGCCGACCAACCATTCCGGGAGACAGATCCGATGTATCGAAGGTTTCCATGATAAGGCCGTTGCATTCTGAAATTGCGAGACAGGATAGAAAACCTATACATAAGGCAAAAAAGGTTGGCACGCCAGAACTGATTGGCGGTCCTGATGAAACAGCAGCATAACAGGCGCCACCAATCGGAAGGGCAATAGTAAAGACGGCCCGGCGGACTAGATGTGAAGACCATACTATCTTTCTGCCTATAACCTCGCGGTTGACTTTATTTTCTCGGCTGCGAGATCTCGAGAAGATGCTGGCCTTTTGGAAAGGAATTGCAAGTAGAGCGCCGAGTGCAACTGCGGCGACATGAAGGCCGACATATGGCGATCTTAGATGATAGAATCGAGACACGAGTGAGCCCAGCAGAATGATGACTAGAACGACTTGTGCATAAATCCATGCGACATATATCGCTACAACCGCGAAGCCAGGTTGTTCAAGCATCTCCAAAGATAAACGAACACCATGGTATGCTTCCTGTCCCCACCACTTTGGACCTGTCTTGACTCGATGCATCATCACTTCTCCTCGAGCCAGACGACGCGAGATGTCTCCTCCTGTTCGGACTTCTGCAATCGACCGTCGGAATGCAGATCGTCGAACCTCGGGGCATATCACATTGAGAATCAAGACAACTGCAATCATCACGATGCTGGTGTAAAAACCCCATGCTGGCGAGTGTTTATCAATGATAGCCGCGCCAATGAGAAAACCAAGTCCAAGAGATCCAATCCAGCACCAGGTCCAGATGCCAAGCCAAATACCCATGCCACCACCATGTCTTCTTGCGTCGAAATGATCAACAACCTCTTCATGGGGACGCTGACACATTAGAGAAGCACCAAAAAGGTCCGTCAGAACTGAGTGAAAGTTCATTGTAGCAAAACCCAAAGAGCCACCCATTAGGGTACGAGAGGCCAACAGCATCGCCCTCCAAGACGCAGTGTTGGTAAGCCTGGGACTGCTGACTGCAATTGCCTGTGGAAAAAGAAGAGGCATTGCAATAATAAGACTTGACATTATATACGGCTTCCGACCGTGGAGTAAGGGCAATGGCCAGAGAAAGAAGGACGGAATAGCAAGGGCAAGGAAACAACCGGTGTTGCCATGAACAGTGACGTGTGATTGATCCACGATATAATACTGAATTGATGGGACTAGGCCTGTATAGATACCAAGTAGCACCCCGATGAGTGCTGTGCTCAAGCAGGCAGTAGAGGCTACAAATCGCTTGCGAACGGGTGACTAGTCCCTCGCAATCGGTTGCCTGATGTGCGACTTTGGAAGATTGAGCCCTTGCATGTCCCGTAGACTCACGTGCGATCGCTTTCGAAGATTGATGCCATGTTCGCCATGCAGTCTTCTCCCAGCAATGTTATGTTCTGGCAGAGCATCATGGCTGGTTCCACTTCGAACGACTGATGAAACGTTCACAGCTGCCGAGCGTTTATGAGTTGTTGTTTGTCCTTGGGCGTCCATTCCTCCGACATCAAGAAGGGCACTTATGCTGCGGAGATCTTTCAACACAACCGGCCTACGTCTACGATCCGCCTTTAACCCTTGGAAAGATTTCCGGGACTTTCTGCTGAGTGAAGAACGTCGTGAGGGGCCACTTTGTTGTCTTCGTTCAGCCTGAGTCTTTGTTCGAAGCTCCTGATAGGTTCCGGAATAGCTCTCAACTATATCGGCCAGCCGCGGGCGTTTGGGTACGGCAGTGTAAGTGGCAGCACGCCTGCATCCCGGCCTCGCTAGGTAGGCCGTATATACTCCATCTATAGGAAATGCTTTGACGTTTTCTTGGGGTCTGTTGCCCATCGACAAGTTTGATACGTCCACATGATCGGTGCCATACTCATTCGACACGGCGGCAGGGTGACTAGCATGAGCTGCGGTTTCCGAATGGTCCGCGACCTCCAGGGCGAGGGAAAGAGTTTCATCGAGGAGCCTCTCGAGATCGCTGAATACACGCTTGAACAGTATCCCGTCAACTCCAGGATCAGGCTTGCCAGATAAAGCCGACCACGCGGACATTCTACGGAGAGCCATGCTGCTTGGCAACACAGGCTCTGATGGACGTCGATCATCAGATCTGATTAGTTTGATTCGAGGCGGAGGCTCTGTAAGCTGTGAATTGTTTGACTTTGCTGTGTGCGATAGTCGCTTGAGCCACTGGCTTTTCCATAAATAGCTCATGATAGATCCCGAGGACTGACTGCGAATTGGTCTATTTATATTTGTAGCTAATAAGCTCTGGTCTTCCAACCGAGATAAGTCTGGACAATTCACGTCGTGAGAGCTGTTGTTTTGGTCGTATAAGCCATGCAGCTGTGTGTCTGACGATGCCATATTGGGTAGGCATGTGCCTGTGTTGAGCGATGAGAAGCGTCTAGCATCCTGGTCACCAACACTTGAAGTGTTCGAAAAGACCACATCTTTTTCTGGAGGAGCGATCCTTTTGCCCTTGGAAGCACTTCCGCCAGGACAGTTTATGCTTGTCTTTTTCCGGCTCTTAGTAGTTGACATTTTCAAACAATTTCTGTAATCGCCCAGAAGGAGGTCAATGGTTGGGCGCACTTTCACCGGAAGAGATTGGGACTTCTAGTCTTTGTTCGACAAGACACTTCTTGATCTAGGCGAGTTCTGTTCCAAAGTTGGCCGCTGGCCAATCTCGCCTCGTGATGACTTTAGGTCATTGTCGGCGCACAGAATCCCTGTAGTCTCCGGAATATCTTCAACTTCGTGTTCATTCTGGCCACCCACCGAAGATTCTAGACGACTGTGCTGTATTGCCATCCCGTCCTGTGATAAAGAAGTTTTGTGGTAAAGGGGGGCAGGTATAGCGCCGAGGATATTTAGTGTTTCTGCTGAGGGTTCGAATTGCCGAGTCTTTGCAAGAGGAGTCGACTTATTTGTGCCAGAAAACTCTGAATCGGTCAATGGTGATTTAAGATGACCAAGAGATACGGGGTCATGGTTCGCTCTCAACTCTTTGATAGCCTCTGATCCCATATCCTCGCTTCTTGGCATGTCCACGGATACGCGTGAACTTGGAGGAGGGGTTTGATCGAAGCCACCAACGCCAGTCCCGATGTAATCATCAGAGTTCCCTTGAGGGAGAAAGGCCCGAGTGTGGCCAATGAGGTTAGAAAACATGATGGAGTTTCGCGTATCGTGTGCTGAAGCAGACGGCCGTATCGAATGTTGGACGCTGGTGACGAGAGTGTATCGCGATGACGAGGGGATTTACGCCGTGGAATTGATGTTCTACTAGACGCTGTGTTGGGAAAGGTTGACTTTGAGAAGTATTGTTGACGATTGTTTGAGTAGATGTAATACTGGATCAAGAGACTCGGTCATCGAACACGAGGGCATTCCCAACAAAGTCTAGATTGAACACGGGGGGAGAATAAAGATGAATATTAATGATTCTATCATTTATGTAGAGAAGCGGTTGCTAGGATGCGGAAGACGGAAATGGGAAAAGGGTGAGAGGAGAGGCCGTTGTTGATGGTGTTGATGGAGAGTTACAAGTCACAGTGCACACGGTAAGGCCACTGAAGGGTTGATGGCGGCAGATGTGCTAGTGCAGTTTCCTTTGCCAGTTTCGCCCAACCTGCCTTCCATTCACTTTCCCTTTCTCTCATCATTGTCATTATGCGGGAAGGAGCGAGTGAATCAAGGCGAATACCTCGCTTCATGGCATCAGATAATACAGTAATATTTCAGTTTGGGCCCGAGCTCATCATGACAACATGTTGAGCTGCACTGTCAAGAAACCTGACTCGCGTGTAAGGCTGAACATGACAATGAGTCTGATGTGATCGTAGCCGAGTTTCAACAAAGGACCCTACATGATACAGCCCTGTTGCATAGAGAGGAACAAAGACCCAGCGACTCATTTGGCTGTACGTACATCCCTTACAGAATGTCCCTTACTCACAAGCGCCAGCCGCCTCAACCCCCTAGCTGGGACGGCCCACCCTTGTCCCCTCCAGAGGAAAAACGCCTTGAGCACTCCACCAAACGTCATGCCCCTGCATACAAACAGCCCGGCTTCGGCAAGCCAGGGATCGTCTAGTTTAATTCTTGGGGACTCTGGCCGTCAGCATGGAACCCGACCTCAGCCGTTTCTGACAGCTGAGTCGTGCCATTCCTATTTCGAACTAATCCCTGGAAACTACCGCGATGTAGCGTTACTACTTTGGCTCACCTCAGCCCTTGATGAGTTCTTTAAGCGATAGACGAATCATCTTTCCATGCTCGTCAAGTTCAAAGATGCAAGCTTCAGGTAGCTCTCCATCATGTCAGCATCGTTTTGTGCTGGCCAATTGCACCTGAGAATCCGGGTTCCCCTTATACACTGCATATGACATCCAACCTTGAGCTCGGTTGTAAGCTTGCGATGCTTCTTTGCACGGGATCGTTACATCCTCCTAGGATTTGAATCTCGATCGTTGTGCTCGTGTTGGGAATATAGCACTCAGCAGTATAGGCTATCGAGTGCTAAGCGATATCTCGAGTCTTTCCGCAACGAAGTTGCACGGTCAGGTCCGAGTAACGTAGAAGATCACCTTAATTGATACACAAACTCCTTGTCTATCTACCCAAAACACATGCCCCAATATCCTTGGCAACCCGACCGATCGTCTCACACCCTGGAATAGTTCCCTGCATGGCGCCAGTGCGCCTAATCGCGCACCGCCCGCAAATCACACAAGCCCCCAGCCCTCCTTGTAATCTGCGTCAAAAGTTTCCTGAGTAAAACAGCCGAAATCCTTCTCAAGGCTGATTGGCCTTACTCTCGCCGAGCACACCCATCCTTCCCGCGTGGCTCGATCTGGCAATCTACCGGGGTGGATGGCCTAATAATAGGACACGCTAACCTCGGACGTCACTACCATTGCCGTGTCCATGGGCTTAGACAAACTATCGAAACTGCAACTGCTACTGCAAGGCTGTGACTCAATCTAGTTGATATAGGTGTCTTTTAGCCCTTTCTGCCTTGTCTGCACGACGCATAACTCAGCATTTAGAGCTGGTGGCTTAACTGAGGCCTCCCCATGGCACATCTAGCATTGCCGTTGCAACGTTTTTCCAGCGCTTTGAAGTCTTACACCTGTGTTAGAGAAAGTATGTAAAACCTTTGGAGATATGATTATAATGTGCACGTATCCCTTTCGGCCGAGGCTTTCAAGGCTTGGTTGTGAAGTTGTGGAGAAGTTGACTTCATACGGCCCACTTTGCCTGATGATCGCGAGGATGAGTTGAAACTAAGCCTCAGCAAAATAGGCACCAATCATACTTTCTACTTTTGGATATTCATGCTAATTTAATGATTCACGAGAAGAGTTTGAGAGTATTAAGAAGAGGTAAATTTGTCTTTTTCCATGTCGTGGAACGTTCAACGTCACACTTCCTGTTGCTAGTTGTTCGATTGGGAACCCAGCTCCTAAGTCAAGAACATATGTACCACATGACAAGGGTGACTGTTGCAATCAATGCTTTGTTATAGGCCCAGGTGATGCAGTATGAAAACAAAAAGAATACACCGGAGATTTCGAAAGATCCTCTCCAAAAGAAATGAAATAATGGCCAGCCATCCGTTGTCCACATCTAATGCTACAAGCATTTTAGTAAGCCCCGCCAGTTCAAATGCAAACCATGATAAAAGTCCCAGTGACCCTAAGATGTGGATCGTCTTTTGTCAAAAAAGACATCCATGGAGAAGAAGAAGAAGAAGAAGAAGAAGAAGAAGAAGAAGAAGAAGAAGAAGAAGAAGAAGAAGAAAAAGAAAACAAATAGCAGTACCGTCGTCCGGAGGCGGAGACTTATTACCAGTAATGTCTCAGCCCTTGATGCTCAAGAATAGAAATCCCACCGTCTAAAATCGCCGTGAGGCTCTCAGCACCTGCTCTCCCAAGATATAACCCAATGTCGCTGTATCCTGACTTGTTTCCAGCCAAGCGAAAATGAAGTGGCACCAAAACAATCCATCGCTGTGCAAAGGGGGAAAAGGCCAAATAAGTAAACGCCATCTGACAATGTGAGTTGAGAGATTTTTCGTCCGTTGATGAATGCTGGAGCCGACCAGCAAATAAAGAACTACCGGCAAGTTCAAGAAAACAATGCCGTGAGTTAAAAGAAAGAGAAGAATTGCTTGCGAAGGGAGAACAGCAATGCGAGTTGCTTTCCCCTACCGAAAAAAGGCATTCCGTCGTGATCGTTTTCATGTCCATATCATATCTCATTCCCATGCCCTCGGCAACGTTGCTGTAATCTCCATAACAAAAGTGGTCATCCACAAAACGAGGAGGCCCCAATGGGCGACGACAGAGCGAGAAAGTCTGCGAAAAGGATACGCCTAGCGGTGAACCTCATTCGGAACTCCACCAGTCCAACGAAATCCTGCTAGCAAAAAGGAGAGCTGCGATGGGTTGCAGGAGAGAAGGTAAAAAACCCAGTCGTCGAACTTGAATATTATCAGTCTTGGAGAGCAAGATCCCACTGCCGAAGACAGAATCGTTCATTGATAGCTCTTTGAGCTCGAGTAGCCACTGTGGTAGCCACTGTCTGAGTAGCTATGTGGTGATGCATACTGAGCACCATGACTCGAGTGTGCAGAGCATAGGTAACCAACGAGGATCGTTCGCTGCTGGATAGGATGGCCTGGGCGGCCGTATGCTGCGCAGCGATCAACAGCATGGGTGTAGTAGGGGCATCGGCAAGCCGAATAGAGCTCGACAAGTTGATAGCACATGGTTGTGGTGGTGGGCCGTGAAGTTGTTGGCCTGGTGTCGTTGGTTTAGGATACAGGAAATTGTACACCCAGTAAGATGTCTAATATGTGAACCAACAGAGGATGAAATCGAACGTGGTCGGGCTCGTAATGAAGACAAGGGGCACTGAACAAGGAGGATGAAGCTTAAAGGCAAGGCAGTGAGAATCAATGGAGAAACGCTTGCTTTATGAATCTTGTGAATAGAGAGATAGGAAGTGAGGATAAGACAATTAACTTCCAAAGAGGCATCGCAGCCTTATAGGCCTGCTTGTAGCCTGGATGAGAGCATCGAAGGTCATAAAGACACGCCCCGGTTCGGGGCTTTTCTTGACAAACAACACTCCCCAAGAACATCACCAGGATGTGTGTCAAGGCACCAGTGACGCCAGAGACGCCAGTAAGAGTGCGTGAGAGCAATAGCCGCAAGTTGAGTCTGACTGTCTTGACAGGTGACAAAGGCTGGGGCGCGTCTATTGCAGGCTTGGGATAGTGTAGACCCACTGCTAAAGGACCAAAGATGCCTTGAGCCTGGAGGGGGAGGGGGTCTAAAGGACCTTTGAATTTGGGGGCTTTACTTTTTTCGGAGGCTATGGCTCCTAGGACCTTGTGCGTCAAGTGCCCTGTGCTCCGATTTCGTCTGTTTCATCGGGTGGTTCTTGTTCCGAAGGAAGCCAGAAACATGCCTTAACTCAACTCATCCATTGAGTGAGATTGAGAAAGCACGGGCTTGCTCTCAAGGCGCAGCGCAGTGGGTGTGGATGAATGAGCCTGGCTACTGGGTACCCGTACCGCATCAACTGGACAGGGATCCAACAGCGTGCGCAGGGGTAGTCCGTAGTGCAAAGCCTATAGTCCTGTAGGTACATACAGCATAGCAAGTGCAGGGAATAGGCGGCGACAGGCCATAATTAACTCCATCCATAGGTTGGAGGTGGTTCCTGGGTTCGGTGTGAGGAGTCATCAATTGGCCTGAGACAGGGAGGTTGAATTGACCTGCAGCAGGGCTGAAGGGGAGGGTTACAGACCTGGAAACAATGTGATGCAATGCAATGGCGATAGTTGAAATTGCACCCTCTTCCACTATCATACTGCATGGTACCAGCATGGTACCTCCTGTACGTATCGTAGCTGCATGTATGGGCGGATTGAACGACTTTGTCTTGATCGGCCGAGGGTGACTTCAAAAGCTTGTGACGGCGACCATCCTGTTACCGTTAGAGAAACACCATCAATGAATATTGGCGAGAGATGCAGGCTTATGACGTATGCGAAATGATAAGACATGTAATCAAGAGGTCTAGACCCATGCAAGAACAGAAGCGCACGGCATTGAGGACAAAGGATGAGATGCGCTCATGATGGATATGACGAGGATGTATCAATCAGGGTCTTTTCGTTTGTGGGAGGATTAGGACGTGGAGAAAGAAATTACGGAATGGCATCAAAATTTAGGGGACTTTGGAGAGTTAGTCATTCAAGGCAATGGTTCGCCTGGCTCCTCTTCCCCAATGAAAAGTCGACTTATAGTTACACTTACCCAAATAATACTACTACCTCTAGGTACATAGGCCATTACACGTGCCCTCGAATACCAACAGGCAGATCAGGCAGAGACTCTATTCTCGTCCTCAATGAGTAACAATGTTTGCTCCTCTCTATGCCATCATCCTCCCAAACGCAGCACGATGGGACTTTGAAACACGCAGCAACACGACAGCAAAACCCCAGCCACAATATCACTAAATGATGCCTGAAATGCCGTATCAGGAATGCAGACCGTCTGTCTGCCACCCAATCTTGAAAGATTTCTAACCAAATAAATCACCAAGATCAAGTTTCCAGATACCTAATAAGTGCTACAATATCAATACCAAGATGCGTCTAAGACAGCGTCACACGCAGTACCACTGCTCAGCGCTAACCCTTGCTGCTCGGCACTTATGGTGATGGTGGGCAGGCCTTGCTGCGCCTAACGTCCCGGTGCTAGGGCACTGGAGTTCCTGGAATCTGATGTGGTTTCTCTATTTCTTGTTTCCCGTTTCATACCAACAAGCATTAGCTAATTCCAACTGTGCAATAGGAAAAAGCCACCATCTCAAATTAGAGTCAGGGAGCTACCGACTAGCGGGCCTAGAATCGTATGGGTCTCGATCATTACCCAGGGGCTCATTCTTTCACGATTCCACAGATAACATTTTCGACACCATGACAACTCTGTTCCATTACAACATAGCTCATATGCAGAATCAAACATTCGCCTGTTCCCTAGATGGCCATGTTGCTGGGTTTCTAGTCTATATGCCCCCAGGACGAGATATACTTGTCATCTTGGGACTATGACTTTTTCAATATTGCCTACCTTATGAACCGATATCGATGGAAAATGGTAGAAACGGATCAGACTCGGAACCACAATTTTAAGAATACTACCCGCCCTATCACCTGCTGACAGTCATAGCGACAGGGTCCCCTGTCCATCATAAGGCTGTGTCTGCATCCCCCCCAGGCCTTGGCAATGCTTGCACTCTTCATAAGTGCACACTTGGGTCGTTGCCAACTTTGAAATAAACTGACGTAGAGTCGCGGTATCTGATAACACTTTCATACCGTAAACATGATGGATAGTGGTCCTCGCGAGTCTTCAAAGTGGCGTGAAATCGTATGTGGGCTCCTCATTGTTGCAGCTTGTAAAGAAACATAGGGAGCAAGTGTAATTGTTGGGGAACTCATCGAGTGTACGTCTGATGATCCCAGATCGACCAAGAACCCCCCCTCCAAGACCAAAGTGTTGGAAACTGAGCACACCTCAACTAAGTCTGTCATAAAACATTTCCGCGCAACTGACATGCATCCACACTACCACCATTATCCCTGAAAGTCTTCCGAGTACTGTGCAGGATTGACCAGTCAGCACTACTACACAGTTCGACATTCACTCTTTACACATGAATCCAAATGTGGAGGCAGCCGGCCCAGCCTTGCATTGGTGGCTTTCTGGATGCTCAGGTACGTTTTCTCACCCTCGAGTGATCTGGACAGATGCCTCATAACGCTGACAAGTTCCCGAAATTTTCACCGCTCCCTACCTCATGTCTTACCCAAAGGTGCAACCTGAATTCCTATTGGAACGGGAAACAGTGTTACCTGCCGCGGCAATAGGATACCAGGCATCTGACTTTCTTAGGTCAGCATTCTGGCCTACCTCACGTGGGCTCCGGGCAGCGAGTTCGCTGACATCGGGGCCTTGAGAAGACGTGCCGTATGGATTGTGAAGATAACGAGAATTCGGTGTTTTGAATCCCGCATGCCTGTCGGTTGAGTGAGAAAGAACTTATGTTCACGTCATCCACGTTGGGCATTTATATTGCTTTGAATGCACAGCATAGGCCACATCTACGATCTGGTTAACGCATTCCTGGCTCGAAGGAGTTCGAAAAAGACCTAATAGTGTAATGGATCTCTATGCAGGAGGCTCAAGTTGACTCCAACTATAGGCTAACGTTTACTGTTACATCACAATTCCATGAACGATAGTTAAATCTGTTAGAACGTACATGGAGTCGTACATAGGGCCAACACAAAATGTTTTGCTGAACTCAAGAATTGATCGATCACTACACAATGTCTCACTTGGCCACCACCATCGACGGTCCGTTGCCGTTACATGTCTTGCCAGAGACACCACCATTTGAAGAAAATGCTCAATTGGCTCAGGCGTAATCAACTCGTCCTGATTAGGAATCAAGTCTCAGGCACATGTTTCCTCTAAAGTTTGCCAAACTTCGCGATGAGACTGTTACTGGCATGGTATTGTGTGCCCATTCTCTCGGGATAGTGAATGCTGTAAGTTTATTCTTGGCAAACACCCTGGTTTACGGTTGAAACTGAGGAGTGCCAGAGTCAGACGTCCCCTATGCAGAACCAAAAAAGGAGTCATAGGTAAACAGGCATCAGAAACCACCCAGACTAGAGCATCATCGCATGCAGGATAAGAAAAAGGGCATCAGTGACTGGCCAAGTAAGGTCCAGTTAGACGCCGAAACAATCCAAACAGTCTGGGGGAGAAGGCAGATGACGAGCGAGCACGGACGAAAGCCAGAACCCTCCATCATTGTCATGGTTGCCCAAGATGTTCACTCCTCGTCTGCCTAAACTGCTTTGCTGCTATATGATACGAAAAGATTGCGCCTTTGCGCATAGTCTGGGGGTTTAGAGTGCTATGATCATATCGTGGAAATCATTCTCTACTCAACACACAATTACCACACAGATCACGCATGTCCAATACGGCCCTGACGGCTTACTATCATCGTCATGGAGGGTTTGATGACCTCACAGTCATGTCGCACAGCGATTCAAGACCTTCAGCCTCGTCCGAGAACCTATAGAACAACCCTGTCGTCTGCGGGGAATGGGTCAGTCCCATGTTCATCCGGCGACCGCACCCAATAATCGGAGCCCGGAGAGGGGCGCCACTGCATGCCCCACGGGCTGCGCCTCCCGCCGTGGCTTGCCCCCCCGTTGTTCGTCCCGGAGTCGCCGGCGGAGAAAGCTTGACCTACAACATATTGTTCGGCCATATCATGACAACTTCTAATCCTCATCTGTTCTCTTGCAGCGACTACTTAACGCCCAAAAAAGTCATACCGGTTACAATAAGACGCAAGGCATTCTGATGACCCACCTTTGTGCATCTTGATTCTTTCTAGGGACACTCATATTGAGCTCAGTCTGCCTTGGACTCATGAACCCAACTAATACGATACCGGCACACATGCAGTCGTTTGAGCATACTGTGACAGATGTCAGACTGAACTCTCGGCCGGACCCGTTTCTAATATTAAGATGAACCCAGCTCCCGTCGTTGATTTGCCAATCATCTTCACATCCACCCCTTTCTGAACATCTGTTTCCCACTCGCCGAGACCGACGTTATTGATCAAGGGGCATGGCTCCCTGCACCATCGCCTAGCTTTTCCATTTGGCGGCGCGGCTGTTTGCCGATGCGTTTACATCCTCAACCCTACCCATCTTTCCCTTCCAGCGAAAGATGTCGCCGCTTACAGTTAGCACAAGACCGTTACATGAACCCCCCGGCACAACATTTGCCGCCATGCCTCGCGCCTCTTCTTTTGATCTTGACGCAGCCGCGATCCTATTCGTGATCCTAGGCGTGGCCCGTCATCTGTCCGACATCATAAGGCGTAAGGCTGATCTGCAACCGCGGCGACGTGTCTCGAAATTGTCCCATCCTTCGAGCTTCGGAACCTCAGCTGTTTGACGATCAAATAAGCATCTGACGTCGTACATGTTAGCGGCTCTTGCACAAGCACCAATAATTGTACTCATGGAAGGGAGGCCTCAGTCAATAATCAAGAGTCAACAATGAATCTAGCCTCGAATGTTCCATTATGAGTAAAGTTATCTGAATGCCTGGAAGGCTCATTGGTGTTAGCCATACTCTATCTGGGTGTCCGAACCCTTCTTGCGAGCCCCCTTAACTTCTATACTCTCCGATTCGATGCGGACAACGACATCTATTGAGTTGAGTTGAAACAGTCGTCAAATCTCGTGATATACCCCCTTCCCAAAACAGTTGCCGCCCAATCTCAAGCTAAGTTGACTCACTAATCACCGTCTCGTTGTATCACGAATTTGCCTCCCGCAGATCCATCGCAAAGGGGCCGGAAAGCAGACGTCTTTGGTCATCGTGTAGGCGTGGTAACAAGGATTGAAATGAATGATCGAGATGTATCATGTGCCCCAATCCCATCTTCCCTCTTCTGCATCCTCCATGCCTTCGCCCACCCTCGTAAAATCCATGCAGTTTTTGTTTGTAAGGCGAAGACCAAAGTCAAACTGTCCCTGGCAACGCCGTTGCATAGTGCATCAGTTACCCAAAGATGCACAATGGTCAAAACAAAATGTTTAACGCAACCTGAACTCCAATCATGATAAAAAGGCATCCTCCAAATAAAAACTATGTTCGTCGACTCATTGCGGCTGTTGCACCCGCAGCGGCCAGGTCCTGCTTCGCGCTCACACTCCTACCAGCAGCTCGAGGCAAGCCACTTGCTCCTTGTGCAAGTCCAGTCGTACCAGCGCTCGTTCGTTTGGTTGGCATGGAGCCAATAGGTCCCGTGGTCCCGGAAGTCTTTCGCACACCACCAGAGACTAGTTTGTGAGGGCTGGCTCCGGTTCGCAGAGACATTGGGGGTTTGGCACTAGCACCTGGAGGTTCTGGGAGAGGCCGTGGCGTCGAAATTGTGTTATGCCGCTTCATGGGTGATGATTCGCGAGTTGGCGGCATACGAGGGACGGGCATCTTACGCCCAGTAATGAACTCGTGCCGAATCGCGTCCTCAGGTTTCATGCGTCGTTCGGGGTCCCAACGTAAGCACCTATGCAGAAAGTCTATGAAGACCTCGTCGTCGCATTTGAGTACCTGGCCTAGAGTTTTGGAAGAAGGGCGACGTCTGCGGCCTTTAGACGATACTGTAAGACGGGGTTTGCCCATTGAATCGAAGAACAGTTTCTTTCGAGTGCTCTTTTCAATCAAGTGCTTTTCAGGAGGCCCAAAGACCTCCATGATACAGGCAAGTTGCTCTTGTTCGTTTTCTCCAGGGAAAATAGGGACCCCAGTATATAGTTCTGCCAGGATACAGCCAACGCTCCACATGTCAATCGGCATACCATAGGTCATGCCAAGGATGACCTCTGGTGATCGGTAGAAACGAGACTGAATATAAGTATACACCTTCTCATTTTCAAAACAGCTGGAGCCAAAGTCAATGACCTTGATTTCCGCATGAAGGGGATGTCGCAAGAGAATATTTTCGGGTTTGAGATCACAATGAATGACTTTGTGCTGCTTGAGCAGATTGAGTGAGCTGAGAATCTGCTTGGTGAAGCGCCGAATGATCTTGATAGAGAATCCTCTGAAAGCATGGGCTTTGATGAGCTCGTAGAGATTCATGTCAAGTAATTCTGTAGAGATGCAGAGATGACCACGGAAATAGAAACTTTGTGTAAAGTTGACCATGCTGTGCCTATTCTTTGGATCCTGTGCCAAGTTAGCATAAATATTGAAGGGTGAGTAGTGACTCTAGCTTACCCATTCACGAAGCTTTTGCAGAATATTGACCTCCACAAGAGCTTGTTGATGGAATCTTTTCTTGTTCCTTATGATCTTGATAGCTACCAGACCACCAGTCTTGTGATCAATGCATCGAACGACTTGTCCAAAGCTTCCCTTTCCGAGAACATCAATGATCTCATATCGATATGCAAGGTGGTCTCCAGGCACAATGGTATAATCGCCACGCTCGTCGTCGTATCCAAAGTTGGGTGCATCAGACTGGAGATCGCCTACAACCTTGTGGGCGTTCTGTGTCCCACAAAAGTACACATCGGTATAGTCCACAATTTCGCCCCTCTCATAAATATTGAGCATGGCAATACGAATTGCTTCGTGAGCGCCAACTCGCTCTTTGGGGGTGGCTCGCTTTCTGAGCGCGTCCAGGGTTCTAGCAGCAACATCCGTCTCTTTGCGCCTGGAACCCAACTTAGCCATCTCTTCTTCTGCTGCCATATCATCCTTGTCGAGGTCTGCAGAGTATGAGTCGGGGCCCTTCGACATGCCAGAAGAATTCCTGGGGCGAAGGATTTTCTGCATAACTGAAGTATTTCGACCAACGGGCATTGTTGAAGGGTCTGGCACTGTTTTTTTCGCAGTCCAAGATTCGCTTTTTGTCTTGTCGTGGGAGATGAACCCATTGAGGCTTCCACCAGAGCTCTTTCGCCTCCGCGACTCAAGATACCCTCCAGGAGGCTGCTTCACGGTTGGGGAAGGACTGGCTTGCTTGAGAGTTGACAGGTTGTTTAAAGTGGAGGAGATAGGGATCCTGGGAGGAGGCATAGGTTCCTCTGGCTGCTTCGCGCTGGCTTTCTCAACCACATCTGTAGGGGCAGTAATATTGCTCTTGGAGTTCCCACGCTTCCAAGAAAGACTGAGTTTTCGTCGAATAGAGCTCATGGAGGAGGGTGTTTGTGGCTCATCCAGCGAATGTTCCGGTTGAGGAGATTTGGGGGTTGGTTCTGCCTCTTTAGGCGCGCGAGGACCCGTAGGCTTCTGGTGGATTTGATCTTGGAACATGTTTTCATCCAAAGTCATGAAGTCGGCTCCCGTCTTCGACCTCTTCAAGAAACCATGGTCCGCGCCGCCTTTCGGTAAAGAGGATGACAAGAAAGGTGACATGCTTTGCTTGTGATCAAGTTCCTTGAAAGCTAACGACGATTCAGTCGAACTAGCGTCAGGAGGTGTAGGCGTGAGATGGGTGTGATGAATTGAACTGCTGCTCCTGAGAGATGGAAGCTCAGGAGTATCGCCATGGCGACTTTTGGCAAAGAAGGAGCTTTTGGAAGCTGTCATAGGGGTTGTGGGAGTCTTTGGCAATTGCCGGGCTGGTGGTGGAGTTTCGTGCCTATCTACACTGCTGTGGTCTTGCAACGCTGCAATCTTGTTAGCAGTTGGGGTGCTCAAAGGTCCCAGGTTGATTGGTGGCAGTCTTAGAGGTTGCAGATGTCGCTTATTTGGAGGAGTGGCCTTGCTATCAGGCTCAGCGGCCACACTCGGCACATAGCTCTTTCGCGCGCTGGGCTTTCTCTGAAGCTTCGTGGGCTCAGGAAAGACAGGCATAGAAATGACTCCAGTAGAGTTTGAGTTCATGCCCATGACATCCATGTTGCTAAGCGCAGTCTTTTTCTTCTCCATGAAATAAGTGTCTGCGGGCGAGTCTTTCGGCGACTCGTAGGCTTTCGGTATAGCAGGGACAGGCGGAACATATTCGTCATCATCAGTTGGAATAGGATTGTGGACTGTCGTATGTTTTGGTGCAGGCAAGCGTGACGTAGATGAAGACCCAGATATACGGTGTAACGATCCAGTTGATGTTCTAGCCGAGTTCAGGCTGAAGCCAGAGTTAACTGATAGATTTGAGTTGAAGGATTTACGGTGGAGGTCTGGGGTAGTTCTCGAGGATGATGGGGTACCAGAAGTTCGCCTTGGAATCATGGAAGGCGATTTCGATTCAGCTCTCTCAGGTTGATTGTTCATCGACACTGGTGGTGGAGGCGGAGGGGTGGAAATCTGACCAAGACTCAATGACTGTGGCATTGTTGAGAGTCGCTTCATCCTCCTTGTATCAGTGGGACTAATTGTCCTCGCGCCGAGGCCAGTCGCATGTGATGAATGGTGGGCGCCGGGCATCATCGAAACTCTCTTGTTGGCGGAGGACGGCGTGCTCAATCGGCCTCCGACCCGAGGTGATCGCGGGGCCAGGGTCGAGTGTCGGTTCTGCTCTGGGGTGAGGGTGTTACCAAGACCAAGGTTGGTTTGATTTGGTCGTGGTGGCGGTTGTACTGATTTGGATTTCGCAGCCCTTGAGTTGGGAAAATTTCTTGTATTATCGAGCCACGATGGATTGCCGTCCATAGAAGCTCTCGTCGAGCCGGCAGGCGTCCCTTCAGAGAAGAGACTGGGGCGCCGCTTCTGGGGAGGTCGAGCTCCATAGTCCCCATCGCCAACAATTCCTGGGCCGATCGACTTTCGAGGAGGTTTTGGAACGACGGTATTGGAGACAGGCGGGTATTGGCTTTGTCGACGAGAGCGTGCAGCGCCCGGCCCGTGGATATGATCAGTCGGACCAGAAGCACCGGAGGCATTGGCAGGCGGTCTGTTAGAATTACTAGGTCGACGCAGTAGCGAGCCTGATCGAGCGGGTCGAGTGCTGGTTTGGACAGCAGTTCGAGTGGCAGCACCATTCGATGACGGAGCTACTTGAGATCTAGAAGACATACTGGCGTTATCTACCCCGTGGGTGTCGAGGATGCCCCCTTCGCCGTTGGGAGACGGGAATTGGGTCAGTTTGAAGTCTGTTGAAGCGGATTCGATGCTACTCTGTAAATCGTCGAAGCTAACAGAGGGCAAGAAATCGAAAGAAGCAGTCGAGTCGTTTAATTGACCTGAATCTCCATCACGACTAAAAGAAAAAATGGAATGATTATTGGAAGGAGTTGCGCTGAGCATTGGATCGTCGGAGGCAAAGCCAGGGTTCGTCGAGGGGATATGTGGTCGAGGCTGAGCGTTGGCGGTTTTGCCCCTGTCACAAAGAGATCAAGGTCAGCTTGGCCATGTGCAGAAATGCAGGGCGATAAAAGACTTGGATATGACAATGACAACGGTACGCACAACACGCATTGGCCAATATGTCAAACGAACGAAACAAACAGAAAAATGTCAGATGGAAAAGGCTCACAATCGCGTTGGAGAAAAGTTGGCTGGTCGAGGCCCAGCAGGTGCCTTGTGGTCGCGGCTCATGGGGTCCAAGGTCGAGGGGCGTGGCTGGCAATGCGACGAAGGTGGATTTCACGGGGTCGGGTCGCTGGCACAGACTCAGTCCGGTCAGGGAGCTGAGCGTATTCGAACGGCTACCTCATTCCGGAACCGATAAGAGTATTGAAGTGCAAGAGAGCAGACAGAATCAAAGTCGGAGTCAGTGAGCGGTTGGCGACAGGCGAAAAGGAGCCCGGAGCGATTGATTGCGGTGGGCACCCCGAGAAAGGGATGGTACAGTAAGATGCGAGATGGAGTAGAATAAAAAGATGGAGTCGTTAAGTTGGTTAGGTAAGGTTGTGTTTTTTTTCTCAGGATGGGATGGCCTTCCCTTAGGTTCATGGAACACTGCTATAGGCGGCCACAGGCAGTTCCGGAAGGAGGCATGGGGAATACCTGCGTGCTAGGGTGCCGGTGCCTCTTTAGGTAGCGGGCATCACACTCTCTAGCGTGTGAAGAAAGGCACCTGAGAGGCTGATATGGTGGAAGGGGCCTCGTGAAAGAACATCACGGTTGATAATGAACAGTGGACACCGGATCTCGACACGGTAGACGGGCAATTTAATTGGCTACTAGAGCTTTGAAATTGGTCCCTGGATTAGGTGCGGGCAGAGGTGGAGGTCCCATACCGGTTGTCGAGATGCCTTTTACCGCCATTTAAGTGGATGGAAGGTACCTGTATCTTGGGCTCATTCCACCCGTATCAGATGTATCTTCCCCAGCATGTAACCTCATAATGCGGTACCTCAATAACGTCCCCTTACACTATTAGCCTCTCCCGAACTCAACGATGCATATTGAGGAACGTCAACCATTCGTGATAGAATATGGGACATTCTCTGAATAACAATTAAATGCCAATCCAAATCCGGGCCAAGGACCTCACGCCCCTGGATGCATTTGTCGCGTTTTATCGTCATCTCATTCCAAGCTACCTTACCTACTTTACTGCTACCCTGCTCTGCCAGCTGGTCTCTATAACGCATCCACCACCCGATAATGAGCGGCGATGGCGGTGGTTTTAGGTAGAAGATTTGCATGGTCAGTGGAGAAGACAGCGGTATCCCGAATGAATGCTACCAGCCATACCATCCACGCATAGTGCCGAGTCGCGTGAACCGGTTGACGCATCAACGGGCACTGGCGCGATGCGCTACCCAGGTCGACAACCAGTGTTTGTATTGGGCCGTAATCGGATGTTGACATTGGAGCTGAGGTAAGGATAGCTGGGGTTCACGAAACGACAAGTGACCCGATTCGATACTACGACACTGGCAAGTGCTTCGTTGTTTCGCAACCAGGCTGTTCGCAACCAGGCTCAGGTCTCTAGATTCAAGAGTGCTGGGCTGTACTCGTGACGGGAGACGGGCTAGACGGTGTGGCTAATGGATAGATAGATGTCTTATTCGAGCCTCCCGCTCAGACCATGAACGCCCAGTGAATACAAGGATTGAGTCGTGTCTCAGATTTTCAAGGACCCATCAATTTGCCCCGGCAGGAGCTTTCTCGGGCATCTTCAACCGGTAGGGCCATACGGATGCATCTCTATTATTTACCAAGCATTTTGCCGGACCAGTAAACCTAACCTGTCAAGGCTGTTGTCGGTTGGTACCTTATGCATTGTTGTCCTGCCAAGCATCAAGGATCTGATGGTCCTGCATCTTGAGTCGTGTTTATTGTTTTTCGCCGTCTATATACGGTGGTGGATGATAGTTGGCAGCTGCTCCCAGCATCCGATAGCCAATCTGGCATCTGGCATATGTGAGCTGTCGTTGTCATGGGCAATGTCTTCTATTTGAAGTGAATTAAGCCCATGGCTATGATATGCCACTTGATCTCATCAACCACATATTAGACACCGACGAGCCGGGACACTCATCAGTGTGGATGACACAATCAAACTGTCAGGCAGGAATTCGCGTTCTCAAGGCCGTCGCTGGAATGGATTGCTGAATGCCTCCACAGCTTTAGCAATAGTGCCGAAATGACGAAGGTTATGCTTTCTTCACTCGATATTCAGTTGTGTGGGGTAAGTCAGATTTAAGGGACGACATGGATGTCGCTGTGGGCATATAAATTAGGATGGGATATATATGATATGAACCATGTCTCAGGACTTATTTACTCTCTCATGATGTCCGTAGTTTCATCCTTTATTCGGATCGATGCCAAGTCTTCTAAACTTCACCAAATGAGGCAACCCATCTGCATCTAATTTACTGCACTTCAAAGAGCATAACACGGTTAGAAGGCGCTACGGCCCGCTTGGCACTACTGTAAACTCTAGTTGACGGCAGAATCATGGAGGGTATCCAGCAAATGATTTCTCACTCACTACGAACATCATTTACTGCTGAATCGAGGCTAGCTTCTCTCCGTTAGGTATTATTAGAAGCCGTTGTCACGAGGTCAGTCTAGGTTAGGTAAGTTAGTAACTCGGTAGCCACAAGATGCTCACCAACCTTCGGATCTAGGTGTAAGTGATGTCACCAGTGTCACATGCTCACCCGTGATCGTGCCGTGACACCTCCACGCGGGTATCTTGAATCCCCAGTTCCTTTTGAATTCTCCACCATCCAATGTCGCACCATGTCTTGAAACATCCCTCCTCATGGACGACTTCGCTGCAGAGATGTTCGCTTCTGGGCGCAACTTTGACTCCCCCGAGAGCTCAAGCCAGCGCCCCAACAATGACCATAACGACGACAATGACAAGCAGCCCGAACCCAAGGCCGAATCAAGCTCTCAGAAAACGGGCCTACGCGGAGGATTTGCTGCTATTCGCCAGAAAGCTAGCTTACAGGACCGGTTGGTAGAAAAGTATATTGAGCTTCCCGAGCCGCTGTAATGCCCTGCTTTACTGACTGGTGCCACGGTAGACTTCTTCAGCAAGTTATACCCACGGATAGCGATGACCAAACCGAGGTTCACTTCGCTGGTGATGAACAATCAGCTACCCATACAGAGAGGCCGAACTTCAATATCACTACCATGTCTTACAATTTTCGGCGATTCAACGCTCGAATAGGCGTCGTCTTTAAATTCCAGGCCCGTGTGGAACGTATTCTATCCTGGAAGCGCGCGTCGCATACTCTATCACTCCTCGCCGTCTATAGTTTTGTCTGCCTGGATCCTTATCTCCTGTTTGTGCTGCCTGTTGCCATCCTTCTGTTCGGTGTCTTCATCCCCGCGTTCCTGGCACGGCATCCAGCACCACCCAAGGGAACCTTGTCGAGTGAGCAGAATGTTGGATATTCTCCCCAGGGACCACCTTTGGCACCTGCGGCGACGGTGAAACCAGTCAAGGAACTCAGCAAGGACTTCTTTCGGAACATGCGCGACCTACAGAACTGCATGGATGACTTTAGTCGGGGACATGACCAGGTCGTCGCCTTACTTGTACCAGTGACGAATTTTAGTGATGAGGCTCTCAGTTCTGCTCTATTTTTATTTCTTACAGCCGGAGGCATTTTTATGACCATTGCGGCCCAAATTCTACCCTGGCGCTTCATATTCCTTCTCGGGGGTTGGGTTATCGTGGGTATGGGTCATCCGCACGTCGCCCGCCTCATTGCTGCCGCTCATCGAGACCGTCTCCAGCCACAAGAGGCCAAGGCTCGGTCGTGGTTAGATAACTGGATCAGCTCAGACGTTATCCTCGACTCCAGTCCTGAAACGCGTGAAGTGGAAATCTTTGAGCTACAGCGCAAAACCTCTGGTGGTGGCGAGTGGGAGCCTTGGCTTTTCAGTCCTTCACCCTACGATCCTTTGTCACAACCTCGAATTGCAGGTGAACGACCACGCGGAACACGCTTCTTTGAAGATGTCATGCCACCCGAAGCGTGGGAATGGAGCGAGAAGAAATGGGCTCTAGACCTTTGGAGTCGTGAATGGGTAGAGGAACGTATTATTACAGGCGTTGAAGTTGAGACAGAAGGCGAGCGTTGGGTTTATGACATATGGGATGAGCGAGACGAGCGTACGGGTGTTGTGGACGTTCCTATCAACGACAAAGGGAAGCAAAAGGCAACACCGAAACCAAGCTGGGAGGAGAATGAAGACGGCAGTGGTCGGAGAGGTGACTGGAGACGACGACGATGGGTCAGATTGGTGAAGCGTAAGGCGGCTCCAGTACAGCCAAGTTGATATAATACATCTCTGTAATACCACGGTCTTACTTTGGTTCTTCATATTATGCAAGGTGTTGGTCGGGGGCATGAGATGGCCTACACAATTGTGGCCAAATATGGGCATTGTTATGTAAGAATTAACATGACATTAAGAAATTCCATTACTGAGTTGTGCTCATTCAATTGGACAGTATGGGCTACCAAAAAGTGAATACCAAAAATCCAATCCTCATGCTGAAGTCACGCTTTCAGAGTCCAAGTGGTATCACGCTGAACAGGCCTCTCCTGTGGCCACAAAATCGGAGGTCGTCAGGTGTCTCTGATTTCTGTCACAACATTCTATATGCGCTTCGCTCATAACACGTCAAATCCGTGAATCGTAACGAGATAAAAGAAATAAACCGAAACGTTGAATGGATATCATTGAATGGCCATCTTGTCGAGAATCTTCTGAATGCCCTTCGTGCTGCCACGACCCTGATCGAGCTCCTCGGCCATCTTGCGAGCCCGCTCGATGAGGACGTTGAGAACTTTACGGGTATACTCGAAGCTGCCTGTGGACTCCATGTAGGCAACAGCGTACCGCTTGACCTGGGTGTCCGAGGTCTTCTGCTTGAGGATGTTGATGAGCTGGAGATTTGTAGGGTTGGAGCGAATGCTGTGGATGACAGGGAACGAGAACTTGCCCTCAGTCAAATCCTCGCACATTCCCTTGTTATGGCTGTACTCCTTCGAGGACAAGTTCATGTAGTCGTCTCGAATCTGAAAGATGAGACCGATTAGGTTGACGAGGGGAACACAGTCCGTAGGACTAGGGCCGTTGGCTTCCGCCGCCATAAGCTTGATACCGAGACGGAACAGGCCGCCTGTCTTGTTACCAACCATTTCGAGGTAGTCCTCTTCCGTAGGACAAGTAAGAGTGTCACGCCAAAAAAGATCCATGCCCTGGCCTCGGTGGAGGTTCACAAGCTCATCGGAAAAGATGGTGATTAGCTCTGGATTGTTGAGCTTGTGCAGCTCTTGTAGGGCGACAAAGTATATGTAGTTTGCCGAGTTGATGGTTTGAGCGACACCAAAGATGTTGTGTGCGACAGGGAAGCCACGGCGCAGCTCGGACGAGTCTTGTACATCGTCGATGAGGAGCGAAGACTCGTGAAGCATGCCAACGACTCGGGTGATGACTTCGAGGCTCGGCGTGGGCACATCGAGCCAGGCGTTGAAGGCGCCGATTAGCTGGGCGCGGAAGTCCTTGCCAGGATGGCTAATGACATAGTCGTAAGGTCCGCGGACGACATTTTCCTTCTCGTCAGTCCAAGAGCGCTTAGCCGTGAACTCTAGATCCTCGTGGGCGTAGCGCTCGGGATCGGGAGGCGGATTGGGAGCTTGCATAACGCCGTAACCAGCGTTTGACATCTGTGCCTTTGGGGAGAGCTGCTTCTGGCTCAGCCAGTCGCCTTCTGGAACAGGGCGCAGAACGGGTTTTGTGGGTGTAGCGTTGAGAGAGGTCGGGATGCCGGTGCTTGAAGTGCGAGGTGGAATTGCGTTGGGAGACATAAGTGGGTTGGAGATGCCAGACATCTTCTCCATTGCCTTTGGCGAGAGCGACAGCATGTGTAAGGCCGACGGGGGCAATGCCTCAGGGTTGAGAGAGAGGATGGGGTCGGCCGTGGGGATCATGCGTGTTAAGTTTTTGGGGGTATAGAATGCGATTCGTCTAAGGGGAAAAGAGAAGAGGAGGAGGGGGAGGGGTCCTTTTTTTGACGGATAATCGATGACGCTGCTGAAGATATTTGGAGATGCTAACTGTAGAAAGAGAGGCAAAAATCAATATGGGACGGAAGCGAAATAATAAACAAATGCCGTATACGTGGTGTTTGGCCCTGTCTTGTCTCGTGGCGTACTGATAGCGAATGGTATTGTCGGGATGCTCGGGTGAATCTATAAGTGGTCGACGTCATTGAATATCCAGACGATACATGTCTAAGCCTGCCTGATGCGACGATAGAAGGGTCATAGAGTTGACACTGAGCCTGTGTGCAAGCTTGCAATGTGGATAATCTACTCAACCCAATTGCTCATGCGCTGAATAGCAGGAGCCTAAAAGCGAATCCTGCAGGCTGCAGCCATCCAGTTTGAGATAGGACGTCAAGGAGGACGAAGCTGCCCAGAGCTCTCTCTGTCTTGTGATAGAGTGAGGGGTGATGGTGAGGGTGAGCATGTGGGCTAGATACCTGTTCGTCCTACGCAGGACACCATCTTTGCACCTTGGCGCAGCACGAACTACAGGCACCCTTCACAGCATGTCAAGTACTAACTGACACGGCCGTGCCTCTTTTTAGGGGTTCTTGTCACAAGCTAATGCAGAATGGATGGGACGGGAGCTCTGAGACGGGAACGCAGCTTTGCTTTCCTTTTCTTTGTTGTTGAGAGGGGCTAGCGACAGGGAAATGGGTCTTTGCCAGGGGAAGATCAACGTGGGACTGTGAATCTGATTGCGGGGAAGAATCAATAGGCAACCAAAAGCAGCCAAGCCAGGTCATTCAGTCCTAATACCTAGCTGCAGTTGATAGTCATGTTGACGTAGATAGTAATCATTCATACCTTTGATGTTTTCGTTGCCGAGTTGCACGAAGGCGTTGTTGAGAGACGGATGAATATGTGGATATCTGTAAGTGAGTCAATCAGTTAATTAGTGATAGTTCTGTCAACTTATATTCAGTCAAAGGCATGCCCTACGTATGCTGACGATGAAGCAGCGAAAAGAGAGCACAGGACCGAGTGAAGGCGCCCAAAGACACTTACATTAGTGGTAACGATAATTAGTCGTATTATACAGCAAACAGTGGCGTAATGAGACAGTAAATGAAACAAAGGAAGAAACATTCTTTGATGCACCAGATCTCCCTTTATCTACCTTCAACCCCATCTCACAAGCATTAAAGAATTTGATCCGTTGGGACAGAAAACACACCACCTCAGCCCATTGTAAGATCAGGGCTTGCGAAGCCCAAGCCCAGCTCGCTGAAGAGTAAGGCGAAGACGAACACGTTGAGTCCATCCCTGGTTTCACCTTGTCACGTACCATGTCTGCACCTTGAGATCTCACCAGATAACTCTAGATTTCACATGCAAATCAAGGGTGCACCGAAGAGCTGATCAATGGAGTCAGATCATGTTGCTTCAAGAACCCCTGCTGTCTAAATCTGGACCGTGGAGCTTTTGATGCGCCTACCCGGGACTACTGTTTCGATGCGCAAGTTCGACAAGTTGGACCATATTCATGCTTAAGGTATTATTCTGCTAGTCAGTCTCTCCCATTGAATGTCTCTATGAATATTCGTTTCAATCATGTACCTGACCAAGCGTCTATATACTTCGACGAAGTTGGAAATTTTATGCTTAACCCTAATTCCCGTATCTTGAGATGACAACAGTCACTTCATATAAGCTACAAAGCATTCTTTAATACCTCAATACCATGTACTCCGTAATATTGGATCTTAGTAATGCCGAGAAGCACCAAGAGTCTCTGAAGGCAGCTGGTAGCGTTAATATAAATAAAACATCACCGTACAGCAATGCTGACCAGTCGCTTCACCACCCAAAGTCTCAATACCTGACGTTGACCACGGTGATAACAATGTCCGTTCACAATCGGCCGAAACATTTGTCATACGGCAACGGGGATCCGAAAACGCGAGAGCCGAGCCATTCCTCTCGATCAACGTTAGTAGTTCTCAACGTTAAGCGGGAATTAATTGCCGTTGTTCAGGTGTTGCAACCTATAGTGTAATAAGACCTCCCAAGGTATGACGACAGTGGTGGAGCGAAAGTGGTGATGCGACATGAAGATCAGAGAACGGACTTAGACCTGATTTCTAATTTATTTCCGAGTCTTGAGAATCGACCCTAGAAGCAGAACAGTGTCATTGACTTCAAGGGAATTCACTAGTCGACATCAGATAGGACATACGCAGTGCGTTGAATATAAATATGAGCCCTGGCTCTCTCATCACGGCCGAACATCCCTTTGTACTTGTAACGTTAACAACAGCCATGGCGCCTATACATCGAATATTCTCATCGGCTAATAACAAGCCCTATCGAACTAAGCAACTTGAAGAAGAAAACCCCCCGTACTTAAACGAGGATGGCTACGTCGACTTTGCACCAGGCGACATTCAAAACCCGCAGAATTGGTCTACTGCTCGGCGCTGGTCTGTCACGTTCTCAGCTGTGTTGCTCGTACTGAATGCTACTTTTGCATCGAGCTCGCCAAGTGGATGCTTCCCGTCTATCTCAGAACACTTCCATGTATCCGAGTTGGTAGCAGGCTTGACCATCACCCTGTTTCTACTGGGTTACTGTGCCGGACCGCTCATCTTCGCACCACTAAGTGAGCTCTACGGGAGAAGATGGATCTTCTACATCACCTTTATGCTATATATCATCTTTAACTTTCTTTGCGCCTGGGCACCTAACTTTGGCGCCCTCCTTGTCGGCCGTTTCCTCACTGGAACGTTTGTCTCTGCACCCCTCAGCAACGCACCTGGCGTACTCGCAGACCTGTGGACCCCAATCGAGCGTGGCAATGCCATGGCAGGATTCTCTGCTATGGTATGGGTCGGGCCAGCATTAGGTCCTGTTATTGCCGGGTTCCTCGAGCTAAAGAAGGACTGGCGTTGGAGTTTCTATGTCCTTCTCTGGCTTGGTGGTGCAACAGGTCTCATCATGTTGACTATTCCCGAGACACATGCTCCCACAATTCTCCTTAAGAAGGCTCGAAGAATAAGAAAGGCAAAGATTCCTGGTTATGAGAATGTCAAAGCTCGATCTGAAGAGGGTGATCGTACACTGAAGACTGTGTACCGTATCGCCTTGACCAGACCGTGGATTATCCTCTTTGACACCATATCCTTTCTCTGCGCAATCTATATGTCTGTAGTCTACACGTTATTATATATGCTTTTTAGCATCTATCCAATTGTGTTTCAGCAGCGCCGTGGCTGGAACTCCGGTGTTGGAGAGCTGCCCTTGATTGGAACTGTTATTGGTGAGTACTTTTCGTTGATACAACTCCACTGAACTTACATTAACGTACTCGTAGGTGCATTCATCGGTGGTGGCATAGTTTTGATCGATACGCGAATTCGAAAGAAAAAGATTGAGAATGGGGACAAACAAATGGAGCCCGAAGATAGATTGCCATTGGCAATGATTGGAGGTGTTGGATTTGCCGTGACCATGTTCTGGTTTGCATGGACGGCTGAGTATAAGTAAGTAACTGAGATATCAGTCCTCCCCGTATCTAAAGTCACCACACGCTCTCGAGCTTGAATTCTCCCCAATTTATATGTATATATACTGACATTGGTCCTTGCAGCTCTATCCATTGGATCGTACCGACGCTGGCGGGAACTTTCCTCGCTACATCTTTAATGTTGATCTTCGTGGCTTTCTTGACGTATCTCGTCGATGTTTATCTTATGTACGCGGCATCTGCTATTGCAGCCAATACCATTGCTCGATCAGCATGCGGAGCTGCTGCTCCCTTATTCACAACACAAATGTTCGATACACTGGGAGTTGGTGGCGGCGGAAGTCTAATCGGAGGGGTCGCTACAGTTCTAGCCATTATCCCGTTTCTGTTCTACAGATACGGTAAGCAGATTCGAATCAGAAGCAAATTTGCGCCGACAGAAGAGAAGAGCGAAGCTAGAGAGAAAGATGAGGAACTGGCTGACAACAATGCCATTGCTCGGAGGAATAGTGTTTTATCTCATTCAGATAGCCAGAGTAGCTCGGATACCACAGTGGCCGCCGCATGATACTAGAGGTCAGTTTAGCATAATACTCGATACACTTTGGAACTGTCAGCTTAGACGTGCCGTCAGTCACCGAAAATGTCACATCAACACTTTTATCGAGAGTTCTGAGGTGCCTGAGCAATATTTACATCTGAGTTTACGAACAGCGTTAGTTATTGGTTGGACATGATTTACACTTCGTATCTAATCACTACCTACACTTACAGCTCAACATTTCCGTGAGCACCGAAAAAGCATACTCCCCAGGAGGAGAGACTTTAATTGATGCCCTCGTGTTTTTCATGCCATACGGTTCTAATCGCTTCGCCCAGAAAGATCCATATAAATAGACCATTATGTATAGTCTCAAGCTCAGGGGCATCGTCAAGACCTAGTAGAACATGAGAATTCTAGCGGTTGATGTGCATAGCTGAAGATTCGATTTGAAGAAAACATGTGAACTTTTAATCGACGCCTATAATTGTTAAACAATTTAGAGGCAGGTCCGGAACAATACTCTGAATCTAAATCAATCTTAAATAGGTAACCAGATCACAGTGTAAGAGAGCAAACTCCTTCGGCTGTTTGTATGACTCTTTTTAGTACACCAAGTATCGGAATATGCATTTGCCGTCTTTTCACACAATTGTGCATGAAACGCATGAAGCTATGTAATCAATTATGATTATGTGAGCATCCACTCTTAAGCTCGGAACTTCTTGTGTCGATCCCAAACCACCTGCATTGTAAATTCTCCATCTTTCTAACTTTGAGTCGTCACTATGGGACGGACAGTAATTGCATTCGACCTCTACGGCACTATTCTCTCCACCGGATCGATAGCAGGAGAGTTAGCAAGATTATACGGGCAAGATAGAGCTCAGTCAATTGCCGCTCTAGCAAGGCGATATCAGCTTGAGTCAACATGGCGCGTGACCAGTATGGGTAAGTTGAGACAAGCCAAAAATGAAAGCCATCACTGATGATATATAAAGGCACTTATCGCACATTTAGTGACTTGACGAGATGGTCATTTCGGCAAGCTACGAAAGAGATTGGTGTTGAGCTCACTCCTGAGCAGGAAGAACGTATCATGGATGCATATAACGGCCTCGACACATTCCCAGATGTGGATAAAGCACTCGAAAAACTGGCAGAACATGCATCTATCGATCCATACATCTTCTCAAACGGAACCAAGGCCATGATGACATCGTCACTCGATACATGCCCAACTTTGTCAAGAGTGAGCAACATATTTCCCCACGAGAAAGTCGTCAGTATCGACCCTCTCAAAGTGTTCAAGCCGCATCCTCGTACGTATGAGTTCATGGCTGAGACAGCGGGGATGAAGTCTCAGCTTGATAGGGTTTGGCTGGTGAGCTCAAACCCATTCGATGTCACTGGTGCTGTAGCTTTTGGATTCAAGAGTGCATGGATCGACCGTGAAGGCAAGGGCTGGACTGATACACTGGGATGTTCACTGGGGCTTCAGCCGACTGTGATAGCGTCTGGCGTGGATGAAGCTGTGCGGGTAATCTTGCGTCAGTCTGAGGAGGATAAGTAGGGTGATGATGATTTCTTATGCTGAATTATAATGGCTCTCCTAGTATAACCCTCGTCATTAATTCATTTATACATCAGTTCTCGGATATGATGCAAGGCTATTCGATCAGAGAGAGGTATCCTTTAATCATTGAAGCGATGGGCTTAGTTACTGCAACCTGGAGATCGAGAAGATAACTGCGGACTGCAATATTGAATTTCTTCATGTGTTCAAAAAAGAATTTGCGAGAAGCCAGTGGTCCTGTAGTGAAAGAAAAAGAAACAAAATCTAATCGAGGACGACCAGCTCGGGGTACATTGAGTTTATCGGCCGAGAGTAGATATTCGGCCGAGAGAATTTCAGTACCCGTGGTAACCTAACCAACACCTACATGTAATTACCTTATATACGAGAAGCGAAGCAGGTGACGTGATGAATTGAGGATTATCGAACGTGCAATATCGGTTAGCCATGGAATCTGATCAATGATATGAACCCAGATAGTTTGGGACCTTTGTTTCCTCAGGGCTTAACTGCCGAAGTCCTAGTAGCGCGCTGCTGTGTAAACAAGTCCACGGGTCTCTGCCTACCAAGCGTTCTAGCATTCCCATCTCGTGGATCAACCATAGCTATGCTCGCACCTAGAGTCCGGATCTTTTTCACAGCTTCCATCTCAATCTCTTACAAACAAGATTCCGCCTGGACCTACTGGGACATTCCTTTCACCAACGGCGCAGATGACAGTTGACAGCCCACTTTAGCGTGATCCTCGCTGCATATCCCCTGTAGGCCCCTGTAACCCCGGACCATGCCAGCCCGCTTGTCAGCTGGCGACCCTTAAATCTTGGAATTTCCTGAGCCGTTGCTGTGCCGATAGCTCCACTCCATGGGATTGTTTAGTGACAGCAACCTGACGACGATCATCCATCTTTCTACTTCTTTCAACTGTTGCTTGGGCTCAGTGACTCTCGGCGGTGTGACTGCGATACTCAGTTTCCATTTCTTCTATTCTTCTTGTCACCTTCATCAAATGTTTTCTTAAATACTCTTTTAAAACCACCAGCCGCAATCGCATTAAGTCGATACTCTTCAGCCTTTCCATCTTTACCGTCTCCGGCATAACGTTCATTATTGTTCCTCCACCAACAGATACACGATGGAGTCTCTTCTATCTCTCGCCTTCGACAACCTTTCCTCATATGACGGACCAAAAGTCCGTAAGGGCCTTCGCCAGGTCGAAGGCCTTCTAGCTCAGATCTGTCTCTCTAAAGCAAACTCTCGAAACGACCGTGCACATCGAAGCCGGGATACCGACAATGATGGGAGTGAAGGATCAACACCTTCTCAAAAGGATCTTTCCCAACTTTCCCGCGACCCGGCATTTCGAGAGTTTTTTAAGTTGCAGGAGGGATTCGAATGGAACGTTGCGATGCGCCTTATCAGCACTCTCGATCGACTTATGGCTAAGGGTGGTGATGGTGGAAACGACCTGTTGATTCTGAGTGCCCTTGACCTCATACAAGGAGTCTTGTTGCTACATCCTCCCAGCAAGTCTCTCTTTGCCCGAGAACAGAACATGAACGTATGTACACAACCACTAAGCCGCCAAATACCACAAAACTAACACCATGTAGCTCCTCCTTGACCTTCTCGAGCCCTTCAACTGCCCTGCGATCCAATCTGCGACTCTCCTCACACTCGTCACTGCTCTTATCGAGACCCCAATCAACACCCGTACCTTTGAGAGCCTTGATGGCCTTCTCACTGTCACCTCTCTTTTCAAGTCGCGATCCACCGCCCGTGAGGTCAAGCTGAAGCTCGTTGAGTTCCTCTACTTCTATCTCATGCCTGAGATTCCTTCGATTCCCCGAGCCGATCAGCGCGATAGTGTTCCCGCTATGCTTCAGCGAAGTCCTAGTAAACTCGCAGGTGCCTTCAATGCCGACTCACGTCGCAAGCGTTCCGGCTCTGATCCTGAAGGTGACATCTATCTCACCACGGAGGAGAAGCAGGAGCTGCTAAGCCAGCATCTGAGCAGCGTAGAGGATCTTGTCAAAGACCTCCAAAACTGCGCACCTTTCGGTGGTGTTGTCTGCTAAATGCCGCTGCAAAGAATGAAGTCGTGGTTCATACTGTTTTCATATTTCCTGTTACATCTCATTCAACGGCGTTGTAAGGACTATTAGGTGGTGCCCTTATGATTTGCTCTTTCTTTTGGCGCGGAGTTCTGAGTGATAACTTCGGTGCACATAATCGTTTGTTCGTTGCGCCGGGACTGTTGAATATTTGGATCATCCCTTTGCATGAATGGTCTGGCTAGGCGTTTACAAGTAACAGAAAAGAATAGAACGGAACGCATTTCTCCTTTGAATTATTGCTTTTGCTCTGGTGCAACATCCCCCGCTACACTTTGTGGAGGGGTGGGAACGATTGACAAGGGACGGCCTGGTGTTATGGCTGAGTCGTTACCGTACAGTTCGAACCGGCCGTCTATTGTTTCAGAAAGGGGTGTCTGGTATATACTCGGGCTGGACATGGGTGACAGAAGATCGCTGCCGTCCCTATTCGCTGAGCCGATCTCCACGGGCGCGGCGATATCTCCAGGGGATTGTGCATGCATGGGCACAGCAGCAGTTCTTCCAGGTGAGGTGACCCGTGAGCTTGCTTGCTCCGTATATGGTCCTGCTGCTGGGTCTGGTCCAAAGTAGTCCTGGGTCAAGCCTGACCGGGCATGGCTCCCGGATATATCTGTCATGGCATCTCTAGGGGGCGCACTGCCGTCTCCTTCGCCAGATGCTGATGGCCTTGATGCAGTGCGCTGGCGTCGCTTGTGCAAACACATCCAAGTCAGCCCGCCAACAATGATGCTCGCTCCCACGACGACACCGACGCCAATCCCAGCCTTTGCACCGTCTGACAGGCCGCCGCTGCTGCTGCTGTCGTTGTCGTCGACAATCGTGACACCGCTTTCTGTCGGTGTAGCTTGAGCGCAATATCCCTCACCACTGACCTGGGTGCACTCTTGGTCGTTGTCACAACAGCCTGCACCATCTGAGCATTTATGCTGAGAGGTCGTACAGCCTGAAGGAATGGGCGACAGGAGGTCGGTTTTCGAAGCCGGTCTCGTAGAGGCGCAATCACCACCCGCCCGACACTCAGAGTTGTAGCCGCAGCAGTTTCCACCAAGGCTACTTGGGCAAAGGTAAAGACTCGTCCTGGGACACTTGCGATCGCAGCAGCCCTCTTGCGCAGTGGCAGTTCCACTCCTTGTGACGGTGCGGGTACAGAAATAAGCATTCGAACTACACGGCGAATCGCTGGAGCAGTTGGAGCCTATAGGACAGCATTTCGGGTCGCCTTTTCGGTTGACGTAGCAGTAAGAGTCGTTGTCGCAACAATCATCTGGAAATCCAATCTCGAGACCTGTGGCACAAATGAGTTTGGTGTCTGAGAGCATTATAGCATCCACATGGACCTACAGTTGTGATGATCTGAACCACAGTCTCCTGCGCGTTTTGCTAAAGGAAATGAGCGATCGATGAGGAAGCGCGGCATCAGGTCGCCAGGAGCCGCTTGGAGTGCCTCATACTGTCGTGGGTTGTGCGCAACGGTAAGAGGGACCAAGACGAGACAACTGAGAAGCCTCATGATGAGAGCGGCACAAGGAAGAGTGACGGAAGATTCAACAAAGCGCAGTATTCATCGTCGCATCTCTTATGAAATCTATTTTCTCTCACAGTTAAATTGATCAGAAGCCGGAAACCGATGAGCGTAGTTGAACAAAGAAAAAGAATGTGATGGGAGCCAAGACTCAAGAGAGGTCTATGCATGTAAGACTCGAATCAACTCGCTTCGGCGATGTGTGACGGAGAGTGACAGGCCCTCCATGCTTGCGATCTGCCCTACCATCTTGGATGCATAGCTATCATTGGTCTGTTGTTCAATGTACATCAGGTTCATTTCCACTTTCCCATTCATTTCTTGAGTTGTTAAGGAAATGGTTGACCACAACGTGGCAGAGAACCGTTACAATGGGGCTGAAAGCACAAGTGCTTACATGACATTGCCCAACGTGGTATAAAACCCGCAATGGTCAGTTCAGGCTGAGATGCTTACCGGAGAATTAAATTTGATATATTATCTTACCGAGTCTCCAAAACTCTTGAGAACGGGGACTTGAAACATAGGAATCTCAATTAGATGATGGCGGACAAAGGGTAGGATACGTCCTAAGCTGTATCAGCTGTGACTGGAGTTGAGTAAAGGCGAATAAGACGCATGTATGCATGTGATTTTGAGTCTCTCTAATCCTTGTAGCTTAGCTGCATCCCAAATCTCACAAGGAAGATCTTTTGTAAACAGAATAGACTAATACAGATATACGAGGGAGTTTCTGCTGTGCAAGTCTGACAGAAATCAAACGCCCATTGCGAACGTGCGCTTACAAGGGACAAAATCCGCCACGTAACAACGATAACGCTATTATACATTTGGTCCGGTACAAAGAAGAACGACCAACTATGCCTTTCTTATATCTTCCACAAGTAAACCGATATGAACAAGATAAATAAAGTACATATCTACATTCTTTCGGTATAGTGCAGGAGCTGATATTCTTCCCACATTTACGAATACCTTATCAAGTACCGCCGTCCATACTGATTTTCAACCTGAAGCCCGTGAGCTAGTGCTCCAATTGCGATGAATGATCTCGTCTCAGCATTCTACGCTATAAAGACCAACGGCAACACTGCCTCGACATTCTTTGCTTTGGGTCAAAGATATATCGCCCAATTCATACCTGGGCACCCATACTTCTTTTAATCTCCATCACTGCCTGAAATCCAACAATAATTTGATCGTTTCAAGCTGGCAACCTCTTTGCCGTGAGCCGGAAAGACTGCTTAGATTTGCTGATAATTTCAAGAGGCATAGTAATCATGTGTGCCGGTCCAGGCACTCTCAGCCCTACTGCTTCAAAGCCACCTGAAATCTATACAACTAAAGAACAATCAATGTACCTTCATTCCACCCTTGTCCGAGAGCATGCAAGTCGCCTCTTCCAATCATGCTCTCACCTTTTACCCCTAATGACATTCCGTAGCATTCGCTCCGTGTGCTTACGTGGCGAGAATGTCTACATACAGCTACAGCTTGCCTTTGGCTCGGGATACGACTTTGAGGGGTTTCAAAAGTTGATCGAGTGCAGTATTCGCAGGGTTGTGGATACGTGCTATTGCTTTTTCAACGGCACGGTACTGTGGGCGAAACAGGAATTAATTCTCATTTATATGACAAGCGTACCAAAAGGGGAATCCAACATAAATTCATAGTGATCATTCTAAAACATCCAAACCCAAACATCATTAAAGTCCTTAACTCCAGAGCAAATCATGTATATTTACATCTATGCTCTCTCTGCCAGACTAGCTGACGACCTCGGAATTGTTCTGAATCCACTGTTTGGCGTTGCATGGAATGTCCCGTTGATGCCTCCAGCACCATGAGATGGTACTGAAGAAAGAGACAGAGGCTCTTGGCTGGGTTCAGGGGTTGTCATGACATCAACATGGCTCAAACTGATGGTGGTTGTCGTTGTGGTCTGAATGGCTGTAGTCTCTAACGCGAGAGGAGTTCCTCTAAGGGTTTCTATCAAATGATTAGTGGAGTTCTCCAATCCGACCTGGTTATGGATGTTTGTACCTGGTGTGCTTTCCTCATTGACACTCTCCTCCAAAGCAAGCTTTCCATCCTTGTTGAACGCTGCATTTGTGTCTGCGTCTTCATCTTCTTTGAAGACATGTCCGGGGGCTTTCAATGATGCAGTGGGTTGATTCGCATTAACAAACTCTGTGCGTACAGTAGTTGCGAGGATGGTTGAAGACCTTGTAAGGACTGATGTGAAAACGAGAGTTCTAAGGCTTAACGCTGTCGGCTCAGGTCTAGAAACAGCAGATGGATTTGAGAGTAAGGTTGGTGCTGCAAGCTGCTGAGAGCCTCCAGCGTTGATAGTCGGGGTGGAAGTGGCTTCTGTCTCTAATGCTGGAGCCGTTCCCTCGGCCTTGGCAGTTGCAGGAGAGTCTTCTGTTGTCCGTGTCCCGGATTCCGTTGCAGAAGATTGGGAAGGATCTGCTTCTGGAGTAGGTACGAGGACCAGAGTTATCGTGGTGTCTTGTGCTGGCTCGCTCGCGGATTTGATCCTACTACCTGGTGTGCAGTTAGGGTTTCGACGTATGATGGGTAGATCACTTACTTTGTCAACACACTCATCATCTTTGGCACGGAATGGTCTCTGAGTCTCCTTAGTTGCTGAAGTACTAGTCTGTCCGCCAAAGGTGACATTGGTCGTGACCGTCTGGACAACGTTATCAGGATTCTCAACAAATGCACCCCCGGGCGCAGTACTGGTAGCATCAGCAACCTGCTTGGCAGATGAGATATTAGGACCTTTGGCCTTCCCTTCCTCTGTTGGCTTGACGTCTTGTGCTGTGCTAAATTGTGTTCCCGTCGGAGCCTGAACTTCACCAGTCGGTTGAGCAACAGCATTCTTGGGACGACCACCTGATTCCACGACGCCCCCCTTTCCAGAAGCATCTGTACTCCCAGGCAGGGTCACGGCAGCACTATTGCCAGACAGCCTTTCAACTTTAGGCTCGCTAGATGGATTAGTAGATTCACCGTTTACCACCTGGGTGGGATTTGCAGCAGGCTGCGCCAGCTCAGTCTTTGCTTGCCTGTGGGTATCTATCTGCGATGCATCTAGTTGAGCTGAAGCGCCCGGAGCCTGAGGCTCGACAACCGTGGCTGCGTCTGCCTGTGACGGCAACGGAGATCGTAGAGAAGGGTCCGAAACCATAGGAACTTCTGATGGACCCGAGGCAACGCCTGGTCTAGGGACACCAGCTTTGCCAGAGGGAGCAGGCTGTTGTTCAGACTGTTCGCCACCAGTAGACTCATCAGAAGACCCTGCAGGTAATTGATCGGCCTGACCAGACTGACCAGACTGGCCTCCTGACGAAGCGCCTGCCCCTAGAGTAGGCTGCTTGTCCGTTGCACCAGATGGCATCATGCTGTTCACCTGCTCATGGAGTTTGTTGATCTGATCCAGAAGTTCCTGAAGAGCTTCTTCGGTAACCTCAACCATATCGCCCTGGTCTTCAACCAATCGCTTCACAAGGCCGAGAGTGTGGTGAAGTCCATGACCATGGTGTGATTCCCCAGGAAGCTCTTTGAAAGGCACTACCTTGATAGATCGAGCCACTGGTTCATTGAAGACTACACCTGGCAGTCTGAACGAAGCTTTGAGACGAGGCAGTAGGGCAGCATGGGTGAATGGGGTGGTAAGGAAGAGACATGGTAGGAGGCAAAGAAGAATGTATAATCGAATCATTGTGTCGACTTGGTGATGGAAAAGAATTGAATAAACAATGTGTGATGCTCTCCAGTCCATTGTGGCCGACAGGTTGCCATGATATATCTTTTGTCACGGGCTTCAGGTTGTAGGGGAGCAACACATTCCAACTATCGTGATAGCAACGCTTGTCATGGTGTCTCAGTCTCGGGTGGGCATAAAATGGATCAACACTTGTTGTTTCACCACGGGCCAAGGAAGGCTTTCATTCCTGTGATGAGCGGGCAATTCAGGCAGTATCACGCTTAATTTTCTTTGTAGACACCTCGAATGGATCATATGGATAGTTATATAGCGTGGTGATACGCTGAAGCAGGTATTCTTGATATTGTTGCCGAGCACAGCCTGTCCGTCATGTTGATCGCTGCGGGGAATCGAGGCAATGCGCGGTGGAATCTCTTTGGTGCATCATGGATGACGGAAGTCAAAATTGGACACAAGATTTGTCTGGCGGAGTCGTGACAACGCTCGGGTCTTGGTCAGGTAATTTCTCGGTCGGGATTCTTTGACTGGCTACCTGGGTACTAATGGATCTCGGTTGCACCGGAATTTGCTACAATCACAAGTGACAAGTGTAAGAACGCGATGTGGCATTTGGGGGAGAAAGTTTGAATACAGAAACCGAAAGCTTCAAAGGTAAATATTGATTGAACTTTGATGTTATTCGCGTCTGCGAGGATTGTGAGGTATTCGATGATTAAATGCACAAGATACAATTTCCAGGGACTTGACCGCTAGGAATCAGACCTGAATTCACAGGCTAGAGAACTCCGAGTGATAGCTAAAAAGCAATGCCAAGTTATTCTGCAGGTGTATTGAATCGCAGAGTTCCGCCACTCTGATTATTTGCAGGGGCTTGCTGAGTGACATTGAGAGAACCCCATTTCTTGCTGGTTTTCCACCGTCATCACAGGCTAAGGGAGGGCTATCACGAAAATGTGACTGAATGAGGGGGATAAAAAGGGTCAGATGGAAGTTACAGTGTTCTCCGAGCTAGCTGGGGTGGTTTTTGTCGGTATCATCAATGTTCCAATATATGTGAATATTGATCAGGGTCATGGTGACCATTACAGAGCATCGCAACATGAAGCCGTGAAAAGTCTTGTGTATATTTAGCGACCAAATGGCTATTTCGAAGGTGAGGCAATGAAAACCGTGCCTCTTTGGCGGTTAAAATATGTGGTCATCATCGCTGATTGATTGCAGGGACAATTCGGGGGCTGAAGGCGATGAAGTGAGCGTGGGAGCTTGATTGAAACGAGCTTTTGGTCGCTGAGTTTGCTCAGTCGCCTAGGAGGAGTGGAATAACAATAGAATTCGAGGCGCTGCTTTGAGAGAGATTAAAGACATACCGGGGCTTTGATTGGCTGGAAAGAAGCGGTACCCCTGCCATGCGGCAGAAGTGGCACTAAACCTAATCAGGTAACAGAGGAGACGGGCTGGACCTGGGCCTGAAATCCCCAAGTTTGTTCGTCTGCCACTGCCACTTGCTCTCGCTCCTGCTGCTCTGAGTGTGAAGAAACGCGGGAAATCAAACCAACCCAACCCAACCGATTTTCCCTCTCCTTGTGCGCCGCCTTCGGCCCCAGCACCAGAATCAAAAATGACAACAATACCAAGACCCCAACCTTACAAGACAAGGCTTTTGCCCTCTGTTCCGTTACTTTCATTTCCATTTTTCACCACCGCAAACCCATCATCACCACCCTGAAATCTTGACTCGGCACCAGGCTGAATGAAAAACTGACCTGACTTACGTCTGTGATCGCAACTCAGCTCCTCCTAATAAATCTCCCACTACTACTAAGACTCGCTCCACGCAAGCCCCAAAAGCCCACCACCCCTGACCACGTCTTGTCCACCACGGGATCACCACCGGGTCTTTGGTTATTTGCCGCCTCTCCCGTCACCAGTCTATTTCTCAAAACCTGCTCCTTTCCCTAACCTTCTTCCACTACCCTTCGCCGCTTGCAAACATCATCAATCAACACCACACATCACCTTTTCATCAGACAACCCTTCCTAGACTATAGCATCACCATCAGCTCTTTGTAACCTTGACCTCTCTCAACACCATGGCTCCTCCAGTCAAGTCCGCCGACGCGCGACGCAAGTCCAGCACCAAGGCCAGCTTGATTGTTACTCGCAAGGTGTCGCCCGACAAGCTGCGTGCTCTACTCGCGCCCGACTCTATCAAGGAAGAATCTCCCTCCAAGGACATGAAAGCCAACGCCGACTCACCTACCGATGCCGTGTCCGCTTCTGGTTCGCAACCACCAGCCAGCAACACGAATGGCGACAATGCTTCGGACTCTAACGCTGCTACTCCTGCCCCTGACGCAACTCCTGCCGACGGGACACCGGCCCCTTCGGCTATGGGACCGCCTACCGATGGACCGAAGAAGAAGGGCGTCAAACGATCTGCCGCGGGCGCCAACGGTACAATAGATGGTGTCCCCAAGCCTCGAGGAAAGCCTGGCCCCAAGAAGAAGCCTCGTCTGTAAGTTTTTGTAACCCCCACACATATTTGAACATTGGACTGACCACTACTCCCAGGGAGGACGGAACGATCGATCACTCAGGTTCCAAGCCTGCCGGAGGTCACAAACTTGGGCCCAAGGCGAATCAAGGGGCCATCAACGCCGGACTTCGCGCTCTCGATCGCTCAGGCAAACCCTGTCGCCGATGGGCCAAGGGAGGATTCCAACTCAAGAGCTTCACTGGTGTGGCATGGGAGATCCCTCGCTGGGTGGCACCTCAAAAGAATGCTCCCGAATCCAGCGCCGAGGATTCTACTACTGCATCGGCCGAGGGCAGCAGCAAGGAGAACAAAGAGAACGGCCACGAGAGCAACAGTGCTAGCAATAGCAATACTGCTAACGACGTGGAGATGCAAAGTGCGCCCAGTAACCACGCCTCCTCGCCGGCACCTCTTGCTATTGCCGCTGCTTCATAAAAATTGCCCCTACGACGCGACCTCTTTTTTTCTTTTCATTTTGCTCTGATACCAGAGAATGTTTTATTATAGCGCGAGATATTGCGGGCGTTCTAGGTTGGCAGACAACTGATTCTTGGCCTGACAGTGAGACTGAGATGCTCTCAGACCGAGCATGACCGTTCATTCATTCGGAATCTTTTATGTTTTTCATCAAAAAGCGACGCTGGTGTCGCTGGCGTTACGGAACAGCGAGGATGGAATGCTGTGGAAAAGGATTGGCATTAAACCGTACCAGGACTGGCGGAGCATATATTTGATGTACAATTATTGTTACGATGGTGCAATGTTAGATATACTCGGATAATTCTCTGAAATGAGCAATTAAATATTCGTTCTCTGAAGATACATCGTACTTATGCTGCTATACTGCGATCCATGCGCCCGTAGCTTTGAAGACAGGCGCTAATCTGCTGGTTGCTGCACACATTGTTTTCTTGTCGCAGCCTACCTAAGGTAGTGTCGATAATTCCAGTCATTAATGGCCCACCACTTGAGATTACGCGCCACGTAGGTCTGAAAGAAACTGACGCAGATGCCATCTCGCGATAACTCTAAGTAGACGTGGCAGAAAGCTCTTCATGTCAAAAACGGTTCCCCAAGCGTCCTCATCAGGTAATATGAATAATCGCAATGTCAAAGCCAAAGTCACAAGTCTTCAGTTTATTGCCTGTTTCGACGAGGAATGATCTCCAACATGAGGGAATTGTCAAATTCAGCGATCGGGGAAGAGTTTTCGGGGGTTGAGATGGCCCAATGGCCAGACTGTGGATACATTTTCGTTCGTCTTTCTCATCGGGGTCATGTCTTGATGTCGTGGTGTGGTCGTAGGGAGCGCGCAAAGCTTAGTCATCGACACCAGAGCCGTCCCGTGACTTTCATGCCCGTTTGACTAACGGTAGGTACGAATTGTAACTGTATTGCCCCAAATTTTAATTGATATTTGATTTATCGTGCTTTGAATGTTTTGCGGTTAATGGGGATCTTGCTTTTAAGATAAAATTGGTGGCTGATGAATGATGCCTGGAGGGGCTTGAGCGAACAGGTTTGAAACCGAAACCCAAACCAACCTGGAATATCCATATCAAGATGGAGATGCTCATTGGAGGTATCGGAATAAGTCAGCAAATAACCTCGCCAACTTATAAGCGAGGAAACCACAACTTGTTTCTGCACCAGGGCAGCGTTGGTCTCGCTATTGCTACTGTCATCACTCGAATGTTTCTCTTCAGAACACGGAAAGGACCCGAAGAAAAAAAGGCTCAGGACTATGCTATCGACTATTATTACGCCTCACCTTTTGGCCATGTTGGGGCGATTCCATTTGCATGGGGACCTGGAGCAATGCAGGTTAGAAAGGGTCCGGCCCGGCAGCGGGGAAGCTGGGCCTCCACTGTTAAGTTGATGCAGCTGTTTGCTAGGTGAGAGCTTAACAGACAAGGTCAAGTCAGGCCAGGCAGGTACTAAAGACTAAACCCGCTGGGGGAGAAGAGTGACCCTCGTGATAGATAGCGCAAGTTGGTAGCCATGATGAGTGATGTGATACGTACAGCACCGGCTTTTCTCGTCAAGCCATGACTCGATTCATGTTGACTACCTATTAATGATAACTAATTGACGAGTCTTTCTTACTACAGATACATTCGTATCTCAATTTTCTTCTTTCTAGTTACCTAAGTATTAATCTGCGTCTCTATTGCTGCTAGAAGTTGGTGAGTGGTAACGGTGACGCGCTGTTGTTCTGACGGGAACCACCTCCACCTCTACCCGCCCCGTCCATCACCATCACCATCACCATCCACCCGTCTTCTCCTACAACTACCAACCGCTATAGTACACAAGTCGCCTTGTTCTCCCAACTTGAAGATCACTTGAGTCTATTGCTCTTATTTATTTCTTTCGCTTTCTGCTCCGCTTTGTCAGCCTTGCCGGCAATTTGTCGACGCATCCGAAGCTCGTGCTACCACCTCCCAGACGACCGTTACGACTGTTTCCGACTACGCTACAGCTCACATCCCCACTACAAGCCTGCGCTGGAACCCATCCTAGGGCTTCACCTGGCAGTTAACTCACCTGCCTTTGCTGCTGGGTGACTTGCTACCTAGGTACCTTAGGTGATAGCCGGGCTGTTTCGTTCCTGCTTGTCGTGGGCATGGCAAGTCCCCTTCACCAAGCTTCTCGCTCGTCTGCTCGTCCCGAACCAGCTTCGCCATCCACTCGCCACGCCCATTTCTCTCCTCCGCATAACTCGTCTATCACCAATACTCCCAACTTTTATACACATCCTGCCCGTACTTCGATATTTAGTGCATCCGGCGAGCTCAACATTCTGGGCTCCGAACCGACGAATACCATCATGGAGACTGTTGGGATTGAGACGAACGCTCGGAGAACTGGTCTACCGTCCTTCTCACGAGCCTTTAACATGCTTGTGGAATCCGGGGCTGTTGATAATAATTTCAAGAACGAGGATGAGACTTTCTTTGTCCCATCGTATCTCGAGAACTCGACATACGCCCAGAAGCTCCAGGAGGCACACCAAACTAAAGTTCAGTCCCGTCGCGATTCGACTCCAGCGAATGGTTTATCCCAGCACTCCGCTACGTTCAACCAGCATCCTTTGCCCCCCGGTTCGCATCGAGGCATGTCGCACACTGTTATAGAGCGTCCCCCGGCCTTCGAGGAGGATGATGACCTTGCACCTTTGCCAACAAAATGGAACAAGGATGATCAGTGGGGAGGCATTGAGATCCAAGCTGACGGCTGTACTGTGAAGTACATCGGACCTAAGAATCAACACGACCAAGATCACATGGCTTGTGCAGTCCGCGCCGACCACTATATGCCCCCCCAGTGCGGAATTTATTACTTCGAGGTGCAAATAGCAACAGCTAAACGCGACGACGCGACTATAGGTATTGGGTTCGCAACCAAGAATGTCAATCTGTCACGGCCTATTGGCTGGGAACCCGAGGCCTGGGGTTATCACGGCGACGACGGGCGATGTTTTACAGGGTCAAATATCGGAAGACACTACGGCCCTGGATACAACGCCTATGACGTGATTGGATGTGGCGTGAATTTCAGGGAGAACAACGCCTTCTTCACCAAAAATGGAGTTAAGCTAAGTATGTGCATGCATGCTAACAGCCCGGAGAAGTAAGAAAACTTGGGACCTCTATCCTAAGGGATGAAAAGACTGGCCTAAAGGCTTCTAAGTCCACCCTAAATTTATATACCTTAGGACTATCATCACCCTAAGTGATGAACATCTAAGTCTACACTGGATTTACCTAAATCTCGTTATCACCCAGGATGGAGGTCCTCAGTTTTCTTGCTCCCTGAGGCAGGTCACCTTGCGTCCCTTGCTAACAAACAATAGTCACGGCATTCCACGATGTTAACAGAGGTAGGCTCTACCCAGCGATTAGCCTCAAGAAGCCCGGCGAGTCCATCCGAGTCAATTTTGGACAAAGCCCTTTTGTGTATAACATCGACGATATGATGCGGGTAGGCTTGTGTAATACCCCACACACAGCATGATGCATAATTAATGCCCTTTTTAGGAAGAGCGTGAGAGAGTGCAGAAAGATATTCAAGCTACAGACACATCAAGTCTCGTCCCAAACATGAGCGAAACCGATGTAATTCAGGCACTTGTTCTTCAGTTCCTCCAACATGATGGCTACGTGGGTACAGCTCGGGCTTTTGCAGAAGACATAAAGAAGCAAAAAGAAGCTCTAAGCCTTGATCCCGGAGTTAAGGTCGACGGTGTTAGTATTAGAGATGACGAAGACGCAAATAATCGCCAACGTAAGATCACACTTCCTTGTTGTCTTATCCTACTCCTGACCACGACACAGGGATCCGGCGTGCAATCCTCGAAGGGGATATTGACAGGGCGCTCAAGTACACGAATGCATATTATCCCCACGTTTTAAAGGATAACGAACAAGTCTATTTCAGATTGCAATGTCGCAAGTTTATCGAATTGGTGCGAAAAGCGGCCCAGCTCAACATGCGTAATGAGACCAAGGGTAATGGGCATGTTAACAACCCCGCACCTCAGACGATGGATCTCGATCTAAACGGCAGCGAAAATCCTTCAAGGGATGCGGATGGTGGTGAGAATAAGACAGTGGTTGCAGAGCTTGAGCGCAACATGCTGGAATACGGACGGACACTCCAGGAACAATACGTCAATGACCCACGGGTAGAAGTCAGCAAGGCACTTACTGAGATTTGGGCATTGTTGGCATATGAAAACCCACTCAAGGTGCCTCAAGTCAGCCACCTCTTGGATAGGAACGGTAGAGTTGCTGTTGCGGAGGAACTAAACTCGGCCATTCTACGTAAGTCGAACAAAGGAGCATATCAGTTGTTGACAATACTAACGAACAAGCAGTATCTCTCGGCAAATCGTCTCGAGCAGCACTAGAGAAAGTTTATGCTCAGACCAGCGTGCTCCTTGAAGACCTTCGCCAAGACGGTGGCGAAGGAGCATTTGCTTCGGTGAATGATGTCTTGAAGGGAATCCCACAACCTCCACAACACTGATTCCACCATCGCCGACATGCCTGCTATTTTTGCCTCATTGTCGGTTTGCATTCTCGGGGGTTTATGGTCATCGGCGTTCTAAAGGGTAATGCTATTAGTATGGAGTTTCTCTTGTATCTTGTTTTCTGTTTCTGCTCACTTCTTACCACACGAGCCTGTAAGATACTGTGCTCGTTCAGGAGTGGCACTTTGTCGATACAAAGCATCTCGTATGAAGGTTCTGTGTTCCTAATGAACTCTTATAGACGGGTGAAGGGATTGGGGATGGCTTCATGGATAATAGGTCAACAACTCCCCTCTTGCAGGCAAAGAACGGCGGGTTGTACAATGCCCAGCACATAGATAAGACCAGTGTCGACGATCAGTGGTAAATCGATTTTCAGCATATTCTACCAGGCACGGGATTCTGAGCTGGCTGCTTGGCCGTATCTATTTTCCTTTGCCAGTTCCTTTGTGATATATATAGTACATATTTATACAGCCCGTGTCTCGTCTTCTCTACGACGATGGGATGAAACTATCCTCCTGGATAATGAGCATCCTGATAGATTCACAATTTGTCCACCCCCCAGCACTTTTTGTATAGCCGTTCCTTGTGCCTCTTCAAATTATCCAGTCCTCCCAAGCACTGACTCAATGACTTGTCCTGCCAAGCAAGAGCATTATCGTCTATCAGATAGGTGTATGCAAACACGTCTGCATCAAACAAGCCCGGCCCATCAGCACCAAAGAACCATTTATCCTCTCCTAGTAGGGATGATAGTGCTCGCAGGGCAGTTGTGGCGTCAGCTAGAAGTTGCGACGGTGAGATGGTCGCGCGTCGTATTGTCTTGAGTATTTCGGAAGTGGCCGCGGCGTGGAGTGTCTGGTGGAGAGGCGCGCGAAGGAGCATCGAGGAAGGAAGGTAGAGGCTTTTGAGGAGAGAGGCATTGGCGGGTAGGAGGTAGAGAACATATAGCTATACCATATTAGCATACATTCCAATTATATGACAGTGATTTACATACCCAAGCTGGTCGGATATTTTGTGTCAGGAGAGCTTGGTAGGCTTCAAGGCGGGGTGATGTGATGCTGGGTAGCTCATGGACAGCGTGCTCGCGAACGTATTTGTGAATCTTTTCGCCAGTAAGGGGTTTCGAAACTTGCGACGCCGGTGGCAGGAGAAAAGGCAATGCGCCTGAGGGCGAGGCGTGGTTATTCGAAGGTACGATATCGAAGTCAATACCAGCGATTCTCAACACAGTCTGTCGAGATAGCATTAGCACAATGCCTCTATCGACTCGTGTCCCTCGACTAAAAACACACCTGCCACTTCAGACATGAAGGATTATAGCTCGGCTTCCCTGTCAAAGCATCTTCATCTGCCACAAAAGCATATAAGGCTGGTCGTTGGCGCACGCTGGCGGGGGACCTTACGGGGAGGTCTTCGGGGCTGTATACGTGAAGGGGGAAGTGGTTGAACAGGTTTCGAATGGGGCCCGGGACGACAAACCAGCGATTCGACTGTGGAGAGTCGACGGTAGACGTCATGGCGAATCCGGGGTTGTTGGCTGTGTCTCGGTGGGCTTTGTGTATTTTTTTTCTTGTGGTTGGAGGTTGAAGCTTTAGCTACAGGCCGGAGGACGGATCGGCGCGGCGGGCAAAACCCCGGATCGGGAGTATACGTATCTTTCCCCGGAAGAGAGCATGCCAAAGGCCGGAGAAGACGGAGGGAATGATGAAATAATTAGCAGGGAGAGAACCAATAAACCGTTTCTCTCCCTCATTTGCATCGAAAATAACCTCATAATGGCTTGGAATTGCTTATCCACCTGTCATGTTGGTTCATGATGCAAACTGGTAGTGTCAAATACCCCGTAAAACTAGAACGTTATGTCATGATATTCGATATAGGATGAAGATCCCGTACGCGATTCATGAGCTTGCGTCAAATTACGCCATCAATTTGAAGACCGAGGTCTCAACAGCGGCTGCAATGTCCTTTAATCCGCTTTAGTCAGCTTGTAGAAGCGCCTCGGACACTACACCTCTTGAGGTAGTCTAGTAAGGTGGTCAACTACGGTTCAATACTGGCTCCGCAAGAGCGGCTTTATCAAGGGTTTGAGATATCCACCTCTATGCTAACGTTGAATTCTGGGCTGACGTTTTATGATCGCAGGCCAGACCTGACGGATCAGAGGCCCGAGGCAGGGCAGACGAAGTGGTAGCATCGGTGAATGATGTCCGACAGAGCCGCGCAAAATGGAGAATTGGTTCATAGTGAGCAGATTCTCCAGCGTCCCTGTCGTGATTTTTCTGGTTCTAACTAGAGAAGGGGAAAGTTCGGGATCTCCACTATAAGAGCCAAGCGCACCAACTGAAACCCCAATTCCGAAAGAACCCGGGCTTGAGCTAGACTGTAGTGGTTCTGATGCGGACCCTTATCCCGGACTGAGGCTCGCTAAAGAGTAAGGTCATGAGAGACTTGGGAGTATTCTCAAGCTGTTTTGGTGTTGGGCAGATACAGATAGGCTGAACGGACCGGTTAGATGTTGTGAGATGGTTCCTTGCTGCATCAAAAAGAAGAAGAATCACCTTATTTGTTCCTGACTGAGCACAAATAACCTGCATGGGATAATATGCAGGCAGGATGAGGTAACACTGCAGATCAATACTTTATAAAAGCAAATACCAAGAGTCCCTGAATAACAAGAATACTGGGGTTATCGTACTATAGAATACTCTTTTGATAACATGACCTCTTATTCCTGACGATCCTGCTTATCACTGGAGAAGTTGCAAAGAGCTTGGTATTAAGCCAGCCAATATTGTCTCGATTTTCAGAGATTGGGGATTGGGGGACACAAGACACACCCCACGCTATCTGTGTCCAAGGGTCCAATGATTGGTGGGCGCTTGTACGAATAATAAAACAGATGCCGAGCCGAGAAGGTTTCAACGCATCACGGCTAAAAAGAAGAGAAGAGAGGATAGGTAGTAGGTATGTAATTGATTAGATGAGACGAGCGGTGAGTGTCTAAGCGGTGCAGGATGCCCGCAGTGCGGCGATGATAATGCACATAGGGCTCGATCCAATCTCATGCGGTGTCATGATGCTACTACAGTAGCGTCTTGTTATTATTCGCATTAGTTTATGAGTTTCTCTCGGTCTTTTTCAGGGTCTCTTGTTTCCACTCCTTGAACCAAAAATGACTCCAATGCTCCCATGACAAGGCAGATCGACCAAGAGGGAGTAAAAAAAGAAGAAGAAAAGTTGGGTCTGAGATCCCACATCTCCCACTTGCACCCCAGATCCACTGGGACATGATATTCATAGGTAAGGTAAATTAGACCCCAGTTCCTAGCTCTGGTTAGCTCCCGGGCATAAGGCCGAGTTGCGGTAATGCAGAGAAGACTTCTTTTTGTTTTCTCTCGGTTCCATTTTCTGCCCCGCCGCGCGATTATCTAGGATCTAGGAACAGAACAGTTGTCTACTGCTGCATGTAACCTTGGGGCTTTTTGCCAGTGTTACCGTACGGATGACGGTCGGTACTTGCGGATAAATGTAAATGAACAATTGGTAGTCACAGTCACAAGCTGTGGTGCCATCCATTTGATACCTTACCCTGGCCTATCTTGGTTTCCTCGGCTTCAGTCGATTTGACTGAGGGCGGTATCTTCCACTGTAATAAATACCCTACTCGCGAATTCTTGAGCCTCTCTATCATCTCGTTGCCTCCTCCACACTTCGGCGTCTCCGTCTCCGTCTCCGTTCACGATTTGATTTGATTTGATTGCATCCTGCCCCCAGACACTCGGCCCTTTATTGTTCTGTAGCGCAGCCAGAATAAGAGGTCAACACCTAACAAGCGGGTCTTCAGCACACCCAACTGTTTGCGGCATCAGCCTAACACATCAACCACACCTAAAATCAAACGTTTAGGGAGAGGTTGTCAAGAACGTCACCACTCGTGCCAACTTCCAGAGTGTACATCCATTACCGGAACGTCACACTGCAGAAAGAGGTGGCAGCAAGCGTGTGAAACAAGTCGATATTCTTGAGAACAGACCAAAGGGGAACAAGAGAGTGACATCCCGTCATTTTACCCCACGCAACACCTGTGCTTCCTACCATTACGGTCATAAGCATATATACAGGCCAGGGCCGACAGCACACCCACCTCCACATCATCCTACGCACACACATACAGTAGTTTATCAACTGTCACTGTGCTACTGTATCTTTATTTCTTGGCTGCCTAACCTCACGGATACATATTCCACCCCATTCCCGCATTCTTCTCCCCCGACCTTCTCCTCTATCTTATATATCTGTCCCTCCTCTCACCAACACCTGGACTCGCTCGCTTATACCAACATTGTCCGTCACTATCTCATCATCAACATCATCAACTATCATAATGGACGCTCCCTCCAGCTCAACTTCCAACTCCTCGGCTCAGCAGTCTCCTTCTGTACAGATGGTCCCTCAACCTGCTCCCGCTCAGGGTAGCGGTCCTTCAACCGACGCCTTTCTCCAGGACTTCACACTCATTGCCGAGGCTGCCAAGCGGGCGCAAATGGCCATCATGATACGCGACTTTGAAGAGTGTGGCCTGTAGGGGACTGCTCTCTCTCGGTTACGTTGGCCATGCTCTCCCTTCTACCAAGGGCGATGACAGGAAAAAAAGAAAAACCAGAAACGGAAGCGACAATCATGCCTGTCTCGACAGCAACAGCCTATTCAGCTCCGCGAATCACTGCAAGATGTCATTGGGGGATTTATGCGACTGTGGCATGTTTGGCTTATCGCATTTCACCAATCACGCCTCACCAATGCCTTATTCACATTCTTTGTCTTTTGACAACTCAACTCGACCCGAGGCAACCCTTATCGATGAATACTTCTCTTGTATTATTGAAAGTGGTTCGATGGCATCTTTCGGCATGTGTTTTCCCGACGATGATAACGATTTAACTCACTCGCGCATCTGAAGTGGGCCTCATTCATGTCCATTCGGCCCTTGATCCGACCCAAAGTATCGGCTGTTCTACCTAATTCAACGTGGGATTGTCGGGCCGGGAACCACCGCGAGGCTACCGTATTTCCGTTTGGCGCTGACGCAATTGACGGCTTTTTATCCGACGAAGCAAGTTTAAGCCTCCATTCTTCTAATCGGCCGCCATCCTCGGCTCGGTTTCTTCTCTGCAAACAGCCGACAAAGACGCAACCGGGGACTGTCGTCATATCAACAGCATCTCCATTGCATTTCTTGCTTTCGACACATGTATTCCTTTTTTTAATCGTTCATAACAGCGAACATCCGGGGGTTATGGCGTTTGGTTCAAAAATGGAGGCACATGAACGACCCCACATGTTTTTTTGTTTTCTCTCTCCACTTCTGCGATGGAATAATTCTATGTTGCTACTGCTACCACATAGATGGATGATTGGATGTGATGATATATATACCACGGGAAGGTTGTTCTCTTTTTTGGCATTACTCATGATCTTACACTAAAATGCTACGGCTATAATGGGAATGAGCTGCATGGATAGATACTCCCAGTACTACAATGAGATGAGACAGCCATTTACAGTACCCGTCTACTTGATTTTCTTGACTGAAGTGTGATGCAATGTCAAATTTGTGTTGGACTTGAGCTTGTGCCTCCGAGGCAGGTACATCTGCCGGCACTTCTTTCTGGCCTTTCTGAACCAAATGCACGTGAGCTCATTTGTAGTCTATCCAGCTTCTTGGGCGCTTTCACTTGGCACCCGGTCAGCTCCACTGTTCAGGCAAAGCTACCAGCAATACTTGTATCTTACATTCAGCCATCTACTGCCGTCAATAGAGCAGTTGAAAGCATGCGCTCGAGATGACATTGCTCGCTTAACATGGGTTTATCCTGCTACGGGACAGAGCTTGGGAGCAATGGCCAATATCCAAACCCAGGCTCAACATCAAGATTCAAGCCGCCGACAGGCGAAGAGGTTGCAACTAAAACGACACCACGATGCAACTCCCCTCCGTGTGCCGCAAATTCAGAGTCGCCAGGATATCAGAACATCGAGATTTATCTCAAAAGTTCCCCTATCGCCTCACTTTTCTCTTATCCAAGTCTGGTCACTGTGAGGCCCCCCGCACTTGACTGAGGTTCTTGGACGGCACAGCAGAGACCTAACAAGGTAGCAAGACTGTGTATCGGTCAACTCCGTGTCTATCTGGATCTCCCTGCCGGAAGGATTAGGTGCTGTAACCCTCCATCTCATCAAAGATGGTGGCTAGGAGCGTGGAGGTCACACACTACCTTACATAAACTGAAACTCTGCTATACAGATAGACAAGGCCATCTGGAAGGCTGATAATGTCTTCATGAGGCTCGAGCGTTGGAGACCCTCGACAAGTATGCCCCTGACGTTTCAACACTTTTCAGCTTTGGTGCATCCATTTCCTATTCTGACCCGGGGAAATCCTTCCGTCTGCAGGACACAACCAACTGCATATGAACCATGATCATACCATGACTTCGCAACATAGCGAGTCGAACCAACAAATTGATTCTCGAGGCTGAGTATCTTGATCCTGGTATTCAGTTTCAAACCCCTTGCAAGCAGAGCTCCCAGCCACTTGACTTTCCATAGTTAATAGACCGTCCATAGGCACAGCAATGCATTCTCGTGAACCCGGGTTGAGTGTCTCAACTGCTCAAATCAAAATGGCCACTCTTTCTGAACAACCTGCGTTCAAAGAGCTGAGCACTCTTGTCAAACTTTCTCCCTCTGATGATGATCCCAACTTTCCTAACTTTAAAAAATGCCATGCTGCTACTTGCAAGACTGGCACTAAGGGGAAGGAAAAGGACGCCAAGAAGATATGGGAAGAATTAATGAAAAAGGAAACACTTTCGAACGAGGTCGAGTTCTATTCGACGGTTAAACAATTTCTCCCGTTGATTCAATGCAAGAGGCATAATTCGAAAAATTTCCTTCAAGGGCGCTTTGATGACTGGAAAAGGTCCCGAATTGAGAACTCGGTTTACACTTCATCTGAAGTGTCGCTACCTGGCACACCGACTCAGAATCAAGTCTTCGAATCGCCTACTGTGGGATACGAAACACCTCTCTCAAGTCCTCTTGTCGAAGATGACACACCAACAACCCCAGGGAAAAGCCCGGCTTCCAGCTTTGACAGATTCATCCTGAGCACCACGAGCAGGATGAACCATGATAGCCCTCTCTCCGTGGTTGATGACGTACCAACATATAACGATAACTCGAAATATATTCCCACATTGGCACTCGGCATTAATTCGACCCCTGACAAGACTGCTGATGTTGGCCAGCCAGATAACATTGTGGAAAACATCACCGAGGTCAATGTCATATCCCCCAGAGAACCTCCAAAGTGGCTCCCTATTCATTCCAGGCAAGATGTTGCCGCCGAACATCCCGACATCGTGGAAACCATCGTAGACGATACAGTTATAGATGAGAATGACTCGGATGATGAGCCACGACTCGCCCACCCGCAGTTTAGTGAACTTGGGATAAAGAGGAACGGAACCTTGAGCGATAAATCCGCCATCATCAGGGAATTAAGGAAGCCTCTCACGCATGCACAGGTGCGAGAGGGCAAAGTATATGTCCTGAAGCACAAGGAAGAAAAGGATATGTTCAAGATTGGATGGACCGCTACTACTGTCAACACAAGTCTATCACGGCCCAACAACTGCTACGGCTCATCGTGTGAGACCAAGCCCATCTATGAATCTCACAATTTATTCAACGGTGCCCTCAAAGCCCACAGACTGGCGCACTTGTTTCTCAGGGACATCAATGTGCGGGTCAACAAGTGTAAAAAATGCGGCAAAGGGCACAAGGATTGGTTCGAAGGACGTGAAGAGGCTATTGTGGGCACAGTCAAGGTCATGGAGGGCTTTTTACGAAGGCCTGCTTATGAGTTGAAGGAGAATGGAGAGCTCTCGGATGAAGGGAGAGCCATGGTGAAGAACATGTGCAACGTCACCCTCGAGTCATTCCAAAGGAACGAAGAGTCTTATGGAATCCCGGGCCATGTCACTGATGCCGAATCTTTGCCGATTACACATACTGTAGTCCCTGAAGCTACGGTTGATATACACTCAAGACAGGGCCAGGTTGACGAGTCGTCAAGCCAGCCAGAAGCACTCGCCGCATCCGCGGGTACTTCTAAGGAACTGGAACCACCCTTAGAGGTGAACAAAAGTGGATTCCGCAATAAATTCAAAGAATTGTGTGGTAACATGAAGGACAAAATCTCCAAGGAGCCTGCAGAGGCTGACAAGAATTCAGCCAATGACGATGAATTTCTCATTGCACTTCTCGGGGCCCTCGACCAAGATAGTGACAGCACTGAGAGACCTCGCGGATGGAGTTCTTTGGGAGTTGTGTGGGCCAAATTCACGGCGATCTTCAAGAGGTCGGTTGAACCAGATGCTAAGAAAGCGAGTTGATGATTGGGTATGCCGAAATAGGTGAGTTGAGTATCTGTATTATAGGTCAGTTCTGTTTGAGTAAATTGCTTGTTTGCTTTTATGTATTTAATTACTATATTGATCTTCCCATCACTCTACTCAGTATCGTGAGCATTTGTTACTGCAGATGCTTTGTCGTGTGTCGTTACACGGCATGACTGTGCAACCGCAGATCTGACTACAGTTGCTCGCGTGTGCCATTTGTACCAGCCTATTCATGCAAGTCATTTATCAAGCAGGGAACAGGCTGACCATATCACTCATATCTATACATCAATTTCCGCCCCGTCTACATTAGGTGTGTTTCATAATTGCCTATACCTTACGTTGTAGCTGAGGCTCATACTTCAAGACGGAGAGACATAGCCATTGACGTTTTTCAAACCCCCCACCATCATTCGTAAGACATCATGGCAATCAACCATTGTTTCGCCCGTCAACATCTTACATAAAGGGCACCATATCTACCCACCTTACCTAATCACTCATAAGAAACAGCAACTGCTTGGAGCGTAAAGCCAGGTATTTACTCCATAGGTGCCTTCCACATTTACCTAGCGCACACGCTAGAAGAGTGCCTACTCCGGATGTCCGTACAAAGTGTCTCTCACTCCTTCTCCTTCCGAAACTTGAGTAACGCACGCGACCAAATGAAAAATGATTTGATTCTGCCTTTTCATCTCCAACCTCAGAATCTCAACTACATTACTTACCTCAAGCAAAGTCACACTTCTGTAATTACTGACATCGATTGCTAACCTCCACAGCTTTCATAGCTCTCCACAAACGTCCCTCTTTCGTCATTGTCTAACCCCACCATCCTATTCCATCCCGAACTTATATCGATCCATCCCGAGCCGACAGGACCCTCCCCCTCACCTCATAACGCGCGCTATCTAAGGGCTCGAGTTGTATCTCCCCAAATCGAGCAAATTTATTCTTCACCTTCCGTCACCGCCACATAGTCTCGCTTTCGTATCCTCATAAGCGCCAATGGCTACCGAAAACCCTTTAGAAGACCGCATCTCGACTGTTCCTTTCGCAGAGCAGGGCGAGAAGTGGGATAGTTGCTGGAGAGAGGCTTTAACACCATGGGACCGCGGAACCGCCTCCATTGCCCTTCACGACCTCCTCGCTCAAAGACCTGATCTCGTACCGCCCTCCCAACACCATGATCATCGCGGCCATCCCCTCCGAGATTCAGCAGGCGCTATTGAAAAGAAGAAGGCTCTAGTCCCCGGTTGCGGGCGTGGTCATGATGTTCTGCTATTGAGCTCGTGGGGTTATGATGTCTGGGGCCTCGACTTCAGTGCTGCTGCAAAGGAGGAGGCTATCAAGAACCAAAAGCAAGCCGAGTTAGAAGGTCTATACAAACCTGTCGATGGGTTGGATAAAGGAAAGATTCACTGGATTACTGGTGACTTCTTCGGACAACATTGGGCCAAAGGTGCTGGCGCTGATGGCAAGTTTGACCTGATCTACGATTATACGGTAATTCCACTTCTTGAAGCCCAGGGTTGATACATATCCTGGGCGCCTCTACTTTTCAGCAAGCCAACTAACTGTACAGTTTCTGTGCGCTCTGCCTCGCGAAGCAAGACCAAAATGGGCCAAGCGCATGACCGAGCTGCTTTCTCATGATGGTCGCCTCGTCTGTCTCGAATTCCCTTCGACAAAACCCATGTCCGCCAATGGTCCCCCATGGGGAGTCTCCCCGGAGCTCTATGAAGCCCTCCTAGCAGCTCCTGGCGAAGAAATTGCATACAACGACGACGGTACCGTCCATGAAGACCCTTGCTCAAAACCTTGGGCCGACGCCCTACATCGACTGAGTCTTCTCAAACCAACTCGAACGCACAAGGCCGGCACCAGCCCAGATGGCGCAGTGCTTGACTTCCTCTCAGTCTGGAGTCGATAACCAAGCTGAATAGTTTGGCCACCGAATCTCCTTTTTTTACGTCTCGATACCAAACAACCACCATATGATCTTTCGCCAATGTACGCACAAGAACAAAAGTGATCTCCTTATCCTTCTCATGATGGTGCCTTTCGGAGAGAGTTGTAGTGCTCTCCCAAGCCGTAGCCGTGCCTGTAGTATGCCAACCATAATGTTTTGCCCGACTCGGCTCCCTCTTTCTCCCCAATACGCTCAAGGCGCCCATCTTGTACCACTCGGATCTCCGCTTTATACTGTCGTGCCAGCGCCATGAGCTCAAGCTGGCCACCCCATTCAGCAGTATCTCGCATCTTGCGAGCGTAGTCTTGGAGGTCTTCCTCGAGGAACGGCGCAAAGTCGTCTCCATGCTCCAATATATACTCTGAAGCCACTCGTCGCACCGTCCTGTATGCTGGATCCTTGGTGTCACTGTCTCCGAGAGGAATGTCATTCTGGCCGAGCTGATCCGCCACCGCTGAAAATAGACAATGTCCATCGGGCGCGATATCTTTCTCCACAAGCCCATGCTTCTCAAACGTCGACTTCATATATTCGCTCTCCTTGGCTCGGTGATTGGTCATACTGGATGCTTCCTCTTCTGCACGCTGCGCCTCAGCCTCCTGCTCAGCAGCACGTCGAGCAAGCCGCTCTTTCTGACGATTGCGCTTCTTTCCCGGCTGCTGCTGCTGCTGCTGTTCCGGTTCTGAGACAGAGAGCTTCTCGGTCTCTTTCACTAGAATGTCTTCCTGGGGCTGGTTTTGAGCTTCGGCGGCGGTATTGTCGCCTTCGTCGCTGTTGTTATCATCGCTGTTGTTCAAAGAGGCAATCTCGGCGGCTTGCTTTTCACGCAGCTGACGTTCCATCTCTGCACATTCGTCATTTACGCCTTTGCGCGTCTTCTTTGTGGCATTCTTCTTCTTTCCCGTTATGCGGCCTTGCAGGTCCTTGAGCTCACGACGATGCCGTGTCTGAATCTGCTCAAGGGTTTCCGTTACCATGGGACTGTCCATGACTGCTGCGACTGGCTTCAGCCTGGCTCGGAGTTTAGTCAGAAAGCAAGTTTCAGGTAGTATGTAGGTATCGGCTCTTGATATGTCCCGCAGTCTAGGGGGAGAAAAGGCGAGCCTGTCCTTGTTTGGCTTCTATATATCCAGGTAATAGGTAAGTAAAGAGAAAATAATGAAGCTTGAAGAGCTACACCAATGGATCGCGGGGTAAGTGAGTGGGAAATTTCGTTAGTGGGGCATTCTTCAAGTATCCATGATTTTGTCCATCAACCCGTCTCCAAACCATAAGACAATTATTATGACGAAGACTTCAGTCGTGTTTGATTCCACCAACGTGGCAGCCAAAGATCCGAAACGAAAGTCACATATCAGTTGGAGGCGACAATGTTAAGATGGGCTAGGCCAGTTTTACCTTTATCTATCTACTTTTCAAGACCAACCTGGTTTCTTTGAACCGGATTGGACTGATTTGCATGTCTTTTTTGAACCTGTTATCTGCTGAGACATGCCATCTACTTCACTTGCATCAACCTCCGGATCCCACAGCCCCTACCCCTTCCCAGGTTTTCAGTGTATACAAAGTATTTATCAGAAAGATAGTACCAAAACTCCACACACAATGATTGTTAACTAGCCCGCGAGGGCCAAGTTCTTAACCGATCCCAAATATTTATATAGAAAAGGGTATAATGCTGCGTAAAGCTCTGCCATAACCAATGAACATGACCAAGAAATCGAAAGATAATGAAAGTGATAATTGCCGTCGTGGCTACTGTGCTGAATCAAATGGATGCTAGAATCCCTTGAAGGGATCATCACGGAAATAGTCCTCCTCTCCGGCAGTTCTGCTTCCATGGTAATAGTCATCGTGTGTTGCACGGGTGCTGCGAGAATTATAACTATCTCGATGTCGACTTCGGCTTTGTCGTCTTCGTTGTTCTTTACTCCGTCTGCGAAGTGAGTGACGGAATTCGTCCTGTTCATCAGGATAGTCGTTGAACTGAGAAAATGCCAGCGGGCTGATAAAGGCCTCCATTCGCACAGTGCCAATGGCATCAAAGAAGTTGCTTGGTCGTGAAGAAGCTTCAGAAGTTCGCTGTGAGCCTGCTTGGCTCATTGCCCAAGTTCCGTTGCTCGAAGCCTGGGACTGATAGATATCCGAAGAACCTGCAGTTCCAGTGCTATTACCAGCAGTACTATTGGTGGACTGGTGATGACCAACACCCCCAATGGGTCCAGAGAACCCCCGGAAAGAGAGCGGCGGCGGTACATGGCCGCCTGTATTGCTTCTCTTACGTCCGTGAACGTTTACCTGGTTTCCTTGATTCCTATCATGGAAACGTGGTATAAATGGGGGCTCTGCAGCATCTCTCGAGTCTTCTCGAGAGTGTGTACTTGAGAATCCTCCTACAGATTCCGTAACGGGAAAACTAGTGACGTCTCCGAGTTGTGAAGAGGGCGCGCTGGGGATACTTGGGATACTTGGAACACTAGGTGGTCCAGCACGAGGACCAACCGTTCGGCCTTTAGCAAGACGGATGGAGTCTCTAATTCCACCCCGTTTCAGTTTGGGCCGAGGAGCCTCAAAGTCTGGCAGTGGCGTTTGCTGTATTGGCGGTGGTGCAGAGATGTTTTCGGGGATTGCCTGCGATGAATGTGCAAGGAATGACAAAGCTGTCAACCAGATATAGTGCCGGTCAGCAGAATCTGCCGTGAACTTGAGAGCTCTCTGTGGTGTCAAAATAAGAATTGATCGGTTGAACACTGTTGCGACTCCCTTCGGTGGAGCATTATCATCCTTAACATCGAGAACAGATTGTATAGTCACTATGTTCGCTAGTCAGTATCAGTCGTAGAATCAATGTGAGCAACTTACGTTTTCGGCCAGCCTTACCCATCAAGGCGCTGCCAGAGGATGGCTGCTTGCTACTCCAGAGGATAGCCCTCTCGTAGGGTGCAAGCCAAACCCATCGTTTGTGGCGATCGTTGCCGGTATCGTCCTTGCCGTTGCTCTCCGCAACGCCGAAAGACTTTCTTCTGCGGACATATTTGAACATCCACTCGCCAACCATGGTCTGTGCGATGGCATCGACTACACTCGTATTCTGAGGGCTGCTCGGATTGGAGGGCGGATCAGTGCTGGAAGTATTGAGCGTATTGCCAGTATTGCCAGTATTGTATGTGTTGAATGAGTTGTATGTGTTGAATGTGTTATCAGTGTTGGTAGAGAGCTTATGCTGATGCCTAAATTGACCACTATGACGAGCCCGAGTGCGGGGAGTCGTAATGTCGTTCTTGGGCAACGGAGGCAGGCCTGGGCTCTCAGGGGCCTCAGTAGAAGGAGATAGCGGAGGTGAAGATCGACTGCCTTGCTTACGATGTCTGTGATTACGCGGTAATGCAGCGGCAGACCTGACCTTTCGTACGCTTCCTGCCCGGTAGACGCGACCTGATCCACGACGCTGGAAGAAATCACCTCGAGTTGGGCTTCTCTGACCATCGCTTGGAGCGCTTGCACTTGGAGGCATGTTTCTAGAGCTGGCTCTTGTAGGGATCGGGAATGGAGGAGGGTTTTTATCAGGTAAACTTGGGCTCCTCGCCCGTCCTTGACCTTGATGACTGGCAATACCATTCTGGATCATCGCGGCCTTTCGCATAACGCTAGCCCGGTTGGATGGCATGGCAGCAGGGCCCTTCTCGAAGCCTCTTCCAGGCTTGGTGGTAAAAGCGTGATGGATTTCTGTGGTAACGCGAGGACCCTGTCGCATAGTAATCTGTTCAGGGGACGTGGGGATTGTGCCGTTGGTTTCAGTCGTGCCAGTTGAGCTGCGTTTACCAGGACGACTTGAAATAGACTTGGGACGCGGTGCAGACAATGCAGTTCGGTACTCCAAATCACTTAAGTCTACATCACCAAAATCGTCTGCTTCATCAGAGCTACCTCCATCAAAGCCAGCGAAGAGGCTACTAAAACGATGTGGCCGCCGCACTGGGGCCTTCTGGTTGGAGAGAGGGCCATCATCGTTGTTGCCAGGATAAGCATCATGAAGGGTGTCATCCTCGGGGAGAGAAATTGGCGAGGAAGGCTGATCGCTAAAACTCTGCCTATTGAGTCGACGCGGGTTCCGTGGTGGGACATTGCCAGGGACAGGTGTGAAGCTTTTTGTTGTGTCCACCCCAGATGTTGGGTTTGGTGAGGTAGGCCGGGAGGAAATGGCAGAAGGCTGAAGATGGGGCGGGAGAAGTGCCATTCGCTTGTCAGTCTGTATGCCTTCCGTCTGTACCGCTGCCTCGGTTGTAGAGGATGAAGAAGGCAAGGCAACTTGACAACTGAAATCTTTGAAAAGTACTGGCAATCTCGGCTCCTTAGGTGTGGTAGGTCGACTGGTAGGAGGGTGGACGCTAATACTAGGAATTGCAAGAGGGGGCGGTGATGGTAGAGCAAGTGGAATAGCGGGTGGTGGGCGAGTGGGTGGGCCTTCGGTCTGGGTGGAAGATGTGACCATCAAGGGTTTTTCGACCACAGGAGGCTGTACTGGCGGCGGTGGCGGTGGCCGAGTAGGTGATTTGGGTGTCTTAGGAGTCGGAGGCAGCAATGGCTCTTCCGTTGTCTGAACAGAGCTTGAGACCATGAGTCGTCGAGTTACTGCTGGCTCGATGTTGAGAGGGGGGTGAACACGCTTCCGACGTTGGTTTGCTTCAATCTCACCGTCACCACGTGGCGAACACTCGACTTCGGGTAACTTGACAGGAGCACGGGGCTCGGGTGTTGCAGGCTTCGCAGGAGGGAGCTTAGGTGAAGGTGGCGGCGAGTATTGGATTCCTGTGTCAGTGTACGAAACCTTTGGCACAGGAACTGGTGCAGAGACAGTTTTCCCCTCGTTTTCTTCATCTTCCAGGGCTTCGGGCACTGACTGATTCATGAAAAGTCTGCCCCGAGTGACACTTCCAGTTCTCTTGATACTCTCCAAACTCTGATTTCGAGCATGGAACCGTTTCACGGGACTGTCGCGGCTGAGATTGCGAGTGTGGAATGATGTTGCGTAGTTTGACATGGCGCTTTCCCGGCCGTCAAAGTCGCTTTGTTCATCCTCGTCATCGAAGTTGAGCTCATCAGCGAGAGAGTTTCCATTCAGCCTCATTATCCCACTGCCACTTGTCATGGAAAAGCGAATGCTGTTGGTCATACTCATGGTCCTCACACTAGCAGCATCGTTCTCCCGGCCGCTTTCCTCCACTTCACTATCATGGCCGTTGCCTGTTCCATGGTTAGCTCCACCGTGAGCATTGTTGATTTGGGCTTGTTGATATGCGGCGACTTCATCAAGCACAGTCTTCAAGCGGCTTTCTGCAACGTGAATTCGCCTCTCAAACTTCCGCCTCTCTTCCTCCCAGCTATCCTTCTCTTGTGCCCATAGTTCGTGAACACGCTGTGAGTCCTCCTCCTGAACCCGGATCTTCTTTTGGGCAGTTTCGAGTCGCTTTCTCGCATCAGCGACAGAGTCGACAGCCTCATCTCTCTCCCGAGCAAGTTCTCCTAATGCAGAGGACGATCCACCCTCGAGAAGGGAGAGTTGTCGTTTGAGCGACCTGCTCTCCTTACTCGTTTCAGTGAGATTTTGCTTCACTGACTCTTTTTCCTCCTTTGCCGCATGAAGAGATGCTTCAAGCGTTTCAATCTGCCTCGTCTTCTCCTCCTGGTCTCGGCGGAGAGATAAGATCTCGGAGACGAGGTTGGCGTGTAGTGTTGGCGTGAAACGCCGAGGATCGAGAATACTGATGGTTTCGTCGGTTGGGATATTTCGTGAGGATCTCTTAGAACCCGTCTCGTTTGGTAATTGAGCTGTAGAAGAATCCTTTCCAGGCGGTGTGACCGAGCGCCGGGACCTCTTTGAAGCTCTCGATGGAGTTCGATAGGGAGTATCTAGAGGTGTTGGCAGCGAAGTAGCAGCCGGGCCACTGAGATACTCGTCATCTGTTTCCCAGACACCCATAATGAAGTAAAGGCTGTAGCCTTGCAGCTAGCGACGCTCAAAGACTCCTGTGATTTACGCAACAAGACGGATTGGTGCTTTGAAGTCCCCTTTCAAAGACTGTTGTAGAAGGCGACTTGTGGATGCACCCGTGCAAACCGGTGCACAGTCGAAAATGTTTGCTCTCGAAATGGAATAAGGAGCGTCTGTGACAGGAAGGAAATGCGCTCAAAGATTGACAGAAATAATCTCAATGTTGTCTATCACGTAACGTGATTTTCACCATCACTGTGCATGTACATATTAGCTAGGGTAATTCTTCACATACTCGAGACGAATGAACATATAGATTTCGGAAAATCAGAGAAGCAATACATGCGACAGCGGGAAGAATTTGAAACTGGTACCGAGTACCACAATGTCAAAACATGTCTTGACTTACAACATAAGCAAGCAACTGGCGCTTTGAATTAGCCGCGTTGCCCACTCAGAAGCATAGAGACGAACGCAATGCCATGGCATCGAGCACAATCAGTGACTGACGATAGGCCGTAGAAATGTGAGTAGCGTACGTAGGTTGAGCTGGTGCAAAGAATGAAAGTAAGAATATCATAAGCTAGTACCAGCACCAGCAGTTAGAAGACCCGGAGCAGTTACAAGCAGAGGCTAAAATAAACCAAAAGACAAGGACACGAGTATGACGGCGAGGAAGGAAAGATAAGAAATGCTCAATGGATGATCGAGAATCTTGAGAGCCCAAAGGTAGGAGGTGGTAGTAGTGACGCGGGTTATCCCCAGGGCCAAATGTGTGATTAAAGCCCACGCGGGCGCAGAAGACCATATCCTTGTTGGGTATCCACTTCTGAGGCGTTCACTTGAACCAGGCCAATGGCTTACGGCAAGAGACCAGAGCCTTGCAGGTGACAGCGGCGAGTGAGGGAACAAGGAACATGTCTTTCACCAAGACTGGCCAACATCGGGCTGGTGCGAAAGCATGGGGGCCCTGCAAAGTCTGAGCAAAAAAAGGAATGGTCCACTTGGTAGTCGACGGGAGGTGGGGTTTCCAGACAGAGCCCGAGAAATCGGACTTGGTTGTCTTTGATTAAGGGTCAACGAGGCTTACTCAATCCGAGTCAATCGGTTGACGAGGAAGATGGAGGGTGACAGTGTCAACGTGGAAGCTTTCATGAGGGAGGGATTCGGAAGAGGTGTGAGGCCGAAAAGGAGGCGTTTACTTCAGAGACTAACAACAAGTGAGCGATCGAATCTTGGATGTCGACCTCAAGTATCTCATAACTCAGATGAAATTCCCTCGTAACAACCAAAGCAATGTTGACCAACAGGTCTAGTAGTGATTTTTCTCGTCAGCTTAAACAAACATAAATGGTATAGCCTGGTCTTGTTCATAACTGACTTTAGACCATTCCGTGCCGTAGACTGGTGGACACCCATCAACGCCTCTCTCGATTCGACCCGTCCCTACCAGGTCGCCTGGCCTAATGAAGCTTAGTTGTCCCAAGAGAATTCATCCTGGTCAGGCACGTCGTAGTCGACTGTGAAAGTGATTAGGCAGGGCAGGGTTTGCAGCCTGCAGTTGACTGCAATTCCACTGGCACATTAACATCCTGGCCTGGCCGGCGGAATGGGACCCGGGAAGCACAACGAGAAGGTGAAGACAAGTGATTTGTTGAAGAGTGTGCTTAAAGTTGAGAAGATGCAGCTGAGGGTTAACGTTGAAACAACGTTTATTTCCTGAAGGAGGGGCCGGCCGTTGAGGGATTTGATGACTGAGGCCTTCCATCATATCATTTCAGTTCCATTATGGAAAAGTTGGTACAACCAAGGTACCTACTAATATCGGAATTCACATTCTCTTCCAAGTGCTGTGCCTCTGCTCTTATTTGAACACTACCTACCTTGGATGCCTGGGTTTACTGGCACGTAATCTAGCAGGAACGGTACTACGTAATATTCGGTATTGAACTTCAACACCGGCAAACGGAAGGAAGGTGATCCGTGTCAATCTACTAAGGTAGGTACCTTGCCGGGCTATTATAAGGTACCTCATGCCGCCTGAAGTTTCACACAGTAAGTCAGCTCAAGCCTCAAACAGCAACCGCAAAGAGGAAATTTCATCTGCTCTCGCCTAATGATAACTTCTCATTAACACATTTCGCAGAACCCCGCTAAATGATCAAGACACGACCAACGCCGGACCCCCTTTATGATGAGCTAAAGAGTCCTCCCCGGGAAAGCTAATGCACGACCTAGGGGGCCCCCTGTGGCGCCGCAATATCGGCCCTGCATATTTCCAGGGACATCCAATGATCGAATAGGAGTTCCACGCTTTTTGTGTTGGCCTTGCTGGATGTCCAATCTCTTCTCTCTTCTCATCGATGATGAATGCTGGTGATCCTACGGAGTACTTACGATGTAAGCAGTTACTGTATGATCGGAGTTGCACCGTATCCGATCCCTGGCCATCGCACTCAGACCTTTTCAAGCCCAGGATGTCCACACTGGAACCGTTGATCTTCAACAGCATGGAAGTTCCCTACTCCCCTCCTTTGCAACGGCAAGTCTGGAAGCAAGCAACAGCTTTGCAACGGCTTCTGAGCTATGGCGTAAGCGATATACGCGATACAAACTAACGGCGTGAGCAAGCAATGATTTATCATTCTTATTTATGCTTGCACAGAGACAACGCTGTAAACGCAATTTACTCCGAGGCTAACAATATAGCTCTAATCGAGGCCAACGCCTGGTCCAACACATGGTACTCGAAGATTCCTAGCCTACGGGACGAACAATGCACGAACCACTCCTTCTAGGGTTAAACTGGCAAACAAGGCCATGGGCTCGGTAATGATGCTGTGTATCCGGACAGGCGTGACTTGTCGAAGTGGCTAATCTACGGCCGCCTCTTTCTAAACTAGCTGAATGTGCAAATGCAAACATGTTTGACAGTTCGACAATTCGAGTTATATTGGTCGGGGCGAGTACAAGGGCTCATATCTACGTCTAACTATCTCATGTATGGACAGAATTACCGACATGTCAAGACGAAAATCATGCCCCTGCTCAACGCCCAAGGGCTGCTCGTGAAAGTGGGGGCTGCCGTCCTCAATCAAGACGAAACCTGAACAACTTCGATCGCCGAGCTAGCTTTGCTCTTTCTCTCATTGATGAGTTCTTTCTACTCCGTATGTATCAAGGACATCACATCTTGGAAATCATTGCATCTACCTACTATTACACCCTGGCAAGCGTCTGATCAATCTGATGCATGCACAGCATAAGGTAGGTAGCAACATTCAATTGTAAAACAATCTACCTATGTACTACCGAGCTGCACCCCAGATGACCACTGCTCAGGGCCCCGGCTTCTGCTCCACTTTGAATGGATTCACTTTTGATTAAGGTGTTTGTTTGCCTTCTGAAAAGCAAGCTTTTTTATTACCACTATCTGACCCATTCATGGTCAACAATCGGAAACGGAGGCCAGCCCATCCATTCTCTCAGCATGACTGTTTGCTTTGATTGAGGTCAACAACATTACTGTACGATTTATTGTACATATTCCTCAATGTCGTGTCGTTCTGCAGAGTACAATCAATCAGTTAGGCATCAAGGCCTTTTTTCACAAGATAGAGTCTCCATGATGAGAAACATGCCATTCCCGTGAGAGCAAAGATCAGCCTTGTGCCAGTGAACTACCAAACAGCTGCTCCGTTCTTCCCGACTCTCTTTCGGCCACCATCTGTCTTGCAAATACAGGCCGCCCATCGATTCAGGGCCAGAGACAGAAACGCGAGCACAAGCACAAGCCATTCCTATGATGATCTCGTCCTCTTTCAGTGCTGACTAGAACGCCGCATAAAACGCACTACCTCATGGCGTTATCAATGGCCTACGAACATGCATGGAAGTACCTACTCATGAAAATTGTACTTGTTGAACCCAGACGCTGGTTCAGCGTGTTGCTTCTATGTACAAACTACCTCATTAAACTTTGCCCCATCCGCTACCGGTTCAATAGTTGAGGCGCGGCCCGTTTCGACCTTGATGAACAAAGCAGCTCAGAGTCTATGAGACACGTTAAGTGCTCTCCGTCATCGGCCTTATCATTTTTTCTCTTACTATGCAGCTCTTCTCATGTTCAAGTTGCCATCGATAATGTGGCGTTCTCTTTGGAGGAAACGGCATTCAAGATAACATCCTTCTTCCTAGCTTACTTACTTGCCGTATTACACCTTGGGCTTACCCGTTGGCTCGAGCCGGGGGGGGGCCAACTAAGCAAGCTTAGTTGGCTATAAAAAGGCGGGATAGTTATAAAACGGTGGGATACCCGTTAGGCCCGATTTTTGGTGTGTTTTGCGGCATTTTCAATGTATCTTTATTCTGAAGGCGTTAACAGAGGTGAAATTGCTGAATTAATTGAAATGAAGCTTCCTGTGATAATATATCTGCTATTGACTGTAACTGTAAGAGGGAAATAGCTGCAGCGGCGGCAAGCTTGCCTGCCGATTAATGATGCCTTCTCTAGTAAATTGGGTGCTTTCCTGTCCTTCCTGAGGCCTGTGACTGGCTCTTATAGCAGATCTTTCTTCTTTAATGAGGGAAATAAGGGCATTGCGAAATTGGGCTTGGTGTTGAGCTGGGTATGGTGTTGAGGGCACCGTTGGAAGGGGGGACTTATAGTTAGGCAGGTAAGGCGGCGATGAGGGTATTGCGACTTCCTCTTCTTCTGATAAATCGATGAGGCTATCTTCTTTGTTAAAATCGGCATTAGCTGGCGGTTGCGTAAGTTGAAAATTAACAGAGTTATTGCTGTTAAGAAGGCCGGTTAAATCTGCTGCTGAGAGAGGCTTTGCTGCAAAGCCGGCGTTGCAAATAGCCTTATAAGCTTCCGGGGCAAGCTGGGTATTAATTATAAAGTAATCTTCCTTCTTCTTTAGTTATAAGGATATCTCTGCTCGTAATGCATCAAGAGAAGCATATTCTATATCTCTTTTGGTGTATTTAAGCCACTGTTTAAAGCGTATCTTCTTTTTAATGCCATTAATAATAACCTCCTTCTTTTACTGCTACTTAGCTTTTATTTCTTCTATCTGCCGGATTATAAAAAATTATATATTCTGAAGCTGAGATCTCTACTTAGCCTTTGCTCCTACTTTAATAAATTTAGCCTGTTGTTCACGAAGCTCTTCTAAGCTTATATTATGAAAATAATCTCCTACTAGTTTTCCTCGCTTTCTATGCTTTCTCTGATAATATCTCTTTTTAATATGCTCCTGACGATTAGCAACGTGCTTTTTCATGATATCTTTAAGTATAATAGCTTTGCTAATAATCTTCTGTATAGCTTCAAGTCCCTGGCGCATTAGGGAGCTTAGAATATTATGATAGCGGTTACTGATATCCCTTGCTGTATCAGAGGCTAAAGGGAAGCGATTTTCTGCCGATAAAAGCAAAGATAGCGCCGGATTAATAGCCTTACAAGTCTTTAACTTCTTCTTCAGCAAATAACTAACTGCTAGCACCTTAGTTAGCAGGAAAATACCTAACTTTTCGAAGCCGGCGATAATATAGGCAGCTATAAAGCCTTCTTTAAAGATCTCCTGATATTATAAGAATTAGTATATAAAAAGAGGGATCTTTTAGAGAAGATATAAGCTGCTAACACATACCTTGAAGGAGCCTGCAAAGTTATAGCGGTTAAATATCAGATTTCCTTTCTATAAAGCTTCTCGCAGCCTTTTTTAGTATGCATTCTTTAACCACTAAAAAACGCCTAGGTCTATCAGTTAAAGTATATATATTAAATAAGGAAGAAGGAAAGCAACAAGGATATTAAATTTTATATAATATTCTCTAAAGGCAAAAAAGCCATAACCAGAAAAGCCGTCGATTATAAGCAACCGCCATATAAGCTCTTCTTCCTTCTTTCCTTCTATACCCAGAGGCATATTATATAGAGTAATAGGGTTAAATTTGCTTTTTAGGTACTTATTATACCTAAACCACTGCTCAAAATCCAGCTAACAATATTATACAATAGCAGATTTCTCCTAAGACTACCGGTTAAAGTGCTTTACCTACTTGAGTGTTATCTCGGCGTTAGAAAAAGCTGTTTCTAACTATGTAAAGCGTATATTAGGATTACCATTGATATCTGACCACTTAATTATTAGAAAAGCTTTAAAGATAAGCCAAGGAGGAGTAGTTACTTCTGCGGTATTACCTATACTAATTACTATATAAGTCTTCTTATCTTCCGGCGAGAATACCTCTATTAAAGTCTTCTTCTTAGTATATATAACGAGGCATTGTATATGCTCTTGTAGTATTCCGACTCTAATTCCGGCTTAATTAGTATTCTAATACTCTGAGGCGCTGATCCTATATCTGGTGATAACTTCAGAAAGTTATTTAAATTACTGCTTTGTCTCCTCTATGCCGGCTTCTTTATACTTATAGTAAGCAGCTTCTTTTGACTTTAAAATTGATGTATTAAGCTTAGGATGATCGTTACGGAAGCGACTGTATTATATCTTTAAGACCGGCTGCGCAGCAGCATTACAGCGGCTTCTTATTATATTTACTGTATCTTTAATCTTGCCTTTAGAGGCCAGAAGACTAGACTTCTGTATCTAAATGATAAAGCATATAATAGCTTCTTCTTTGCTATCTGAAAGGAGTCGCAGCCGGCCCTTATTTGGCTTAGGAACTAGGCTAAAATCTGCTGTTTTGGCTTCTTTAAGCTTCTTGATGATATGCGCAATAGACGACTTATGGGAGCCCTTGTACTGCTGCTTAGCATTGCGTATTGAAAGAGGCTTCCTTATTATATTAGAAGCATCATGAGAGAGGCCCTTTTGGAGTCGTTGGCGTGAAGAAACTACCGCTTAAGCTGCTCTGATATTTGCATTTAAAGGCATAATACACTTAGATAAGAGTACTCCTTTTTTGGCTAACTGGCATCTAGATTTAGGTCGATTTTATATATAAAATCGAGGAAATTCGCGATAGCCGGCGGAGCAGGGTTATCCCACCGTTTTGTGACTGTCCTGCCTTTTTGTGGCTAACTAAGCTTGCTTAGTTGGCCCCCCCCCGGCTCGAGCCAACGGGTAACCAAGTTAAAGCCCAAGGGTTCATGGCGCCGATAGGATGGTTCGTTCCTGCAAATCCCCCATGGCTCACACGCTAAGACGGCGCCGCGTTACCACATGAAACATGCGGCTTCATTGCCGGGTGATGGAGAGTTCAGCTAGAAACGTGGGCCAACATACATGCTCCGTAGACTCCGATTCTATGTACGTACGTTGTTATACGGAGCATGTATTCGGCTTCTTACCGGTGAGCCCATGCAGGCTAGGCAGGCCAAATTCCCTTCAATGAGAGGTGTATGTTCAAGGCTGTTGGTTTTCATTTCAGCGTTCTGCTTTACCATCGACTTGACGCAAATTGACAGGAGTTGTTTCTTACGAAACCTTCAGGAGGAAGAATTCCCATCATATACGACGAGGATAGACTTACTATGTACATGTTCAATCAAATCAAAGAACGCTTAGGAAGTAATGATCATCACCTCCTCCAGAATATGTTGGTCCCAACGGAGCCAAAGACGGATGGGGTACTTCAAGGGTACGTTCTGTGATGCTGTAATACTTGTTTGTCAGCCAGTAACATTATATACTACGTATGCAAGATGTGGTTTCTTGCAAGGAAGTTCGTTCATGTGAAAATTCATTTTCATTTGGTAAGCCATATCGATATCTCGGCGAGATATATCTAGGCAACTCGGCAAAGATAACACAATGTGAAAATTTGGTCTTTATTTGACTTTCTGTCTTATGGCGTGATCTGATACGACTCGGAGAAAAAGCAAATGGACATGGTCCACGGACCTCGGGGCACCGATGCAATCAAGCGTTGAACGGCGAAGAAAGAAGCAGCTCAATTAACTTGATACATAGTGTCTCCTGCTATGTACATGCTCAACATGGATTATGTATCCGGTTTAGCATGCGTAGACTAATATGCATGGATATCACAGTTCACTTCTCATGAACCCATGACCCATCCATATGAATCTACAGGAAACAACTCACAGACATTCTCGTGAAAACTGCATCATTGTCGTACGGTCATCAAACTCTCCAACGATACCTATGCAACATGCTGGCTATGCTTTGCTATCTGGGAGCCTTAAGCCCATGTTCATAGGAAGAACTGTCCATGTCCCAGACTCAACTCTTTGAGATGTGACCTTGTGAAGGCTCAAAATTCCTAAGAACTTTCCCCAAATCTTATAAAACTCACTGTTCAACAACTACTTGCGACTATCTGATCAGTGCATAGAGCAATGAGTGGACACATATCCACGAGATATCCTCAATACTACGAGTTTGTAAAGCAAGCCAACGAGGTTGTAAATGCATTTAATTCCCTGTTTCCTCTGTGCCTTGAACAACTGAGGATAGGCAGGACAAGGAGTTGGTTGTTACCCACTCTGTAAACTGGGAGCTATATCAAATATGTTATATCACGTTGCAAGGTGCTTATACGGGCTTACTGGATACGTCTGTTGATACTTCACGGCAATACTTTGTGCAATCACTGTTGCATTTAGTAATGTAGTCTCACTCAGGTAACCTCCTGCCTGGTCTTTCCAGGCTTGCAGGTCGACGAGGCATAGGCTGAAGATCACTGCTATAACAAACACTGCTAGAAACAGCTCATTACCTGGCAACGGTTTATGTGGCACTCATTCTACCTACTGTGTGAAGGCCTTTGAGAAGCCCGGGGGGTCTTCTACAACGAGAATTTACGCAATGATCAAGATTTTGCTAAACTCGCAAGCTAAGCCTAAGCTACTAAGTGTGTTTCATACAAATACTCGGATATATACTCATATGAACGGTCTCCCGATTGTATCATGGTGTTACAAGTGATTTCTTTGCAATCTTGTAACACCTCACGTGGAATATATGTGTTAATCCTTTCACCGGCTACGTTGATGAAACCGTGGTAATATGGCTACCATGCTTGAGATATCACGCCGTTGCTAATTCGAGCCGAATACAGCTACATGGAGCGGTAATGTGGTAGAACCTGATTTGCATCACGCGGTGTCGCCAAACAATGCGGTGGTACTGCATAATCGTTTGTATCGCATTGCAAAAGCCAGGCTGGACCTCATTGTTTTATCCATGTTCTTGTCTGATGTTTACTGATGGTAATCCAGATAATCCGGTATCGATGGTTGATATGTAAGAATACTTGGCAATGGCGGTCTATGATGGAATTGAGAAGCCGATGGTTTACGGTGATGGTTATAGGGGAAACATGCGTGTCAATCCATATTGACGTCAGTTCGGAACTGTGGGATAAGCCTTAGAATGGCTATGAATCACGTCTGCGGTGGTCACAAACTATGTTCAACATAATCTATTCTGCTCAGTAAGTTTCGTTCTTTGTGACTGGTTTCTATTGTTCCTATTACCTACAGGTCTTGAATGGGGCATGTGCTGTATACGTGATGCAATGCGTCGCATACAATCCTCCACGAGCCAGCAATAATCATGATATTTAGGGTCTTTTTGATCTCTTTCTTCGCGATTCTAGGATATTTTCTGCCTTGGAAGAGTATTCTCTATCTCTTGGAAAGATGTTTCTGATATGCTACCTCAGTTGACTGAATTGGTGCAACACAAAATTCGTGATATCACTCCACACCACTGGACCATGACTTTAGTCGGTAAGAATACTGTATTTCTGTCACCCAAAAATACAACATAATAATGAGTACTATCTTAGATAAAGTACCAGAGTTTAGAGAAGAGTTAAATCATAGCCCGAAGGACGACTGAAGAGTGACAATGAGGTGTTTAGTTTCAAGGACGTCGACTCGGCATACCCTAGATAACATCGAAGTTTCTGTTGTACGATCACAAACAATATGCTCAATGATCATACCTTATAGTCTCACTTTCGCAGTGCAAGTCAGCGCCGATTCTTCGATATCCATTTTCCCGCATTGATTGCCTCGGCAACCCTCACCATCATACTTATGCCTGCTGTCAACGAAGGGCGTAGGCATCATGTGACGTGACGGGCGACTGTAGATAGGTACGGTAGGTTCCTAGGAAAGAGATGTTGTAAACACCCAACACTACTACAATCACACAAATACAAGATCAAAACTTCTTCACAATACACAAAGAAATTGCAACCCACACCAAAAGCTCACAATGTCACCAGGAGCAATCTCGCCGCTTAGTAAAGTCAAAGCCCTCACTTTTGACGTCTTTGGGACCGTCGTCAACTGGCGCTCATCTGTAACCGATGAACTCACGCTTCGAGCTTATCGCAAGACTTCCTCCGGCCTGAACCAAGATGTCAAAGCTCGTGTTCAGAAGCTCACCGAAGAGGACTGGGGCCGCTTCGCGCAGGAGTGGAGGAACTCATACGGGAAGTTCACAAGAGGCTTTGACCCGGAAAAGCACACTTGGAAGACCATTGATCAGCATCACCACGACAGTCTAGTCGAGCTTCTCAAGGCATGGGATCTAGCTGACTTATACAGCCCGACTGAGATTGAATCCCTGAGTCTCGTCTGGCATCGCTTGACACCTTGGGATGACTCCTCAGACGGTATTCATGAGCTTGGGAAAACATACAAAACCAGCACCTTGTCCAATGGCAATGTCTCGCTACTCAGAGACCTGAACGATTTTGGAAACCTAGGCTTTCAGGTTCTCCTCTCAGGAGAGAAGTTCGGAGCTTATAAGCCAAACCCAGCCGTATACACTGGTGCTGCACGTGAGTTGGGACTCGAGCCTCATGAAGTTTCCATGGTTGCAGCGCACCTCAACGATCTAGAGGCCGCGAGAGCCTGTGGCCTGAGAACCATCTATGTCGAACGCCCCCAAGAGGAAGCCTGGGATAAGGAGGATGAAAGGTACCAAAAGGCCAAAGAATGGGTCGATATCTGGATCACGGAAGACGATCAAGGATTTCTGGCTTTGGCTCAGAGACTTGAGGAGTTGGCATGAAATAGTCGCAAAGTTTCGAGCAGCTGGTGTTGCTGTTATTGGTCATTTAAGTGCTGAGTAGCATGAATTCGGAGTTGCCTTTGGTCGAGACTCAATCAGCGGAGCCTTGTGCTCAACCCAGAGCCACTTGGATCGTTACATAACATCGTTGTTCTATCATTAGTATCATAGAAGCTTTCGTCTAAGCTATTTGGAGTCATATGACCTCACGTGCATTGATTCCCAATTCGGACTTCATCCATAAGACTTCTGTTTCCAGTAATGCCATGAGATTTATTAAATCAGCTTATATGAATGAGGTTGATCATTAGTTCTCTGCTTACAACCATACGATCCGAGTACATCACACAAACGCCGATCTCCAAAACCTGCTACGACATGAGCGCAAGTGGATAAAGGCAACACTTGAACAACCCCATGATCATGGAGCTGGTGTTTTCGGCTCTAGCCAATTCTGTATACGTTTTCTCAGCCGCCTTCACTATCAGGCCTAGCGGAACCCGAGCAAACGAGAGCTACGTGACCCAGTCGGCATCTATATCTAGAAAGTGTTGGAGCTGAACTTTTGGGTATTTGAATGAGCAGTTTTTCCAGCACCTCCGATCGAAGCGAGGTGGCAGAGAGACTCAAAGCGTACAAGTGAGCCTGTCATTGAACTAAACACGCCCTATTGAAACCTTGTTTTGCGGCTCTTACAGTACGAGCATATAGTCCAAGTCTGTATTCAACCATAGGTAGAGTTTGTTTCTGAATGACTTAACCTTGCTAATATTTTACTACCTTCGTTCGCATGCTAAATCCCACCCGCCCGCGAAGATGGGTATGAAATTGTTCTCCCCGCACATTGAATGAACCTGTAACCCAGATAACACAGCCTGTGACTGGTTGGGCTTAACGGATCGAACACCCGTAAGTTAGTCGGTCTCATTTACAATGTGCCAGAGAGTAACAAAAAGAGGAGCATCCGGCGGCAAAGCACATGGCCAACATGACAGGGCAAATGATATCCGGTCTTGGGTCTGATATCCACCGAGGCTGTCGTTCAGATGCCAATGATATCCAATTTTCGGTTGACGACAAGCTGCACCCATAGAAAGTCTGGGGAAACGTTGGTTACCCCATAGATGACAACGGCCCGACAACATACGAGTTTCCCTCTCAAGTTAAGGCTGTTTAACTAGCCTTGTTATTTTTTCCATGGCGTTTTCGGATCAAAGAAGAGACTGGGAAATTACCCAAATGTGTGATCGGGAAAAATGTGACCATGGGGTGTCAATCGGTCCTACACGATTGGGGTGTGCGAGATCCGGGATGGCTTCAAGGGCCGAGAGCCATGAGCCAAGAAGTAGCCGCAGAGTCCTGCTCGAAACATGAGATCTGACGTGTCTGGAAATAAGTTTCAGTGTTCTTTTCTTTTCTTTTCTGACCCTATTGACGTTGTAATAAGGGCCTCTGAACTGATTGGTGAGCTACCTACTATGGTAGCTATCGAGACGTTCACAATAGCTTTCGGCTGGCACGTTTAGGGTGGGGGGTAGGTTGGTCTCGATGGAGTGTTTGGCGCACCTACATAGTACAGTAGTATATAGCCAATCCAGTCGTGTTATTGTTCAATTGAACGTTGACCACGTTGAGAGAAGTTCAATAGTGGCAAAACTTTGACCCAAATGCTGCCTTCATTGTCTGTGCAACTATGACGAACCTTCGCGTGATGTGGAGCACCATGTCATCGTGGCATACTCTCGCATTCCCGTTCAGGACGATGCAGTGAGATTGATACTGTAAGGCGAATGCAGATATCACTTCCGAGAGGAGACGGACTCGTTCCGAGCCAACGGAACAAGCATAATGTCTTTAGAGGTCGCTGAGGCTCATCAGCCCCTGAATGTCCCAGCTGCCATGCCATGCAAGCAGTGGACTTACCTTAGTTGTCCCTTGTGTGAAAACTGAACACGAACAGGGTCCCTGACTGGCGTGACGAGGTAAGATAAACGCTGGTCCCGCGGACGCTTAAATTCCCAGAGACCATAAGTGGCGCCGCCGTTTCTCGATCCTCGTGTTAGCATCGGGTGTCCAGACTCGAATGGATCTATCCATCAAGTCACGTATTTGATTGAGTGGCTGGTGATCGTATGCACAGGTAGGCTGTAGCCCGAAGCTTGTCTTCGTCTGTGTCAAGCATGTGAGTCCGGTAACAAAAAAAAAAAAGCAGGGTCTCTATGGAATACCGAGACGGGTGAAATATCAATCCCCATGCATGTAGTATTTGACATGGGCATGCTTCTCTAGAAGGGCAGGCAGTCGTGTTTCGGAAGATTGGAAGATTACGTGGTGGACTGATTAGCTGATGCCAAGAGGATGCAGAGTATTGGGAAAATTTGATTTTAAGTGAAGGGATTTGTTGCTTGTCTGCTTGCTCGTTTTCCATCCCAACAGTGGAAAACATGATGTTGATGCTATCGCCAAAAGCCACAAAAGCAAGTAATGAGTTTTGCCGTGTCTTAAAGCCGCGGACACCGTTAGCGGGAAGTAATAAAAAGCAAAGAAACGATGGTAACGTCCTTGGTGTTGGTTTTGGCGCATTGAGGACTCGGTCGGCCAGTCTGGTCTAGATTTTAGGATCCTGTAATTTATTTGATATTGATAAGCCTTTGTGACAACTGAAATCGCTGAAACGCTCTCATTAATTCTTTCAGCACAAGAGATCTGATTCCATCTTGTCCCCTCCCGAGGCTGGTCCACTCGTCTGGTGCCCAACCAGCTCGACTCTCCAAATCCAACCTCCTCTCTTTCCTCTGTCTCTCCAATGTCAAAACTTTGGTGGAGAATCAAAAGCTCGCCGATGAGTGAGATCAGCAAGTGACAGGGGTCGAGATACCCCAGAGCAGACGGGACGTAACGCACAACAGCCAAAGACGTTACCTGCTGTGCCGTGCCTTGTAGGAGCGTGGAATCCCGTCCTAGCACTCCGTACAGTAGCGCCGGGTCCCTTGAAAGAACCCGAAAGGAAAGGATTGGATCCAAGACGACCCATGAGTGATCAATGCCGGTCACTTGTCACTGGGAGCTCGACAAGCGCGGCTCTGGAAATGCATGGAGCTTGGTGCTTAGGCGATGCTTGTTTCTCTCAGGGCATGGCTGGGCGATTAGTGGAGTTGTAATAGGTCTATTTTGGCTGGCAGAGAGCATGTCTATTCGAAAATGAAGGAAATGTACCGTTGTCGGTATACAGAAGCTTCCCTAGGTAAGGTAGGTTGCTTGTCGGGAACAGCAGGTATTAATTAGGTGGTACGGAGTAGGTAGGTAATTTTATCAGTTTTGCATCCATGGAAGAGCTCCCTGGAAAGAAACGTGAGCTTTGATGGATGCTGGGAGCTGGGAGCTGGGAGCGGCTTCCGCACAGGCCACCACCTTTTCTCCAAGGCTGGTCCTCTTTAAAATACGACTATGCCTCCATGGGACTGGACTTCCCGGGGAGACAAGGACCCTGTCCCTCTGAACACAACCACACCACTTGTCCGTCCTGCGACCGCTTGGCCTGTGTGTGGGCTGGGCTGCAGCAGCATGCAGACGACTACACAAGAACAAGGATGCTGATTTGAGAAACAGAACAAACGAGAAATGGAAGAAAGGAATAATATGAAGCCATTGTGAAAAGAGAAGGCAGTCCGGGAAACTGTTTCCAGCTTTACTTCTCGATTGATCACTAAATGACGGCCGATAGATACGACTATATGCAACATATGCGATCAATCAAATCCTTCGTCACAAAATCTCAGGTGGAGGTTCCAACAGAAAAAAGTGCATTGCCAAACCATCTACACCAGACACACTGATCTTGCAAAAGACTTCAGTAGAATTACGACAGTGACAACAAATCTTTTCATTCCCCACTCAAACCACTAAAGGCACAGACAGGCAACGCGTGTTTCTTGTCCTAGCCAGGCCAAGTTCATGTTGGTTCTTTCAGCTAAGCTACTGTCACAACCCAGCAACACCACAGAGCAGCACGGAAGACTCTTCCAATTCACTCCATTCCTACAGTACGAGCAACGGACCAAGACCGAACCTGGTAAAGCTGCCTGGATCCGGTCGAGTCCTCCGCCCGCCGCGACACAACCGAGCCGTGACCCGGGCTCCCGGGTGCCCGCCGATGAACAACCACCTATTAGTATGTGCTGTTAACTCCAAATAATAGCCACAACAGAAGTCGCATTACTGACGAAGGTGGCACTCAATCATGTACCTGGCAGAAGGCAGGACAAGTCTTTCATACAACCTAAAACGGCCCGGATTGATAGGTACCTTACTTGGATAAATCGACAATACCTTACCTACCCATCTGGGTTTGAGTTCCGAACATCCTTGAGTTTAAGCATGATCAAGAAACCGCGTTGTTGCAGAGTCCCAGGCGCTTTCATGCTACAGCTTTTCAACAATCGAAGGATACGGCACGCAAGAGAATGCATACTTCTGGGTGTGATGGGTATAAACACCACAGGGTGAGGGAAATGGAGACGCTCAACAGCGAGTTTTGTGACCAGGGCATGCCCCTCGTCCACCGCTTCACCATTCCGGCTTCATCCCTCGCCTATCAGGAGCCTAGCACAGCACCCTCGCTCTCCCATTTCTCGGGGCACCCACCGAACCGATATCCTACCCATGAATGGCCAGGGCAGCTCCATTTCGTGGGACTTGGGTAGCTCGTGGTATTCGCTAAGCTGCCTGTCTGTAGGGGATTTTCTCGTCAATTGATCCACGGCGACGAATCCCCTATTCTGCTGTCCGTGACGGGTTATGTAGCAATTGAAATACGGGATTAGACTGGAGTAATGAGATAGTGAGTTAGGCATCTTTGATCTTGGGTGTGCTTCTGCATTCCCCATCCACGCTAGGTAGGTTTATCCGTAAACGTGCACAGTCTAAAAGGGAGTACCTCTGGTCAATGTAAATCCTCCACGCAAGATACCAGACCGTCTGCACGGTGAAGTGGCTTGTCTGGTTGCTGATCCCCCTTAGGGAACCTAGAGGGCCCCTCCAAGGACCTCTAGCCTCTCCTCTGGGTCCTAGGAAGAGAGTACCGCTGCCGCGTCTCCATCGCATGGATACCTCTCACCCAGGTATTTGGTAAAACCTGGCGCCCCCGCCTCGATTGCAACCTGGGAGTCCAGGGCGCCCACCTTCAAGGGCCTGCTAGCACTGAGTGAAAGTACCACTACAGTATGTTCAAGCATTTGGGTAAGGTTGGGAGAGGGAGAGAGAAGAAAAAAGGCAAGAGAGAAAAAAAAAAAGGTTCTCCACCTAAGCTTGACTGGAAGGTGGGCTGGGCTGGGCTGTCTTCTCCCAATCCCAATTCAAAGCCCAATGTGCAAGAGCAAGCCAACTTCCTCCATTTGTCCTTCAGTCCAGTAACTCACCTTCCATACCTACCTGCCTGCCTGCCTACCTTACCTTAGCAGTCAGTGTCCAAGCAGCTCCACGTCTACGCCTAGACCTAGACCTAGACCAAACATCTACCTCTTGTCCACTCCCAACTCTTTTTTTGGACGGATATTGACACTACAAACTCACAAACAGACTGCTATTATTACCAGTCCCTACCAGCCCGGTCCAGTGCGTTCCTTTTTTTTTGCCACTGGCGCTTGTTCGTCGACGTCTGTAGCTGCCTTGCCGCGCCCTGCCTCGTGTCTTTGAGCCTTGCATTCATCGCTACGCATTGATTTGCCTTGCACTGCCGTCGACCCCCTCCGCCCTCCCAGCTCCCTCGTTTTGACGCCTTGACGCCCACCGCCGCCGCTACAAGTCAGCACATACCTACCTAGAGTACAGCATCCGTACCTACCTGCCTCCATTACGTTTTCTGGTGCTGCTACTGGTACTGCCACTGCCGCCGCTTTCGCTTGGTCACAGCTCTTTGCTCCATCAAGCCACCCCCTCCTCCGTCTCTCACCTTCGCCTCTGTTTTACTACCCGTGAAGACGACCTCGACCTCACAACCTCCAACCACCTTGGATATATCGACACTGCATCTTGTGAGCCTCATTACCGACCACCCCCTCTTTTCTCCACCCTCCCCCTCTCCGGTCCGTCGGTCGCTTGGTTCGTGTTTCTCTCCTGCGAGACCCAATCTCTCTCCTCTTTTATCGACTCTACCTTTTGTCGATTTACTCGACGTCGCCATCATCATGGCTGGACGAATGGTGCTATACAAGTTGGTGGTTCTGGGAGATGGTGGTGTGGGAAAGACAGCTCTTACCATTCAGCTATGTTTGCAGCACTTTGTTGAGACTGTAAGTTAGACATGGCAGTTTTGTTTCCGCTTTATTTGTGACATTGAGGTTAACATTTTTGTAATAGTACGACCCCACGATCGAGGATTCATACCGAAAGCAGGTTGTCATCGATAGCCAACCTTGCATGCTCGAAGTACTCGATACCGCTGGGCAGGAGGAATATACGGCACTACGGGATCAATGGATCCGTGATGGCGAAGGCTTCGTTCTTGTTTACAGCATCTCATCACGATCCTCCTTCACTCGCATCAAACGATTTCACCATCAGATCCAACGAGTCAAAGAATCGTGCGCTTCGTCGCCGTCTTATCCCGGGTCTCCTATCTCCGCTGCAAACCCGCAGTTGCCCGTGCCCATTATGCTTGTCGGTAACAAGAGCGACCGAGTCACTGAGAGAGAGGTCTCAACGCAAGAAGGTCATGCTCTCGCCCGTGAGCTCGGCTGCGAGTTTGTAGAAGCTTCGGCCAAAAATTGCATCAACGTTGAAAAGGCGTTTTACGACGTTGTTAGGATCCTACGTCGTCAACGACAACAAGCCTCACGCCCCTCGGAAAGATCGAGCGGTCGGACGCGAACAGGCAACGGAGATGCGAGGGGCGGCGATCGAGACGAAAGACACAGAAATAGGAACAAGGACCGAAGCAAGTCCAAGTGTGTGGTATTATGAGTGGATACGTCCCATTACGGATTGGAAATCTATCAGTTAAGAGGAGGAAAATGAGGCGAACGAGTAGACCGATTCGCCAACGACAACAGGCCAACGTCAAGAAATACGCATGAGGCGATCCCTCATCTCTCTTGACAGAGGATATGCCCAATGATTTGAAGATGATTGGTGAGATACCGTGGGAAGTATGGAGAAGATAAGATCAGAGACGGGCTTTATTACTTTTCTGCGATTTCTAGATGGCCAATTGCCCAACAAGCAGGGCGACATGACGACGCAGCATCGAATGACGAACCAAAGCAGAAGCAGAAGCAGTTCCGCACCGGCGCACGGCGTACGAACAAAAAGAGGCATATTCTTGGGGCGCTAGGTTATCTGTTGACATTTATACTACTATTTGTTTTGCAAATTTACGACCAAAATTTGAATGGCATTCCTCTGCAACCAGCAACCTATCAGCTGGCTCTCACATCCGTGCGGAAACATCTCCACTACTTAATCGAGGGTTTCCATTTACATATGATTTCGGGTTAATCGTCAACTTTTCGGAGATAATATCTTGGTATGGGGTTGGAAATTCCCAACATCAATCAACCCACTACAGAATAGAGCAGCGATAAAAGAATGTCCATCAATCCTGATTCGCATCTCGGGTCATGTTTTTTTTTTTACTTTCAACTTGCCTTTGGATGATTTCCCGAGTCATTCCGACGCAGTGTCTAACCTCATGAAATTGTGAGTCGTATACAGTGAGTAATCTACATTTGTTTAAGCAAAGACTAGTAGTGGCAGTCACGTCACTATCACGAACAGGTGATATTCGCAAAACCCGAGCTCCTTCTGATAGCCTGGCCCGGACTAGGACCCCGTCAGAAAGGTACTAGATGTTTGTTCTAAGGGGAAAAAAAGGGACCCAACAAAGATGCAACGGCCGATTTCCCCTCCCTTTGGTGTCTTGTGTCATGTTGGCTCATTTACCAAGGGCATGAAAACGGTGTTAGCCCCGTTAGCATCGGCGTACCTTGGCATCTATCGAGCAGGACTCGGAACCATGTTCCCTGCCGGTGGACTTTAAATGCGAGCCTTGATGCTTAGGAAGCACAGAGCTGATCGGAGATGCTATCTCATCTATCGTCATTATACAAAAGGCTACTCCCTGTTATTGTTCTAACTTTGCTTCAAAAATTCTTGCAACACACGCGGCATAGCCCTACGACGACCTGAATGAAGACAGAAATCCAGTAAAGTAAAGATCGATCTTGATAGCGAAATTGGTGGGGTTTGCTAGTGTGCAAACGTGGGTGGGTGATATGAATGGGGTGTTGTTGCAGTTGAAAATGGACGAGTTCGCACTACGCTACAAGTAGATGTTCAACCACAAAGGTTCCCCATCAGCAATGGAGACGCTGTGGAATACTTCTGTTCATGAGCAGCTACAGTAGCTCATCACTTACTGTCCTTGGCTGGAGGATGGCCATTGTATACACCACTCCCACGCTTCCCGGGTTATGTGATAGTTATCAAATCATTCACCCCACGTAATTGTCATGAACCATGACACTTCTCAACGACGCCAAAGAGTAAAGCGTGATATAGAAAAAGGAAGAAGGGCTTTATATGCAGCTAGTGATCAACAGCTCGGTTACATACTACCTGGTGCACTGTAGAACAGGTCATTTGAAAGATGGACTGCGTGCCGCGTATGTTTATACCCATTGCGGATGTTATCGCAGTGGCGCTTCACATTTTGTTACGGAAGCATCAATGTCGTGGTTGATACGGACCTAGCTGGAAGTAATGGCTAATGATGATAGAGTAAACCCAACATCCATGACATCAACTTGATATCGAATTTAGGGCTGGGATTACTGAACATGGTCCCTTTGTTGCTAATATAGACAGCTAGTCATTCACCCACAAGAATTCCGATGGTAGAGCTCTAGGCTTTCACAGTGACAGGACAAGTGCCGAACAAAGTTTCCATGTGGTTAAGCCTATGCCGATACTACCGGCCTCGTTTTCTCGAAGAATTGCGCAGGGGCTTCGGATTAAGATCCATGACTAGGACTCATCCTTGGAAGTGAGCCACAGTAGCATCGTGTCTGGTCTAACCCAGGGAAGCTTATGGCGCTACATGAGGATAGGAGAAGCTATGTATTGCGTTCTTTTTTGCAAATCACCTACTACCTATGTATGTATGTATGTATGTATGGATACTATAGACACGTCGGATAGACTGCTCCCCGAAGCCATTGGGTACCTGCAAGCCGTCCCGTGTCGGGGTCTGGCAGAGACGGCGTAGAGGCGGACGAGGACCGGAATACAGACAGGCGTCATAGCCGGAGGCTACAGCAGACTAGCAGCGGGCGTTTAAGATGACCCAGAGCGAAAGGGAGCGAGTGGCAGTTACACCCGGCATATTACGACTGTACTTGTTTCTATTACTTGGCAAGCAGTGTACACACATAGTTAATTACTTGTGAAAAGGACTCAACTGTGACGGGCAGTTCAAGTTAATGGATGGATGCTGGGGATATGCACGGAAGGGGAAGGTCAGCCATCCAAAGGAATCAACCTAAGGGAAGTGGAGGGTGAAGAAACCCATCAAACGTAACGTGTTCGGGGAACAGGGGATGAGAAATTCCGAAGCTAGGGTTGAGAGAAGAGACAGAATAAGACCAAGGAGAAGCCCTGTAGGAGACAGAAGAGACGGCGTGGTTCAAGACTCATGTATTGACACTGAACTTGGGCGAGTAGTAGGGCATGTACCACGCAGTGACAAACTTATCAATACCTTACCTACCTACAATAGCATTGGCATTCATGACAAGCTCTTGGAGCAAACTCGACCACCTCACAAGTCATGTCAAGAGACATTGCCGGATCCAAGGACGCCGATAATCTCGGCCAACTCTGCTAACCAGTCTCGACCAAAAGATCAACATGTTGGCTTTGAACTAGATGTCCAGAGTTACGGATACACCCGCATTCGCGACACCTATTTCACTCTAACCCCTGGGGTACAATTGTGTCACGGTAAGGACACGATGTATTCGCCTTGAAGATGTAAGTTTATGGGCTGGAGGGCTACCCAGATGTGATAGGTATTCATTCATGCACAAGGGTATTGTTTCGCGACAGAATGACGGTAAAGATCGTAGGTCAACTAGTCAGTTGAACCAGATGTTTCGAAACTCTTCTCCAATAAACATGTCGAAAAGGACTTAAAACAACTACGCCAAAGACCCATTCCGCTATGAAACTCTCCCTTTCACCCTAGCACGTTTCACCAAGCGACCAATATTCCCCTCGTATAATCCTTGAGAAGCCTGCAAAATTTGATATGGACCACGGTGTCAATCGAATTGGCGTTTTCTCTTCAGCGAGTTGCGATGTAATGGTTGCAATAAAGATGATCAATTCAGTGACCAATAGGCAGCGCTGTCTATCGGCCGAGTCATGGTGATAACCTCACGAGATCGACAGTCTAGGCACGACGATCTTCGGGCAATAGCCTCCAGATTGTGAGGGGAAAGGCCGGCTTTCAAATATGTCAGGTGTGACAAAATCCATACTTAACGTAATAGTACCGACAAAACCTGAAAGTCCAGGGTGCTGGGAAAGAAAAGAATCAACGAATGACCTACAATACCTCTCATCCCAGGTCTGGTCCTACTTGGATTGCAGACTATGGATCTCATTATCACTAAGTAAGGTACCCAAGCTACCGAGCATGGGGCACCATGTGACAATGAGAACCAGTCTCGGCATGTTCCCATTGTGTCTTGATTCCTGCGCAGGCATCAATGCTCCTGTCTCTACAATCATTCGCAGTGAACAGAGACAGGCGACGGGATGAATGTCTGCATCCTTGATGTCTCCCATGACAAGGTACTACAGGGCATATTCCAGGTGTCGCAGCAGGTTGAGGGCTCATCAGGGATGGCATCCATCATGGGTACACAAACATATAGAATCATCTCTATTCAATATTCACATAGAGACTTCCGAAGCCTACAGGCATCCCTGAAGCCGTTGCCACGGCCCTCTTTCCAAGACGCCATAGCTGTTACCAAAGTCCCTCTCCGCTATCCTGAATATAAACATAAAAAAGGGTGCCATATCCCGTGACAATTCTGTGTTTGTCTGTCCAATAAAAGTTGACGTGAAGTGAATATAACATAAAGAAAATAAATAAAAGACAGATTCTAGTCCATGTCCCTTGACCAACATTCGGCTAGATTCGTGACATATTCGTGAGGAAGTTGCGCTATATCAGAGTAGAGTGATGCAGCTGTTACTCTTTTGTCGCGTGCTTGTCCCCAAAAGGACTACTGTCTCGCCGCGTAAGAGTCAGAGGCTTGTCATCCTCGCCTACTGAATCTTCCATAACGGCACCAAGGCTAGGGGCCTTGTTTGATTTTTGTGGACTAGATCGCTCTGGGGGGTCCGAGAAGGGACCTTGGTCTACAGAGGGCGACTCTTCAATAACGGTAATGCTTGAATCTCTAGTAATGCGGCCGCTTGGTGTTGTTGGCGGTGATGGTGCCATGGTTGATGACGATGTGTCTGATTCTGTCTTGCTTCCCACGTCGACCTTCTTCAATGTTCCAACTTTGACCACCTGTGCACGAGCCTGCGTAGCAGTGTTGGCGCTGTTGAGGAACGTTGAGCCGACGCTGAAGGCACTTGCACCACTCTTGGGCCTGCCGCCACCAAACTTCTCGAAGTCAATCGTCGGGACTGGAGGTGCTACCATGTCGCCGCTGTTGTTACCAACGGACTTGACACTGACAACGGTGGGCTTGGCTCGCATTCCAGTCTGGGCAGGTGTAAGCACCTGAGCCTGCTTTCCATAAATCGTAGAAGCCACACTGGATCGAGGTGCGTAAGAGGTGCGAGCGTATGATGTTCGGTCCGAGTAGCCTGACAGCCCCGAGTAAGTAGAGTCTCGGAGATCGCCAGGAACAAAGAAATGCTGGTCGTCGTGTCCTAGGCCCCGGTTGGCCTCGGCATGGTGCATAGGGATCGGTGGGACTGGAGGGACAAGAACGTTTGGCGATGTCGGGGTCGCTCGGTTTGTGACGCCAGGGATATATGCGATCTGTATGATGTTTGATGCTCGTGTGAGGACTGTTGATGCGATTGAGTGGACGGTGTGTGTAGAGTGCGGGCGAGTTCCTCTTGAGGCAGCATCCTTCTCATTCTGAATGGCGTCTGTGTCTTCGATGTATATAGACGTAGGAATCTGCGAACGCTTCGGCTTGATACAGAATCTCCATACTATGTAGGTAGCAATAGCAATGACCACGATGCCACCGAGAACACCACCAACGATAGCGCCAACATTTGGACCACCGCCGCCGCTATTGTTGGAATTGTCCGAGTCCTTTTCGCAGAAGGATGTAGCACACATGGTACAGTCGAGGGGGACGGTGAACTGGCAGACTTCGTTATCTGCACACTTTGGACATTCAAGTTGTGCATCATCATCACATTTCACACAGTCCTTGCTTCGAGGGACAAGCTGGAATGCTAGGGACGATTGTTAGAGGCTGTGAAACTGAACATGTGGGCAACTCTCTGTTTGACTTACCATGGTTTAACTCATCCAGGTTTCTGGCAACGAGGTATCCTGACCTCTCCATCATGGTGACGTCTGTGTATAGAAGACTTTGGAGCTAATGAGATGATATATGATGTTTGGCTGTTGAGATACGCCGATCGCTTCGGATGATCAGTCAGGAAGAAAGTTGTTGTGGATTATCAACAATGCTTGGCAATATGCTGACTCGAATGGTGATCTGCGACAGGGCTTGGAAGGGTATAGAAGGAGAGATTGTGTTTTTTTTTTTTTTTTTTTTTTTTTTCGTAGTCGATTTCCTGTATATATGCACGAGCAGAATAAGTCGATGAATATCCAAAATCGAGTCCGTGATAGTCGAAGTGAGGTGAGTGAGAAACGAGTGTAGGTTCAGAGGCTAGCTCGGATGAAAAGGAAGGCTGGTTAGGAGGCGCAAGGAGACATAATCGACCGGGCGATTGAATCGAACAAGAAAATACGAGAAAGAAAAGCCGGGCTTCTTCTCTCTCGGGATTCGATTCGGTTCAAATCGATGCGTGGCGGTATTGGCCGTCGATGGAGAAATTGATGCGATCGTCTGGGGTTGCAAAGAACGATGAAGGAGCGAAATCAACTGCACAAGCGGGAAGCGGCGGGAGGTGGGAGGAGGTCAAGTCAAAGTAGAGGCACACACACGCACTTGCTTTGTTGGTGGGTGCGAGACATCGATTGGAGCACGAGGAGATGGTGCAACAGGGATGTTGATGCTTGACTCTGCCTCTTTCAGCGATGGCGAAACAGTTAAATTAATCGCACTGTACATGAGCCCCTGATATTGTGGCTCCGTGGGTGAAGACTGGCTTATGGAAAAGCTTGCAGTACCCCTGCATGATATCCACTAAGCAGTGCTAGAAACCCCTGAGGATCCTGGCCAGACACTGTCTTAACCAGTCGATTTGGACCTAGATCCAGTGCCGCCCGTTGAGCCATTAATTCAGGTGCCGCAAACCATCAACCGGCTTCAGGTGAACACGAACAAACGGCATCGTGCAGAATCACCCAGTCTATAACGCACCACTCATGAGGTTCTCGATTCTGCTTCGAGGAGATGAGGCAACTTCGGGTCCAAGACTCTAACTACAACGTGACGGCAGAATTAGGACAGACAAACATAAGCCCGTCCGTTATACGTTAAATGTTATACCCTACCGAACTCCATAGTTACAGCCTGTTTCCCCGAATCCATCCATGCTCAGTGAGTGTAACTCTGGCCAACCATGATACAGAGTCTCAACAGTGGCACGAGTTTGCATACCAGACCTGGGCGGACTCTGCAGAAAACGCATTGTCTGCATCAGACGCGCGTCCCTAAATCCGAAACAACAAACTCCCGATGCAAGAGAAAAAGCTTGCCTCGCCATCGCCCCTCCATCTTCGAGGTTTAGGCTCGATTATTAAGAAGTAACGCTCATAAATGCATTTACGGCGAATTCAATATGCCCGACTTTTAGCTTCGCCTGTGTAATTAACAAATGTTATCAGCAGGGCCATACCCGTTATTCTTTGGCTGTTAATGTCTGGGGCTTCATGTTGGCGGCCTACATCAAATATCACAATTGGCGAATCATAATTCAACATTGCAATCTGACCTTAGACCTCGCTTCTTTCTTGGCAACATTCACTTATACTTCACCCTGTCGTCGGGTCTTTAACAAAGCGAAGATATCCCTCAGCTCAACCGTTGTGGCATGATCGAGAGCCCTGACCCACTGCAGGAGTCATCATGTTTCTCAATTATGTTATCTGCAGGGGATCTGTACCGATATCTAACTATGATATTAAGATGTTGCAGCACCAGATATGAATTTCATCGTCGGATACTACAGGATGTCAAATCTACGCTTTGGGCGAAACTCGTGAGGTTATCCGTTTTCGTACCCTCGATCCCAACTTCTCGACAGTCCAGTAACTTTGCAGTGTTTTCGGAATCCGAATATGTAAATTCGTTGTTGCGTATTCAACTTAGTCCTGTGTTCTTGTTTGGATTCAGTATGTCGATTTGTTTGCCATGTGGTAGTGCGTAATGCTAGACTTGTGTCGGGCGTCTCCAAGGATTTCACGCAAGACCTAAGTATCTATCGTTATATCGTTATGGGAATGCGAGGCAAGTGATGGATACCCGTGCACGGTATTTACTATGTAAATTAATCATTGACTGTATTTCGTCGTTATTCTCTGCCAACATTTAGTCCGTTGAATAGATATAGTACGTGCTGCTCCAGCACCACACAGTATTGGGAATCTCAGACATTTCATAATCCCTTGCATTGCTAGTCGAGACTCTTCAGGGTAGCAGTCATTGGGATCTTGGCATCCAGGCCACGGGCTTCATTATGTTTCTCTCATCACTGAATCAGAACCAGCCGATGTCTCGGAAAAGCAACCGAGGATGGGGACCACAGGCCGCTCGATATTGAGGGTACCGGGGATTGTGCAAGGCTAATTGAATGCTGTCGATAGCGAAAGCATTGCTATGTAGTGATCTACCAGAAGATCTCCAGCGACCAGTTTTGCGTTGGATGCACGAGCTCATATCCTAGATGAAGAGATCAAGTAACGAATGTCCAACGAATCTCGGACACAACAAATGCGAACAGCTTGAATAAGCTCGATAGCTGCATGCCTCAACCGTAGGGCTGGGGAGCCCGAGGTTCTCATCGACTGCCAGCTGACGTGAGGACGAAGGATTCCGAACCTTTGCATTAGACGTTGGCTCGGCTGAGAACAACTGAGCTTTAAAGCCCGCTACTTGGTGGCCTTGTCTGTAAATTCACCACAGCAAGATGCACTCAGAATGGCGGGCCACAAAATCTCACCTTTAACTCGTCCGAGATTGGATCGAATTCAGAACGGAGAGGAACAGGTAACGGACAAGACCGCAAACTATGTACGTACCCTGCCTGCGCCGCAGCATCATCAATGTCTCTAACCAACCAGGCTGAGCAAGTCCAGCCAGTTGTCGGCTCGTTCCAGCTAATTTCAAGTCGCTAAGACAGGACCGGCTATTTTTAGAACATGTGCTTTGTTGTGGCAGATTCTTTGTCGTGTTTCGGACAAAAGACTAACCCAGTCGAGCGTTTTAGCCAAGTAACCTCAAAACAAGGGAGGAATCCTCAGATTGGCCGCAGAGCAACCATCTGAATGTCACCAATCGTGATCTTGCCAGAGATAGGGGATAGAGAGGGGAAGTAACACAAACACATGCTTCTTTTTGAGTAATGAAGCCCGTTTTGTTTGTTCTGCGTTGGCGGTCAGCAACCAAGCACCGAAGCAGCAATTCGGGACATGGTTAAATCTGACTGCTGACGGGTTCTGGCGAACTAGCTGCCATGGCCCAGAAGTCGTGCAGGTGAGCAGGCTTGCAGTAGCTCAGCGGCTGATGTCAAAGGGAAAGGATCGTAAGCCAACAGGGCTGGGTGCGGGTACTCCCAAACGAAAGGTGATGGCTGACTGGCCTGCAAGTTCCTGAGGGAGCCAGACTGCAAAGCCCGTGCCTTTGGGGGGAAATTAGGGACCATTGCCCGTACCAGACAACGATGCGCAGGGCATGTGGCGGGAGAAAGGGGATGACGATCTTCCGGCAAGTCGGCGGTTGAAAGAAAAGGGGAGTCAAATGGTATTTAACTTGGCTTCTGGAACTTTACGTTCGTCCCCCGCAGAAGCTGCTAAACTACACGCTGAAACAGCAGAGTACTGTGCAACACAGTTAGTACTGAGCAAACGCTAAGCGCCAGGCCTCAGCAGCAATGCAGATGCAAACCCGACAATTCTCAGCTTTAGGCATCGGGCATCTCCTGTCAGTGGCATGCCCCATGGTCTTTGGATGGACAACAATGCAAAGTGCCAGGGTCCCGTAGTTATCTCCATAATCTGTGGCACTCTAGTTCCTCATTTCAAGGAACTTGGTTCCAGTAAACTGTAAGACGGGGTGGGAAAAAAAAGAGGCCGATTGAACGGTGAGCAGACCAACGTTGATATTGCGGTGGCTGAAGTCTTCGTTATGAAAGTTGAATGAAGAACCAGCCGTCTTCTCCGCCCTGAAATATTGGCTGGCTTTGGGATCAATGCTGACGAGATGATCTAGCGGTACTGTACGTACGTTGGTAGCCAGTTACACGTCTATTCGTACAGTGTAGATTGTAGATCTCTCGATAGTTTACAGCCGCAAGCCTCTTGGGTCTGTTCTGCCCTTGGGAAATGCTTCAACGTGCAGAAAGCCAGTAGAGTTTGACGGCATGCCCGTCTCAACGCTCAGCCAGGTTAAAGGATATCTGCGCGTTAGTCGTCAACGGCTGTGAATCGCCATCAGGGAACTCACCAGCCCAAAATGCACTGCAGTCAGATTCTCGTTTCTTAGAGGGCGGGTATCTGATTCTTGACAGGGATGGCAGCTGGAGATGGGATGGATCCTCGCCCCCCCCAAGTACCAAGTTATGGCGGAGTGGAGTGGCTCAGCAGGCTTAGCGCGAGATGAGTCCCCTATTCTTACCTCTCTTTCTAAGCTGTGAGCCCAGTCGTGGAGCAAAACGAGATTCGTTCCCAGGGCCTTTCATCAAAACATTTTCTCAGAGGAGAGGAGAAAAATAAACCCTGTCACTAGCCTTCTTCTTTGCCTTCATTATCCCTCTTCCCTCCTATCCTCGACTTCATCCTCCTTATCCTTTCCCCCCCGCTCCAACTATCACCATTCTTTTGAGGCTGGCGCCTCAAGTTTCCTACTGTATCTGTTCACTGTTGCTGGGGCCAAGGTACTAGAGCTGCTAAGCTGCCACTGCTATTCAATAGGTGGCTGCCCGTGACCACCATTCGCATTTCCTTCCTCCTGTTTCAGCTCCTATCTCGACTAGAGAAAAACTCACAACACCATCTTCACTTCGCATCGCTCTCGCGCATCATTTATCCGAAGCTCATTGACTAGAATCCTAACAGTGCTGAGCGCCTACGGGAGCATAACTATTCACCATGGCGTACAATGGCCGTGATCAGGAGTATGGAGGACATGCTTTGCAGGACCTTCCTGCTGGCGGAAGCGTGAGTGCACATTCTTTGTCCATAGGTTAATGCTGAACGACAAGGACTAATTCTTCTCCAGCAGTACCATCTCCCCCCTCAAGAGAACGACGAGGAGCAGGGCCGCGGCCTCTTGAACTCGGGTTACGACCAAGATCGACTTGGCGCCCGCACTCCCCCCGACCGCCCCGTCTCTGCTTACAGTCTCACTGAGTCCTATGCCCCTGGAGCCTCGTCAACCATGCCTGGCCAGGGACCTACTGGATATGGTGATGGAGGCAGCTTTGGTCAGTTTGGTAACCTTGACGCCGCTGCCCCTTTCCCTCGCCCCGACTCTGCCTTCGATCCCGAAGACAGCTGGGTCGAGCGACAGCAGCAGCCTCAGATGGGCGGTGGTCTTGGCCGCTCGAAAACCCGAAAGATCAAGCTGGTTCAGGGTTCAGTTCTGAGCATTGATTACCCTGTGCCCAGTGCGATCAAGAATGCTGTCCAGCCTCAGTATCGCGACGCTGAGAGTGGTACCGAAGAGTTCCATAAGATGCGATATACCGCTGCCACCTGTGATCCCAACGACTTCACACTCAAGAACGGTTACGATTTGCGACCTCGCATGTACAACCGACACACTGAGTTGCTGATCGCCATTACATACTATAACGAAGACAAGGTTCTTCTCGCACGAACACTGCATCACACCATGCAGAACATCCGCGACATCGTCAACCTGAAGAAGTCGACCTTCTGGAACAAGGGCGGCCCAGCTTGGCAGAAGATCGTTGTATGCTTGGTTTTCGATGGTATCGACAAGGCTGACAAGAACACCCTGGATGTCCTTGCCACTGTCGGCGTGTACCAGGACGGTGTTATCAAGAAGGATGTCGACGGCAAGGAGACTGTTGCTCACATCTTCGAATACACCAGCCAGCTTTCCGTCACGCCCAACCAGCAGCTTATTCGACCCACAAACGAAGGCTCACAGAACTTGCCGCCAGTTCAGATGATCTTCTGTTTGAAGCAGAAGAACACCAAGAAGATTAACTCGCATCGATGGTTGTTCAACGCCTTCGGCCGTATCTTGAATCCTGAGGTGTGTATCCTGCTCGATGCGGGTACCAAGCCCAGTCCCCGATCTCTCCTTGCTCTTTGGGAGGGATTTTACAACGATAAGGACCTGGGAGGTGCTTGTGGTGAAATTCACGCTATGTTGGGTAAAGGCGGTAAGAAACTGTTCAACCCCCTCGTTGCCGTCCAGAACTTCGAGTACAAGATTTCGAACATTCTGGACAAGCCTCTCGAGTCTTCTTTTGGTTATGTCTCTGTCTTGCCTGGTGCTTTCTCGGCCTACCGATTTCGAGCCATCATGGGCCGTCCGCTGGAACAGTATTTCCATGGTGATCATACCTTGTCTAAGATGCTTGGTAAGAAGGGTATCGATGGTATGAACATTTTCAAGAAGAACATGTTCTTGGCCGAGGATCGTATTCTTTGTTTTGAGCTGGTCGCCAAGGCTGGCCAGAAGTGGCACTTGTCCTATATCAAGGCTGCCAAGGGTGAAACAGATGTGCCCGAGGGTGCAGCTGAATTCATTAGTCAACGTCGACGATGGCTCAACGGTTCATTCGCTGCCACGCTATACTCACTGATGCATTTCGGACGAATGTACAAGTCGGGTCATAACATCATCCGCATGTTTTTCCTCCACATTCAACTCATTTACACCACTCTCAACACTCTCTTCGCATGGTTCTCTCTTGGTTCTTATTGGCTTACAACATCCGTTATCATGGATCTTGTGGGTACTCCCAAGGCTACGTCCGGTCAACACGCCTGGCCATTCGGCGACACGGGTACACCTGTCGTCAATGCCCTGCTTCAGTACCTCTACTTAGCCTTCGTCATGCTCCAGTTCATTCTGGCTCTTGGTAACAGGCCCAAGGGCTCCAAGTTCACATACATCGCTTCCTTCATGGTCTTCAGTCTCATTCAGGGTTACATCCTGGTTCTCTCAGCCTACCTGGTTGTTCGTGCTTTTGACACGCCCATTGGAGACCAGATCTCGTTCGCCTCGACCGACGCTTTCCTTGACAGTTTCTTTGGTGGTTCAAGCGCTGGAGGTGTTATTTTAGTCGCTCTTATCACCATCTATGGACTCAATTTTGTTGCCTCGTTCATGTACCTCGATCCCTGGCACATGTTCCACTCTTTCCCCTACTATCTACTTCTCATGTCGACTTACATCAACATTCTCATGGTTTATGCCTTCAACAACTGGCACGATGTCTCCTGGGGTACCAAGGGCTCAGACAAGGCTGAGGCACTTCCCTCTGCCCACGTCACCAAGGGTGAGAAGAACGAGGTTGTTGTCGAGGAAGTTGAGAAGGAGCAGGAGGATATCGACAGTCAATTCGAGCAGACTGTCCGCCGAGCTCTTGCTCCCTTCAAGGAGGAGGAAGAGGTTGAGAAGGCCGATGTTGAGGATGGTTACAAGTCTTTCCGAACAGGACTCGTCGTCAGCTGGTTGTTCGGAAACATTCTCCTTATTGTCTGCATTACCAGCGACAAGTTTGATAACCTCGGATGGGGTGTAAGTTTTCCTGAGGCTATGCGATATGTGGTCTATACTAACAATTTGATAGGAACCTGCCACAGAACGCAAGGCGCATTACTTCCAGTTCCTTCTGTACGCTACTGCCGTGCTCTCGCTCGTTCGTTTTGCCGGTTTCTTGTGGTTCCTGGGCAGGACTGGTATCATGTGCTGTTTTTCGAGACGATAAGCTTCGTGCGTACCTACGCTCGTTGTATTCGACACTCACACTTTTCTGGAGAGGCCAGGTACGGGAAAGTACTGGCACTTGTCATAGTAGACAAACTGGATTTTTGTACCGGATACCTTTGTTATGTAACGTACGCTGGGTTTTGACTATTTGAGTTAATGGAGGGACATCCACAAAAGAGGACATTGGAAGTGAAGGTATTCAGACCAGACCTGAGCACGAGCAAATGCATCTCTATTTAGTCTTTTTCAGATTGGCATCTGCCCCTGGGGGTTTATGACGCATTTGAATGATATGATTTTTTTTGATAGTTAATATTGCCTTGCTGCCTGTGTTTTCTTCCCATTGGCTACCTTATCGGGTGCTCACTCATACGACCGATGATACGTCAATCCGGTGGTATCGCCTAAACTTCGGTGGGGTTCAGGGATTAGGCTTGTGGCTGCCTTACGCCGTGTTATCTTATCAAGCATCATCACCTTTTCCACTTAGCACGACTTGATCCTTCTCGCAACTGAGTTCAGCGTATTCACAACCAATCTCTCGGAATCTTGCAGTGCTACTTGTCCTACACTATCCTACAACCTCACCTTTGTATCGTGCCTGGGCTCTCGCACTCCATTTTCTGTCATCTCATCAAGGGTCTTTCCACAGCGCATAGCGACACAGCCCAAACCTGGGCCCCCCACATCCACGATGTTGAAGATATGGTCGATGGTGAGTTATCTACCAGCCGCCACCAGCCAGTTAGACACTGACAGTGGTATAGAAAAAGGAGCAGAAGGAGGCAGAGAACGCAGAGGGCCAGGCGACGGGTGGCAAGAAGAAGAAGGTGACTGCAGCTCAGCTGCGCGTGCAAAAAGGTATGCTTCATCCTGTCCAGACCTTGACGTGTAGCGGTGTGTTTAGGATGAAGAGGTTGACGCATGCTGCAACAGATCTTTCAGAACTTTCCCTCGGATCGACGATGAAAACAGAGTTCCCCGACCCCGATGACATCCTTAACTTCGTACTCACGATCGACCCTGATGAGGGTATGTACCGAGGCAGCCGCTTTACCTTCGATTTCACCATAAACCAGAACTTTCCCCACGAGCCTCCCAAAGTCCGATGCCGAGAAAAGATCTACCATCCCAATATCGATCTTGAGGGCAAGGTCTGCCTGAACATTCTACGAGAGGATTGGAAGCCAGTGCTGAACTTGAATGCTGTGATTGTTGGCCTGCAGGTATGGAGTCTGGAAAGAAAAGCGTCTTGAGTTGCTCAGACGTGAAATACGAAGTAAAATGATTGTGGATTGGTGACTAATATGCTTGCAGTTCCTGTTCCTCGAACCCAACGCATCGGACCCGCTCAACAAGGAGGCAGCTGAGGATCTGCGAAACAACCGAGAGGGATTCAAGCGCAACGTGAGGACTGCTATGGGTGGCGGAGTAGTCAAGGGCAGGACATACGACAGGGTCCTGAAATAGATTTGGAATAAGACAAATAACAGGAGTCGCAGAGATGGAAAATCCGAAGGGATGGGCCGTTAAGATTTTGGGACGATACAACGACTTAATGGGTGTTTGAGACAGACAAGCATTTGATAACAAAGAGCATCGCGTGGCGTCTGATAAATCCATGATCTTGATTAGGCAATCCTTCAGCTCCCAAACTTTCCATGATTCTTGATAGTGACGGGTTTTGGTTGAGAGGAGAGCCAATGGCGAGAGGTGGAGTAGAGTCGACCGGAGCTGAGCTTGCGATGCATGCTCGCGAACATGATGATCCCAAGCTCACTTCAACCACCTAATCTGTATTGCCTTTTTGAGTCAGAGGGAATCTTAGTAGAGGGTTTCCCGTAGCCCAGTGGTACTCTATTGGCTGGTGACATCTTGCTGCCCTGGCTGCCGACGCAAGATCAACGGCTCAAGATGAATACGGCGTGGCTTGCCTGGTTTGCTTCGTGGTCCCGCCTACGCACGTGGAGTACAGACTATAACGTGGAGTCCAGAAATGTGAATTGAGCCTCATCTAGGTGCTAAGAGTCCGCAACCCGGAGTAAGTGGAGTTTCAAGGAGTCAACATTGAGCCAGATCTAGACTATCTTGTCTGACATATCGGCCGGAGGAAGTGATAGAGTCTCCGATATGTAGCTTAAGGACCCCGAGCGCGGTGCAGCTGCCGTTGCCGCTCGTAGATATGGAGTCGCGATGCTGAGTTCGGCAGGGCCTTATTGGACAAGACGCCTGAATCGGCCGTGATGCTGTTCGTCGGACGATATGCGGCTTATGAGCTCGGGGGAACTAGCAGAACTCCGAAGCAAGAGGGCCCATATCTTTTGAGGGTTACCCCGTCAAAGCATTAGCTCCAAGTTGGGATAGCTTGAGATGGTGTGGGCGAGAAGTGTTCAATTTTGCCACGCAATTGATGTCAATTAGGGCCATGATTTTGAGAAGATCTTCGAAGAATTGGACAGTAAGAGGAGCAGCGAGTTTTTATTTTTATTTTAATTAGTATTATCACTGCCTATTCTTGTGTCTTGGGCCGCCTTCTTCTGGCGGTCAGATCTATATGCAACGGCATCTAAAAACGCACACAGAGAGCTTTGGTGGTTGGGCAATATTAAGTCACCGCTAATTGGCCGAAACTTAACGTGACTCAAGGTGAGAAATCCTTACCCAAGTATGTACCAGAGTTCTCCAGGTCTAATGTTCATGGTACACATTTCCCCTCACTCCGATACGCTCTCAGTCAAGTCGCCTCTACCCACATAGCCCCAGACCCATCCCCGCTGCTCAGCGTAGGGCCCCCCACCTCACAGTACGAGCCGAAATCGGTCCCCCCTCCAAGCGATGTCCCTTGGAGAGAAAATTAGTGATAGCTTAAACCTACTTAACCTTTACTCTCGCCATTGCCTTTCCCTCTTTTCCTTCCTCCTCATCCTCTCTCAGACACTCTCCCCTCAGTTCCCAAACTGTCCCCTCACATCCTCACAATGGCTTCTCGCAACTTCACAAAGGCCCTCCGTGGCCCTGCCCGCCAACTGGCTTCTGCTCCCCGTGTTCAGCAGCGAACTTTCGTTGCTGCTGCTCGCTCCGCTGTTCGTGTTGGTGCTGTTGCCCGACCTGTTGCCGCTGGCCCCGTCCAGCAGCAGGTTCGTGGTGTCAAGACCATTGACTTTGCTGGCCACAAGGAGGACGTCTATGGTGAGTTACATCTCCAATTGCGGTTGCTGGATCAATTGGACAGCCAACACTGACTAGTATTTCACAGAGCGTGCCGACTGGCCCCAAGAGAAGCTTCTTGAGTACTTCAAGAACGACACCCTGGCCCTCATTGGCTACGGCTCTCAGGGCCACGGTCAGGGTCTTAACCTCCGTGACAACGGCCTCAACGTCATCGTTGGTGTCCGAAAGAACGGAAAGTCCTGGAAGGATGCTGAGCAGGATGGCTGGGTTGCCGGCAAGAACCTGTTCGACGTTGACGAGGCCATCTCTCGTGGTACCATCGTCATGAACCTTCTCTCCGATGCTGCCCAGTCTGAGACTTGGCCCGCCATCAAGCCCCAGCTCGTTGAGGGCAAGGTAAGCAGAATTCCCCACCCATTGTCAGTCCGGGCATAGCTCTAACATATGAATCTTGCAGACCCTCTACTTCTCCCACGGTTTCTCCCCCGTCTTCAAGGACCTCACCAAGGTTGAGGTTCCCTCCAACATCGACGTCATCCTCTGCGCTCCCAAGGGCTCTGGCCGAACCGTCCGATCTCTCTTCCGTGAGGGCCGTGGTATCAACTCCTCTTTCGCCGTCTACCAGGATGTCACTGGCAAGGCCGAGGAGAAGGCTATCGCCCTTGGTGTCGCCATCGGCTCTGGCTACCTCTACAAGACCACCTTCGAGAAGGAGGTCTACTCCGATCTCTACGGTGAGCGTGGCTGCCTCATGGGTGGTATCCACGGTATGTTCCTCGCTCAGTACGAGGTCCTCCGCGAGCGCGGCCACAGCCCCAGCGAGGCCTTCAACGAGACTGTTGAGGAGGCTACCCAGTCTCTCTACCCTCTTATCGGTGCCAACGGCATGGACTGGATGTACGAGGCTTGCTCCACCACTGCCCGTCGTGGTGCCATCGACTGGAGCCCCCGCTTCAAGGATGCTCTGAAGCCCGTCTTCAACTCCCTCTACGACGCCGTCAAGGATGGTTCCGAGACCAAGCGATCTCTCGAGTACAACAGCCAGCCTGACTACCGTGAGAAGTACGAGGCAGAGATGAAGGAGATCCGTGATCTCGAGATCTGGCGCGCCGGCAAGGCCGTCCGATCTCTCCGACCCGAGAACCAGAAGTAAGCGGTTATTAATGTTGAATGATAATTTGTGAGCGGGAGATGGACATGGGATGGGATGCCTAGGAAACGGCTTTTATGAACCACATGAACTTTCTGTCTGTACTTTTAAAAAATTTCCTGGGCTCTGGAGGGGGATCTGAAATTGGTCCAAAAGTTGATATCAGGCTTGAAGCCAAAACGAATACCATTTTTATTTTACGTTAGACGAACAAATCCTATCGGTTCAATTCGCTGGTGATATTTAGTTCGTTGACATTCGAATGTGATCCATTGGGCCTTTGTTGCCTTCCCACGCCCTAAATATGACAAGCAGCATCTAGTGACAGCTTGGCGACGAGATTGTAACGTTATCCATTTGCTAAAACAGGCAGTTGGGAGTAGCCGACAACCGGAGCATGACTAGAGAGTTGGTGATACTTAAGAACCTCGACTGCGCAGCATAGGGCCACAGTTCGTCCATCTCGTAGACTTATACCTTGAACCCAACCATTCTAACCTAGCATTACCACAATCAACATGGCTGATCTATCAACAACTCCCCCATTGACTCGTGAGTCAGTCATCGAAGCTCACAAGCTCATCAGCCCATATGTCCACTTTACGCCCGTCCTGACCAACCAGACTATCACGAAACTAGCTTCAACCCCTCGCACAGCGGAGGAGCTCGAAGGGACTCGTTATGCTGGTAGAACGCCGGCCCGGCCGGTGCTAAGACTCTGGTTCAAATGCGAGAATTTGCAACGCATTGGCGCTTTTAAAGCGAGAGGTGCTTTTCATGCCATCGAGAGGCTGAAGAAAGAGCCGGGATGGTTAGAGGGAGGGGGCAAGGAGAAAGGAGTCGTGACACACAGTTCCGGTAACAGGGTCACATACGTGCTATATCCGACGATGATGGCTAATTGTTACAGGAAATCATGCTCAAGCACTAGCCCTTGCGGCTCGAGAGAGTGGCATCAAAGCCCACATTGTCATGCCTGAGATTTCCAACCCCAAGAAGATCGCTGGAACAAGAGGCTACGGTGCTCGCGTTATCTTTAGTGGAAGCACATCCACTGAACGTGAAGCAATGGCCGCAAAAGTCATCGCCGAGACAGGAGCTCGACTTGTGCCGCCCTATGACCACCCGGATATTCTCCTTGGACAAGGCACCATCGGCCTAGAATTCCAACAGCAAGTTTCCGAATTGATGACTGCTGATGCCGTCGTTGACGGGCAGAGGAGACTTTTCCGGGCACCGGTTACAGGACGGGACAACGAGGCGCCGAGGACCAAGAAGGAGAAACCTGGCTTGGACGCTATCATGACCCCTTGCGGTGGCGGTGGTATGCTCTCAGGTGTTGCTCTGAGCTGTGAAGGCACTGGAATTCGAGTGTTTGGCTCGGAGCCATCGTTTGAGGGTGCTGATGATGCAAAGCGTGGATTCGAGTCGGGCACACGAATCACAACAGTCAAGACTCTTACAGTTGCCGATGGACTACGCACTCCCGTGGGTGAGCATCCTTGGTCAGTCATATACGGCCGCCGCTTAGTATCGGGCATGTACAGCGTCACTGAGGAGGAGATCCTGGCGGCTATGAAGCTGGTGTTTGAGCGGTTCAAGCTGGTCGTCGAGCCCAGTGCTTGCGTCCCGCTGGCGGTGGCGCTGTTTGATGAGGAATTCAGATCAATGGTAGAGCGAGAAGCTGGCGAAGAGGGTTGGGACCTCGGACTGGTGTTCAGCGGTGGTAATATTGGTCTTGATGCTGTTGGCAAGCTCTTCGAAGATAGCAAGTAAAATTTCATGTTGATGGATAGAGACGCAGTCTGGAATATGAAATGTGATTGTTTTCGTCCTTATTTGCTTGATTGTATATGAAATACATAGTTCCACACGTCGACTTATCGTGACTGCATTATTTTCTACCCCTTGGCCGCGATCTTCACTGGGCCAGTGCTTCATCCATAGTTTTCCTCCACTTCGTGGCGTTCTTCCTCAGCAGGATGATACTAACGTAACTAATAATGAGACAGCATATACAGAGAATTGTAAAAACCCATCCAACGTTAATGGCGTTAATCCATGGAGCAGCAACAATGGCGCCGATACAACTAAGCGTGTTGCGAACAAAGTTATTGATGGCAACGCCTGAGGAACTGCGCTTACGGATCAGCTCTGTGAGCATGGTGGTAGCCACTGACTGGAAGAACCCGTTAGCTAGTGAACCCGAGAGAGGAGGGTATTATCTTACAAAGACAAGCATGGATGAGATTCCAAAGAAGAATAGGGCGAGACATGGTACTACAGGGTGCAAACCGTAACGAAGCACCCAGCCAAACATGAGTAGTGCCAGAGGATAAATGGTCGTCATCACCCAGGCATTCTCTCTCATTCGGTCTTCCGGAAGATATATCAGCTTCCCGTTCTCATCGTAACGACCAGCTTTACGGGCTTCTCTCGCCATGATTTTGTCGATCCAGCGCCCACCAAACAGCGATCCACAGATGTAGCCCAAACCGGAGGGGATGTACATGAGACCAATGGAAAGCTGGCCGAAGTTGTATGGGTCACGGGAAAACTTCTGCTGGATAGCAATATTGACAACGTAGAGAGAACCAAAAGCAATGGCAGCAAGAAGCACGGTGATGAGAACGGGCGGAAACCGTAGGTAGAGGAGAACTCCTAAAGGATCAATGAGGAAATGTCGAGCAGATTTGGCGAAGTTCTTGGTCTTGGCCTTGGCCGAGTCCATAGTGCGCATTCGACTGAGTCCCTGAGTCTCTGCAGTAGGCAACGTAGTCTCAGGCTTACGTTGCAACGTCTCAGGGAGGAAGAAGAGAATCATCAAAAGGACAACGAGACCGTATATAGCGAGGAACCACATAGTCGCTTGCCATCCAATCTCCTGAGTCAACGCACCACCAACGATAGGGGCTATCAGAGGCCCTAACAATGGACCAAGATAGAATAGACTCATAGCTCTGCCACGCTCAAACACCTCAAACAGATCAGCGATTGAGCCTGCACCTGTCGAGTGAGCACTTGCGGAAGCGCCACCGGCGCACATGCGGAAGACGATAAGCATGGTTATATTCTTGCTAATGGCAGAGAGGACGGAGAATATGAGGAAGAGTGTGAAAGAGATGAGATATATAGAACGACGGCCAAACTCTTCAGAGAACGAGGACCACCATAGGGGGAAGATGGCCATGGATATCATATACAGGGCGACTGACAGGTTGGTGACAGTCTCAGAAGTGTTGAACTCTTTCACCAACACGGGAAGTGCAGCTATTCTTGTCAACTCTGGATGCAACCATCATTTTCAAGGACTTACGATAGACAATGGTCGAGCCTAAAGGTGCAGCAGCTGTGGCCAATGCTATGATGCCGGTGAGAAACCATTTCGTCGAGTTCTTGTAATCAGGAGGATACGCAATCTCAGGCACCAATGTCAGTTTTGCAAAAAGACCACGCCTTTTCGACCTCGGAACAACAGAAAGAGCTCTCGATCGTGCAGACGACGCTCTGGACTGAGCACGCTTGGTAGATCGTCGAGTATCTATATGTCCCAGGGGCTCACCGAGCACGACTGGCTCAATGGTATCTTGAACATCATGTTCTGATTTAATGGAACTCGATGCAGCAGTTCCCGGACGTTGGCCGTCTTCTTCTCGCTCAATATCGATCTTTTCATCATCAATCTCTTGCCTTTTCCCTGCAGGTTTCATTGTCACAGCGGCCGGGCCCGAAGATGTGGAGAAGCCTCGGCCGAAAAGTTGCGGTTATCGGGCCGGAAAGGGGACGGAAAGGGGTTTTCAAGATTAACTCTGAGATGGTTTGATATTCAGATATAGAATAGCAGTATATTCAGAACCATTGGAGCACTTGGAAAAAGAAAGAGAGAATATGAGAAAGGATTATAAAGGACCAGGGATAGCGACGTGCGGAAGAGTGATTCCGCCTTGGAGATGAATAATAAGGGAATCGCCCATCCTAGCACTTCAAACAATGCCGACTTTTGCGAGGAGAGACAGAACCACCCTGCTTCCGGTCCTGATTATGACCAATAGTTCTATTATCTCTGGGTACTGTCCGCGGGACCACACCGAAGAGGGGGACGCCGAAGACGGTGCCGACGATAGGTAGCATATGAGGGTCGTGTGGGGTTAACGCGGAGATAACCTGGAACTTGGTGAATTACTGGTGTGGGACTTCATTGTTTACTTTTATACGAGAATCTAATGTGAGGTGGAAATATACGAGATTATTGAATATCGAGCTATGTTTCTGAATTAGACTCAAGATGCAGCACCTGAGTCTTGGAGACCGGCGCAGCTTACAGGCAATTGCAATTTAGCTGTTGTTCATTCAAAATAGACAATGATTGATGAGCACGCCCGTTTCATAAAATATAACAATTCGTGATTCAAAAGACATTTGATGGTAAAGTTTCAGCCCGACAGCCATGCGGGGAACAGTGAGTTACAGTCACTCGGACAGCCAGAAAAGGCCCAGTTGGGATGGAGAATGCATGAAATTATAGAGACTTGGTCTCGGCCGATATCGCAGGGCGTATCCTGGCAAGCAACAATTTACTGCTGCGTACATAGATACAGACATAGGAAATTCCATTGTCACAGCATGAGTAATAGCTAGGATTTGGTTTCCAGATCTAGTAAGCCATAAACCTGATTCAATTATAGGCCCTCAACCTTTTAAATGTAGACCATGTAACGGCTGAGGCTCATAATGGCGGGGTGCATACCAGCGGGGCACAGTTTAAACATAACCTCACCTGAGTCACTTTCACACATTGCGACTACAACCTCAGTCTCAGTCTCAGTCTCAACCTCATCTCTCAAGTTCGCCACTAAAAATGTCTCTCACAAACGCCTCCCCCGAGGCTGCAGCTAGCGCCGCAAAGACAGCATCTTTCACTCTCGCAACCCTCCCTGCCAGCGAGCGCAACAATGCACTTGAAGCCATCCACGCTGCCTTGACGGCCTCAAAAGACGAAATCCTCGCAGCCAACGCCAAGGATCTTGAGCTGGCAAGGAAGGCTGCTGATGAGGGCGGTCTTAGCCAGGCTCTTGTATCGCGATTGGATCTTGGAAAGAAGGGAAAGTGGGAGGATATGCTCAAGGGAATCTTGGATGTGAGGGATCTAAATGACCCAAGTATTTCAACTGTCATAAGACTATAAGACTCATGGAACTAACAATATTTCAGTTGGCCAGATTCAGATGAGAACAAAACTCGATGATGATCTCATCATGGAGCGTGTCTCATGTCCCATTGGCGTCCTCCTTATCATTTTCGAGGCCCGTCCCGAAGTCATCGCCAACATCGCTTCTCTTGCTATCAAGTCTGGAAATGCTGCCATTCTCAAGGGTAATGTCATGGCTCAACCGCAATAGCATAACATTGGCTTATTTGCTCACTATTGTCGCAGGTGGGAAAGAGTCTACAGAGTCCTTCGTGGCCATCTCAAAGGTCATCTCATCAGCTCTTGAGACCACAAAGGTCCCCAACTCAGCCATCCAGCTCGTCACAACCCGCGACGTCATTTCCCAGCTCCTCGCTCAGGACCGCTATATTGATCTTGTCATTCCTCGCGGATCGAATGAACTTGTTCGTTACATCAAGGAGTCCACAAAGATTCCCGTTCTCGGCCACGCTGATGGTCTCTGCCATATCTACTTGACAGCCTCTGCCAATAAGGAAAAGGCTATTACTGCTATTGTGGACTCCAAGACAAGCTATCCTGCTGCCTGCAACGCTGTCGAAACCCTTCTAGTCCAGGAATCGGCTCTGAATACCATCTTCCCTGCTGTTGCTTCCGCTCTTGCGGCCAAGGGGGTTTCCCTCCGAGTCGACGAGCCCAGCAAGGCTGCCATTTCTTCTCTTTCACTGGAAGGTGTTCAAGATGCCACCCCTCAAGACTACGACACTGAGCATCTATCCCTCACCATTGGCGTAAAGACTGTTTCCTCTATTGACGAGGCCATCACCCACATCAACACCCACGGCTCTCACCACACCGACGCTATCATGAGCTCTGATTCTGCCGAGGCCGAACGTTTCATGAACGAGGTTGACTCAGCTGGCGTATACTGGAATGCCGCTACTCGTCTTGCCGACGGCATGCGTTATGGTTTCGGTACCGAAGTTGGTATCAGCACAAACAAAATTCACTCTCGTGGTCCAGTCGGCCTTGATGGACTGACTATTTACAAGTACAAGATCAGAGGCGACTACCAAGCTACTGCTGACTATGGAGACGGAGAAGGCAAGAAGCCCTGGAAGCACGAGAAGTTGTCCCTTTAGACAACTGCTTGCAAAAAGAAAAAAGAAGAAAGAAAATCGACGGCATATCACGGAGGCGTTGGGTAAAGTTTAACAGCTATAAAAAATAGTAGGCTGTTCAAGTCACGGTTTCAACACAATTATAGCGATCCTTTGTGCTACTGCATTTGTCTCATTATTCTATGTTGTGCCAATGTTGACCCAATAACAAAAGTCCGTCTTCATCGGACTTCGCAGAAAGTGTTTCGATTTATCCCCCCGAAGCACATGTTTTAGTCAGCCGGCACTCCAATGACCTCAGGTTAGGAATTCGTAAGCACATCATAGCGAGCTGGTCTCGTACTGCTTGATCAACTCGTCAAGCTTGGTGCCTTCAGACTTGAAGTCTAAGGGCGTGACAGTCATCACTTGGTAGCGTATCCTACAAAAGCGATATTAGTATTTGATTAATAATGAACATGATCATCCTGCTTACCTTTGAGCTTCGCCAAAGTTATCCATCTTCGCCCTGCACCGGAAAGTGAACTTCTTGCAGTTGGCCTCTTCAAACGCGGCCATGAATTTATTGTCATCATTTTCTTTGAGCTCCATCATCTCGTCGGCAGTTCGTCCCACGATCTGTCGACCGGAATCGTCAAAACAGCTCAGCCATTGATGACTGGTGTGATCTGCAACGTTCAAAGAGAGGATGTACCGGTATTCCGGCTTTTCGTGAGAGATAGCGCACTTCTCGCAGTGCCAGGTGCCATCAGGCATTTGTGTAACCTTCTTATTACAGCCCTGAGACAGGCAAGCGGGATAGCAAAAGTTCTCCTGCTTGACAAAGACAATAGTCGCCTTGATAGTGTAGTAAGCCTGGTCATCCATGCCAAGGTTTTCATCCTTGACCTGAGAAATGGTCTTGAGGTCTTCCTTTCTCCCTGTGGCATTGCCCATGGACGCCATGTTTTGGTGGGTGGCGAATGTGTCATTGCGACCAGCAGAGTCGTACCAGCCCTTGAGTCTGTGGGCATCAGGAATATCGGGGTCGACGGTCATTGTGCCAGAAGAGAGGAGACTGAGACTCTTACCACCAAAATCAGACACCTTCGTGCCCTTGAAAGCAACCACTGATTCAGGAGGAGCATCGAAAGAGTTGGCCGACTTGCCCCAAATAGTAACACGGACTGAGAAGCCCGTATCATCCACAAGTGTTAATTCTCGCTTCTGGAATGGTCGGCCATCCTTCTTGGATGTAATATCGCCAACCTCGCCAACCTCCTTCAACACACCAATGACATCGACAGTATTGTCCTTCTCCACACTCTGGAGTTCCTGGATGGAGCAAAAATTGAACCTCACCTGCGGAACATTGGTCTGATCCTCTGCCTTCTCGATGACAGTGTCCCGTTCGAATGTGAGCTCGTAGTCGTTGGGAAGGTTGGAAAACTGTTTCTTGGCCAAGGCAACTCGGCAAGGTGTGGAGATGTAGTAGACAGAGCCTTCTTGCAGGCGGTCGTAGAAAGCGTCACACTGGTCGTTGAAACCAGTGGCCTTGATCTCACCACTCTCATCGAGCAGGTTGACACTGAAAAGTTTTCCCTCCCCAGTGGCCTTGTGCCATGTCTTGATATCTGATTTAGAGGTAACTCGTGCCTTGATTGTCCACTTGTGGGCGAAGGGCGACAGACCCTCGATAGGGTAGATGTTACTGCCAGCGTGCATGGCAGGTCGTGAGGGCATCGACTGTTGTTGCTGCTGTTGAAATTGCTGGGGCTGTGTCTTTGATTCTTCCTTCTTGACGCCGTAAAAATCGCCTCCAGCAATGGCACCCTCTTGGGCAGCTGGCTTGGAGTCGACGGCAAAGGGCTCGCCAATCTTTTCTTGGACGCCAAGAGATTCGATGACTTCGATATCGAGAATGACGAGAATGCTACATAGTATTAGGGGCGTCCAATAAAATCTAGGAAGACACGTACTTCTTGCCCTTCAAGTTGTTGGGTGTGTATTGCTTAATTCGGGCAATGCAACCACGAACCAGCTTGTTGTCGTGAACGACGTGGTTGGCTTGCGTAGCAAGCATGGTCTGGACGTAATGCTGCCCATCGCTCATCACAAGTCGAAATCGGTCTCCCCCTTGAGCCGAAGGGGCCATCTGCTTGACTTGTAGACATTGCAGAACAGGTACCGGGAAGAGCTTGCTGGCTTTATCAGGATCATTGAAGATCACGCTGGGCAAAAGTTAGCGAGCAACGACAGGGAGGTTAGGTGATAAGAACATACTCAAGAGCGCCTCGCGATAGCGCCGAAGCTGCGTCCATGATTTTTGTGCTTTAGGTGTCTTTGGGGTAGGTTGTGTATGCTGTTGAAACAGAGACCTCTTTGTTTTGTTCTAGGTGAGAAGTAAAGTGCATTAACGAGAAGGTGTGTAAGACGCGTTCAGCGCGTTGAGTGAAACGCGCTGTGGCGAGACTCGCGGGGTTGCGGCTTACGTAAAGAGTGGGGACAGCCGCACATATGCCCTCACCTAGTAAAAGACACAGGTAGGGCACCTAGGAGCTTCCTACTGTCCGTAGGTACTCATTTTCAAACATTACCTTACCTTAGTAAGTACTTACCTTGGGTTTCTATTTATAACTCATTTCTTCCGTCCCATCAGCGATAATCTTATTCTGTAGCTGATGAAGATATCTCATGGCAACACATTGTGACCTTTTTGGGACTACTGATACACCACTATAAGGAATGGACACAATGCCAAGTTCCCATCTAATATTGCTTTCTTGTTCGGGCTGTTATAAAACCAATCCTCACCTAGTAACGGAGAGACTGAGAATTAAGCAATCTCTAAATTTGTAGTGTGGCATAAGATCATAAGTCCACACCACCGGCAACAATTGGCCAAGGGCCTGGAGGGCAGAGCATTTGCTTCTCGTTAGCCATGAGATTTCTAACCTTGAGTAGTGGTTTCGTAGTACAATCCCATGTATCCTGATAACAGCATTAGCTCAGTACTTATAAGACTCTTGTGATCTTATCCCTTTTTCTTAAAAGAAGTTTATTCTGGGATATATGCTTTATTCTAGGCATTTATAAACTTCTTGCTAGAGCAAGGCAAGTAAGGTAGGTACCTACTAAGTCAGTTACCCCTCCAACATGACGTTGAGTTCCAGCCTGGACCTTGTACGTCAGGTTGCCCATCCACGTGCAACAGGCAACATCATCTTCTTTCATTGTCTTTCAGCCCACAGAGGAGTCAGTACGGTTCCGCCAACTTACTCACTATCCCAGCCAAAAGAGAGGTAAATAGAATTCGAGAAATGGCCGACGCAGATAATGCTACTCGCGCTCCTGAGAGCGACGCCCAGGAGACCCCTGCGGCCAGCGACAACATACAAGCTCCAGCTCCAACTCCAGCTGCTGAAGCTCCAGTCGTAGGCGAACATTGTGTTTCTGACAGACCAACCCGTGCGGCACCATTTAGAAAAGCATCATCGCAGGTCGCTAACAATTGCAGCTTCGGGCCAGTCCTCCACAGGCGAAATCATCAAGCTCAACGATGTCGATGTACGTGGCCAACAAGCTTCCCAAGCTCTTAGCTGACCCTCCCTTACTTAGGTCTACGTTTCGAAGCCCACCGACTACCCCCATGCGCCTTCGCGACTCCTTCTCCTTCTGACCGGCGGTACGGGAATCAAATCTACCAACAACCAGATCCAGGCCGATAAGTTTGCCTCGGAGGGCTATCTTGTCCTCATGCCCGACCTCTTCGCTGGCGACACAGCTCCTGGGGCCACGGCTATTACAGACGACTCCACATCCATCCTCGAACAGTTCAAGTTGAAGGCCGTAGAAGTTACAAAGTCATTCCTCATTGACATGTGGCTCGCCCGCGTCACAGAAGAGAGGGTCATGCCCATCCTGCACAAAGTCATTGATGCTGCGCGAGAGCAGTACGCGGATACGATCAAACAGGGCGACGGCATCTATGCCGCTGGATACTGTGTTGGTGCACGATTTGTTCTTCTGCTTGCTAAACAAACGAAGACCCCTGAAGGAGATGCAGAAAGCGGCGGTGTCAAGAACGGTCCTTTTATTAAGGCCGGGGCTCTGGCACATGCCGCTTCTGTTATCCCTGATGATTTCAAGGACATTAGTGTTCCTCTCAGCTTGGTTTGTGTCGAAAACGACCCTCTCTTCCCCGACAGCGTTCGGATAGGGGGAGAAGACAGTTTGTCTGACGCCAACGTCGAGCATGAGGTTCAGGTTTATCCAGGAGTTCCGCATGGTAAGATGACCTTAAATTTGAATCTTAGTCATGATTCAACTAATGATTTCTTTAGGATTCGCGGTTGTAGGCGAGTACCAAGATTCATCTATCAAGGATGCTCAAGCCACAGCGTATGACCAGATGCTCAACTGGCTCAAGGCTCATTAACTTTTACCATGATACCTTTTGCTTTCTCACATGTGGCGTGCAGGTCGCTGCATTGATTTCCGTTTGTGTCTTTGTTGATTTGGTTGAATATAAGCAAGTGATAGGAATTCTCATGGCGGGTGGAAGAAGATAGGCTACAAGTTTCCACAGCCAACGTACTAGTGAACCGTTTGATATCCATGCTTTGAGGTTCAAATGGAAAGTCTTTCTGGAAGATGATTTTATGGGCTAGATTTAAATGCCACACAATGTAGTCTGAAATCATTCTCTACCTCAGGATATAGTGCATATAATCTTACCCAGGTTCTTGGCATCTTCCATATGCTTGTGGGCCTCTTGAATCTGTTCCCACGGAAAGACCTCATCCACAAAGATCTTAAGCTTGCCAGACTCGAAGTCTGGTAGATATTGCTCCAGTCGGTCCCGTAGCTCGCCCTGGTAAACCTCGTCGCGGCTCCGAAGAGTACTGCCCTCAATACGAAGTCGCTTGAACAAGATCTGAGAAATATCAGCATTAGGGACCTTGGCGCCGCTCAGCGTTCCCAAAAGCACGATCCGTCCATCACGCGCAGCGACATTCTGGTTCTGCTGGAAGTAGCTTCCACCAACAAAGTCAACGATGTAGTCAACACCCTTGCCGCCGGTAGCCTTCTTGATCTCCTCCGCCCAGTCCTGCGTTTTATAGTTGAATGCAGCTGTTGCGCCGAGCTTCGAAGTGATAAAGTCGAGCTTGTCCTGAGATCCAGCTGTGGCATAAACTTCGGAGGCCCCAGCGATGCGTGACAGTTGGATGCCGGCAACCGACACTCCTGAAGCTCCTGCGTGCCACAAGATGGATTTGCCCTTCGTGAAGCCAAGCACAAGATGCAACGCCTGAGTCGCAGTGATCCAAGCCTCGGGAATACCAGCACACGTGGTAAAGTCGATGGAAGCCGGCTTGTGCAGCAACATGCGAGTACTGACCGCGATGTACTCGGCATACGCACCACCGTAAGCTAGCCCAAACACCTCATCCCCTTCCTTGAAAGTACCATGATCGCCAGGTCCAAAAGACTCGATGATGCCACTGAATTCCACGCCCAATGTCTTAGGCGCTTGAGGTGGCAGCGGGTAAAAGCCTCGACGCTGGATGATATCCATGCGGTTAATACCAAAAGCTTTGATCTTTACAATGGCCTGCCCCTCAGTAGCAGAAGGCTTGGGCGTTTCGGCGTTGATGAAGAGGGCATCACGCTCGCCAGTGCCACCGCGAATATCTGGAAGGATTAGTTGGTGGTCACAGTCTTGAATTGGCATGTTAGCCTCATACCGACTGCCTTGATGTACTCGGGCATGTTTTCTGTATCAGAAATGGTTTTCGATTGTTGAAAGTTGACTTTAATGGAAGAATGTTCAGCTATGAAGTCAGAGGCTCTGTGTCGAAGGCAACGCCCGCATTTCGCATTGCCTGCACCGAGGTAATGACGTACATTACTAATACAACTTTGAAGACGTCAATGGAAGCACCGGAGACGATGTTTGGCTTCCGCCGAACTTTCGGCCGGGAAGGTCTCCATAAGAGGGACCGACCCATTGTAAATATAATACATAAGACATCTATGCGTAACCAGACACATGTGAGAGTGTATGTGTTAACGACGAGAGTGGTAGGTCCGCTGGCAGCAAACTCGATTGGAACTTGAGAGTGTATGAAGGTTGATCCAAAATGTTTGAGTTGAAATGGACTAAAGGATGGTCCGAGGCCGAGCTATGCTGAGGTTATGTTTCAATTCGACCACAGAAACAGTTTGTTGTTGTGCAGGAGTTCTTACAGTAGAATCAGTCAGTCAGTTAGTCAGTTAGTCCATGAGGCTCTACACTACCGAGAAAAGGATTTAATACTCAGCTAAGCTATGCATCCATTCATAAAGTATGAGGATGTCAGTCGAAAATGTTACAGGTTTCAAATAAAAATGTTTCTATATCAATTTAATTACGGATACAGCGAAATGGAAAGCGGCAATGCTTGGGTTGAACAGGAATAGGCCACATGATAAGACCTGTCAGCCCAATTTCTTCTCCAACATTCATACAGCCTGTATGCAGACAAGTCCACGATTCCAACCTCCGAATCGACTAGAGACGGTTTCACGTGATTAAAATACACAGGCTATTAGATAGTAGATTAACGCATTCGTCAATACATAAACAATACCTCATCGTGACAGTCATGCCATCCGGAAACTCGGCAACAGGCAATATCGTTTAGCCGTTAGCCACCACCAGGGCATGAATCCGATCTACAGACCAGCTACCAAACCATGGAGAGACACCTACCTGGCTTTAGGTCCTCTTCCGCACTTCGACTCTGGGCCAAAAGTCACGGCGATGGCAAATTTGCAAGCCTAATTATCGATCGGGTGCAATTAAACTACTGTTAGTTAGAAATCACCACTTGGACGGACCGCGTTTTGGTGCCATTCGACTATGGACTAATGGAGTACTGACTACTGAGTGGACCTAGCAAATGAGGTCTTCCTGGTTGTCTGGGCGAGTAATGTAAAACAAATCAGGCGAATAATACGCGTCAATATCAACAAAACAACAAGGCAGCCTTGGCCTTTTTTTTTAAGTGCTAAATCGATACAGATTGAAATTTTCAACATGCAAAACCGCCAATGTGGTTAAGCCACCGTAGTAAGCGTTACAGTGGGATAAATTCAAACAGTTAGAATGAAGCACCCGACATGGATGATCTGACGACCAAGACAAGTGGTGGAAATGAAATCCGGGTATTCCTTTCCGAATATAATCATGGAGCCAAGCAGATTTGGGTGGCCAGAAACTTTACCACTGACAAGCATCTTAATACGTCTCACTCGATACTGGAAGTGGGCTTGAGAGGCTTGCGGGAGATCCAGCGCCTTGCTTGGAGTGTGAGCGGGAAGAGACATAAAGGGATGGTGAAAGATCTTGGCACACCATTTGGGAAATGGAGACAAAGACTCGGGCATGAGATTGGAGCTTAAGAAAAGAAGCTTGTTCAGAGAGTTTCGGGCCAGCAAACCTACATGCTACATAGCAATAGGCTACATCCGCTGCGTTTGTTGAAGATACAGGAACTGATCGTATGCCAAGCTTTCGATTCCTCCATAGCACGCCTCGGATCGCATCGATCAGAGAACCTGGCCTCGCTAGCTTTGTTAGATTAGAAAGCGGCCAAAAAGCTTGTCGTTGACCATCAGAAAACTACAGTACCCGATAGCCCCTGGACACTGATTCTCATTTCTGTGGACTTGAGACGTGGGTCGCCAACTAAACTTACCAAAGTGATAGTCGAAACTAAGACAAGACAGAGCTGCCGAACCGAAAGACCCCATCGAGAATCCATCACTCGAAAGAGGTTGATGGGGGAAATACGAGACAAGGGTGGTGCTTTCGATACTCAGTTTGGAACCGATTCGCCTCGCCTTATATCAGGGGGGCTCGCCTCGATTGAAGTCAATGCTGACTGGCTTATAGGCCAGGGGAATGGACAAGCCCTCATCTTCAATCAAAGATAAGGCAGCGAGATGTTGAAGGTGTTCAGGCTGTCTGATAGCTAAACTATGTTTTAGTGGTTCAAAGGGAAATTATGGAGGGTTGCTAACAGACAGAACCGTCGAGCCGCCTTATCATCAGTGCCTTATCCATGGTGATATCTTGCTGACTGACGTTGATTTGCTCACTGGAAAGGGATCAGCAAGTACTACGTAGAGACTGGTAGGTAGGTTGGTAGGGTAGGCTAGATCTGACATGACAAGGGAGCTTGTATAGGTGGGTGTCAAGACCTTGACCGTCAGACGGATCCGACTGTTTTGAAGCACTCAGGGACAACACGGAGCAGCCTGAAGAGGAAAGTCGACAGACTTCGACTCCGTTGCCAACTCAGGATCTAGTCCACCTCTAAGGCATTGAATGGACAGCTAGAACATGGCCGCCTTGTTTCTCAACAACTTCTGTGTGACCATATCAAGAGCCTTGAGTAACTGTGCTGCTTGAACAGGCTATCGGTGTGGCGTTGGCAGCCATGTGTTCGCTGTTGCTTGGGCTCAGTGAGAACTCTGTTTAATGTTCCGGCCCTCTAGCTTAGACCGCCCCCAGGTCTCCTAACCCCTGCTACACATGTGTGCCGGAACCCATTCAAGCCATCGACTACCGCGTGGATAATTGGCCACTGGAGAGTCCAAGACGAGTCGGTGCACGGTGCATTGTGGATACTGTCCAATGGATATCGGAGAGGACATTGCCATGAGCCATCTCCTTGCGGTCTTGTCGGTTAACTCTATGCTATTGGATTCACAGCTTAGGCATGGCATGATCAATGCGACCAATCAGATGATGGCACCAGCTCATTGCTTGCGGCGATTATTGCCAGGATGAATAAGTATGAGCTTCCCGCTACTACATGAACGGGTGATATTCGCTGCAGCCTCAGATGAAAGCACAGTTGAGGCAGATAAAGGATGGTTCGATTTCATTGGAGCGGACTTGTCGAGCCGTGATGCAGGCAGGAGCGAATTCTGCAAAAGTTGAATAAGGGGATTGGCAAGACAGCGGGAAGAGATTTGTTCCTGCATTAGCGTCGGATTATGCCAGGGGAACTGACCAGTGAACGTGCCCATAATAGGAAGGCCAAAGTCTATTGGACATTACCTGGCTAGCCTGGCGAAGAGCAACGGGGTGGCTGCCTCGCACCCACGCGACAGTCCATCCATGCTTCTCATTTGATCTTCATTTTTCTAGAGTCAAATCATTAGATCTTCGGAAACAGCAAAACCTTCGATAGGCACATACGCTTGAGACTTGTCGATCGATCATTCTGATTACAATTGGAAACCTCCTTGACTACCTCGCAATATCTGCAATTCAATTATCGTACTCCATACTCTCTTGTGGAACATGCTTCTATTTCAAACCTGGCAAGAATTAACATGTCTAGCTCCCAAGAAGAAAAGTCATCGTGACCCCGGAGTTCTGATCATATCACTGGGGATATTCGACGTGGAACGTCGGTCCGCTTCGGCTCATCCGATGATAATTATAGACGCAAATCTCTTGCCTCAGTAGGCTCAGTTCGATATCAACATGTGGCAATACTACCCAGTATCTTCTTCCTCGCAATACTACCCGGTATTATTTGTCTATTTCTGGTGTGATATGGGGGAGTAATTTCGGGTTGAAGATTGGAAGTCGAGCATGCATGTCCGTAGGCGCTGCCGATGTCCGCCGACTTCCAGGTCCCTTTCACCCCTCTAATGTTTGGTTAGACTGACTGGTTCCTTTTTTAGCTGTCTCGGTGATAATACCTGTCAGAGCGCAAGACATCCATTTCCATTTGCCGGGGTTCCCACACCAGAGCACGAGGCAAAGTGGAAGGGCCTCCTCCCCCCACACACACGTTCTCAGGGCCCGTTCTCAGCAAAGCACCCCTTTCTTGTTCTTGGCTGGCAATCTGAAGAACGATTTCACACAGTAGCAACAGTCGACACTGCCTAAACGAGACTCATAATATCTCTTTGTGTTCAAGGGGCTATCGGATTAGGCAATACATTAATACCAAGAGGTATGATAAAGAACTCTCTCACAAGGGCTTTGTCTCTTTGATACAAATATATGGTCTAGAAATAGATTCAGAAGAGATAGCTACTGGTTTCAAGGTTGATATAAATGAATGGCTAATTTTTATCTTTTAGGTTGTTTTCCTCGGCAGGAAGTTGCCCAGACGCCAGCGTCCAGTAAGATAAGAACAACTCATGAACTTGTGGTCGTACAAATCCTTGAGAGTGCAACAACTACACTTGCAATCCTGGTAGGATTTGCCCCTATGGTTCAATAACATGGCGACTGGTAGAAAAATTAAGGCTTCCTTGCCGAGCTCATTACATATGGTAGTGTGCCACCGGAACTTGAGCCTAGATGAGCCTATCTTTTTGTCTTTTCCTGACTCTCGTCCCGTGCTCGTCTCGCCATCCGCTCTAGACTTGCACGGGGCCTCTGACACTGGATGAATGGCCTGCTCGTACTCCGTACAGATTTTAATTAATCGCTATTCTCAAGGACCCCCCATGCCCCAGATCCCCTGTCGCTCCAGGTCCCACGCCTCCATTACTGATCCATTGCGGGCCACACCCACACCCACACCCACACCCATACCCACACCCCCCATATCCGAAATCCCATCAACCTCCCTATCAGTCCCTGTCGAGCGAAAACCTCATCTTAATATAAAGCTCAAGTCCTCCAGATCTCCAGAAACTTTTTCCTTCCTTCCTCTTCACCCACACACATTCATTCGCTACTATACCTTGACTTTTAGTCAATTTCATTCGTTACAGCACATCTACAAACTATACAACTTTCGAGTTACCTTAATTTAATCCCAACCCCAAACAAACCGACAAAATGAAGTTCGCTGCTGCTCTCGCTTTCGCTGCTGGCGTCGCTGCCCACGCCAAGAACGTTACCTACACCACCGAGGTCGTCACTGCCTACACCACCTACTGCCCCGGTCCTACTGAGATCGTCCACGGCGACAAGACCTACACCATCACTGAGGCCACCACCCTCACCATCACTGACTGCCCTTGCACCGTCACCAAGCCCGTCATCACCACCTCCGCTGTCGTTTGCCACGACTGGTAAGTTATCTGTATCCGATGTCCTCAGCCTTGTCAAAAATACTGACAGTGTCTAAGCCCCGCTCCTCCTCCCGCCCACCACGGCAACAACTCCACCATGGTCCCCGTTTACCCTACTGGTAAGCCCGGCCACGGTGGTGAGAGCGGCAAGCCTGGCTCTCCTGCTGGTCCCGGTGCTCCTTCCGAGGTCCCTACCGCCGGTGCCGGCAAGGTTGCCGCTCTCTCCGGTGCCGGTCTTGCTGCCGTCGTCGGTCTTGCTGCTTTCCTGTAAATCAACAGCTAGCAAGCCTACTCCACGTCGTGCCTACGATGCTTTACGCTCAGTAATACTTAATTCACGTGGGGGCTTCCATCATTCCTGATGGAGTGGTGTGGGACAGTTAGCGATGGTTTGGTTTCAGTTGGGGATGCAAGCGATCTTTCAGGGAATGTATAGAACTTTTTATTTTGGGTTACGAACATACGACACGGGAGAACCGGTATACCCTTGCAACGCTCTATGGAGTCTTGTCTAATGATGGCCACGCTTTGCAGGAGTTGAGACATTCTTGTATATGAGTTTTGTCTCGGTGTTCGGAAGGAGCTCGCATATTCCCTGTGTGTGAGATCTTCTTTCGGGGCTGGGAATATAATGTGTTTTTTTTTTTGCCTTGAGCAAAACAGGACGATCTTGTCTAGCTTCACTCGCGGTTCGTCTTTGTTTCTGCTCCCATCGATAACTTCAAGAGACGCATTTCCAACCTCGAATCCCGTTTCCTCTTCTTGATACATATTTTTGGGATGCCAAATGTCTTTAATATTTGCAGTCAGGTTACTGGTGCATATATATCCACAAAGCCGGGCGTGTTTATGGTATCTTGTCAATCAGATTCAATGTTATTGCTAGCCTCTGGGAAACCATGTATCATAGTGAAGGCAAAAGCAAGCATTGCTGAGAGGCCAGTTTTGGCCCGGCATTATTAACTCTGTTGTTGTCGTGTTTACGCTGTGAATATGTCTTGGGTCATTGTTTCAGTTGTTATGTGCCGAGACAAGGCTAACGTTTGTTCACTTGATAACTTAGCCGTGCTTTGGTACTGCCAGTAATACAAGGGCTGCTGAAAAAACTAATGATTTCCTGTGCCTTCAGTCTTGGTTGCTTTGGTAGGTTTGGGATTGGTTATCGAAAGCATGTACTTTGACACCGCGCGACATACAATCGAACAATGATACCATTCAAAAAGTATCAACCAACGCATCGCTATATCTTCTCGGCATACGAAGATACTACATTCCATGAAAAAACAACTTCTTGATGCGGTGAGGCATACCGTCAAGGTCACCCTGTCAAATTGTTTACCTAAGAAGTGTACTACCTACGCCAGTTGATCAGAGCTAAGTGATCCCGAATATCCGGGATATCACCGCCTCAGACATCAACCGCCAAATAAACTTTACACGTTACCAACGAACACAACAATTATTAACTATCACGGCTCGGCCTTATACCGATCCGACCGTTACCGGTAAGACCTACCGGACAAATGGGAAGGCCATCTTGGCGTAATGCGGGGAAGGTATCTAGTATGAAGCCAGCGCACCACTTACACTCGCCCTGCCAAGCAAGCTGGGGAGAGCCGAAACTGATGATTAGGATGGGAATTTGTTTGGGGGATAAATCATCTCGCTGTATGTTCCTTGATGCTACCAGTCTCCAGTAGTGCAAGGTAGTTTCACTGGACTCACCTCGCCTTAAAATATATCATCTATCTCCTCACTTAATAGCACTTCCTTTGATCCGATATTGCTATTCGTGTATCAAAGTCAGACTCCCTCACCTGGGCTTCTTTCATCAATCTTGACCTTTGAAACCTCCATTGGGCGTTTTTATTGCAGAGGAGATCGTCGCCCAGGCAGAGTTATTTATACACCGTCAAAGACGGCCCGGAATTTGTCGGTAGCGAGGCCCGATGCCGTTGAGCCTAAGACAAGCCATTCAATTTATCATATACACTCGGCCCCCTAGCTTATCGGTTCCCACTCCAACATGCCCCTTTAATCATCGTGGTTGCTATTTGTTGTCAAGATATTCTTCCCTGCCAAAGCCATTGGTGTCGACAAAATCACGGAGTTACTCATCCATACCAAGTACTGCATTGAATAAGGAGCCCAAGATACAAGGTAAGAACGAATTACCAGCTATGCCTCACAACCAGCAAGATCAACACATACAAGACGAGGTACTTCGGCATAGTCTTGAGAACCCTGAAGACTTCTGGAGACACCAAGCCGAGCATCTTCACTGGCATAAATCATACTCTTCAACCATCCAGCTCACTCAGAAAACTCTCAAGAGCGGTGTTACACATGATAGCTGGGAGTGGTTTCCAGACGGCGAAATATCTACTTGTTACAATTGCGTTGATCGACATGTACTTGATGGGCATGGCGATTCCATCGCTATCTACTTTGACAGTCCTGTGACAAACACAAAGGCAAAGTATACATACAGCCAGCTTCTTGGCGAGGTTGAGACTCTTGCTGGTGCTCTCAGAGAGCAAGGGATACAGAAGGGCGATGTAGTCCTGCTGTATAGTGAGTAGACCATGCATCATTCCCCTGCAGCAGTGCTGGCAGCTAACTTGAGTAATAGTGCCTACGATTCCCGCTGCCGTGATAGGTATTCTTGCTGCTAATCGACTGGGCGCTATCCATTCTATAGTGTTTGGCGGCTTTGCCCCTAATGCTCTGGCGCAACGTATCGATTCATGCCGTCCTGTGGCTGTTCTGACGGCGTCTTGTGGTATCGATGGCAACAAACCTCCAATTGCATATAAAGGCTTGGTAGAGGAAGCGATCCGGTTGGCTGGTCATAAACCCCATAATGTTATTGTCTGGCAAAGGGATCAGCTCTATTGGAATCTTGACCACGAGACTGGTCAGCTCGACTGGAACACATTAGTCGACAGTGCCCGATCTCGAGGAATCAAGGCGGACTGTGTGCCAGTCAAGAGCACCGACCCTGTTTATATCATCCACACTTCAGGCACCACTGGAACCCCAAAGGGTGTCCTCCGCGATGCTGGTGGTCACGCTGTCGGTCTGCACCTGTCCATAAGTTATCTGTTTAATATTCACGGACCTGGGTGTGTTTCTTTTACGGCATCGGATATTGGCTGGATCGTCGGTCACTCATACATCATCTACGGCCCACTCCTCACGGGAGCTGCAACTGTCTTGTACGAGGGCAAACCCGTCGGTACCCCTGATGCATCGTCATTCTGGCGAATAGTTGAAGAGTATAAAGTCAACACCATGTTTACAGCGCCAACAGCTCTACGTGCAATCAGGCGCGATGACCCCAATAACCAATCCTTCATCGATTACGGCAAACGGGGTGCTCTCAAGAGTTTGCGAGCTCTCTTCCTCGCTGGAGAGCGCTCCGAACCTACTCTTATCGACAGTTATCAGCAGCTCCTGACTCAATATTGCGCTGAAAATGCAGACGTAGTTGATAATTGGTGGTCTACAGAAGTTGGTTCCCCCATCACTGGGCGAGCGCTCGTTCCGCACGCTGGCAAGCATCGCAAGACGGAGGTTCGTGGACACCCCCCTCCTTGCCTGAAGGCTGGTAGTGCTGGGAAAGCGATGCCAGGCTTTGACGTTCGTATCGTGGATGATGAGGGCAATGAGGTTGAGAGGGGATCCATGGGAAATATTGTCTTGGCAATGCCTCTCGCTCCGACAGGATTTCGTACTCTGTGGCAGGATGAAGAACGCTTTTGGAAAGGTTACTTGAAAAGATTCGAGGGAAAGTGGCTTGATACCGGTGATTCGGGCTGGATCGACCAGCAAGGTTATATCCATGTGATGGCACGCAGCGACGATGTTTTAAATGTCAGCGCGCATCGTCTATCAAGTGGTACGCTTCAATTTCTTCGAACTTCGGTATGGGCTAACAGTGCGTAGGATCTATTGAGCAGGCCATTGCAGCCCATCCTCGTGTCGTTGAAGTTTGTATTGTCGGCGTACCGGATTCACTCAAGGGTCAGCTTCCTTTCGCCTTCGTAGCACTTTCGGGACAAGGCTGTGCAGATCCAGCAGTGCCGAGTGAATTAGTCGTCAAGGAAATACAGCAGTTAGTCCGTGGTCAGGTGGGTGCTATAGCCTCATTAGGCGGCATCATCCAGGGCAAAGGACTGATCCCCAAAACAAGGTCTGGCAAAATGCTACGACGGGTACTCAAGGAGATGGCGGAGAATGCCATTCGTGGTGACTTCGAAAAGGAAGTTGCGGTTCCTAGCACGATTGAGGATGTGTCGACATTGACTGTTGCTCGTGCCAGGATCAGGGAGTACTTTGAACGAGCAGAAACCGAGACGGATGGCATGGTGAAGGCTCGCCTCTAGAGCAGGTGTAATATGAGCGACCTTTCTGAACATAGCGGATGTTCCTGGTAAATATGAGTGGCGTGATATTGGTGGAAGATACCGTGACTTGGTTTCTTCATCCAGCGTCGATTTCAGGTTCGGTAGAGGCCTTTAGTTAGACCACGTCATGCGGAACCACGTTGGCAGATGAGGCACTCACGATATTCTGACACTCAATCTGCTTATTTAACAATTGATGATTGCTGAGAGAAAGCCAGTTCGAGACGAGCCTCCGTTGCCCGCGAGGGCGTGTCAGACTCCAGTTTTCTATATCGCAGCCGCTTTCGTAACCACAGATACCCTGTCCCACGCTACCGACCGTTTACTCGGAGCAAAAGACCCTCCGATGTTTGACCATTCGTAACCGGAGAGGTAGGTGTAAGATTGTGAGCGAAACTGATTGTGGCCCCTGTCCTAAACTCCGGTAAACAAAAACATAACCCCTAGGTGAGTATAGCTCAGTCCTTGGATGACTGGCCACTCGACTGCCTCGAGAAGAGGCTATAGGCGCTGTCCTGTGCCTTGGGTGCTATCTTAGTACTGGAGAAGCGTGCTTCGGGTAGTCTTTTTCCAGCCTGCAGGCTTTCGAGGATCCTATTGATAGCATTAGTCGTAGCTCAAGTTCAAATGAAAGTTGCAGGTACCATTCAGCACCAACAAACTTAACACCACACCCAGCCGTTCTCCTGATCTCTTTTTCTAGTTTTCCTCCAGCAAGACCTCCTCCAGCGCCCGAGTATCCTCCAGCTGGCCTTCCTAGAATGACATGGGTGACTTTCCGGCGTCCGAGGTGCAATGACATCTGACCTCCATGTTCGGTGACAAGCTGCTTGAGCTTGAGATCTGATATGAGAGGGAAACTACTCCCGTTAACGTAAACAATCACCCCATCAAACATCCGTCGGCGAGGCAGCTCTGCTTCTCTCGCTTCATCCTCCAGTTTTCTTGATTCCATGAGTGCTTCTTGTCCTTTTCCCTGAGCCTCATCCTTCACCCCCAGACTCTCACGCATCTTGCCTGGTTGCACGAGCATGTCCTTTACGCTCCGTTGTGCCCTTTCTTTCACGGCCTTGGGGACCAACATCTTGCGCTTCACATCGTAATCCTCTGAGCCAGCACCCCATGTGTCGCTTAGACGCTTGCCACCAGATAAGCCGCTACGAAATTGGCTGTTGAGTTTGCGGTTACGAGACTCGCGCCAGCCAGTTCCGGGGCATGATTCCGGACGTTGGTGGCCGGTTGACGATGAGTTCCATGGGTCAAAAGACGCAGCGTGCTGAGGCTCGGCGGCCTTTCGTATAGGGGGTGACATTTCTTTTTTTTTTTTTTCGCTTATGATGGAGGGCTGTAGTTTAACATCGCCGGTTCCAGTTTTGAGTGAGTTGTGATGATGAAGCGTTCTTTGCCTTGTGGGAGTGCGTTGCTGTCATTTTCTTGTCGTTGTGTCATGTTGTGTCCGCTTTTGGCGCTGGCGCGTGTGACCGACTATCCACGTTTTTCTCATTGACTTGCGCGGGACCTATGCGCGTAGTCACATGAGTCTGATTAAAGAGCTTACCCTATACATTAGTATCACCTTCACATTAGTTGAGGTATCGAAACATCAAGTCATTTTACATTTGAATGGTGGACGAAACTATCATCATATGTCATTTCCATGTGTTTTTCAACTGGCGTGTTTTATTGTAGCATGCTGTTCATTCCAGGTTGATTCCAACTTGGGTGTGCTGATTGTCTTGACAATCTTTAGACACCACGGTACCAAGTATCATGCCAGATGCCATGACATGGTTGGATTTGTTGTGTAGGAATAGGGGAACGGGGACGAAAATAGTCTGTCACCATCATCAAAACCTTCAATTAACATGACAGGATACACCCCTTTCTTTCCTTCCCATCGCCCAGCCCGGAAGGGTAGAGAAGAGACCATGGTTTAGTGAATTACCCAGTCCCTCATTGGATGAAGGAGAATGCCAACAAAGCTCGCTGCAAACATGATGTGCATTGGATCTATGTAATATTACGGGCATCGGCGTGTCTTCAAGGTAGCTTCGACTAGTGCTGTGCACGTTGAACCTGGTAGGCCATATACCTGAAACGGTCAATAGTTTGCTGCGGTAGGATATGTTGATTAACCAAACCCAAAATCCCTGGTAGGCAGGCAGACCTCCTGGCAGGCAAGAGTAGCAGGATATGGCATGGCGTGGCAGGGCATGGCATTACATGATATAGACTACTATGTAGAATGCACTCGCGGCTTGCAACCTGTCTCACGCGCTGCAGCGGGCGGGTAGAGCCGCGCGCCCACCTCAACCCAGGTGCCTACAGTACCTAAGCAAGCTAAGTTAAACATGTCACCTCAACTCTCATCTATCATCTTGATAAAAGTATGTGTGTCATGCAAGGCTCAGGATCAAGTTCGGGCTTGGGCTTGGACTTTGGCTGAGGCCTGTATCTGACATGCGGGCTCGATCCCATTGAAGTCCCTCTCAGCTCTCCAATCTCTCGCAGTTGCCCTCTGACCATCCTCTGACCCTTGCGCCTAGACCTAATATACATTGTCATGATACACGAATTGCCTGGACCAGTCGGTGCCATGTCAAATCACATAACACATCTCATGTATCCTTGCCACCCTCAACTTCATCACATCGATCCTTGTCCGAAAGGCCCGTTCCTCTCGCAACTCGGCTTCGAACATCCACCCGGTGAACGGCCCGTCTCGTCTCGCCGAGTTTGCCTCTACGTACAGGCCCAGCCCATTCCATGTTCATGTCATGTCATGTCATGTCACGGTCCTGGGCCGCCCAATTCCTCTTTCCTCCCCCTTCGTGAAGCCATTAGATTACCTAGCCCCTTCCTCCTTCTTGGCCCCCAAGCCTCAACCTTCAAACTCTTCATGGATTCGGAGAAAGCGAAACATAAAAGACTGATCGCTTGACGGCTCGACCAGGATCGTAGGAACTCGATACAACCCAAGACGAGGTGGAGGCGTTGACCAAAACTATCCTTTCCTTGCTCAAAACGAAAGCATTTGCCACCAATAATCCAGACCAGCATTTCAAGCACCACCTCCAATCATCTGTACGTGCATTACAGTATGCATAACATACCTGCAGCACCCCTCTCTGAAAGAATAGAGATGCTGTAATCTGCCGTATTGCACAGAGGTATCTGTACAGTGCATCAGTATTATAATCTTGGCTTGGTTGAGAGTTTGCATCACATGGGCATGGCGGGTAATAGCATCTTTGACTAGGAGCACTGTGAATCAAACCCATCTATCCTCACTGCAATTGTCGTCCCTTTTCGTTGACTGGGAGTGAATGAGAGTGACTGACATGCTGACATGGCCGCCCCAGCAGATGCATACACACAATCGAGATGCGGCCGTCTGCTTCATCAAGTTCTTGTCCTCTGAATTGATTATGTGCTTCTGTGAATATGCTGCTCAGATCAGGGGCTCTTCCTCAGGAACCCATCGTTGAGGGCCTTGGCCACCAAAGCCAGGAGATATGACATCCCGACTTTTCAGCCACCTCTGCCCATCGACCTCCATGTGTCCCTAGCAGATAGGTCATACCCTTTGGCTTGTCAGAGATCTTTCGTGCTCTGTTGAAACACATATTCGTACATTACGAATTAACACCACAGTCGCCCGGCCTGCATGCACGCGTACGTGCATGCATGAAGGCTTCCCGTACCGTACATTAGCTGGCAGGTGGATAGACATCATGTCCCCCAGCCCCTCCTACACCCCGCTGCTTGATGTGATGTGCGGGAAGGCTAACGGAGTGGGCAGCACATAGAAACGCGATATTGTCACTTCACGCAATGCAATTGAAGGCACCAGGCACGATGCAATGTTTTCCCGTTGTCGATATACAGAATCGCCCTGAATCGCTCCCAGGTGGCCCTGAGGCTGAGACCTTCCATCCAAGCCGTGGCACCTTTCCCACGTAGCCATGATCATGATGCGATCCTGCAAAATCTCGATGAGGACAGCCTGTGTCACGCAAGACTCTTTCAGTCTGCTTTTCACTGAGGCCCTTGTGGACCACCACTAGTAGATGCGGAGTACATGCTACTTACCCGTCAAGCTCCAACCAGCATGATGCTGACAGGGAACGATGCTATCATGGCTTGGCTTCCCTCGAGATCTGTTTGGTTATGGCCTGGTGGAGCTTGAAGTGAGCTGGCAGCCAAGTCGTGCCGTTATCATAACAAGGCCACCCTTGTTGACTGACGCCCAAGGTCACCACAAAGGGGGTCGCCTTAGAGTCCAGTACTGTACATCTCACACTGAAAGGTACAATTGGGTCAGAGAATAGCGGTGAGGGTAGCACTAGGCTCTAAAAAGCCACTATCGGGGCGCGAAAAACTGACGGCACTTCAAGGCTCTTTCAACATGATTTTGATACCATACACGATAGAGTCCACAGTCCTTGGAAAGACTGCGACCTACTGCTCCATCAAACATGATGGAGAACTCGCAGCATGAAATTTGGTGCGTATGCAAGCATAGGTCAGATCTCTCAACAGGGTCGGCTACAAGGCAGAGTTACAGGAGCGCACTAAGCGCTGCCAGATCGCATCTGGGGATTAAGAACGCAGCGGCAGTATGTGGACAAAGCCCCGAACTCCGGAGGCCGGGGTGAGCATCCATGCCCCTGGGCAAAACATCCCGGAGTCGTTCAAAGCCATCGCCGTACTCTGGTGACTGAAGGCAAGCTGGTCCTCACCATACCACAAACTTCAGATTTAGTTCACAATGCATTATTCCCTGGACCGTGGCAAGGAATTGGTTGCAGGTCTTGCACGATGTGCACTGTATCAAATTCGCACACGTCCAGAGACCTGACGGGAGACAACGACTGAGAAGATGCGGACACAGGATAGACAAGTAATCTGAAAGCTTCATCTGATGACCTCGGAGTCTATCGAGGTTGCGTCCTGGTCGTTGGGGTTGCTGGTGGCGGCGGTGGGTGGTGTGCCAGAGACGTGGTGAGCTATCATTGGATTGAGATATAGTGACTGGGCCAGAACGAAATGCCATCATAGCTTCCTAGTTGGCCGCAAGAGAAGCTTGACACTCGTCGTAGTATTGCAATTGCTATCTCAGTATTCAGTAGAATCACCGTTTGGAGACTGCATGGAACTGCAAGAGTTGGGTCTCAGGGAATTTCCTGCCTCCTCCAAGACCTTGAATGCTCCCGACATGTTTCTCGGCTGCAGGCCAGCCTGAAGAACTGAAAATCGCCAGAGTCTTCAACATGGCCAAACTCGGTGGGGCACTTTTGTCAGCACCCAACAAGCCCCAAGTTGCTCTTCCCACTGTGCCATCTGCATCTGACAGCACGATGAACGGGTAGACTAGAGTCAGGATCCCCCACCAACGACTGACTAACGGGCACCGGTGTGCCAGGTAGTGGACGCCCTAAGGCTCTAGAAGGTAAACGTGGCGGACTCAACTCACTGGTTAAGTCTTGGCGACCAGGCTCCCCCACGGCATCTTGGAGCAGTCCAGTCAATGGCCGCTTAGACTCAAAAGGCTCACACGCGGGCCTAAGGACGGCTGGTGGTTTTGAAACGCCCCAACAGGGGTCCATGTTTGTTCTTCCCGATGATGCTGCATTTTTAATTGGTCAGCTTTTACACATGCAGCTACATAGCCGCTGTGCAGAACATGCGAGTGCTCAAGCCAGCATGTCCACCATGCCATCCTTGTCGACCGGGAGCAAGGGCGGCTGCAGGGACTGAAGCTTCTGGGAGGCCAGGTTCAACGATATGTAAAGCAGACCAAGCCCTTCTTGGACATTGTGAGGATAAGGATGATGACGGGGAGCATCACCGACCATACCGCAATGACTTGCACCTAAGGCAAGGCGATTTCCGAGTTCCGGCAACCAGAATAACAATGAATTGTTTCGTATACAGACTGTTTGTTGAGCATGTGGTTTTCGAGCCGCATACGTTGATCAAGTTCTCGAGGCAGTAACTCTGGTCCCATCACGAGTTGGTTTGCAAGTCAAGCAACAAGTCACCAAGCCACAGCACTTGGATCATGGTACCAGAGAGTTAGACGACACTTCCAAAGAGTTGGCCGTTCATCTGCCTTCTTTTGACCATGCGTTATGCTCTTGATCGACCATATGCACCATGTGGGCATTTGAATGTAGCAAATGGCTCTTCGAAACCACGAAGAGCATACATAAGAATTGTTAATGTTGTGGAATAGTGTATGCTATCGAATGGATAACGATAGGAACCATGTAGTTGTAGCGATATGAACATGTGTGAAAGCATTGTGTTGGATATCGACTGAGTGCCTCAGAGATGGATCGTATGGCTAGTGCTGAGATTGGCTGATATGGATCCGAATCAAACCAACAACGCGGTACGTAGTTGACATTCATGTGTCGAAGCTTACATCAAGATCTGTTAGAATATCAATGCCTGAATGATTGATGACTAGTTGTGCGGATCTGGCCATAGTCCTCTCATGCGCTAAACTTGTTGCTTGCCTCGGGTCTAATTCTGGTGAAGTATTTCGAAGGAACGGGTGTATACCAGTGGATCAGATATAGGGAAATGGTACGATGAAGTTGGGAAAAAGCAAAACTGCATTCCCCATGTGCTGTCAGAGTAGCATCAGCGACAAATAACTTCACGGACATGCCCGGCAGGTAAACCACAACATATCCAGGGAAAAGCCCCAATCAGACTGTGCGGGGTTATTGATGCCTTTCGATTGATCACGGAATGGAATACGTGAGAGGTTGGGCTGACTGATCGAATGCCAGGTGTCGCAATATTGGGTTGCTGGATTGAGATTATTTCTGAACTATGGCCTGTCTCAACCCGTCCAACGCATGCTCATAACACTATGGTATGTGAGACAAGCATTCCGTCTCAAGAATAGATTGAGGTTGTCTTCTGAAGGACTCGGGCCATGCTGTGTGTGGCTGGACATGTGTCCTCCATTGAAACGTGCTGGGCAACGTGGGGTAAGCCAGTCGGGGGAAGCCAGCTGTCAAGGTCCCCAGTATGAAAATACGGCGGGCCAGTTGAATAGATCGACCAGTCGTCTGTTCAACTTTGCTGGATGGAGATGGAGGTAGCTGTTATGATTGACGTTCAGACCGAAAGCAAAGGCGACAACTCGCTCGAACATAGCAAAGACACACCAGAACGATGGTAGAAAGCTAGCGAATCAACAAATTGATATTCGGTGACCACAATTTCTCTGGCGTCTATGTAGAAAAAACGTTCTTGCTCCACATCCCTGCTAGCTCAAGCAACGGCTGGAAGCCAGCATGCAGAGTACATCCCCAACTTGGAGATTTTGTCTGTAGAGGGGTAGATTTCTTTGAGTGTCCTGTCTAATCATTGACTTTAGGCCAGGGCGTGAGGATTGTTCCCAAAATAAAGAGAGACAACAACCACATGTTTTGCCTCTTCCTCGTTTGATAGATGAGGCGGATTGGATTTGCGACTATAACGGTTGGCAATGGTTGGTGGTGGAGACTAGAAGCGGGAAGAGATCGAGGGTTCCATTCTTTTTGGGGTAAGGTTGGTGGAAGTATCGGTACTTTGCCCGGAAATGCCTGCCACAGTGCGCCGTTTGTTCCTTCCCGTTTGATGTGCTCGGATGTTGACGTCCCTCGGAACGAGACTCAAGTAAGGAAGGAAAGAAAGAAAGAAAGAAAGAAAGTGGAAGGAGAACCATTTGGGTATAAAGTTGCGAGTTTCGACAATTTGATTAGAGACCAAGACAGAATGATTGGTAGAGGTTGAGTTTTTATTTTATATATATATATATTTTTATAATTTGTTTTTACCTTCTTTCTTTCTTGCTTCTTGCCATGTTTTTTCTTTTCAAGTGCAGTTATTGAAGCGTGTGCTACTTGACTGAGAGGAAGTGGAAAAGAAAAAGCAATTTCAGGCAAAATATGCATGTGTCCCAGACTGACAGCTCAAGGGCAAGGTTCCTGTCAGATTGTACATCGGCCCGTGACCATAGGTCTCTTAATATTAAGTCCCTAATGTGAAACCAGCTGGCTCCAGACCCGAGTTTGCGTCTCATGTTCTGAACTGATCTCTGTTCTAAGCTGTTCTCGATATGCATCTCATAGTACCTGCATCAACCCTACATAAGCATTGTCCTAGTTATATATCTTGAGGCAACATGCCTAAGTTTAGTCCAATCCTAGGAGATAATCCCATAGCCCCTTAAGAAAGTTTCACTTCAGATCGGCCAGGATCGTGCGTATTGTATCGGGTTCCTCTCAATGGTTGCCACCGAGTCACTTGTTTGGCGCCAAACCCCAGCCTCGCCTGCTTGGTACGAATGGACCTTTGCAACAAGGAATAACCTGCGAGGTTGATCTCCCTCATGCCCATTGTCGTCTCTAGGGTCCGTCAGCACCCGTGTTAGCCTCTTACCCAGCCTCCTCTTTTCTCTCGGCTGCAGGAACCGATGATATCCCATCATGCTCTCGGCGGAAATCTTGCATGAGGCTGCAGTACGCTCACTACCCGTGTGTACATTAGGCGCCTCAGTGTGTAGTGCAACAGAAGAGTTATGCGCCGTTGCTTATAGCAGATTTCTAGAAATGTAACTCACGTTTTACATTATCTATGTCCGTTGTGTGTATGCTTTATCGCTCATCCCTGCCAATTGAACGTTCTCCACAGATGTGTTGAATTCCCGAAGTGTCAACCAACGAACAAAAAAGCGAGGTCTCATTTTGGCGAGACACCCACGTAAACACAGGCTACAGCCCTCATAATGGAAATTTACCTTGGGGCTGAAAAACCAGCGGAGGCTGGATTTCAGGGTGTCGTGATTGACTGGATGTAGATTTCGTTACACGCCTCAGTTATCCCTAATTGGAGAGATTGAGGAAAAATGCCGAACACCTGCGCCATTTGCCATATGAGGCAGGTAGTGATTCATTGTCAGACGCTTAAGCATGTGCGGCCGAGATACTTTTTAAACAACCAGATTTACGTGAATAATGTAGATGCAATGGGCACGAGGGGCATATGGCAGTGCCTTGGCCGAGGTTTTCGGAAACTTGTTTTAGTCAGTAACAAGATCTATCATGAGTGGGGAGCGAGGTTCATTCAGTCTTCGTATGGTTGGGTTGGTTGCTAGTCTTCTCCACGTATTCTCTAACGCGATCAAAATAACCTCCAAAGGGAAAAAAAAAAGACCGAAAGAGCCAAGACAAGGGATGACGTTCCTATGGTTCAGCCTCGTGGCATTATGTGAATCATATGCATCGAAGAATATCATACATCCACTTATGCACATCCTCCAGGACCAGCTTCTTTATGTATGCATCGATATGCACCTTGAGAGGGAGTGGCAGCCTGGCCCTGTCACACTGGCCCTGGTTGGGCGAGCTTGTTGTACATCTTGCATAAGGTCCCGGTCAACGGTGCGTAAGGACCATGTAGACACACATATTGTACAGTAGTGTCGGCTTGGTGGCAGCATAAGATCTACACCACAGACTCGCTAAGTTTGCATATCTCAAGGCTGTTCGTTTCTAGACCAGTTTTATCAGATATCTGGTTTTCATCTCCACGATCACGATTGTCGTGGTCGGAAAATCGCGCCGCTCCGAGGAAGAACCATGGAAAAAAACTTGTCTTCTCACTAGCAATAAGAGATCCCCGCCCACAAACGTACCACCCTGGTCAAAATGGTGTCAAACCCAGCTTCAACCGGTCAGACCTTTCATTGGTGCCTCGGTATGATGCGGTAGGTACTTTTGGGTACTGAACAATGGATTGTTGATAGTTTTAGAGTTTGCCAGCTGGATTAATACTCCGAGCGAGACCCTTGGCCTTTTGTGTTGACTTCCGAGATATTCGCTGGGCACAAAGGATGGTTCAAAGGCTTGAACAGAAGTGCCACTGCCTCTGTGCCGGGCTCGTGATAGTCATACGTAGGAATAGTTGACGTGGGAGGCTGCTAGGCAGTGGCATCGTATTCAAAAGCTTGATAAGTGCAAAGAGTTGGAGCGAAGAAAGCAAACATCAACATCTCGACTGAGAGAGAGGGCAGGATGTACAAACTACTGAAAAAGTCACATGTCTTGGGAAACCGGGTGGCTGAGCCGGCGCCCAAGTTTTGGTGATTGAGTGGAAATTAGGAGAAAGACCATCGAAACTTTGTATCAAGCTGAAGCAGCCGGTCAATTGTTAAAGGCTCAACAAAAGGCGGGAAATTCTGGGCCTAGAGAGAGCTTGTACTTTGTCTGAGCGTCAGTATCCTCACGGCAGGTTACCTTGCCGCCGAGTCCTTCTCAAGGGAGAGAGAGGTAACAGTAGCAGAGATAAACTGATCTCAAGTGAGACATAATACCTGGCAAGTGGCTCGTCGAGACCGCCACAGCGTAACTCACAGACCCGAGGACATTCGGCCATGGGTCAGGAACCGTAGAGAGAAGCTCTTATAAATGAGAGACCCCGCTGGTAATCCGGCACTGTGCTCGACTGGGCCCTCGGGCCCTTCGTCGTTTTCTTGTGTGTAAGACATCCATCATTGGTGGGCCATGAAGCTCAGCCACGAGGACGATGACTTGATGGACATGATTCCCATTCAGCTATGCAGAACAGAGAGGACAGAAACTCCACATCTGCCTTATCAACGAATCAAATTCAATAAGCGCCAGCAGCGGATGCTTGTTCCAACATCCTAGTCAAAGAGGGGAAATCCGGGCAGCTCGGAGAGCGGCGGCGACCCATGCGATTATGGCAACATGGGCCATGAGCGTTGCTGAGCTTGCCGGGCCATTGACGGACCTCCGCACGAACGGGCGTGGGCTCGGGCTTGAGCAACTGTGTATGTATGTAGAGAGACCGGGATGCTGATGTGGCCATATTTCGCTCAGTCCCGTCATTAACGAACTCCGCTCGCTCAGTCAAGGTTGGGAGGAGGTTGGCAGAACAAGAGCATTGACAACTGTAGACCAATTATCTCGGGCCGGAACCAAAGCCATCGAGCCTCTAACAGAAACTTGACTTGGTGAGCTTCTGTTCAAGACCTCTCCCTTCATCATCGGTGGCTGTTCCTGCGCAAGCGAATCCCATAGTCAGAACTTAGTGAGAGTACACAGCCTTTCCGCTCCTAGTCTGCATGATGCCCCCATTGTTGAATTCTCGGCACCATGGAAAGGCCTTTGGCCGCGTTTGGTTTCTCAACTTATCTCAATACGAGTTGTTGGTAGTTGCACAGAAATAATGGTGCACAGGCTGTCCCGGCACTTGACGCAATACAGGGAGCCCAAAGTAACGGTCCCGTAGTGGTTTGGCGCACCGTTGAGAACTACGATTAAGTAATCACCTTCAGATCGATCATTTGGGGGTAAGAAAGCAGAAAGATCAGAAGCGCCGAGAATCTGGAAGCGCAAACTCTGATGCCATTATCCTCTCCCTTCCTTTGGTCTAAGTCTCTTCTAGTTGGTGTTCGAAGTCTCTGATTGGATGAACCTCGTTGAAGAGCTCTGGAAACTCAATCGCAATACAGGTCGTACTTCACATGGGTTGAGCAAAGTCCTCGGGTAGTTTGCACGGTGCTGTGCCGCAACTAAGAGCTAGAAGGAAGGAGAGCGCGAAAGAAGTCAACCAAGAGTTGAAAGCCGACGAATGGCGTTAAAGCGACAAGAGCACACAATAACAAAGACAACACGACAGCGCAACACACTGCTAGCACATAACACGACACTGACACGACACGGCCACAGGAAAGCAATAACACAACCAGATAGACAAATGAGAAAAGCCCAGCCCACAACAAACTGACGCGACACAAAGGCAACCTGAACTGTAGCGCAGCCGTGGACGACATCAGATAGACTCACAGCCTTTTTTGGATGCTTTGATAACGATAACCATCGTTTATAGCCTGAAGAATTGCTGATGAGACAAGGGGGAATTGACATGAATGATTCCTAATAATATCCGTAAGCCTGTCGGAAATATCCAGAGAATGCTTGCAGTCAAAGAACCTGGCCAGTATTACCTCAATTGTGTATACAGGCGAAGCATCTAACCAGGGATTGATGTGATTGAGTGGGAAATGGACGACACCAAGGTCCCGGAGGAGAGAAAAAACCAATCAAATTGACCCTTGTAATGTGATCTACGTAGTCAATCTCACTGTTTATGAACGACTTATGATCGAGGTGACTTGGGTTGTAGGTGAATTGGCAAGTTGAACCCAGGTATCTGAGGCGCAACTTCAGAGATGTTCATGATCAGTGCATCGCCCAATGGCGAATTTGAGTATGGCATCCAATGTTATGACTTACTTTCTGTCCGTCTCAAAGTTGTATCTTGAATCGACGCTGCGTGCGGGCTTTTCCTGTCGCATCAAGCGGGTGCTGAGGTGCACTGTGGGTGCACAGTAACTGCTGGCGCGAGTAAGCGGAGTTTGAGCTGCCAGGGGTTAATGACACCAAGCATCGCTCCCGTCTGTTCCCCCCCGGGATCCTTCATCCTTGCACGCTGTGGCCTGGGTAGCCCTGCCGGCCCCGTGGCCTCCTGTAGCCACTGGGATTCTGGGTGACCGATCACTCTGCCCAGGGAGAGACCCCAGTACTGGTTGCAGTCGCGATACCTCAGTCGGCAACTGTACGAACAGCCGCTCAGAGAAAACCCCCATGATCAACTCTCTCCTCCGCCCAACGCACTTTGAGGTGGCCTGGTGCTACGCTGTTCTGGCTACACCCCAATGAATTTCCTCTGCCCCTGTAGCCGCACCCCTCGCACCACCCACCAAAATTGCTGGGAGCGCTCTTTAGCTTTTAACAACGCCCTACAGAGAGTCCTTCCTCCACCGAGTTTGTGTGCAGGTTGCGAGCTGGATGGTCCCCTGGTTCTGTTGTGCGTTGACAGGAGAGTGCCCAGTGCGCATACGACAAGCAGAGGGACTGTCTGTATATCTCTCTGAGCACTTCTAAACCATGAGATGAAGGAGACGGAATACTTAAAGAATAACACCATGCAACTAGGCCATGTCTGGCTGTGTGCTCATAGAAAGACGAGATATCAAAAGCCTTCAATCCTGAGGACAGCAGGTACCCAGGCACTGAGTCTCAGCTTGAACCCAAGCATAACACAGTAGGTATCGTACCGTGCATGGTCAGGCCAAAGATAGTCTAGTCTATTTCATGATCCACGCCAGCACACACCTGGAAGAATCAAGGGCGATGTCGGCTTGTACGGTGAGAAGGGTTTTCAAGTTCATTCTTCAGATAATTCATTGTTGACCATTTTGGATACCGGGATTTCGGAAGTCAAAAGAAGATAGACACGTTACACATGAACAATTGCGAAGGCTATCAGCCTTAGAAATTAGGCGTGTTTTTTCTTTATCGCTTTGGACCTTATCAACCTTGACAATTTTGTGCCATGCACACAAATCGTGAAGTTCAAGGTACGAGCAGAGCATGCAAGCGGTCCACTGCACTCCAAATAGACTCATATTGGGTGCGTGTGCATACATACTGCATGGTCGTTCTTTTTAGTGCCGCAGACCGTTGAGCATGATTTCGTCAAATGAACAATACAATTCAGGCCTTTCAAAGCTTTTGCATAAGAAATAGTCATTCCTTGACTTTGGAATACCCTTTATCATTCTCCGCATCTCGTCTGCTCATAGGAAATGGTTTTCTTGGACTTCGTATGGATGGTGGTCTTCTCCTGCCTCTCGCTTACTCTTGAACCAGACTAACTAAACTAAGGATTAACCCCTCTTTGCCCTTGATAGGATTGGATCTGTGGTGGATATCTGCCACACCCTTCCCTTCCCTTCTCATCCAAGGATGAATTCTGATTCTGTTTCTTATGCTCCACACTCCCTCACACTCCTCACCAAAGTGCACTCCCCCATCGCCTGTCTGCCCCCCCGTCCCGACCTGCCTGCCTGAGGGGCGGGTATTGCTCAAGGCCCTGAGGGTACTGAGGGTACCTCTACCACGGCCATTGATCAAGCAAGTTGAGGTACGTACCTCACCTGCCTCCTCTGTTCCATCTCTTCATTCTGCCTCTCACCACCAAGATCCTGACCTTCTCGGGATTTTTTCCTTTTCCTTTTCTCTTTCTATTTCTTTTCTCTCTCTCTTTCTTTCTTTGCCGGTCTCTTTCCCTTTTGCCGTCCACCACCTCTTCCTTCGAGTTTGCAGTCATCCTTTCTCGACTGCTTCCTCTTCGCAATTGTGCTGCCATATTAACGTTACGCCAGCCCTACCTCTCTATCTCTAACAGAGTGCTCAACCGCCGTATCTCGACCGTTGAGACCAGCCGCACCCCATCATCCCCCATTGAAAACAACAACAACACCTCCGCGATGAACCAAGGCCATCCCCAGCCAGACATGTATTATTCACCTCATTACTCGACACCACAGTACGGCTATGGTTATTCTACAAATGGTGCTCCAACTACCGCGGTCTCCACTCCTATGCCCGCGCCCCAGAATGTACTGCCAGTACCTTCAGCGCTCAGCAACCAAGGAGCAATGCAGCAGCCAGGTTACAGTAACAGTAGTAATAATGGCGCTTTCGACACAACTGGCCAGCATAACCCCCCCGGTATGAAGCCCAGAGTCACGGCTACCCTGTGGGAAGACGAAGGCAGCCTCTGCTTCCAGGTGGAAGCTAGAGGCATATGTGTAGCACGGAGAGAAGGTCAGAATTGATGCCCCTAAGCGCCCTATACAGCAGCTGACTTCAAGTACAGATAACCACATGATTAACGGCACGAAACTATTAAATGTCGCTGGCATGACTCGAGGTCGAAGGGACGGCATCTTGAAAAGCGAAAAGGTTCGCCACGTCGTCAAGATTGGTCCCATGCACTTAAAAGGTGTCTGGTATGTATCCCCATGTGGTTGGATCTGTAGACACATTGCTGGATGTTTAACTGACGATGGCTCAGGATTCCTTACGACCGTGCACTAGACTTTGCGAACAAGGAGAAGATCACAGAGCTCCTTTTCCCCTTGTTTGTCCACAACATAGGGGCACTCCTTTATCATCCGTCGAACTCGAACCGGACCAGTCAGGTCATGGCAGCTGCCGAGCGCCGCAAGCACGAAGGACTCGGTGGTCAGAGACCCGCTGCTCCCAATGCTTTGCCCTCAATTGGACAGCACCACCCCATGATGCCTGGTTTGCCAACCGGGGGATACGTTCCTCAGTCCCTTGCAAATGGTCCTCAGTCTCTTGCAAGCACTCCCCAGCCTCTCACAAATGGTTCCCAGCCTCCCATGCCAAATGGAGGTGGTATGCTCAAACGAGGACGAGAAGAAGAAGAAGATCTGCACCGACCAGTCTCTAATGGACATGATCCTATGAGTAACATGCATGCAATGTCTAATGGATACCCTCAACAGCCTCCCCTTGCGAATGTACATCAGCCTCCTATGCAGAATGGAGGAGATATGCTCAAGCGGGGCAGAGACGAAGATGATGAGGTTCATAGGTCAGCGCATACTGCACACGACACCATGAACAACATGCCTGGTAGCATGCCTGGTCTGTCGAATGCATATGCTCAGCCTCTACCGAATGTTCATCATCAGCCTCTTGCTAATGGAGACGGAGGTATGCTCAAGCGAGGTCGAGATGAGGATGATGATGTTCACCGATCAAGTCCCAATGGACATGATTCGGCAGGCAACTTCGAAGTAAAGCGGCGTAAAACCATAACATCGAATGACAGCATGGTTTCTCCTGGCGGATTTTACACCCTGCACAATGGGTATGGTCAGCCCGGTGTCATGAATGGCATGAGTCCATACAAACGACGAGATGATGAGGCGGAGACGCCACGACCTGGCCCAAATGTACATGATCACTTGAACAACTTCGACCTGAAGCGACACAAGACCATGGAGACGAGTGTCCCTGCTCCCCAGTATGACGCCATGAACCGCCCTCATTCTAGCATCGGCACCTCTCCTACCTATGCCCCTGCTCCTGTTTATGACAACTTGGCTCGACCTGCATCCACTGTTGCTGCGTCTCCTTCGTATCCTTCTGCCCCGGTGTACGATACTGGCGCTCGACCTCCCTCTGCCATTAGCGCTCCTCGAAGACAACAATCTTTCGGTTAGTTTTCAGGGCCGATAGATGACCCCTGGTGTTTTGTTGTCGACGTTTTGCAAGGAACAGTGGCATCTCCCCTGTGCACTCATTCAACAGTGCAAGCGAAAATTATGATACGTCCTATCTCCGACAATCAGGGACATGATAACACATTCGTTCAATTTCCTTTTTTTTTCTTTTAAAAAGAACTTTTTTCCTTTTTTGTTAGGCACTGGAGTGTCCCTCATCGGAAAGCCCTTGATTCCAAAGATGATGCCGACGAGTTCACGACACGACTTCCGATTTTTTGTTGATCTAGCATGCTCTGTCACGGATATACAATGACTAATGAGTCACGGTCTGCATGGAGGCTTAATTTCTGGAAAGAGTCACTGCAGCAAGGTTTTTCCTTCGATGATTTACTCCGAAATGCGATATGATCGCATACTATGGGACAGTACTGCCTGTAATGAGCCCAGGCGGGAATGATGAGTTTGGAGGGGGGACCCTTGTTTACTGAGCTGTCTTGGCAAGCCCAAAATGTTGGAAAGTCAAGACGCCGAAGGGAAACCCTGGGAAAGGCTCTGAATTACGAATTACGATCTTACATTTCTCATTTCTTCACTTCTTTTCTTATGTGCTCGCGTTTCACTGTGGCCCAGAAAACGCGGGCACAGACGATGTGTGTGGTTTTTTTTGGAAGTGTTGCTTTATTAGGTAACGAATTATGAGGGAACAATAAAAGCTGTTTTTTTTTTCTCGAGAATAGATACAATTAGAGAGTTGGATCATATGCGCCAAGATTCCTGTGTAAATGTGTCACGGCGATGAGTGATATAAAGTGAATGTGAGAACAAGTGTTTGAAGCACGTACGTGGGTAGAGAGGTGCCTAAGTTCCAAGTCAGTCTGGTAATAACTTTGTGAGATGAAAGGAATATTTGCATGTCATAACGCAACCAAGCAACGGTAGGTGAAATGAATGTCATGCCGTCTTGCCTGTAACTACTTACCTTGGTATTTACCTTAGAAACCATTTACAAGGTAGTTGAAAGATGATTATGATTACCACGTGAGAGATCCACTGTTGGTTGTTGTCGGGTCAACTACCTAAAGTCAACATATTGGGTGTTAGCAGGTGACCGTTGAACTTGACTTTCTAAACAAGCAACACTGCTCAAAAGTGGCTTGAACCAGACTATCAAGTCAACGATATCCTCTGCCGACTGGAACTGTGACTACACATTGACTGTTTGATTATATCATTTCGTTGATTCAGCGTGCATCACAATGGAAACACCACTGTCGCCCACCCAAGATTCAAATCTCAATATCCAGACACCAGCTACTGCTCAGCGGTACGACTCCCACGAGGTACGAACAGTCTCCACGTCCTCAGAATCACAGAGCCAACCCTCTCAGGGATCATCTCCTTTCGTGTCTGCCCTCAACGATACTGCACTTTCCGATCAGGAGAACCATTCTCCCTCAAAATCACGACACTCCCGAGTCCTCTCTGGCGCGACCCTTTCACCGCTGAAGATCCTCACCGACCAGCGAGAGGTGAGAGACGGAAGGCCAACAGATAGACTGGGCCCCAACGCTCGTAGCCCTAGAAAGGTGTCTCCTGAGAAGCGTTTTCCTGTTAAGATCAGCAACCCTCTCGACACAACCCGCGCTGCCTCCCAAGAGAGCACGATGAGTCTAGAGGATGCAGTGCGACAAAACGAAGGCCTCAAGCGCGCAATTGAGATCTTTGAAGATGAGCAGAGCGTCCTGGAAGACGGCCTGGACGACATGGACGTCACTACTGGCACCATCAACGTTAACCCTTCTGGAGAAATGGAGGTCGACGATTCCGTATGCCCTGACGATACAGCGATCAGTACCTTCAGTACCTTCTCGGCTGTGCCCAACCTAACCATGTTTGCCAAACTCGGCCAAAGTCCCACTAAACTGTCCGATATGGGTAGTCTCACGCCTCGGGCAAACACACGAGCTGATCCCTCCCCATCACGAACGTCACGAGCCAGACCGAGACACGACTCAGGGAACACAACGAATCTTCTGGACTTTACAGAGCAGCTGCGTTTTCCTCAGAGATCACCCCAAAAGTCACCGGCCAAGGGCGGGCTTTCTCCATCTCGCACAGCACCTGATGTAACTGCGACGCCTTCTCGTGGCGGATTTGCCAACCTCATCGACTTCGATATCCCCCCTATGCCTACACCTCGAAGCGTTCCCAGCATCACCGCGAGAGAACTCGAGTCTCTCAAATCAAACTTTCTGTCAGAGATCAGCTCACTCAAAGCTTCATTGAGTGGTAAGGAAGCCGAAGTGCAATCGCTCAAGGCCGCAGTTGGTGATGCAGAGAAGCGAGTGGGTGAGTCCCAGGAGCAGCTCCGCGAGGAACGCTCTATCAAAGAGCAACTTGCTGCTGAGAAAGAGGGTTGGGAGAACCGAGGTCGTGAGATGGAACATGTCTTACGGAAGGCCAAGGAAGAAATTGTGGAGAGCCAAAGAGAACAGGAAGAGCTCGAACAGAAGTTGGAAGAGAGTGAGAAGCGACGTGAGGCAGCCGAGATGTTGCACCAGGAGGCGGAGAGTAAGATGGCGGGTATGCGTGCCGGGAAAGACACCGAAAAGTCGTCGCCCGAAAAGCCCAAGAGCCCAAACGACACCAATCACGAAGTTGAGATTGCAGTCGAGCGGGTGGCTCGTGAGCTTCATGCTCTTTATAAGAGCAAGCACGAATCTAAGGTCACTGCCCTGAAGAAGTCATACGAGACTCGGTGGGAGAAGCGTGTCCATGAGCTTGAAAGCAGGATTAGAGAACTTGTCGAGGAGAACGAACGTCTGCGCGTCTGCCGAAATACAACAATGACCAGAGTCGAGCCCGACAGCATTGAGGCCGATGAGCGCAAGGCCCAAGCAGTCCGAGACAGCGCAGCAATCAAGGAGTTGAACGCCGATATCCAACGACTTGAGGCAGTTGTCCATACAGTACAGCTCGACAACGAGTCACTGCGCAGTATGCTGGAGAAGGAGCGCGTAGAGAAGGGAGAGCTTGTGCAACTTGCCGAGGAGATGATGAGCATGCAGAGCTTTGTTGCGCAGACACCAAAGCCTCAGCCCCAGCAACAACCTCAACAGCCTCCGTCTGCGTCTCGTTACCCTCATGAGAGACAACATGACCGAGAGCCTGAGACTAAGACGCCAAAACGAAGTGCAGATCACTTTAGAAGCAGTGTTAGTCGTGCTTCGGGACTACGCGCGCCAGGTTCAGGACTCCGAGCACCTCACGAGCGAACAAAGAGCGCAGGTGGTTTGCCTCGTCCAGGCGGTATGGCCCGTAGCGGCATTATGAACTCCATTGAGAAGATGGGCAATTACCGAGGACGTGGAGCAGAGTAGTATTGGACGGGGAGAAACACAATGAGCCTCAAAAGGGCAGATGAACGCGAAAACTAATGACACATAAAACTGTATGACTAGAGCTTGTTTTTCTGCGTGGCATATGCTCGGAGAAGGCCGTGAGCTCACTCTAGAGCCCTGGCATGACATTGTTTATTGACGTTTTCTACGACTGATGGTCATGGGCGCCCGGAGTTGCATTTTACAATGGATGTTAGTTGTAGATTGGAGTTTCTCGAACATAGTTGAATTTCTTTTTCTTCCTGAGATATGGAGCTTCTATCAAAAGGCCAGATATAAAATCGTCTCTGAGGTGAATCACGAGATCCGTTCACATCAAGGGTTATGATTATTTTGCTATGGGAATTTCCGTTTATTTACACTCATGTATCTCATTAAGGAAGCTTTCTTTAGGCTTTTGTATATATAGTATTTGCCCTGATAATGCCGTTCCTCGGCTCAGAGGTCATAAGCCTTCTTGGCCGTACCGCCAAAGATCATTGCGCGCTCTTCATCACTCAGCGTAGCCATCCAACACATGCGTTCAACGATGCTGCGCCATCTAGGCCAGGCATTGTCGGTGTTGACAGTGCAGACAGGCCAGTCGCTCCCAAACATGATACGGCTGGGGCCAAAGGTGGCGAGGACAATACCGAGCCAACCGAGGGTAGCCTCGAAGATATGGTTGGGGTCCTGGTTTCGTAGGGAGTCAGGCATCTCGGAGAAGCCACCGGAGAGCTTCATATAGACGTGAGAGTCTTTGCTGAGGGTGTAGACGGCAGTGCGCCAGGCGTGGAAGCTGGGGTCTGACGTAAGGTTATAGATGCTGAAGTCGGGTTTGCAGAGGTGGTCTAAGGAGACACTGTTAGAATGAAGTAGGGGAAGGAGAAGAGCGGCACGAACTTAACACCAGTGTGACCTTCTCCTCCTCGGGAACACCATCGTGAACACGGTCAACAAACTCGATCACCTCATCGAGCTGCTTCTTTCCACGTCGATGCTGATCAATGCCAACATCGAAGGTGAATCCTCGTCGGCCAAGAAGCTTGACGCCCTCGATGAATTTATCGTCCAGCATGGTGCCATGAGGCTTGTCCTGCAGCAAGTAGCGAAACCCCTTGATCTTAGGCCAAGCATCGCCGGCCTCCTCTTTCACTCGGTCAAGATAGCGCTCTAGAACCTCAGGACCGCTTGGCAGCGGCGCCCAAGGCACAATACCAAGGCACAACTTTGCGTCCTCGGAGCTGTGGCCCTCTCCTTCGCGCGGTTGGCCAAGCGCAACACGCTTGAGCCATGAGACCTCAGCCAAAGGCTGCTCCCAGCCAGAGCCATCGGATGCGCCAGATTCAACATCATTCTTGCGGTCTGTCTCGACAAAGACGAAGCCTAGGAGAGACGGTGCCGAAGAGGTAGCTTCGCGGTATTCTTCCAGGGAACGTTGGCCGGCAAGAGGGCCATCGGGGGTGTACCAAGCGAGGGAGTCGGTTTCGGACGCTGGGTAGAGGTGAATGTGGGAGTCGATGATGGGGAGTATGATTTGCTCGTCGGACATATTTGCAGTTGGGTGATGCTACACTTGAGATCGGGTCGGTGTTAAGTGAAGCTCGACGAATGAACGAAGGAGTGGAGCGTGGTTGAGGAAGAAATTGACACGCACTCAATTGAATTTGAGACTAATCACTGGTGACCTCAGGCCTCGTCTTACATAGACCAGAGATATCAATGCAGTGTTATGTGTAGAAAAGACGTTACAAGTACGGTGAAGATGAGTTTGTGATACTACAGCTGGGCAATACATGAATGTCCAATAGATGATAGGGAGTTACCCCGCCATAAGATTGGATCCCCGCCTCCTGAAGGCCCTACCTTAGTACCTAAGTACCTAGTAGAAGTGGAATATGATGGGGAGTAACATTGAACCGAAAGACCGAAATCGATTGCTATGCATCATCACGTTGCTCTATTGCTCGAGGCCTCGTATCTCGTTTCATGAATAGATTCAATCGTCATCTATCCTAGACAGCTAAGCTATTTCATTCATTAAATCGTTGCTCATGACTGTCCTTCATCATCCACCTCATACTTCGTAATGGCTAGTCTAGACCTTCATCAATCGCCAGGCCCTGAACCACATCCAGATATTGTCTGCAGGAGACGGGATCCCATCATCAGGACAGATGGGATTCTCATGCGTTGACATTGTTTGCTTCTGGGGCAGCCTCTTTCGAGAACTCCCAGCTCACTCAAGAACCAACAGAGTGAGGAAGAAAAATTACGTCTGCGCAGCCACGAGAGGACTGCGCCGAACGGCCGCAGCATCGACCTAGCTGACGATCAACGCATCGGCGCGGTGGAACGTACGAGACCAGCTCGGCGTACCATCCACGTCTTATAGCGTGACGCAGGTCGGAACAGAAAAATGATTGCTGATATTACCACAACAACATAGGTCGAGTCATCCCGGCGCTAGTGTGCTGCCAGGGGATGCCCGATTTAAAGAATGAACGGCTAGAGGTTCTCTCAACCTGTTGCCACAGAGCCCTCCACACACTGGCGCGTTTATGCGACCACGCCGTGGCGGCGAGAGCTGGTGCGCGAGACGGAGGCTTCATACTCATATTCGTCTTCACTGCCACTAGAGCAGATGGAATCACTATCATCATCGTAGCCACAGCGGGATCCGCCGCAGTCGAGCTTGACACGCTCGCCCTTGCGAGTAATACCATAGCGCTCGCAAGTGCAAGAGCTGACGTCGGATCCGGGAGTGCTGTAGCCAGAGAGGGACGAGTTGGGTGAGGAGCTGTCGGAGCGGTAGGACAGAGAAGAACCACTGGAGGAGATTGGCGATGTGCTGAAGTCAGTGATGAACTCGTCCTCGATGTTGGCGCTGCCGAAGCGGTCGGCAAGCTCCTCAAGTTCCTCGTTGTCGTAGTAGGAAGCATCCAAGATGTGCTTAGTCGCATGGGGAGACATGGGCTTGGGGGCCTGGATCTGGGAGATTGACAGGGGGCGACCCTTGGGGATGTCAACTGAGAGCTTAGAGCTGTGGCGTGAGGATCGCGAAGATCGCGACTCCTTGTCCTTGGAGGAGTGAGAAGAGCTCTTGCTGCTAGAGGAAGACTTGTGCGACGATGACTTGGATGAGGACTTGGAGGAAGAAGATGACTTGGAGGAAGACTTGGAAGATGAAGAGCGGTGGGACGAAGACTTGTGAGAGTCGGTGGGAACGTCAAGAACGTTCAGCTCACGGCCAGTGGTGGGCTCGATGGTTGAGGTGACGCTGGGGTTGTGGGCAACATGGTAACCATCGATGATATAGTAGTACCAGTATCGTTGGCCAGCCTCAAGAGTTGAGTTCTGGAATCGAAAGGTGCCCTTCCAGGAGCCAGACTTGGAGGAGGACTTGTCCTTGGAGAGAGGGAGCTGACCGACGTAACCGTCCCAAGAGCCGAGAAGATGGACAGTCTTAACGCCAGAGGAGACGCGGAGAGAGAAAGAAAGTTGAACAGCCGACATTTTGCTTTTATTTGATTCAATTATGCGTTTGAGTTGTTTGGTGAGTCGATGATGCGAACAATGAAAGTTTGATCAATGCAATATTGTTTGATAGTTGGCGCGAGCAAGTGAAATCCGTGACTTCTGTAATTAGATGATTATAACAGGCGGGACGAGCAAAAAAAAAAAACAGGATAATCGTTAAAGGTTGATGTCTCTAAGCTGGCCAGCAACTTATTGAGTAAGCTTTGGAGTTGATGGATATCTTTGATTAGAGACAACGAAAATTAGAATGATAGTAGTAGAGACCGGCTCCACGGTGAACAAACGAAAACACAAAGGGGGAAGGGTAAGAGACCCAAGAACAAAAACAGGATTTGCGATTGAATAGGACTTGCTGAAGAAGAAGAGAGAAAAAAAGAAGAGAGGCTTTGGGGGCGGGTGTTGGTCCTGTTTATAAGGAACGGCCGTGTACAGCGGCCACAGCCATTTTGCATGGATCCAATATCCATCATCATGTGGATGGATAATTGTGATGGACCCAATGTCAATAACATCTGTTGCCGTGTGAGTTACGAATTACACACACACATACACACACGCACACGCACACGCACAAATTTACAAGAAACAAGGACTCTTCAATTGCAGAGACAACCAATCACGGACAGCAGACAAGGAAATGCCGAGTTCATGTCATCTACTATCACTCGACCCATCACAATTGAACGGTTCCCTCTTCCCTCCCGGGACAAGCGTGGGCGGTTAAGCAAGTGTGGATCAAGTAAGTGCGTGCATCAATAGTGGAGCCCAACCCATGCTAAATGCTGCGATATTTAGAAGCAGCCCCAGAAGGCAGACAGCCCGTCCAGAGCGGGGAGAAACACTGCGCCAATCAGAAGCCCTTTACCGCTAAACAGGCCCAAAGAGCGACCCCCGCAGAGCGTCTATTCCAACGTCGTCATTGGCCTTGTGGCACCGCTAGATTCAACCTCTCGTCACGCTGCAGCCCAGCCAATTACCAACAGTCGTCAACCACATCTCACATCAACCGCTTGCATTTCAGCCATGCAAGGACGCAACATCAGTGTCATTTCTTGTATGGTCTTGACACCAGATTTGTCGGCTCTCGTGGTCTCAGCAGCACATTGAAATCTATGGATCATGCAAGGCCTGAGCTCATCGCACATCGCATCGCCTTGCCTCGCATCTGCCGGAATGTTCTGCCTTTGACTTGCACTGCACCGCTTGACACCTCTGGCCGTTATTGGGCCGCTCTCTAGTCGGGCGAACTGTAGTGCAACCCTCGAGTTCATGCGGCCGGCTTGAAGAATTGGACGAGTCAGGAATTGACTCACTAGATGGATTGCTCTCAGAATCACGGCGGAACTTTATGCTCCGCTGTTGTCGTATTGGCGGTAGTATGTACGCCATATCACGCTTCAGATGCAAGTCGACAATGGTAGTGTGGATTTGCCGCGTCTGCGCTACGCTTACAGAGTACATGGCCCAGAAGAGAGACATGCGAATTGGCGGTGGCCTTCCCCTACAAGGTACATACAGTACATATCGAGGCCTCGTCTATCTGTATCCCCGTATCCAGCCACCTCTGCTCACATCCCCGAAGGGCTCCTCATTCCTATGCAGACAGAAATCTCTGATAACAAGCCACGGCCATCATTGAGGTATATGACCTTGACTCACAGACAAAATAAAATGTGCCAAGCCAGATGCCCATGCGATAAGCATAATGGGTCTAAGCCTGCTTTCTCCATCTCGCCCTCTACGGCCCGTCCGCGTGTGCCCGATGCCTTCTACCTTCCCGGGTCTAGCATCGGTAGCATCGGTCCTCTCATATCCATATCTATGCATGCTATGCCTTTTAGCTTCGGCGGGTATGTGAGGTCCGTCACACTTACACGAAGTCACCCACCACCGCTCTATTTACCAGGCTAGGGGACCAGCAGAAAACTAAGGGCTGAAGTCCTAAATGACAAAAACGCTCAGACTGTATTAATATAATTCATTGTAAAGTTAGCAGGCACTTTGACCAGTTTATTTTTCTACCCTGATATAATTACCAAGGTACTTAGGTAAGTCTTCTGACACCGCGAGAGGCCAGGGCAACCAAGCCGTTCCCTGTGATGGCTGCCTGTTGAAGGAGGGGGACTCCATGATACAGATGAAGGTTCCCCGTTGCGGAACCTCGGTAAGAGCGTGACCTTTACTCTGCTTGATCGAATGGGTGATCGGTATGTCGAGCAGTCTGGGCTTTTGTCGTTCTAATTGATACTGTATCGACAGTATAGCACACGACTCTCCTACAGAGCGTGCCAATCACTTGACAAAAGGTTACACTCAGATGGTCTTGCATGGCACGAACTTTCTCTCAGATGACAATTTTTCGCTCGTATCGACATGTTTTTGTCTTGAGGTGCATGAAGAATAATACCCACCATCGATACGCTGCATGGCATAGACCCAGTGTATCTAGCATAATCATAGCAGCCAACAATTGACGAGTAATGATAGAATTTGACAGCATAACTGGAATGTCTATTATTAGACATTTGAATCATGTTTCAGCTCAGTCAATGCCTATACTGTGGGACAAGTTGATAATCATGCACTCATATACAACTGTACCCTGACTAGGTACATAAAAGATAGGTAGGCGGGCAAGCGGTGAAATGTGGACAAAGGGCTTCAACTCCAGGCAAAAACTTTGTGTTCCCATTGAATCATATTTCTCAAAAGAAATAGAAGAATGAATGTAGATACTAGCAATCATCAGAGAATCACGAGATTTGTTCAAGACCTCTGTCGAATGTTTTGTCTGACAGAAATGAAACACAGATGACTTCATTGATGAGGTATATCACAGAACTTCTCAATGCAATACTGAGTCCAAATTGGAAATCCAGTGGCCTGTCACGTGGAGACCCGTTTTGTTTCCAGATCATCCTTCATTTAACGCGTCGGGCCATCGCGTCTCACATTCTCTGGACAAGCGTCACATACTCGACCTCAGGCGTCTGTTTGAACTTCGCTCCTAAAGATTGCATTATATGGTCCTTGCAGTGGATACTCAAATCAGAGTGCTGGTTACAAAGGCTGGTAGGAGTTCCATATCGTGTCTAGGGTCAGTTTTCATGGCATAGAATTTTAGTGTCTTCATTTCGATCCTCTACCGTTACGTGCTTCAGTCATCCTCAGGACAATCTCGGGTCGCAGACTTCACACAATGACTATCGAAGACTTGTCAGTTGATGACGCCCTTGTTGGCAAAGTGACAAACTACGTTGAGGAATATATGTCCAATTATGACGCATCGCACGACTTCAACCACATCAAGCGTGTCCTCCGTCTCTCGCAGCATATCCAGTCTCATACCCCTTCAACACGCCAAGATTTGGTCACGCTGGCCGCACTGCTCCACGACGTTGGCGACAAGAAGTACCTCCGCCCTGGCGAGGACCCTTCTCGCATGGTAGCATCCGTGCTCATGTCCTTCGGTGCACCGCAGACCCTTGCCGACACCGTCCAGGCCATCTGCCTCGGTGTCAGCTACTCCTCCGAGGTTAAGGACCCAGCGCGGACGCGGGCTCTTGTGGACAAGTATCCGGAGCTGGCCGTTGTTCAGGATGCCGACCGCCTAGATGCCATTGGCGCCGTAGGTATTGCGAGGACGTTCGCATTTGGAGGTGCCAAGAGTCGGACGTTGGAGAACACTATGGAGCATTTTGATGACAAGCTCCTGTTGCTTGAGGGCATGATGAAAACAGAGGAGGGGAGGAGGATGGCTAGGGAGAGGACGGAGAGGTTACGTTTAATGAAGGCATGGTGGCAAGAGGAGACTAGCGAGTAAAGTGGTCTTTCGAAGAAGTGATGAATGTAACCCGAAGTCAAGGAAACAAAAACACTAGTCGAGTACAGTTAAATATGGCATCTTACACTTCCCATACCGGCAGACTAAAAGCACAGTCAGTCTGGTCGGCTTACGGTCCCCGCAAGCCTTACGAGAACCCTTACGAACCAATTGGCTCTCTTGTACCTGACCAAATTGGTGGATCTACGTTGACTCTGTTGGCTGTCTCACATGAGAACCTTTACGGATTGGGAGTTTGTAGGACGGGCAAGACATCAGGTCGGAAGATTATTCGCAATTAGGGAGGTACATAGAGCAAGACATAGCCATTCGTTATCGTGAAGGTCGCCGCTTCTATTTTTCATTGCCCTCGTCCTCACTCATTCCGCGTACTTGACGACACAGCGTTGAACCTTTTACGATGGCTCCCTTGCGATCCGTTACAATGGAAACGCTCCCCACAGAAATCATCATCCAGATCCTTGACAACCTCCAAGCCCCGGCTATTAAGCAAGTCCGTCTGACATCCCGGATCTTCAACACCATACTTGCAAAGCGAACCTTCGAAGTCCTTGTATCATTTCTTGATCCGGTCGTTGCTCAAGACACTCTTATAACGATCGCACGAGACCCAGAACGACGCCGCCGACGACCGTCTATCTGGTCACCAAGATGCAGCGTGCCACAGAACCTGCACGTTGACGAATCGTTTCTAATGGCGCTGTGGGCTGGCTTGCGTGGGCAGTCATGGGCTGTGGAAATGGGTGCAAATGGGGTCAAGTTGGATATAGATAACTGGCAGATCGGAGTGGGGATAAGCATACGCAAAGAGGAGTTGAGGGAGGTTCTGTTTCGATATGCACTTTATTTGAGTTATATGAGCGAGTGTGAAAACGAAGAAGACGTACCACAGGCTTGGGTTTTCAATGCGATCTGCAGCAAAGCATAGCACTGAGCCGTTTGGGCTATGGGTTTCATATTTACCGAATGCTTGGACATCGGACCAAAATGCTAGACAGTATTCCATATCCTCAAACCTAATGATGATTTTATGTTTCAGATAATTAGGGTCGTGATAAGTCTTGCTTTAGTGCAACAAATCGAGGTCGATAGAACTGTGGAATAGTATGTGTCTTAGCAACCGTCTATATATATTTTTTTAAAATAAAATAAAAAAGCACCCTTTTAGGTATAATGTGAATCAAAGTCTAGTCTAAATGAATGGTCGCTAGTATTAAATGTAGAAATTAGTATATAAGTCGTGTGCATGTGCTTTCGGATCTCATATAATGCATCCCCAATCCCGTCATCGCTAGGCCCAATCCATTGGTATCCGTAGCGGAAATAACCCCTGTTTGTAAACGCCGTTCGCTTTCGCAAACAAAATCAAATCATGCCCAAATGCCATGCTTTCATGCATCATGTAAGGATCGTAAGAAGTTTATAAAAGTGTTGTGGTCAGCAGACCAAAAATTGTCCATCTTAGATCAGATAGGCGGCGGCGAAGCCAACGATGGCGAGCAGGCCAGTGGCGGCGTTCATGTGAGCCCCAGCAGTTTGGACAGTCTCAGGGACATCAGAGGATGTGGAAGGCTCGTGGTCCTCCGATTCGGAGCCACCGTTGCCTCCCTTGCTGCCGCTGCTGCTGCCGCCATGGGAACCGTTGTCAGTGCCATCATCGTTGCCGCTCTCCTCACCCTGAGGAGTCTTCCCACCATGGTTACCGGGATAACCGGGAGTGGTTCCATTATGGTAGACGGGAGCACCACCAGTAGGAACAGGGTGATAGGTATGAGGAGGAGGGTTGACAGCAGTAGCGTTGTGGCCATGGTCCTTGGGGACGGTGTAAGTGATGGTCTTGGTCACGCTCTGGCCAGGGTTGGTAGGATGAGGGTAGGCGTAGGTCTGAGTCTTGGTGATAACATCCTGACCCGGGTGAGTAGGTACAGGCTCATGAGGCTTGGGATCGGTAGGGTTGGGGTAAACAGGCTCGTGAGGCTTGCTGGGCTCAGTAGGGACTTCAGTGACAGGGCAGACAGTTGTGGAAACGGCGATGGTCTCGGTAGTGACATGGCCCACGGGGCAGTCGACAACAGTAGGGGGGCACTGAGTGATGGTATAGGTCTTGGTGCTGTAGACCGTGCTGGTAGTGTACTCAGTAGGCTTGGTAACGTTGGCTGGATGGGTGTAGACAGTAGTGAAGCCGACTTGAGGCTAAGCCATGTAAGTCAGTACAAGTTTCGAAATATGCATAGTATCCATTGCAACTTACGTTCTCGTAGTGAGCGTTGGCGACAGCAGCCGCAGCAGCGACGATGATTCCTGAAGACCTCATGATAGTGGTTGGTGTTTAGTGGTTGTGCTTGTTTAAACGAATGTACTTTGTCAAGGTATCTAGATCCTAGATCGACAGAGCTAATCTTTGAACGAAAGACGATGGTGTATAAGATGATGAGAGAAGGGGCTGGAGGCGAGGCAGAGCATTTCTTATATCTCATCGACCTGGTGGCCTAATTTGTTGGGTAGGTAAGCGAGATAGAGCGGAGCCGACTAAGGTCTTCGTCAATTCGATTCTATTCGAAGCCAATGACGGGACTAGCTCTTGTGAGCAGGGCTGATGATAAGCCCATGGCGAAGTGGCTGTTGAAAATGGCGATATGGATACGAGGTGTGGGTTGTCCGGTGCCAAGACCCTGGATCTCCGTATTGCTGACAGCTGTTAACCACCATTCACGGCACTCCCCCCATGTCCCAAAGAGGAAGACAGACCCAAAAGAGCCATGTTGCTTCCTTGGCTCTCGTTATCGTCAACCAGCAGCGGGCCATGCCATGTCCACAGCTGCACCTAGCAAAGTCTAGAGCAAATCTCTGCATACAGGACCCACGGTGATAGCTGTTGGGCTCACCAAGCTTACAATTTCAAATTTTGTCTTGACCTGACCGTCAAGAGCGATCCAAAGACTTGGTAATGCACCCCTGTTGGAGAATTTCGTAAAGCGACCGGAGGGTCCAGGACGGAGTGGCATAATCAGAACCCTACGCGCATGTGTGGCTATGTCAGCATGTAACGATTCGATCTCGTGAGAAAGCTTAAACATCCAGTTGACGATGGCGGACGTAACGTCGGGTCAATCAGATGTGTAAGGCTGCCATCAAGAATTGACAAGGGCTATTCTTGGAAAATGGCGTTCTTTGCCCAAGCTAGCGGTCCGCCACATGCCCTGTGCCCAGCGCCGGGGTTGCCGGGCCACGAGCGTGGAGCCCGCCCATCTGAGCTGAGCCTCAGAGCAGGTCCCCGGATTGCTGGTAGAAACAACCGAAATAGCTGGAATGTTTCAACGGCCTCCAGTGCCCGATGACTTCATCGTGGATAAACTTCCGAATCTCGTGCTCCGAATCCAATTTTGGATTATTGGATCCCCCAAACAGATCTCCATGGGTGACCTACAATCGGATGATTGAGTGATGCAGTCTGAAGATGGATCGGTTCTTGTCATCATCCATGCAAATCAAGAACACGACCAATTGCTGAGTGATTGTGACTCAGTAGGCAAGTGACCATTACCAATAACCCAGTAGCCAATAGCCCTCTTTGTTCCCTCTCTTTGCCCTTCCTTTTACAAGGTGCGGCCGTCTGTTCCATCTCCATTCGGACATCAATTCGATATCAGTTTGCTGATTCGTATCGATCACACCCTTTCTTTCCCTTGCAGTATCTTTAGAAAAAGAAGAAGAAAACCGGCGACAGTCACTGGCTCGGCAACTCTCATTGGCAGGGGTGCGTAGTATGCTAGAAAAAACTTTCTCGGAGTAACGTTGCCAAGGTTGTGCAAACTTTACCAGCTTCAAAGTTACCCGTCGGGACCTAGGGTTTTGTGGCTTGCCCTTAGCATCATAGCCACAGCCTCATCGGCACTCGGCCTCAGATTCTAGCGTCAGGCTCCATCTGGCGACGTTGATAAATATAACGTGCAAGCCTCCGTTCGGATTCGCAACAGGGCCCTCCGGCTCTATTGTAGGAATCGGTCCATGGAGAAGTCCGTGATGAACAGTAGGTTTGACTTCACCATCGGTTCGCAAACGCCACATAACGTGAGCTGTTCGTCTAGCCTTTATTCAGGTGACATCGGTGCGTCAACATTGTGCGGGTATGGCCAGGACAGAACTAGACAACAAGGCACGATACCCAAGTTGAGGGAATTAACTAGGCTGGCCATACGAATCTGACGGCGGCTCGTATCTTTGTCGCCATCAGCGCACCTTATCCCCGCACGCAGTTACTGCAAGATCAGGCTGAACCTCGATTCTTACGATAATCGGCCCATTGTGAGCAAGAACAGATATCAAACGCGCTGGTGGCCAACACAGTGGTCGGTGACCCTTCTGGATCTCAAGATCTCGTGGGAGCGAATTCCTGGCCAGAATCCTTCGTTGCGGGGATTTGCTGTTGAGTCCAGCGACTGGAAAAGCTCTGCATAATCAACCTGCTTGCACTCTAAGCTTATCGAGCTGCCCTGTCGATTTGGCCCAGGCTGCACCAGTGAGTGGGGGTCTATCAACCTGAGCAGCCCTTTCGGCGTTTTGCCATGACGCTCGAGCCTTGCAAATAGTGAGTGGTCTAAGAGCTGGAGCAAGGAAGCGTTTGATTCAAGTGTTGATCTGTGGTGCTGCATGAAGAAATTTGTGCCGCTCCGCTACAGCGAGATGGGGTTTGTGATAACAATGATTTTCTCATTCTCGCACGTGATTTATCGACAAGTTTAGGCAAACCTGGCAAATCATTCCTCGTCCCAAACTATGTGGTTTTGTATACTGTCACATGGATGCCGCTGTGATGGCTGGTAGATGGTCTTCTGGTATCTAAATACGGTAAACTGAAGGCAGTTGTCGTTATTTCGCTTCATACACCGAGGTCAATAAACAGCGGTAGGCGTACGTCTCATCTTCTTGATGCAATGTTGTTTACTTTTCTGTGTCCTTAATTACTCATACAAAATACAACGATTTCCATCTGCTTGTTTTATCAGTACAGAAACCTTCCGGGCTTGTTGGATGTTCCAACAGGACGATCGCTCAACTACAAGTGTATGACTCCACATGCAAACTTACAGGTTGTCGGATATCTCGCCTGCTACGTCGTGGTGCTGAGTATACGCTTCAATATATGTTGAGACCTTTGCAAGCTTCTGGAGAAAATTGGTGGAGGATCTGGGAATGGCTACATGGTAGTCGACTCGATTGCCAATATAATAAAAAATGCACTGCTTGAATAATCATAATTATTATATGGATAATGTTGGAAGTTATATTCTAGGATATTACATTGTTCAACCTCTGGGGATAGCTAAGATCACCTGTGCCTTTTAGTAAGCCTGTAAGTTTTATGCACTGAATACCTATTCATAGGCACGTATGACTTAATTGTAATCTCCTTCTAGTACGTAGTCTATTAGCTGATATGACACATTATCTTGGCTACCTAGGCAGTATGGTATTCATAGGCGTGGAACGACCACTTCATATCATGAATACTGTTTTTGGGCATATTTGGATATACCGCACCGCACACACACTACTGTAGCCTCCCATTCTATCGTGCGTTGTGTTCTTAATGTATCGAGAACAAAGCTTCGTGTGCCTGAGGTAATATCGCTCTTATATATTCCAGGTAAGCGCCTCTCACGGCAGTCATCCACGCAAGGCCATAGGGGTTTTGATCACAGTAAACATCGCTTACGAGACACAGGGGTAGGAACTAAAAAAAGTAGTCAGGCACAGAGAGTCCTTGTGATATCATATCGATCAAAATCATCTGCATAAGCTCATCAATCAGCTACGCCGACGTCCACTTGCGGGGCTGAATCTGAGGCGTGTGAGGCCGACGTCTTAAAACCTGTCGAGACTATTTGTTAGAGCCTGCACTCCTAAGGAGTGCATCGAGCATGTCTGGGCCCTGTCAATAAAATGGCAACTTGGTCACGGCGAGTTGACTGAGCATCAGTTATTCATTCAAATTCATGTGTAGAATTAAGTGCAGGCTCAGACATTTGACAATCTACCCATGCAAGAGTCAATGGATATACGCAGTAAGCCGAATTACCTGCCTATCTTATTAGTCCATGATAAGACGCAAGATTGAAAAGAAGGAGAAAAAGAAGAAGAAAAAAGGCTGGAAATCGCTCTGGCTGCACGACTTGCAGCAAATGATTATGATTAGATTATCCTGACATGCAAAGGCAGGTGAGTGAACGGGGTGGGAGAGGTGCTTTCGATCCTGAATGGCTGGTCAAGGCCACACCTATGCTGGCGTGCAGAAACCCAAGCTGGGTTGCCATTCACGGCGGATTTGTCCCCGAAAACATGAGAAACTTGATGGTGGTGTCATGCTAAGCACTCAAGTTGACTTCCAGAACTGCGATTCAGGCGGCATGGTGGGAAAGATCCATTGAAAGGGAATATATAGAGGACGAGCACACGAATGCTAGGGGCAACCGACCTGAGGAATCCAATAGCATTGGATCGCCATTGAATCCCAAATCAAGACTTGTAATATTGTCAAAGAGACATTCAGCCAGCCATCAACCTGGACAACCTTGATTGGGACTACTTATTCCACCACACAAACGATATGAGCGGGGCACTTTGCTATTCTTCCTGCACTCTTGATCAGGCTATGATCCTTGCATTTTTCGTTCTTCGGCAATCAAGGAAAGGCGTGTGAGTACAAGAGAAAGACGGAATCAAATCATAATATAAAACCAATACCGGACCTCTACTAACGACAAACCTCGGCCTCAAGAAATATGTAGTACGAACTGCTCGTTTTACCGCAAACGGATACTATTCCTTCATGGTTCCCCCTCGTATCACAAGACAATAAGGTTATTTAGAAGTACTCTGTTATCAAAATTTTCAGTCCCACGATGCATTCTATCGTTTTCTTGCACTCCCTAGGTAGCCAGTCTCGCCTCTGAGCTCTGAGGCTGCATACCATACCTACAGAGTTGAAAGCATCTGCCTAAAGTTCACCTTCACGACATCCATTCAACTTTCGACTCATCGCACAGTCTCACAGTATGAGGAAGCGCCTCGAGTTCTAGGCTTTGACTGAGACGCCTGACTCTGTCCAATAGAACGTCCATAACGGCGCAACCCAGCTTTGCCGAGCTACAGACAAAGAACTCAATGTCATCCCTTGCGTATGTGGAAGCGCCCTTAAACATCTACACGCTCTAGCAAGATCCTATCCGCTTATTCAGTTGGTCCCTCGTAAGAGCCGGCATTTGTGCTACGACCGTGTGGACTGTACAGCCCTAACACGCCCATTATTGCATTGAATTTCCTGCGCATGAAGCAGTAAGCTAAGAGACTGCAACTCGAAATAGAGATCCAGATTTAGCACTCAGAAAACGAGTTGGATCAATCCAATGGCACCTCAAACTTAAACAATGGCCCCCAGTTTGAGGTTGCGTCAGTGGTCCAGCGTCAGAAACCAGAACCGCCAATCCTCACTGAGAATGGAAGGGCTCGACGACTCGCTCCTTCCTGCACTGGGTGACTCGACCTCATTGAATGTGGAGTGGGGTGGGGTGGAGTGGAGTGAGGGAAGGAAGCGCGCCTGTTGGCCCGGGCCGCTGGGCCACTGCAGGTCGTGAAATGCATCACTGGGGCCACTGGATATGTCTTCGAGACCACTGAGGGCTGCTAGAAACTCGCCCTTTAGCGTGTCCCGCAGGTGCCCCCTCCTTCTTGATCCTTGACAAGCTAGACAAGACTTGCTTCTTCTGGGCTTCCATGGCTGGGTTCCTCCACTCTCCCGTCATCTAGGTAAGGTCCCCTAGGTACTCTTGTTCCTCAATCAGTGTCTCTCTAATTCTCTCGTCATCTCACCTCACCTCATTTCCTTGTCCCTGTTCCATCTCTGGCATTCTTCCTTTGATCTCCGTCAGTAGTGACTGGAACCAAAGATCACCGTCATTTCATGTGCCGACTTTGACGTGATTACAACTCGACATTTCTTACTGCGTCCATCTCGTCCCAGTATGCGCACTCGACTGTCGCGCTCGACACTCAACGCAACTCTGTAAGCCACGTTTGCGATTATGTTCGGGTGCTAGTTCGCGTTCGAAGCCGCTCCCAACTGTCGCTCTGCTTAAGACCCGTCATTCTTCAAGCGCGTCGCCTCCCTACTTGCATGTCTCGGACTACCGTCTGACCTGTTCCTGTTGTGTTCCGCAACTGTCCCAAAACCCTGCTTCCTGTCCGATGGCAGCCAGCATGCCAACACCAAACCGTTCCAACATCGTTGCCGCGAAGCAAAAGTTTTAAAAGCCTTTTATCTAATAAAAGCCATGCTATCAGCACACTCTATTCCATCGCCAGTCATGATGGCACCTCCCGCTGATTATCCGCCCCAAGCACAATATGAGACCAGCCCGACCAGTCAATTACAATTCAAAAAGCACAAGATTCTTCCACGACCTCGATCCGAAAGGACCTCCGAATTGCCGATTCGAGTTTCTAGCCCTTTGACTAGACATGACCTGGCTACCAACACTTCTGTTTCCGGCAATGGAAAGCATCCATCGAGCCCACGAACTCTTAAACATCAGTCGCGAAGGATAAGTAGTGGTCCAGATCTACCACCAACTCCACCAAGACATTCGCGCCAGCCCTCGGAGAACTCCTCTGGTAAGACAAATAGTCCAGCTGCGACCGATATCGCGTTACGAACTCCCCAGCCATCACATCTGCGTCCACCCACCACGCCTCCTAATCAGAAGAGCCCGCCTACGCCCGATGTGACGCCGCCTCATTCCACAAGTCGCCCGGAATTACTAAGACCCATTGCTAGTGACCGTGCTGGTTCAAGTACTACTGCTGGTGAATCCCAATCTGGTTCCTTCACAACTGCGCGAGAAGAGCCTTTATCATCCGAAGACGAAGACAAGCCTGTTGTTAATCAGAACTCACGACCAACTGTACGCAAAATCTTTGACCCAAGTCCTCGTATTGACAGGCCCGAAAACCTTGATTTGGCTTTGGGCAACCTGGCACCTCACTCGGAAGGGAGCAGTACGTCCAGGTCACCAGCAGGGGATTGGGCTCATAACGACAGCGACTGGGGCTCTGTCAGTGAGGTAGAGCAGGAATGGGACCACAATTTGCAAAGGCTGGTGACTGTGAAGAAGCGGCCTGAAGCACTTATTATGCCTCGTTTAAGCCCAAATAGGGCGAGAGTCGTCGAGCCCAACATAATCATACCGACACAAGCAGCTAAAGCTGTGCGCGGCATGCCTTTGTACCAAACGACGGAGACACTGACGGAGACACTCCCGCGAGGTACCTCGAGCCGTGATATTCCCCCCTCAGCTACATCGACCACAATCGCAACTTCTGACCCACGTAGGATGTCGGCCATCTCTACTAAATCCACTGTCTCAACTGTTGTGGAGGCTTATCTTTTGGACACAGTCCCCAAGAGGCAGAGGACACTGCGTCATGTGCGAAAACAGACCATTCTGAGAGACCGGACCAATGAGTCCTCCACCTCAACCGCAAACTCGCTAAAGTCGGACAGATCGCATACTGATCCACGCGGTCGAAACCGTCCAACTGCTCCGAAGTCAGAAAGTCAATCCTCGAACGCGACACTTAATTCTATCTCTAGCAGTAGGGCTCGACGCGAAGTCTGGAAAGCAGGGGGCATACCTGTGGTGGTTGTTCCTGGTCGACTATCATCGCACAAAACCAAGTCCAGAGAGCCGTCGTTGAGGTCGCACTCTAGCCGAAAGTCGAGCCGCACCACCAGCGCCAGCCCTACGCTGAACGATAGATCAACGAGAGATGAGCCTCCCATTGTGCGGCGTCAATTGAGAGGTCGATCTTACTCCATGTCCGAAAGCTCTGATGAGAGAACCATGGACTACCCACCTATCGTGCCTGCTCGCTCGTCCTCTCTATCTGCTCCTACCAGCCGTAACGGTTCAAGAGCCAGTTCCCTGACAACTGAGAGTATGAAGCTTCACAACGCCTTGCAGGAATACCTCAACAAGAAGAAGGATACACCCAGAGTGCCCGACCTTCGCTTCTCAGAAGAGACGCCCGTGGCACGAACATTTTCTAATGCCTCAGAAAGTCACCGTCGGTCAAGTTCTGAACGCCATGACGACTTCTTGAACGCAAAGGGATATGGCTCGCAAAACACTCCATTTTCGTTAGCTTCAGTCGACACAAATGGGACCAATCCAGTGGTATCAGAAGCACTCGCGGTGCAGATGTACCCACACCAGAACTCATCCCTATTGATGATAGATCATTCGACGAAACCCTCCGAGTCGCCAGACGAGACTCAGTCGGAGGCGGAGGAAGACCTGGATGTGCCAATGCCGACTGATTCCTCAGAGGACATTCCAACCACACCTCCTCAGCCAAAGTTTTCTCTCGACGATGTCGACTCTCCTCTCCGAAATCCCCGAGCGCCTCCCGAGCCACCCAATCACCCACCAGTTATCAACTTGATCCCTGCCACCCCATCAGGAACGACTCCAGCTCATGAGAAAATGGCCCAAATGGGTAACTACTTCGAGTCAATGAACGAAAAACCCCCTCGTCGTCCTTCTGTGGTACGCCGTGCTTTCAATCGTACACGACGCCACTCGGTTGATTATACACCGTCAACTCGAAGACCTTCGAGCTTCTTGTCGCGCACTTTGTCCCTTTCGCGCACTGGGAGGATCAGAGGAATGCCCACTATGGAACGTGAGCCGGCGTATCTTAGCTCCGACGACAGTCCAGTGGAAGAAAACAAATTGCACCCTTTTTGGCGCCCTCAGTGGTCTAGTGAGGACTCAGACGAGTGCGATGGATACTGTGACGATGACTGTGATCTGCACTGGTCGGATGAACTCGGTGATCAGACCTACCGATATCCCCCGGTAGACAACCGACCGAAAGGACCTCAGAGAAGCTTTAGTTCCAGGATGAAGCGCACATTTGCCGTCCTCCCGCCTCGTGATGGTTCCTACTACACCAGCTATGATTGGCCCACCACTGAGCGTCGCACTATTGGGCGAACTCCAAGTGGTAACCTCCGAGTCATGAGACATCGGTCTAGTCTTGAATCTCTACGACGAAACTATAACGATGACGAGAGGCCACATTCGGCGGATGGTGAAGTCAAGAGATCATTCTGGCGAGCCAATAACATCCACAGGCGTGCTAATAAAGAAAAGAGAAGGCTTTCCCTGGGAAGCAAATTAGAGGAGTTGCAGAACCTCCCGCGCAAATTCAGCGAGAGACGGCGTGAGAAGCGATCACAAGAGCTTCGCAAGAAGATAAGCGGGCCAAAGGAAGTTCGTGATGGGGTTGGAGAAGTCATCAGATCGAGCGCAGCTCGCGATCATTACAAGCCCTTCGATAGGACTCCATCACGCTGAGCAACTGATTGGGTTTACTGGCGCAGATGGTATTCTTGGTGTACCGGCGGAGGTAAACGGTATTCACTGTTCGTTGCAGGGGATATAAGACAAAAGGTTCATGACTGATGATTCACGCTTTACGACACGAATGATGGAGGGTTATGAAAATGACATTGCTCATGATTTGCTAACTGGGATTTGTTTTTGAAGAGATATTATATGGGAGCTGGTTGGAGGATACTTTGACATTAAAGAGAGTAGCTCTCATGTATGATAATTACCAGTACACACACACACGCACACACATGAATATACACACACAATATTTGCCTGACTAATGCGGCAGTAACAGGACCATGTAGTCCTGTAACTATCCAATAAACCTAAATTGTGAGACGTCCGATGCTCATTTCGTGCTCGGGAGCCCGCCTCTTATTAAACAAAACATTTACCTCGCAGTATCTCAAACTGGCAATACTTTCCATTTTCCCAGTTCTTGTCTAACGCCCAATTCGCCAATAATGCTATGGTTATAATCAGCCCAAACCTCATCCTTGCCACAGAAATGACACTCATCGCTTCTCATGTCCGGGAGCTCCGGCTCCGGGAGGAGCAAATCCGTGTGGTGGAAATCCTTGGCCGGGCGGAGGCATGCCAGGCATGCCAGGAAAAGGAGGAGGGGCACCGCCGGAAGCACCAGGTCCTCCTGGGGCGCCCGGAGGAGGGAACGGGAAGCCGCCTGGAGGAGGAGGGAATGGAAGACCGTTAGGAGGTACAGGCATGCCATTGGGCCCAGGGAATGGGGGCATTGGGGGCATGCCTCGACCACCGCCAGGAGGGGCTGGATTCTGTCAGAAATGATTTTGTCCTCAAGGGAAAAAGATGTGCTTACGAGGTAGTCCTTGAGGGAATTGTCCAGGAGGCGCACCTGGCATCCCCGGAAAAGGCGGAGGAGGGATACCTATCATGTGTAAGTACTCCTGATGTCTAATTATCATGGTATCTTGTTTCTTACCACCTGGGAACGCGAAGGGAGGGGGAGGAAAGCCCTGTCCAGGTTGATTTTGAGGAAGCATAGGATTCGCGTGGGCTTGGCCTTCAGCAGCATAAGAAGAGGTGATGGAGTCGATGACGGATTGAGCCTTCTCGTGGCCGATTTCTGTGAAGGACGTCAGTTTCATACTATAATATGGCCTCCAGACTGGACACACGTTGGTAATAATCAACTACATTTCGAAGATGGTTTCGACCACTGTTATGAGCCTTGCGCACGCTCATGGAATCATGCGTGAGGTAGACATCGCAATAATCGCCTGGGAGCAAGTTGTCAGTTGGAGGGGCCTTTGTTGATTCGGGCGCACGAGGGACGGGGCTCACAGAAGACTGTAATATGAGTTAGCGAGAGTTTCCTCTTGGAGATATATAGTTGATTAGGAGGTAGGCTTACACTTGGGCATCTTGGAAACCTGTGCGATCGCTCTTGTTGAGATAATCAGCAGGTGAAAGTGCTAGTTTGTGTGTTTAGACTGTGATGTTCAGGCGCGAAAACGCACTGAAGTTGACGAGGCTGGACCCACACGTGATGGAGGCGACAAGGCAGGTGCCAAAATTCATATAATTGGTCGCAAGTTAAACTTAGGGGGTGTCTCTCCCGCATGTGGGGCACAGCTCAACTGGGACACCTTTCAGTTTAGACCCAAGTTCAGGTGGAAGCCCCTTGTCCGTCTTAAAGAACTACTCTACGTAGCCTTTCCTCTCCGACTTACCATCCACGATACGATACAATACGATTATTGGAGAGGGAGATCAACTTCTACTACAAAGTGTTTGACCACGACAATGGCTCTCCAACAGACATTGGTGCAGTATATCTGCAGCGTTTTGCTGCTTGTTAGCGCTGCCAGCGCTCTGAAGTTCGACCTGATCGCACAAGCAGAGAGCTCAAAGAGGGAACGCTGCGTGCGCAACTTTGTCGGAAAAGACACACTTGTCGTGGTAACAGCGACTGTCGATGGTTACAAGGGCGATGGCATGGTGGTGAATCTCTACGTACGTTGCGCACAGATGCATACGAGTTACAAAGCAAAACTGACATAGCTTTACAGATTCGAGATGCCGTTGGCAACGAGTACGGTCGACCCAGAGACGTTGTCGGAGAATCCAGGACCGTCTTTACATCACATGCTGACGCTGCCTTTGATGTTTGTTTTGAAAATATTGTTACTGGTTGTATGTGATGGTCCCTGATCGTAGCATGTTTGGTGGTTTCGTTGCATGCTCCGCTCTAATCTATTGTTTAATATGTTGACAATTCTTCAGCCCAGCGAATCAACAACCCTACCCGCCATGTTGAGCTCGATATCGACATCGGCGCCGACGCCAAGGACTGGTCCGCCATCCAGGCCACCGAGAAGCTCAAGCCTGTTGAGGCTGAGCTCCGCCGCATCGAGGAAATCACCGGCGAGCTTGTCACCGAGATGGAGTACCTCCGCGCCCGAGAGCAAAAGCTTCGAGACACCAACGAGAGCACCAACAACCGTGTTAAGTGGTTCGGTATCGCCACCACCTGGTTGCTTATTGGTCTCTGGGCCTGGCAGATCATGTATCTCCGTGCCTACTTTCGATCAAAGCATCTTATTTAAGAGACTGGTTTTGTATGCGTGTCATCTATCGGGTCGGGAGCCTCCTTCGAGCCTCGAACAGACGGCCACTCGGGTCCTGAAGACCTGTTTAGGGCGTTGGAGCTACCTATATGATCGTTTCCCTCCGTCTTGATTTCGATTGGCCATGTTAGTGGTTTCCGGGCATGCTTGTGTTGGAATCCGTAGCATGCAGGATTGGGACTGGGAAGGCAAAGTTTGGGCCTTGGCAATTTGGGGTCTTTGTGTTTTGAAGAGTCATGTGTAACAAAAGTCATGGAAAGAGCAATAATTTTACGTACGTACATGAGGTATTGAGCCAACAGAACTGCACGCGACTCAATGTTGCGAGGTCTATTCAGTCGAGTAAACCCTATCAATATCTCAACCAGACAGATCTAGGCAACACAGCAAAAAGCTTTCAGGCAGAATGAAAACTGAGCCTGTAACCAATACATGCTTCTCTCAGCGTTTACGCCGTTAATTATATACTATTTTAACCAATGTTTTTCAGCTGGCATGTGTGCTGCTAGGTTCAAGCTGCAATTAAGACAGCCAACTACAATAATTCAACTTAATAAAGCTTTGCCGGCTATAGGAGTTATATCTGTTTAAACTGCTTTAGGCTCTGGAGATGCTTGGATATATCTTTCGAGGCTAACTTATAAACTTTTCTTCTTCTTCTTCTTCTTCTTCTTCTTCTTCTTCTTCTTCTTCTTCTTCTTCTTCTTCTTCTTCTTCTTCTTCTTCTTCTTCTTCTTCTTCTT